CTAGGCCGCGACCAACGCTATAAGCTCCAGGATCATACGCGCATCCCCGATTCAAGGAAGACAAGCGGGGCATTTTTATTTAGTGGACTCTGCCACTTTGCTGCTGACGGGAGAGTCTGTCGGAATGTACGTGTCTCCCCGAGCCGAAAAGACCTCGGCCAGAGGGCTCGGTCGTACTGTGATGTCTACCGGCATGCGCAAGAAGCACTGTGTTCACGGCGTTGAAATGTTCGTGTAAGCTCTGCAAGCCGTCGCGTCTACTGCATATGTGGGCCAGACTAAACTGAGATAGTGGATCCGGGGAACGGGGCCCGAATGTATGGATAGAGTTCAGGAACGAGGGAGCGCAGCCGACGATCGTCTCGCAATTACTCGTGCCACACCACTTGGTGATGGAAGTTGGAGAGACATGCTGGCGTCATGGTGCGAAAGCGAGGGGCAACCCCTTTTCCCGCGCCCTTCGTCATCGCGCAACACAGACCACAGAGGGGCGATGGTTGCATGTTTTGTATGTATTGAAGGCGGTTGTAAGTAATGATGGCGCAGGCGGACCTAGGTAGAAAATGAGGCGGTGAGCCACCTTGTGCATGGGCTGCATCTGATAACTGGCGCCCCAGTAGACTACTCCTCCAAGAGTAAAAGCATACTCGAGGTACTTACCGCCTCTTTGAGGTGTCGTGCGGCAACTGGTGGATGGAGAGTCGACTCCGCTGGACAGCGGGTGGTACGGCGAGACCATGCTCGTTGAGGCTCTTGTGAGAGGGACCATTGGACAGGCGGCTGCCATGTCGCACATTGGTCCAGAAGCCTGTGGTTAGGGATGACCCGGGTTGTGGGAGCGGGTACCTCGAGCTGTTCATGAGAGATGTTTTGGTTTGAGAGCTGTATAACGGAGATGGAGTGAGGTAGTCTTGGTGTGAAGTCGCCATGTTAGGCGGAGAGAGAGCAACAGACCCTTGATGTCGCATGTCACTTGTATAGTGACAACGACAGGCAGTTGTCCAGCAAAAGCAGACGTGGTAATTAATAGAGAGGTCGCGTTAGAAGCGCTAGCGTTGCAATAATTCGGTCCAAGACCACAGGGGGATGATGAGGCTGGCTTCGGAGGACGTGCGCCTTCCCCCCATCAGTTGATTTTGGGATCCTAAACCCCTCCTTATTCACCCTCGCCCAGCTTGAATCCATCCAAACATCAACGCCGCATATCGCTCCATCATTGCGCACGCTGCCAGACGGCGCTGACGCTTGTACATCACCTTTTCTCACCGGCCACTCCGGTGCTGCACTATTGTTTATAGCAAATTCACGGGATGAACGAAGAGCACAGCCGTCTCACCACGCCCATCAACAACACACTTTGATCAACGCGTCCTGGCCGGTTTACAGCATCTTTGAGCATCGGCCATCTCCCGCCTCAATCTCATACTAGACGTCGCATCCATTGAGATGGCGTCGAACTCGTCGCCCGCTGTCCGCAAGACAGGCGCGCCCGAGAAGAAGTACAAGTGCCAGTTTTGCAACCGTGCTTTCTCTCGTTCAGAACATCGCAGCCGTCACGAGCGCTCTCGTAAGTCCTTTTCTTCGTGTCGCGATGGAGCTTTGGTTGTTTGGAGCGGGGTAGCTATTGCTGCGGGACACTCGCGACGTGGTCGCGCTGCGGGGAAGATACAGACAGTGTTGCTAACTTGCCCCTCACTACAGATACCAAAGAGAGACCTTTCAAGTAAGAAACGCCCTTGTACGAACTGCGTGTGAGCCATGCACTGACTTGACTAGGTGCCTAAAGTGTAGATCCACCTTCGTCCGTCGCGATCTCCTCCTGCGCCACGACCGCACCGTCCACGCAAAGGACGGCGGCGCGCCCCTTCCCAGCGAGCAGAAGCGCCGCACGAGCAACAAGGCGGCCGACCAAGGGCCGTCCAAAGCCGCCCCTGTCGAGAGTGCGACGACGCTCGAGCGCATCGAAGTCGACAATGATGCCATGCACGAGGATGAAGACCTCAACGCCGCTGCCATGCTCATGACCGACTTTCATCACAAGGCAATGGCGAGCCAGGAACCCGAGATGATCTCTGAGCACAACGAGCCCGTCATATCGCCCACCGGCCCATCCATGATGGAGCCTGTCATTCCATACACCGCCCCAGGCCAGAATATGCTACCACAGATGCCCTGGAGAGACTCAATGGTGCCCCAGTCAGAGCCAAAGTCATCCCCAAACACGCACTCGGCATTCAACAGCGCCAGCGCACTCGGCTCGCATCCTCACCAGCTTCCACCCCTCATGGAGCGCACCATGTCTGGTAGCGATAGCCTCGCCCCTACCTTCTCAGCAATGAACGGCGGCAACGGGCTCGGTACTCCTGGCGCGCTCTCGCCCTATCCCTCCATGATGGGACCCGTATCGCCTGTCGACTACCGCAAGTCGCCCGGCCCCAACCAGGCTCTGATGATGACGCGTGCCCCTCAGCTAGACTCAGAGGAGCAATGCGCAAGGATATACGAGAACATCAAGCAGTATGACAGTGAAAACGCGCTCCTGGAGACGTTCCACTTGCCTAGTCTGAACACGCTAAACCGCCTGTTGAAGACGTACTTTGATCTGTTCCACCATCATCTGCCCTTCTTGCACCCCGCCACCTTCAACCCCACCGAGGTATCTGCCCCGCTACTACTTGCTGTGCTATCGATAGGTGCCCTATACATCTTTGACCAGGACCAAGCCTACATGTTACACATTGGATCAAAGGTTCTGGTCAACCAGTTCCTCCAGAACAAGGAGAATTTTAGTTCCCGCAAATGCCCTCTATGGACTATGCAGAGCACCCTGCTTAACATGATCTTCTCTAGCTGGAGTGGTGATCCAAAGGGCCTTGAGTGGTCCTGTTCGATCAAGAGTCTTCTCGCCAACGTACGTTTCCATCTTGTCTGTTCGTGACAGCCACTAACATATCGCAGATGGTCGCCGGAAACCGATATGAGCTCAAGCTCCGATCTGATGCCCGTGATGGCGCTCAACCAAGCCATGAAGAGTGGGCCGTCGACGAGCAATGCCGTAGAACTTACTATGCAGTCTACATATTCTTCGGCCTGTTGACACTCACCTACAACCACACGCCGGCAATGGGTTTCAACGAGTTCGACACCCTCGAGTTGCCCTCCTCAGAGTCACTCTGGACCATGGAGGTATCTGACGAAGAAGCGTGGCGCGAAAGTCTAAGTGCTTCCAAGATTATCACTTTCCGTCAAGCACATGACAATCTATTCCAAGGCGAGACTGCGCGCTACAGTGCCTTCGCCACACGCGTCATGATCAATGCCTTGTTCCTCGAAGTGTGGTACCACAAGCGCAGCCCTGAGGCCCTTCAGGACGTAGTCACTGAGTATAAGCTTCGTCTGGCTTTGGAGACCTGGGAGAAGTCGCTTGAGTTGTGCGAGCCGGAGACGGTCGTTGTCCAACTGAGCGCCCCACACAAGGGTCATCCACTCATCTTCAACGCTATGGCCTTGTACAGGAACACCAGGGCCCGACTAGTGGTCGACCTAAAGTCCATTCAGGAAGCTCTCCGCTACCACGACTCTTACGAAGTAGCTGCCGCCATGACAAATGCCCGCGACAAGGTTCAGCGCTCACCTGAGATGATCAAGGTCATTCAGGAATGCTTCGATTGTATTGAGGTTGCTGCTGTGCAAGGCATACGCTGGGTTGCGCGGACTTCCGCTACCAACTGGAGCATCGAGCATCCACTTACCGGCATGGATCTGATGGTCATCTTAACGCTGTGGCTCTACCGCTTGGAGCACGACGAAGAGCCCGCTACCGAAGAGGAGCTAGCAATGTACAACAAATTGCGCAATCTATTCGATGACGATTCCGTAGATGTCTATGGTGCAAAGCTGAGCTCCACAGTTGCACGTCTCTGGGGAAGCATGATCGATGAGGTCGTTGTTTGGGGGTATGTAAAACAGTATCTAGCTTTGAAGCTTGCCACTAACAGTGCACAGTATCACCAAACTCATGGGCGAGGCCTTCAAACTACATTCACAGGCCCTTGTTGGCTATGAAGATGCCATGTCGTCTCGATCAGGATCTGCTACGCCGTCAATGGCTGCTGGCGGCGTCCAGGTCCTCGAGATGCAAATGGCCTATTAAGCGGGAGCTATCATTAGCCTGCTTGCGATCTTTCGCGATTTTGTTTCCATTTCCCTTTTCTTCTACAGAATGTGGACTTTCCTTCAACCTGTCGTCGTCTCCTTGCACCTGGGAGCATGTCAAGGAGTTTGGCGCATTCAGCATCAGTCTATTCCTATCTCATTTGACCTTTTTCAAGATTGGGGTAATTCGGCGCACAGGGCGGTCTGGTCCAGATCCTACACACTCGAGCTCATGCTCTCCTCGTTTGGTATTCTTCTAATATCTTTCCCTCGCTCATACCCATCGGCATTTCTGGACTATCGAAGGCTGGCCCTAGGCGCGTTATTACTTTACTTCGGTCTTGCTACTAGCGTTGCCTTTGCAGCATCTTTGCTAATACCTGTTTCTTATCTGCCTCTACTTTGGTAATGCCTTTTCTTGGTGGCATGGGGCTTTTTCTCTACATATACCACACAGTATTTCATGATTCGACTTCGCGGCGACGGAGATGGGAGGTATTCCGGTAGTAGATATCAAGTGAAGGTGCGATTTGGTCTCCAATAGTACTATATGAATACGTCTTCCCTCATCGATATCAGCTTTGACGCAATCCGTTTGTGATGTCTGTGGTGCCTATGTGTGCTGTGATGTTCTCGACTAGGGCCGCAGGTTGTGTGAAGCCACTAGTCGATGGTTGCCCACGGACCACCCTGCATGCATCGCTAGCGCGTTGAGCTCTTTTCCAAAAATTTCCAATATCGTGAACACAGCTCCGCGACCAGCCCGACCACAGCACGACGCAAGCGACCACCACATATCCACATTTATAACTCATACCGAGAAATTATAGTCGCTTAACTACACAATGTCCAAAGATATCGAAGAGAAGAGGCTGAAGAAGGAGAAGAAGGACAAGAAGGAAAAGAAGGAAAAGCGCGCAGAGACAGATGGCGTGTCCAAGAGCAAGAAGGACAAGAAGGAGAAGAAGATCAAGGGCGATGTCGAGATGGTAGACGCGCTCGAGGCTGAGCTGGAGAAGGAACCAGAGGTCTCCATGGTCAACGTCGTAGACGGCGACGCCGAGCCAAGCGGCGCACTCGTCCCCTTTGCGTTCCCTCTTGCAGACAACGACAAGGAGGTCAAGAAGATCCTCAAGACCGTCAAGAAGTGTATGTTCCTCTGATATTATTTATCTAGCCTCCGGCGCAACCAAAAAGAAAGAAAAAAGCTAACATTTCTCCTACCGCAGCCGCCAAATCCAAGACCCTCCGTCGTGGTGTAAAAGAAGTCGTAAAAGCGCTGCGCAAATCTGCCGCCTCAAGCGCCGGTACTCTGAGCGACCCCAGTGCCATTGTCGTCATCGCCGCTGATATCTCGCCCATGGACGTCATTGCGCATATCCCCGTTCTTTGCGAAGACCACAATGTTCCGTACATCTACATCAAGAGCCGCGCGCAGCTTGGCGAGGCCAGCGCAACGAAGAGGCCCACCAGCGTGGTCATGATTGGCAAGGAGAGGATGGGCAAGAAGGCAGGCGAGGGCGATGAGGAGTTCACCGAGGCGTACGGAGAACTTGTCAAGGTCGTTGGCAAGGCCGCGAAGACTGTCAGGAAGTAGACACAGAGCAATGCGCGTGCGGCAGGTGGGAAGAGAAGTTGTCCGATCATGTGTCGAGTGTATTGTTCAAAACGGGAATGAGGAGTTTGGCGTTTTTTACCACAACGGTTGGCTGACTAGTCTTCCTACTGTTATTGCTTTAGTTCTAGGAACTGAGCTAGGTTTGCAATATACCTCTACAAAACTTCAAAACTTCAAAACTTCAAAACTCGATTCACTCGTTGGGTCTTTATAATTACTTCTTGACTGACTTCGATTATGTTCACCCTGTGGAAGCTGCTCGCGTTATGGAGATGATAGACTGTTAAAATGATTGTTAAGTCTATGTAACTATCAAGAAAACCAAGTATAAACACGAAGCGAAAGTCAGTATCCATTGCCTACAATCGCTACAACAACCAACCCACAGCCCATAGCTCTTTAATCCCATATCTTCCGAACACGGAGTGCCAACACCAACGCTTAGTTAGCGGCAGTCCATAGCGCCGGACCAGGGAAGGTGTAGGTTGTAGGATTGGTGTAGATGTTGAACACAATACCAGGCATGTCCTTTGTGTACAAGCTAGTTCCAGGTACACCAGAGGTCGGCTTGACAGAACCACTGCCACCAACCTTGAGGTTCAAGCCTAGAGCGCTAATTAGCATATCTTCCTTCTTTTAGGTGCTGAGCAATATGGTACTTACACTGAGGGTACAGCTGCGCGCCATTGACATTCTGACCACCATGAAGAGCAATGATTTCGTGGCGAATGACGTAGTTGCCAGGTGCGAGTTTGGCTGGAATGACAGTAGAGACCTTGAAATTGTCCGTGATGAGCTTGTCTGTAACCCAGGTTCCTGGGCTGATGATGGCGGACTGGGAGATCTTTGACCAGCGAAGAGCACCAGGAGTCAGAGTGGTGCAGTCACCTGAAGGGAAAAACTGATTAGCAGGGGAGCTCGTCATATTGACCTGTGGAGGGTGCTCACCGTTGCAAGGTGCAATGTAGTTGATGATTGGGCCCTTGTGGCTGTCTGGCCAAGTGTTCCATGCAAACTCAATGGTGTCTCCGGCGTTGACGTTGGCGTAGAGACGTCCGGCTGTGGCACTCTTGTGGCAGTTCACGTCCGCTGTGCCAACGGAGTTCGGCTCGACGAAACCGTTGTCTTGGTTCAAAGCATCCCAGCCTGCAGTCTGGGGACGAGAGTCCTTGGGGTAGTAGTACCAGACCGGGTCGGAGCCGTTGGTGTAGGTTCCCTTCACGTTGACAGTCTTGACGAAGCCGTGGGCGGATACGGTGTCGAGGAGGACGGCAACGGCGCCGAGAAGGAGCGCGGATGTGTACATGATAAAGATTGTGCGGAGTGTTAGATAGCGAGTGTCTTTGCTTTAATGATGATATGGTGCGCTCAACTCTTCCCTTATATGTCTTCCAGAAGTTCAGATGGTGTTACTGACTTCTCATCTTGTTCTCAATGAGAAACGGAGCGCAACGACCGATTACATCTGGTAAGTCAAGGACCGCATATTGTCTTTAAATGACCACAAGCCCTTTGCCTACGGCATTGTAGCAGCAATGGGTATGGTCATCACCGCGAAACATAGCTTGTTGCCCTCCAGCCACACGCAATGTCCACCGTATGACTTCCAAGATCCTCCATGGGTCAAAATCCGATCATGGACGCAGGATCCGATATTGAGGCGATATTGTACCCGCCTCATAGTGTGGTTGTGGCGTGCAGCGGCGCGCTTCGCGAGGAAGAGCGAGCCTGGTTTTCGTGTGGGGTAATCTATCCATGGGTCTTCCCCGGAAAGCTCATATGAAGTGCCGTTAGCGAGCAATATAAATTTGAAGCGAGTAGCGAATGATGTGAGGATAGCGTAAATTTTGAAGTCGCCTTCGTCACACGCGCATTTCGTGAGGCTGCGGAGTGGTAATTGCTCCGACGACTAAGTTCTTGCTGTTGGGGCTGTGTGTAACATCTTGTAAATCATCGCCACCAGAATTGCGAAGCGAAGAATGCGATAAGTGCTGGAGGCTGTCAGTAAAGTCGCGAGGGTTTGAATCACCTCGTGCAGATCATGGAGATTCGTGGACATCACCGCGAGGTCGCGTTTGGGAGTGCGACCCCATCTAGTTACATTTGCATGTGGGATCCGAAATGGTGCTACCGGCTCGTTCTCTGCTGTAATGAAGAAGTATCCATGTAGGGTTTCTCGATTCCACCTATGGCAGTCTATTCTCCGTTGCCGTAGTAGAGTCACCTGGTGCCACTTGAAGACTAAATCTTGTAATTTCCTCACGATCCAGTGCCAACACACACGACGGAATACGTTGAGAAAGTCACACTCTTTCCACATATCCGGTGTCCCGCTTGCGCATTGGTTTTCAAGTAATTGTAAGATCGACTGCTCGGTCGACGTGGTATAATCAGGTACGAAATCATGTGAAGGCCCGCTGTTCTGATTTGCAAGACTCAATAATGCGCATACTTTATCGTGAGTAATGCTACATCCTGAGGTAGTAAACGAGTCGATCAACCACCGGAGTTCGAACGATTGTGGCCAGAGCCAGAACCTGCGAAATGACTGGTTCTGTGGGTCTCTATAGGCTCGATATGAGCCTCGGGTTTCCAGGAGGTTGATTCCTGGAACACCCGGCACAGCCAGCGTTCTATGTTGGGAGACACCTGACGGTATGGAAGTAACATCTTCTTGGATTATTATTTGGCTTGATTCGTCTGCATCTGCTCGGTATTCCCGCAACCAGATTTTCAGAAATTGGGGCAATAATGTTTCCTGAATAATCCAGATGCGGGACCAGTACGGTTTTTGTAAGAGGCATATTACGCCCTTGTACGTCCACTGTCTACCAGGGTGGCGATCAGGTACAAATGGATACGCTACAGTGTCGTCGTCAGTTGTTTCCCCTAGCCATGCAATGACTGATATAGCCGACGAATATATTTCACGCATTTTAGTGACCTGTTGGCTTCGTTCTTCCATATCGTTTTGGTTGATACCTTTCTCCACACGTTACCGCTCCTGAACTACAAATATCGCTCACAGATTCTCACAGATGGCGTCAATCCACAGATTGAGTTTACGACCAACATTCCAAGAGCGAAAGCGATAAAGAAAGTCTCGATGGTTTCTTCCAATCTGGATATCCAGGCCATTGCATTGCATGTTACATGTATCACTATTTTGACCCCAGGTGTAGGACAAAGCGACATAGGAAAGGTGGTCATGTAGATTTGGGTGTGAGAGCACGCATCGAAGGGGCTCATGCGGTTCTCCAGGGTAAACTTTGAGTAAGTGAATAGAGTTACTGGTCGGATCAAGAGGTTTATACACCAATGCTAGCATGCCGGCTGTCTACGAGACTGATGAAAGTGGGGAGCGACCAGGCAAATACCAGCTCAATGCGTTACCTGGAGTGGTGGGGTAAATGTAGGTTTGCGGGCTCCAGAAACTCCCAGTGGTCTGAGTTAAGATAGGCCGAAAGTCTTTAAACGTGAGTGTCATTGAGGCCCACAATGGCAGCACATGTGTGAAAGACGATACCCCATGACTTACGGATCTGCTTTTATGCAGCTTAAAACAGCTTATTAACGAGTCCATATCCTTGCTGTAATGGTATTCTGCCATATGCTTTTCCCCATTAACTCTTTCTTTCCTTGTTGTAAGTAGATGATTATCCTACTACGCATAGTCAAATTCTTATGGAAACAAATGATTCCCGACATGATGTATGAATTATGTGGTAGATTTATAGTGCCCTGGCCTTAAGGTATGGCCAGTAGGTGATGACAGAGTGTTGGTATTGTCGGAACATGTTGCTCCAAGCTATTCGGACTAAGCGTTTGCCTGCTGAGCGATGATCGAAGACGCAATGTTTAGCAGCCGAGTAACTCTGAGCCAGGTTTTGCTAAGACTCTTGACCGTTCGTTCGCTCAATGCGGATTCCCGTATATTGTTGGTGCTAAGTAAATGAACGTTACTACCAAAAGTGTTGTGGGACTACCTCGGTAGTGCCACAGGCGCGGCAAAGTACCTCTTGAAGAACGGCGGCCACAATCACTGTTGCGGCTGGTGCTGCTATGGTTGTAATAGAGTGTTCTACAGGTTGGCTATTCGTATTACTATCCCTGTTCGTCACCCTGGTGAGGTTCAGAGCTCCAAGGAACGGGTTATTGGGGAAATGCCGTTGTTCTACCAGCCGACGCTTGTCCACGCCCTTCGCATAAAAAACTGGACAGGTGATCTGCGCGCTCCCTTAGTGCACAACTTCACTACCTTACAACAGCACAACAATAACGTTTTTAAGAATTTAAATCTTACGGAGATAACTCTCCTCCCTTTAAAATATAAGGTAGAAAGTTCTTAAAAAAACCAAGCCTTCTTGTTGCTACGTGCAGCAGGTGTAAAAGGTCTCCTATCTCCTAGCGTGCTTAGAGGTGTTCAGTTCTTTCTGCGAAGGGCATCTGTCCGCGGGCGATGCCCCGCAACCCCGCCGTCATGTGTCCTAGCCCCATCCATACATATATGCGTACACAAGTTGCGAATCTATCCATTAAAGCCCTGAACTTTTTTCTCTCCCAGAATAAGCGATGGCCTCAAATCAAGACATTAACAATGCGCGCTTCAGCAAAGAAGCACTCGAATGGGACTCGAATGAGAAGCATGTAGAATCGACCTCGAAAGCACTTGAAGCCATCAAGCGTTACGTACCTGCATTCACAGATGGACGTAACAAAGGTACCATCAACCTATTTCACCACCAGTCCAGAACTAACAAGCATCACAGAGCTCGACGTGCTAGAAATTGGGTGTGGCACTGGCCTCCTATCATTCATGCTAGCTCCCCACGTACGCAGCCTCATCGGCGTCGACACAGCAGACGGCATGATTAGCGCTTTCGACACCAAGCTGGCGGATCTTCCAACAGAACACCCAAATCTCTGTTCAGTAAACCACTTCCTGAAAAATCCGGACTCCCATGAATTGCAAAGTGCAGCAGCACTCCTCGCCACACATCGTGGGGAGGCTACATCACCACCCTACTCATACCGATTTGATCTTGTAGTTTCTCACTTGACACTGCATCACATTCCTTCAATGGCGGCGATCCTGGAGACGATGAAGAAATGCTTGAAACCCGGAGGTGTTGTTGCGTTGACGGACTACGAGGACTTCGGGCCGGAGGCGGTGCCGTTCCATCCGGTGAGTAAGAGGCCGGGAGTGGAGAGACATGGGATCAAAAAAGGCGAGATGGAAGAGTTGCTATTAGGAACAGGATTTAACGAGGTGAGAGTTGATGAGGCCTTTATTCTGCGGAAGGAGGTTGATGCTGAGGACGGAAAGCCGGCGAGGGAGATGGATTTTCCGTTTCTGCTGTGTTTCGGTGTAAAGAGTTAAAGTACTTGGTAGTATGTGGATGTCTATGGGTGGTGTTCGGCAGTGTCTGTGAGTTGCTTGAAGTACCCGGAATCAATAATCCTTTAACAGGTCGTTCACTGCTTTCGCGGCGAAACGTTTTCGTTCGGACTCTTCCATACCTTCGCCCATTTCTTTAATAGCAACCATCTTCTGCATCATGACCTCTAGCTCTTCGACCTCTTTGTCTCCTGATTCCGGACCTTCATCGTCATCGAACCCAGCTAGCGCGCCTTTCATGCCAAACAACTCCATGTTCATCTCCGCCTCTTCTGCAGCAAAACTGCCATCGAAGCCATCCTCATCATCGCCCATGTCCAGATCTGCCATACTCTCCCATTCCCCAGCCTCAAGCGCTTCCCGAACTCGGTGCACTCCTGTCGCCTCGCCAAACTCATTCTTGCCCTTCTTTTCCGAGTCGACGTATTCAAAACCATAGTCCATGGCAAGCTCTTCCCACTCTTCATGGCTCTTTTCGAGGTAAGGGGTAATGGACTGCGGCATGGCGACAGCCAGACACACCATGTCACCACCGTAGCCACAGGCACGCTCAATCACATCGGAAACGGCCTGCATAGTCTCTTTGATCACATCTAGATCCTTTGCTTCGACTGGCTTCTTGAAGCAGTATATCCACGCACCGAGCGCTGTGACGACCTCGCGGGCTTCGTGCTTCGTGAATTCGGTGCGCCATTCCGCGACATTGGCGAGTTCATCGATCCATATGGGAAGAGTTGCGGTGTAGTATTTGGTCTCGAGACACCATTCGTGCGTAAGGCCGGCAGTGGTTCCGGACGTTGGCTCTGGGGCGGAACCTGTAAGCTCTAAGCAGAGTCAGTGGATGCACACGATGCAAAAGAAACATAACGTACCTTTCAACAGGGGAAGTACGCCTGCTTCCGGCGCACCGATGGCGAGAATGCGTCGTGGGTTCTTAATGTCCATGTCGTGTCGGTGGAAAAAGTGTCGAGTTGCGGAGTTCTCGGGGGTCTCGCCATTCAACGTGGGGTAGATGCCTGCGACTATCAAAGACATTCGCGACTACGCCTGGTTGTATTGTAGCACTTCATAGGCCACTGAACAAGTTTAGATAGCACATGACATTTTTGACGATGTACAAAAAATGTGCATTCATCCCATTCAAAGGTATCATCAATTTCGGAGCTATCCCAATTTTCAGCGTATGTCCAGCAAAAGCGATCTGGTTGCATACCTGTCCTTGCCTCCATTGTCTAGTTCTCGCAGCGGAGGGCGCATTCTCGCTAGTGTTGCGCTTCTCGTAACTTGCTCTCTGCTCGTGTCGTCTTTTCGCCGATATCTCTCAACTCGTTCAACGGCCACCGCCGCCACGAGTGCTAGCCCTTGCCCTGTTGACTGTTGCCCTACCACGCGCAAGACCGACACCGCGACCCCTTGTGCCCCTCGATCGGAACATGGGTGCGTTCCTATGTTCTGTTAGCGCGTTTCTCATTCGAACGATGCGATAGATCATACCTCAACATGTCGGGGACAATGAAGTACCGCACATGGCTTCCCCTGATGTACACTTGTTCGAGATGTGAGACGCGACCGTCGCGGGCGGTGACAGTGATGTCCTTCAGCTGTACGTTCATGTTGTCCTCGGCTGCGGCTCGTTAGTACAAGTTCAAGGCGGTGGGAAATATATAGGATGCACACCTTCAATCAGCTTGCCGCGGTAGACTTCACCGGATGTGATCTCAAGCGTGACAATGTGACCCTACGTCCTATTAGCGCAGGTTTGAGGACCAGTAATCAGCGGTGAACGTACTGCTGCCTCGTTGAGGAGCTTGATAGGGATACCGATAGTGCTCGTCATTTTTTCTGTATAGATTCCGAACCAATGTGTCTGGTATTTCTAACTTGGTCTCGCGGTGAGACGTTTCGTGTAGGTTGCGAGAAATAGGGCTTCGTGTCGTGGGCGCAAACCGTACTCGTTGCGCGAATGTGTTCCGCAAAGAGGTTCGCCTTTGGCTGTTGCGTAGTGGTCGTCGATAATGGAGTAGGGCACGAACTGGGGCGTCGTGGTTGCGAAGCGCGTGCGCGATGCTAATATCGCTGTCTACAGAAAGTTGAGGTTGAGCTCGGACCAGTCCTTAGTCATCATGCCCTGTCTCTTGTGCTGAGTGCTCTCTTACCTTTTGACTCCGGTTCTCAGTCGTCCAGCGTTCAGAGGGTATTAAACCCATTTCACGGTAGCACTTCCTTGTTTCTGGACGAAAACGTGTATGAATCGCGACCATGTTGTTCGTTTTGTTCATTTCCACGATACAGGACTGAGATGCTTTGCCATCGCAGCGAAGAACATGGGCACTTTCTCAATATTAAATGAGTATGATTCCTCTATCGTTTCGAGTTACATGCAGTGGAACTAGTCAAAGTCCACAGGTACATGGTTGATATTGTCGGCGTGTCGAGGCGTTCGGAATAAAATCGGAACCATCGGAAAGAACATCTCTCGAAAAGCGTCGCGCCGCAAACGCGTCACTACTCAATCTCGCTCCTGGAACCCCGTTGCCCGACATTTCAAATGAACATCTCAGGTACTCTAAACGTGTTTCGGTTGCTGAGAGATCCGACTCTGTGTCTTCCACAACATACCATCTCAACGTTCAATCATCTCCCGATTCCCCTGTCCAAAGCTTTCAGGAAAGATGGCCTAAACGAGCAGAAGGAGGTGGACATCCAGGCTGTAGTACTCGACAAGGATAATTGCTTTGCTGTTCCACACACGGACGAGATTCATAAGCCATATGAAGTACTACTACATGTGTCCCCTCGTTCAGAACTTGGTTGACCCCATCCGTAGGACCATTTTCAGCGCCTTCGACGCGCTTATCCAGGCACGAAACTTCTAATAGTCTCTAACACGGCTGGAACATCTTCAGATAAGGATTATGCTCAAGCTGCTGTTTTGGAGGCCAACACTGGAGTCAAAGTGTTGCGACATTCTACCAAGAAGCCTGGCTGTAAGGAAGAGGTCATGGCTTACTTCAAGGCGCATCCGGACTCTGGCGTGACTAGGCCAGATCAAATTGCGATAGTAGGAGATCGCTTGTCTACTGATGTCATGATGGCAAATTTGATGGGTGGGTACGGAGTTTGGGTTAGAGATGGGGTGCAGGGACGGGGATTTGTAAGTCCTTCCATCTTGCATAGAGATATGGAAGAATGACAACACGGACTCACAGATAGAGTAATCAACGCTGATAAAATTACAGTTCGCGAGAATGGAAGACAAGCTACAAGGCTTTCTCTTCCGAAGAGGCTATTCTGCGCCTGATCCTAGTCGAAATCAGTTCGAATAGTAGATCAGAGGGTGTAGTCAACTGTGAGCAAAAGATGTTGACTTCTGCTTTCTTGACACAGGCCTTCGTTCATATCGTAACGAGAAAAAGAGTGTTCGCGTAAGCATTGTGAATTAGTAGAACTTTGCTTATACATGGTTCTGTTACGACACGGGTGTCGGTGACGGAGTTTGTGGCCGATAGAATGGTCGAAATTCCTCAGTTGTCACCAGCTGTGTTGGTGAGAGTGTAGTTGATACTCGCGATTCTAGCCGGGTTTGCTGGTTGGGGAGAATGAGCTAACCTGCCTCCTGGGTTGAAGTTGTTTCTCATTTCCAGGAAATTTACATACAAGACACAGTTCATCACTGGATCCTGAGTTTTCGGAGTTTATCATTCCAATATTTACAGCTTAGTTTGGTCAATCAAACAAGTTTGTTACCTAAAACCATTTCTTGCCATACACGAAACGCGGCAAAGAAGACGCTGTATACGTCTAGCAGGATATGATGTTGATAGGTATATCTAAATACAATACACAACTCAAGCCAGTACGCGCATGGGCTGCCTTGTAAGCTGCGGGTGTAATACAAATGCATATGCAACTCTTGCTGTAACGTGGTTCGATTGAGGCGCAGTAAAGTGATTGACCGGCAAATTCGCATACTTTGAAGATGTTTGGACAGTATCCGGCTGCCTGGTGATGCCCCGCTCGTTCGTGGCGCAAACGCTGCGCCTCCAGAGCCTTACCGGTTTTCCCGACAACACGTTTCCACATTTCATACAAACACAGGGTAAGCAATTGAATAATGGCCATGTGGCTTGGACCAATGGGGACGTGATAAGGTGACCAAAGGATGCAGCGGCGTTTCCGAATGGGGCTGTGCAGGCAAGGGCCTTGCGCCTGAGCTGAGCTGTCAGCTTGAGCTTCTTCTTCCAACGAACAGCGCAAGGCACACATTAAATCCATCTGACCTGCCGCTTCCTCTACACCCCAATTCTATCTCGAGAATCAGCCTTGTCCGATTTCCTTAACCCTCCATCTGCCACTACAACCTTCACACGCAAACAGTAAGATGGGTGTACGTTGCGGCCAGCTCCTTGGCTGCCCCTCCATGCCCCGCCTGCGTCATCATCGGGCTGACCTGTAGCTGTAGCTCGCATCAAAGATGGCGGCCGCCAACGCTGCGTCTGGTTATCCTCCGCAGGGTGGACAAGGTGGCTACGTAAGTTCTCAGGTGAAAGGCCAACTGTTGGTAATGATTCACTAATGCAACGTAGCCTGGCCAGCCACAGTATCAAGCATATCCAGGTGCCCAAGGTGCCGGTGCTCCCGGGGTAAGCCCAAAAAGCTCCTTCTTTCTCTTGTCACTTGCTCTGCGTCGTCATCGCACATTTTCTACCCGCCACCTGAGACTAGGCATTCGCAAGCCTTTTACCTAGTCTCCACTCTGCTTTTGGCTCCCAATAAACCCCTCGCCCACCTGGAACAAATCCACTCTGGACTCGACGCGCCACAATTCATTCCTGGACCTAGCCACACATGCCTCTATCAAGCAAAATGGCATCTAGCTACAACGCCTATCAGCCCAACGCCGGGCAGGCGCCAAATCCTTATGCGCAGCAGCAACAGCCTGCACCTCCTATGCCTCCACGTCCTGGTTCGTATGCGCCGCCACAGTCACCCTTTGCGCAACCAGCAGCTCCAAACTCCTACGGCACATCTTCACCGTATCCTCAAGGACAATCGGGGTATAGCAGACCCCCTCCGCCACCCCCAGGACAGCAGCCTCAATCACAATATCCTCAGCCTCAGTCTCCGTATCCTCAGTCCCCATTTCCACAATCGCCACAAACAAATCAAGCACCTCCAGCGCAGTGGAATCAGCCGCAGGTTCCACCGCCCTATGGACAACAACCACCCCAGCAAAGTCAATGGGGCCAACCACAGCAATCCGCCTATGGACAACCGCCACAGCAGTATAGTCAACCATACGGCCAGCAGCCCCCTTACCAGGCAAATGTTCGTACTAATTTAGACTTTTTGAATTTTGTTCCCCCGCCTGAGTGTTTGGATCTTTCTATCCAAACTCCAACTTCATTTTTGTTTGAGCATCAAAACACGTACGAGCAAAGACGCAGAGCTAGTTATATTCATTAGTGGCATATATATATATACTGACGTAAGACTAGGGTGGTCCACCAGGACAACCTCCGCAAGGCCAGTATGGCGCACCTCCACCACAAGGAGGTTACGGCGGCCCCCCTCCTCCTCAACAGGTTCAAGCTGGGCCAGCTGAAATCGCAGGCTACAAACAGCTGTTACAAGCTTGCATCCAAGAAAAGGGTCTTCAGAACTTTCCAATTTGCCAAAACCTAGACCGAATCGCCCAAGAAGCTCCTTCAAAGATCAACCAAGTCATCCAGCGCTGGCGCATCCAGAAGGAGATTGCAAACGACATTGTCAAGCTGGCACTGTATGATATTGTGCTGTACATTGGTAAGTCGTTCAAGTCGAGGCTACTGGTCAGACTAACATTTTCCAGACGACAGTGGATCTATGCAGTTCGAGGAGGAAGGCAGCCGTATCAAAGACTTGCGCCTTATTCTGGAACGAGTCTCTTTTGCTGCTACCCTTTTTGATAACGATGGAATCTCTGTCCGTTGTATGAACACCGATCTCTCTGGCGCTCGCAACCAACAGGGTCGACCTCTTCAAGATGGCGTTGCGACTGAGGCTCAGATCGAAGAGATCATGCGTGGTGTCCAATTCAAGGGCCTCACACCTATGGGCACATCTATGGAGCGGAAGGTCATCAATGAGATAGTACTCCAGAAGGCACGCTCTGGACAGATGCAGAAGCCAGTATTGGTCGTCGCCATCACTGATGGGCAGCCGGCAGGTGAACATGCAAACAAAATCTTTGAAGTCATCAAGGACACCTACAGGCAACTCCAGTCGACGCCCTATGGCCGCGGCGCTGTCGCTTTTGAGTTCGCCCAAGTTGGAAACGATACGACCGCTAGGGCATTCCTCGGTAAACTGGATGAGGACCCTGAAGTTGGCCCTATGGTTGACTGTACATCCAGTAAGTTTCCCCGTCTACGGGTCAGACCCGTGCTAACATAGATCTAGACTTTGAGAACGAACAGGAGGAGATGATGCGTGCCAACCCACCTGTCGATCTCACACCCGATCTTTGGATCATCAAGCTACTTCTTGGTGCCATTGACCGGAGCTACGACTCCAAGGACGAGAAGACCAACCCAGCACCTGGCGGTTACGGTGCACCGCCCGGTCAATACGGCGCACCTCCGCAAGGCTACGGTCAGCAGCCTCCGCAAGGATATGGTCAACAGCCGCCGCAAGGTTACGGTGCTCCTCCTGGTCAGCAGCCACCTCAAGGCTACGGCGCTCCTCCTGGTGCACCTCCACAAGGTTATGGCCAGCAGCCACCTGCACCAGGTCAGTATGGCCAGCAGCGACCGCCTCAAGGTGGTCCCGGTGGATATCCAGGCCAACAACAGTATGGCCAACCGCCACCAGGTGGCAGGTACTAGCAGTAGGTCCATGTATTTAGATCCGATAGTTTGGATTTTGGATCAGATGAGGGCATGGTGTGGGGCTGCAATAATTTGTAAGTCTTGGGAATCGTTGCTAGTATCCGGCCATTGAACAGCTTCACGTCATCATGCCATTACGCTTCTCTTTGATTGGTGGGAGTTGAGCATGCTCCATGGAGATACTGTAGACCATAGCTTTTCGGCGTGGACGGCCTCAATGAGATTTCAATAATTTCCTAACGACTTCTCTACATCAGGATGAGTAATATGTCGCATAGCTTGTGATCATTCTCACACGTCAGCAACGGTTTGATAGTGATTGCTAGCGACGTGATGCAGTCTCTCTCAGTCAACTGCAAGCAGTGTGAGACATCAAAGTCGCGTCTGCATAGCGTTTGCGACTCTTCACATGCTATTCAGTATTTCTAACATTCATGAAGTTCAGACGGTACAGCTTGCCACGGTGCGGAGCTCCTACAAGACTGACATCAGCTCATACTTGTAGGTTTTCAGCAAACCTATACAAATCCAAATACCACATATCTTCCTCATATCTCAGTTACCCAAGACACCAATGCGCCATTGCCAACTAGTCTTACGCAGTCCATGGCGCAGCCTTGATAGCACCAACCTACCACATCGCCATCAAAGTCATGCCACCTTCCTCTAGCCATTACTTCACGCACAACCGTGCCATCGACAACACCACGGAAGTACCTCCTATTCGTACAAACCGCTCCTTTGGCTCGACAATAAACGACTGGAAGTACGAACACTCGACGTGGAACACCACTGGCCCCTCTCGCGGTCACAAGATCTGCTCAAGAATGAAATGCAATTTGAGAAGGGAGAAGGACTGGGAATATAAAGAGATGGTGCGAGAGATATGACATCTGACGCAGCAGAAGGGTACGAGGCTACCGAATAAGTCGGAGGCGTTGTCTATGACTTGGTTGACAAGAATGGCGAACGTGGTTATTAGTAAGTTGAATCTTTCTAAGTCTGGTCGTGTTCTATAGTATTAATGAATGCGTAGGTCATATACTACAACAACGCGATCTTGAAGTAACAGATGAGAAGAGATTTTAATCATCAGTAGCAGGAGTAGAGGGACTGTGAAAGCGAGCTTTCATACAGATGGTAATGAGAAGCAGAGATTTGTTGCGAAAGGCAGTGGTGGTGATCGTCCTAAAGATGTCTCGGTACTTGAGGATGTGGTGACTGTCCAGCATAATAGGCAGCGGGTGGAGGAGCACCGTCGGCCTACGTTTTGATATCATCAGGACGCTTGATATGAGGTTACATGAATAGATGCTACTAGGCGCTTGAGTGCTTTTACAGGCGGAATGAATAACTCCGATAATTGTACACAAAAGACAATGAATTGACTATTTCAAAGCAAGACTGAGGCGTGTCATGAGTGATCACTTTCACATGTATATACGTGGATGCTGTGCGGGGTTGCGGGGCATTTCCGTGCTTGATGTCAGTGGCGACTTCTCGACTTGCCTGCAATCGTGTTACCAGCCATTAATATTCGCATCCTGCCTCATTTTTCCTACATTATTCGAAAAACTTTGGTTCTCGAGAGCTCTATGTGCCTATCACAGGACATGCAGCCAATAGGTCTGAGAGCTGAGCGTCCACGCATGAGAGGCTGTGTGCTGACCCCTTCTTCGGCCGCGGCCGACCACTCAGGCTGACAATCAGCCTGATCATTCACTCTTTCCTCCCGATCTCACAGCTCTTAGCATCTCCGCTATACAAAATTCGAGAAACCATCAGCCCTATCGTCGCCTGAACCGTATGCTTCACGACGAAAGGTAACGAAGCTTAAGATTACTGTGGTGCAATACTATCACACGAAAGAGCACGAGAAGAGATGGCTGTCCCGAGCTACGAACGGCTAGATCGCACCAAAAAAGCATCCGACTCCTTACGGTAGCCCCTGGAGATTCGAGTGATCAAATTTGCTGTGAGCTCACACATGCTGATCTCGACGAGTGTCCTTCGTTTATTGCTTTGTCGTATACTTGGGACCAAGGCGGCGGATACGACAAGATCCAATGCTGTGGGACCACCGTTAAAGTTGGTAACAACCTCTGGAGCTTCCTCCATCGTTTCCGAATCTGGGATGAGGGCCGCGGAAATCGATTATGGATCGACGCGTTATGTATGTCCTTGTTGCAGTATGGCAGGAGACAATTGCCGATTAGCTGACTGGGATTAAAAGGTATTAACCAACACGATGTCAATGAGCGCAATCATCAAGTCAGTCAAATGCGCGCCTTGTTTTCGACGGCTTCATCTACCATCGCGTGGTTGGGCGAAGCAACCGACGATTCGGATTTGGTTTTCCGCCTCATGTCTGCGAAGCAACACTGCCGTCGATACAATACTAGGGAGACTCGTCGAGCATTAACTAGGATTCTGAACCGACCTTACTGGGCGCGGGTTTGGGTCATACAAGAGTTCATCCTCCCTTCGCACCTGAACATATGGTGGGGAGGGTACCGTGTGACAGCAGACGACTTCCGCGAGGTAGTATGGGCCATGACTACACCTTGCTCACACGGCCAACTGCTTTACCCTTCCATATGGAAAACACCAGGACGGACACTGTTGCATTACAGGGAATACTACAAACAAAGGGTCACTTCCACGAACGATTCGTATCGTCTTAATGAGATGTTCCACTTGCAACCTCTGTTGGGCTCCTTCTCTGCTTCAAAATGCCGTCTTATACATGACAAGGTATACGCTCTTCTAGGTATCGCAACCGATGCAACCAATTCAGAATATCCGATACTACCAGACTACGACAAACCTCTTTCAGCCTTGTTTTTGGACGTGCTACAGAACCAAAGGAGTGAAGAGCGGGATGAGACTGGGAATACTTGGAATCTAATCGAATCACTCTGTAGTTTGCTCGAGTTGGACCACGAGGAGCTTGTTGAGATCGCTTTTCATGAAGCTTCGAAGACCAAACGAGAAATCTACGCACTTATGTTTGGCACACGGATAATGACCTCGTTCGACTGGTATGGACGCATTGAATTAGAAAACTTAAGCCCCGATGAGCTTGAGGAGGACGCTATGCCGACTTTGAGGCTAGTGGGGTGTGAGGCTGCTCTGGAAGAATATTTGGACTTTTGCCCGCCGGCCACACCCTACATACCTTCCAACGGTGCATCGATTGAAGCATTCGTCACGGGTTTACTGGAAGCCAAGATGACTACCCCCACTAAAGAGGCCTCCCTTTGGCATGATGCACATACATCTGATGTCACGAAGAGACTGTTTCGACTTGACCAACAGCGGTGCTGTACCAGGTGGTGGGGGAATTCTGGATTCACCCACAAATCCGCAAGAGAACATCACAAAGGAGAACTAATGTTTTATTCATACCATTCATTTGGGCGAGGCGGAACCGCTTTAGTGATGAGTTACGAAGAAGATAGTGATGAGAGTAGCGATGAGGACATGTCCGAATCTTCTGAAAATACGGGAGGATTGGAAATAGTTGGGATAGCATTCATGTACAAAGAATAGCTTGCTATTTCTATAACACTTGCTGCACACAACCGCCTACTCACATAAAGGTCCATCCTTACCACTTATGTGTGCTATAACTTCGATAATCCCTGAAGCATTTCACATTGCACCTTCACCAGACCCGCTCTCTCACCTTGATATCGATGAATTAAAGCGAGTGAGGAGGCTGTATAGCAACCTCGGTTTTCGTGGCATGTACGAGCGCGAGCAGCAGGGCTGCGTACATTGTAGGACTAAGGTGCGATGGAGATCAGTCATGTGGAAAATCTAACTTAAGTCACGTCGCTGGCTTTGGCAAGCGGCAATAATTCAAGACTTAACAGCGAACTCCAGTCGCACACAAACGGGTGCTTGGTAGTAAAACAGTAGCGCCAATGGCTGGACGTGTCGGACAAGTAAAATTCATGATTACACGACGGCATGCTCAAATCAATTCGGTCTTGGAGTACATCAACCTAATACGCAGAACCTCCTTCATTACCCATCCACTTTCACTTTAGTCATAATCCCCTACGAAGCCATGCCTACGTCGCTCAAAGAGCGACTCGATCGCGACTGTAGCTTGCAACTGCGCATGCGTCTCCTTGACTTTCTCCTTCTCCCTTTCTAATTTCCTCAGCTTCTCTTTCTCTCTTTCCAACTCGCGCTCCTTCTCTCGGCGCAGCTGCCTGAGTTTCTCATGCTCGATATCACTATACTTGACTCGCTCATAGTCCCTCAACTTCTCTGCTCGTTCACGGTCGCGAAATCCCTCACGTTCCAGGTCATGGAGGCGGTCGGTGTTCAACGAGGAGAGCTGGTTCGTGAGGTCGTGGACGCCGTGCCAGGGGTCTGGTGTAGACGCACGACCGAGGAGAAGGGGTGAGCGATGCCCAAGAGGCAGTGGATGAGAGGAGTAGCTCATAGAGCGGTTGGTGAGGAGCCTGGGTGCATCATGAGGGAGAAGTGCAGACCCGCTATACCAACCGGCAGCGTTAAGTTCAATACGAGCTTTGTTGACATCGTTCTCTAATGCGCCGCTTGAGTCAATGGCATCGAGAAAGCGCGCGCGGTACGAGCCTTGCTCGCTCTCAAGCTTGATAAGATTTGGCAGCTCTACGGTGGTGAGACTGATTGACGTAGTGTGATACCCTGGCCCTGAAATATTTGGCGCTCTAATGAGGAATTTTCGCGCCCAGTCTTTGAGGTCCGAATCGGGCTCATAGCCTTTGTAGATCTCCTTAAGAATGGCGACGGGATCCTCATTGAGGATACCATAGGCGTTCATCCGGTCCAGGGCGTAGCTTTCGCAGTCATTGAAGCCCATCAATGTGCCGAGCTTAGCAAATTGCACATCGATCAGGACGCGAGCGTCACTAGTTGTTGATTGAGGTTTGATGATCGGTGGCCCTCGACGCTCGATACCCAGACCGGCTGCTGCAGCGGCAAATAGGCGTGGGTCAGGACGGTAGGAGCCGGTGTGTAGAAACTCCAGGAAGCGGACGAAGGTGTCTTCAGATACTTCCCTATGCACCTTGAGAAAGCGGCTACCCGCTTTGTCAAAAGCTTTCATGACACTCGAAAACTCCTCGATCTTGTCGCCATCGACGAGAACAGGCCTGTCTTTGTACATGAACTCGACCGACTTGGCAGCTGGTCTGAGGCGTGCACGGCGTCTGGTCTCAAGCTCATGACGTCGTTCGTTGTATGTTTGAACTTCCGGCTCGCGGACACATTTAGGCTGGTCGAACAGAGGCTTGCAAACCTTCGCGTACCATTTGTGCACTTCGCTCTCGGACGGCCCTTGTATGTTGCTGTGGCAATGACTGCAGTGCCACTGCTCCCGATCTTCACGCTCAACTGCTTCTCTTCTTCGTGGACTGTAATACTCATCTTCAATGTAGCGGACGTTGGGCGAACTGTATCCATAGTTCAGTGGCGACAACTCTCTACCGTGTACAGCTGAGAGCTTCTTGATGGTAAGCATGATCTTGCCGAAATGCACGTTGTGATCCAGCCGTCCGTAGTCTACCTCATCTTCTTTTTGCCCACCACAAGCGACAAGAAAGTATGCGTGTATCATATGATGGATCAAAATCGCAACAATGTCTTTCGCCTTGGCGTACTCGAGCGCGTCAACGTTCAGGATAATCGTGATGCGCTTCACATCAGGATTCGGTCCGAGTCTGTGCGTGTAGGTAGCGCCTGAGACATCGGGGCCCAGGCTGCTGATGTCGATAAAGACTGCATTCTTCAAATGGCCAGCAAAGAGTACTTCGTCAAGCTTGTTGAAGATACGATATGGGATCTCCTGGACCAGCCCGTCCCTCTCAAGTGTCGCAGCCCGTATCCCGATGCTCTTCAACTTTTCGCACGTGTCAGCCCAGTTCTGTTCAAGTCGATCAACGATGAAAGCAACTGCCCAGTCGATGTTCCACCCAAGATCTCTGTCGCACTTCAGGAGAGGATCCTGAAGTCGCAAGGCGACGCTCGATAATGGACGCCGATAATCATAGGGCTCGAAGGGAATAAAAAAATCTGGTTCTGAACCAGAAGAGTACGACCCGGATCGAGCGAGCGCTGCTCCCCTGAGGAAGCGATCACCATATGGCAACAACGCAAGCTGATCAGCAGAGCCGAGCGTCATAAGATCGAACAGGAAGAATTGTATGGAGGACTAAGCGTCTTGGAGAAGCGTCAAAATGTCAAGAGTTGAAGGGCCTCTGCGGGAAGGTGATTCCATTACCGTCTTATACTTGCGTAAAGCGGGAAACTAAGGATGGATAATCGCTGCCTATATGCGGCTCGGAGTAGTCGTTCGCGGCATCTTCTCCGTTCGGAGACTCAGCATCCAGTATTGATGGTGACTGAGATTAGCATGACGCATACGCCATCACGTATTGTTTGTCCTGGACTGATTGAAGGTGTGGGCTTGCGGTTCGTTGGCCTCGGGTCCATGGGGACATCATTGGGTCGAGATTGAACATTTCAGGGTCTTTCTTTGGCATGACAGCTCTGTGCCACGTCTGTAGGGCTAACATCGCGTGGTACCGTATAGGCTAATGGAACACATGGTTGCACTAAGCAAACTCTGGGATGGATGTAATGGCTTTGGTAGGTAAACGGGTTCTAGAACCGCTTCTTGCTCAGCCTAACAAGTGTCAGTACCAACGGAGACATGCCCTGGTATGGATTAGACATGGTTGCAGTATGATACAGGTGGAACGGATCGAAGACTAGGCAGAAGTAATAGTGTTTATTTAGCTGAGACCGCAACAAACGCCAGTCGCGGCTCCAATGATCGAACAGTAAAACAGATGGGATATACAAAGCACGTAAAAGGGGAGCGAAAAATGAAAGGGCACTAGATGGTGAAGCGCCTGACTGGTAGCCGAATCTCGTTCCCCGAGTTTGTCGTAACACATGAACAAAGACGGGTAATGTCTCATTCTTGACCGTTGGGATTGCCACGGTCGATCGGTATGTAACAGCGAACAGGATTTCGGACTATCGCGCTGTCGTTACCCGGCCTGTCATTTAGTAGCGTGGGCGGTCGTCAGGACGGCCGTACTCGTCGACGGGCCTTCCGCTGACAGAGCCGGGACGCGAGCCAGGACGCGAGCTAGGGCGCGAACCCGGACCCTGACTCCTGCCGCTGCCGTCACCGTAGTGCTTTCGCCTGAGAGCAGCTAACCTCTTCTTCTTGGTATGCGCATTGATGTATGTGCCGATGATAAAACCGACGATGTTGAAGAAGGGCACCCAGGTGGTCTCGGGCAGGAACTGCTGAGCGAATGCCAAAGAGATGGGCGAAACGACCCAGCTGACCTTCATTACAGGCCAGAAACCAGCCTTGACCGTCGCCTTGACTTGGTGGAAGGTACGGGCACCCGCGATAAGGGCCATGGAGACGAGGTAGACACTGTTCTGGATAGGCGAGATCTGCGACTGTTAGCGACACGCTGACGTATGACGGCCGGTCGCGCTTGGACTTACAATCAAGTTGCTGAAGAGTATCTGCAAGATCTTGGCCTTCAAGCTCTTGCGCCCCTGGAAGACCTTCTGGAGGGCGCTAATCAAGACGTGTCCAAGGGGCGCGCTGATCAAGGCACCGTAGATAGCCATCTTGGGAACACGCGAAGTGAAGTAATGGCCCGACTTGCTCCTGTCGTGGGCGATCCACGATGCAAGGAACTCTTGCAGACCAGACAGAGTACCCGAGGTCAGCATCTTGGTGCGCAATGGGTTGCTCTGCAGCTGCTTGAGGTATGCCTGTCGCGCCAACAGTCAGTGGATTGCCTCATCACATGTTGAATCACGCAACACTCACAGCGAGGTATCCATTGGGACCACCGCCTTTGGTGAGAGCCTGCCCAAGATTGTGCATTACTCCATCCTTTCCTTCCAGAGCGTCGGCAACCGCGGCCGTCGTCTTGGTCGTCGTCTCCTTCTCGAATTTGACCGACATGGCGCCTCAATGCTATGCGGCAGCAGCAGACAGCGGATGGGCGCGTGAGGATGGTGATGCTGCGGTCGACGAGGTATTGTGTGGGGGAGGGTCGGTGTTGAGAGCTGACCTGGCGATGGCTGGGGATGACCTCGGGAAGGTAAACAGACAAGTCCGTGCTAGCGCCGAGCCCAAGATGCGGAAGCCCCGGTGTCGTGATCTTTGATACAGTGAGACGACCTCGGTTCTGGCTATGGTGATGATTAAACCTTTTGCTTTCTAACCTGCTATCTCTGCACACTCTTTGGGGGGTATACTAGAGGAGATGCTGGGCTACACGGCATACTGAGCACCTGTTCGCCCTGCTGCTTTTTCGCGTGCCAGCGGATAACAGCGACGGAACTCGCCGCCAGGAATTGTTTGCACCGAGCCACCTTGAGACTCGCTCCAGGGCTCACACGGCTCATCACCGGCTCTGTACCCAACGAGATTTGTAGTTGGGGTTGGCCATGGCGAGTACAGTCATGCACAGGGTTGCATGCTTCGTCGTGGCAGGGTATCCTTACTTTGGCAAGCGCGATCGTGAAGCTACCTCTCTCGGCCTCTTATCGCTTACTGGTCTTGATATCTTCTCGAGCCGACTACACCCCCGACTCTTCCTATGAGCGAACTCGTGTGGAGTCTAGGTTTGCTGGAGTGAGGCATCAGACATTCTTTCAATGATGTAGACGGTATCATGAGTATTTGTCTGCTCGCTATGATAGCACGCGTTGAGGTGCCACAGGGTAGAGTTAGACGCATCTGTTTGTACAACCTTCAAATCTCGTCACTGGACTCGGTTACATGTCAACTTCAAAACTTCATACGACACCATTTTCATCCTGTTGTTTACACTGGCCTGGCATTGTCTCGCATATCCTCTCCTGTCGTATCACTTCTTTCCTTTGTCTGTCTCCAAAGCGTCGTCAAAGCGTCCGCGTTCATTTCGTCGTTTGTGTTCCGAGACAACAACAAACACTCAAGGCATGTGCAGAGACCATCAGAAGGCCTCCAGTACTGGTAAATCATTAATCACAAGGTCGGACCAAATCCGCGACGTGCAAAGCTGCCAAATCCGCATTGCCCAGCAGGTGACAGGTCCTTTTCGTAGACAGATCCTCTCCAAAGCTTTAATTGGCTCCGACTCCTCTCTCTTCCCCCCTCTAATTGTAACATTCCTCGTTTTTAGGAGACATATCAGACCCCAGTAGGATAGTCATTTTGTCGCTGCCTCTAATTTCCTCGTTGCTCTTTCCCCGCCTTCACTCACCCTCGCAGGCTAGCGTGGTGCACTTGCTTACCGTCATTGTCATTGTCTCAGAACAGCACCATCGATCCTGCGCCACGCTCTTCCACTCTTATACCATTCCGCCCTCATCCTCCCTCTGGATCCCCTGTCGCGTGCCTGCGCTGTCACAGGGACCGTCAATCCCAGCACCTTTGGCCTTGCTGACAATATCACACACCACGCCGCCATGGGGAAACACATGCGAGTTCCGAACTGTACTCACCTGGACATGGACCGCGTCTTCGGCCACGATCACCATTGCAGCGTTTGCGGGTGCTCACCTTCGATGGGGTTTCTCTACGAATGCAAACAGGACCATAAGGTCACAACTCTTGGCACCATACTACTAAAAGGTCAAGATAGGGTTGAGCCGGTCAAGTCGGCACTGCGACAAGAGCTGGAGAAGATTGGGTTGAGCGAGAGCATCATTCGTACAGCGGAGAGCGGGCACTACACTGCCACACAACTGAAGAAGCTCAAGGAACTGAAGCTCGAGCTGCAGCAGGTCATATCGGACACACGCCAGGCTACCCAAGCCAGCGATTTCGTGTCTAGGCTTACAGCTCTGGCGGGGGCGTCATACAGCACCGATGGAACTTTCAATAGCCTTCCTGTGACAGACTCAGTAAGTACCTTCCAAGCACTGAAACCAGCAGGTTCCCCACTAAGTGATACTAACAAACTATAGAGTTCTAGAGCATGCGCTTTCAGAGCTTGTCATACCTGCCGCCCGTACTATCGAGAACGTGTGTACATTGCCTTTCAAGCGGTACTCAATGCGGATTTTCCGCCCTTGACAGAAGACGACATGGAAGAACTCCCAATCAAGTCTGCACGAATCATGCGTACCATCGGCACCAGGGTTCAATCCTCCATGACTCTAAACACCAACCCATCGACACTGCCCACTTTAGGTTCTTTCGCCACGTCTACAGGTGTACCGCACACCGCCTCATCCAACACCACAGATTCCAGCGGGCTCACCTTCAAAACTACACAAACTGACATCGATGAGATCTCCGCCCAGCGCCGCCCTCGACGCAGGTTCTACAGGATGGGACGCCGCTCCTCTGTCGACATAGCCCGTTCTCTCTCTCATGGACCTAGTCTTCTCACACCTCAGGGTCTCAAATCCGCTGTCCAAGGCATCTTCCGTCCAGGCCGGGAATCCAGCTCCGAAGGCTCCAACATCACTCTTCCACTCCCACGGACCGGGACAGTTCGCGACAACACCAGCTTACCGTCTGTCGGAGAATTCGATCTCGGCGCCTTGCGCCGAGTTCGGAAGCAAAAAGAGCGTAATGAGGTCAGAAACGGGACCTACACCGGCGGATTCGAGGATGTGACCGCACATACTACAGCAGCTAGTGATAGATCAGGAGGCAATGATAGCAGTGTCGACTCTGAGTTTTCAGTCCACCTTTTCACGACCGACGAGAATGGGGAAATGGCAATTGAGGGTGTCGCTGTTACAGAAGAAGCAATCGAGACACACACACCCGACCTCGTTGCTCTCAACGTTCCCGCTATCCAGAAGATAGGGGCGGTTGTCAAGACCGCGGAGGTGGGAGAGAATGTGGATGTTGGATTACAAAGCATCATGACACAGGTGTGAGAAGAACGATTTTCGAAGAATCTGGACAGGATACACGGGCAGAAGATGGAAAGACAAGGTCGATGAGGCGCGGTTTCATGACGTAATGATAGTGGACGAAGTATCATGGATCAAACGAGATCACAACTTGATAATGAGGATTAAGAGTGAACGAAATAACGGAATTTGTGCGTGGTGGCTCTTCTTTCGGTACCAGCATCATGCCTAGTTCGTCGAGGGATGATTAGAGTATTATCACTATCTGCGGTAGACAACTTTTGCTAGACATACTGGTTTGGTCTTCTACGTAATGAATAATCACAGAGTTTGGTTTCGATGCCATTCGGAATAGTGGAGTCATTCCATAAGTAATAGTTTCATACTACGTAGATTGTCTTTGGTCTGCTGCTAATGCATAAACATGGTATTTCATCTTTTCGTTCCACGTCCTATAATACAAGTCCTACGTTTACAATTCACCTTTCCGGCCAACGCCTTAAGATGTTCGCCATTTTTCCTATCTGCGACCAAGCTTCCACCTAGCGATACGTGTTTGGATATCATCCCAGGTAAATTCTTTCCTCTTGAGACCTTCCTGCTCGCCCTCTTGTAACACAACAGTCGGCGCACCAGATCCACCTCCAATGTTCTTGACCTGACCGCCAAAGACATGACGAGCGACTCTCCTCAGATCCTTGACAGTGACGTCTTCAATCTTCTTGCACATCTCCTTGACACCAACTTTACGGCCGTGGACTTGGACTTGCCTGCCGAGGTCTTCTAGTTCTACCATTCGGCTCTCGAGGTTCATGAGGAGCGAGGAGCGGAGTTGGTTCTTCGCGCGTTGGACTTCAACCTCGTTGAGAGCGGCGTATCCGGTTTCGTCTCCGAGCGATTTGAGCTCGCGGCACATGACTTCGAGCATTTGGGCGACGTGCGAAGGGGCGCATGATGATGCGATGCCAAAGAGGCCGCTGTCGGTGTAGCTGTGGTTGAATGCAACGCAGGATTCTACCCATCCGTGCTGGTTTAGTACGTTGGTGTAGAGACGCGAGTACATTCCTTTCCCGGGACCACCTGCGCTGAAGGAACCGCCTCCACCGAGGAGTGTTTGTAGGGTCGCGAGAGCGTAGATATCGGGCGATGAGATGGGGAGGGCTTCGAAGGCGAGGTGGATGTGGGACAGGCGGGGGAGCATGGGATTTGCTGGTGGCGGGATCGGAGGTAGGGTGAGGAAGCCACCAGTGTATTGCGACGGTAGTGAGGTATCTATCGGTGGGAAGTTGAGATCGAGTGATGTGTTGACGGAAGCGTTGGAAGTAGCGGATGTGGAGAGGTTCTTGAAGAAGGGTATCTTGGAGAGGAGTTTCGAGGATTGCGGTGGTGCGCCCGTGGGTGTAGGGTGATCGGCCGTGAACATCTGCTGTTGCGGTGCGGAGTTGGCTGCTGTGCTTTCTGTGTCGAGACCGATGAGCGATGGACCAGTGCCCTTCTCCATGTCGCCAAAGTATTGTTCTGTTAAGCGGACGGCTTCGTTGTGGTTCACACCGGCAAAGGCGACTACTATCCTGTCGGGCTTGTAGAACTCTTTTCGGTATGCTTCGACGACGGCACGGTTAATGAAGGGTAGGCGCTCCTTGGGACACAACAGTGGGTTGCCTAGAGTGTTGTCCTTGAACGCTGCCATGTGTACTAGTTCCGGCAGGATCAATTCTGGCTTGCTCCAGATCTCGCCAATCTCGTAATCAGCTGTCTCGAGCTGCTGCTGAATCTCCTCCTCGGTAACCATGGGATCCCGGATTGTCTCTGCAAGGACACCGACGGTGGAGGGTACGGCGGAGTTGAAGGTGGCAGACTGGTACATGAGCGACTCTCGGCTAGACGCGCATTGTATGTTCCCGCCTAGTGTCTCTATCTTTTCCATCATCTGGTCGCCAGTGGTGGAGCGTGTGGACTTGAAGGCGAGGCGGTCGATGATGTGGCTGACTCCGCGCAGTGCATCGTTCTCATAGCGAGAGCCAGCGTCGACGTAGACTCCGATACCAGAGAAGTGGCCCGGTAGGGCCTCGGTAGCGACGCGGATGCCATTGGGAAGAGTGGTGATCTGGTCGAGCTCGGCGGGGTCCTGCATGGCAGTTTAGAATGGCTTCGGCTTGCTACGTGAACTCAGTGCTAACCCTCTCTTCGGCAACCGCCGTCGCTAGACTCCTTCTACCTGCGCATGTTGCTGATCTTGTGAGCGACGCAGACGACTTGGACAGTCCCCGGGACAGTGGTCGGTAGGTATGCGGTCTTAACATTGCTGTGGTTGAAGGCTGTCGTGATGGCGCGTTCCGAAAAATTGGCAATCATCGCGGGATGACATATCGTCACGTGCGGGAATCCACTGGAGCGGATCTCGTCGACGATGAACGAGGGCGGCCCCACACCGCAACGCCGCGATCAGCGCATCAGCATGAACTTCCAGCTGTCCATGTCGGTTTCGATGCGCTGATATAGCTGCGGGCAACTATATTTAGCACGACGAATGCAGTGGTGATGCAGACACAGCGAGTCGGAGAGTGCGGTGGGGTTTCAGACGCCATCATGTCATGGACATGGCAGCTGTTGATGGCCGTTTTCCCGACGTATCAGACCGGACCGTCCCACATGACCTTGAACCTTTGAACCTTGGTAACGAGGGTCAACAAAAGACGTGACTTCATCATCGCGACTCTAGAACCCTGTTACAAGTATACGTTAATCGTCCCGCATTCTTGGTAGACCCTATCCCAAGTCTAGAGGCGGCTTACTCCTCATTCTGGTTTGCTTGGCCCGTCACCAGGCCGGCCCTGGCCCTGTTCGCGCCATTTGCATTGCATTTGCATCTGCATCATTTGCCTCAGTGCCTCAGTGCCTCAGACACACCCACCCGTGCATGCTCTTTGTAAACGGGTTTCCCGTGTCGTCTGTCAAACGCTATCGAAACTCGCGCATTCACACATTCCCGCATACCCCAGTCTCAGGCCTTATACCCTCGCCCTGCGCCGCTAACAGGGAAGGGTGATGTTCACCACAACAACCACGCCAGTTCTCCCAACTGCGACTGCTGTATCCCCCAATTCGCCCTCCCCGCGACCCACGGGCGTCCATCGAGGCATCAGCTTCTTGCGCAATCTACACCTGCACTCTAACAGCCAAGGCGACGCTCCACGTGAGGATTCCCGAACTGGAACACGACCACGCGCCTCAACACACACTCCACCTGCCTCGCCCGCCTTTGCCTCTTCGTCCGCCCACCCCGCTGTCCCTCGTCCAGAGTTGCTATCGAGGAGCCAGACAGCCGACACTCATCCTCAACCTCCAGACAGCGACTCCCCACCCTCCTCTCCGAAACCGACCATGACGAGAACCCGTTCAGAGACGGCCCAACCTCAGCTTCAGGTGCGCAACAACACTGGGCCGACGCCGATGTCAACACCAGGTCCCAGCAACGTGCAACAAATGGAAGGCGCTTCCGACAGCGCTGGTGCTGCTAGGCACCTTCCGTCGATTCGCTTTATCCCGCACCAGGATCCCCGAGCCGGTAGACCTTCTCTGATATTCCCCACCATCAACCGTACGCTGCCCGACGAGAGTGCAATCATTCGCGTAGGAAGGTACTCGGAGCGCGACAACATACCCGAAGTTCAGACCAATGCCCCATCAGCCGCAGCCGTCGGGTTCAAGTCCAAAGTAGTCAGTAGGAAGCACTGCGAACTGTGGTGCAAGGACGGCAGCTGGTATATCAAGGACGTAAAGAGCTCATCCGGTACCTTTCTAAATCACATTCGTCTAAGTCAACCAAATGTCGAGTCGAAACCCTTCCGGATAAAGGATGGCGATATCATCCAGTTGGGCATCGATTTCCGTGGTGGAGAAGAGATGATTTTCAGATGTGTCAAGATTCGCGTCGAGTGCAACCGCGGCTGGCAGCAGGGGCTTAATACGTTCAAGTAAGTTTGACTGCCCACGCTAGAAGCCCACCACTGACTTTTATAGCAAACAAACCCATCAACGACTACGTGCACTTGCCAAGAGCAAAAAGGAAGTCACAGGAGATGCTTCATCCACGCATACGTCCGAATGTGCGATTTGTTTGATGTCAATAGCGGTACGTCTTCGCATAATATCATAGCCGACCCGTGCTAATCAGTGTTCAGCCATGTCAGTCACTATTTGTAGCACCCTGCTCCCACGTGTGGCACTACAAGTGCATCCGTCCCATCTTAAATGGCCCCACATGGCCCAACTTCCTCTGCCCGAACTGCAGGGCGGTAGCGGATCTTGAAGAAGACGTAGAGGATATGGGCGAGTTCGAGGATTGGGAGGGTGACGACGAGGTAGTCAACGGTGCTACGGCTCCCGACGCCATTGCAGAGCAAGGAGACCGCCACGTCACTCCTCGTGCTTCTGTCGCCCCGATCAATGGTGCCGATTCGGATAGTGGAGGTGTTGATCTGACCGACCTACATCAGCAAATTACCAACATCGAGAACCAGTCAGTACTGGCAACCCCCGATCGCCAGCTTACACCTCCAACATCGTCGGTCACACAGCCAGTTCCTATCAACGTCAATGGAGCGAATGACTACATGGGACTGTCGCCTTTGCATCCTCCCAACGCCAACGGCCTAACGCCTGATCGCGTACAGGATGGTCCCATGACTCCAAGGAATGATGCTGGGCCTTTCGTCCTCGATGGTAGCGCTGGGCGCGCAGCAGGCAGTCGTGTGCGTGACACATCCCCTCCATCCGACTCTGACAGCAGCGGGGCGCAAAGCAATACCGGAGCACCAACCCTACCTCCTGTGCTTTTCGACTAGTCGGTTCGCTAACTAAACGGAGTCCTTCTTTGGGACCTCGTTCTTCTGAATCCCTCGTTTCGGGCTCATTTGCATCTTTTCGGGCGTTGTGGCGTAGTCAAAGCGAGTTTTATGATTTTCATGTACGTCTGGATGGGATGGTGGATCATGTTGCAATGTGATATATTCCAAGAATAAGCAAGATATACAGGTGATGGAAGACCGGTAGCTAATGTATTGTACCAAAGTCAACTAAAACATCTGCCTCACTTTTCTTGTTCGCGTGAAATACATAATCATTTGGTAGTCGTGCTATTGGGGTATCTCCGCTATAAGAATGCAGATTGTAACTCGTGAAAACCAAAAAACATCATTACACAGGTAATACTCATCAGTTCGGTATGTCTCCACAGCATCTCACCCCTTCCTATAGATCCAACCAACAAATTCTGGCTCAGTGAGTTCACTCACATTCAAACATACCCCCCATAGCCCTCCCCTCATGGCTCGCCCTCCACTCCTCCAACAACACCATAACCTCCTGTCTCGTATCCTCAATAATCCCATCCATTTTAATATCGTTCTTATCATACCCGAAAGGATCCTCCAACTGCACGCCAATGCCTTCAATACCATAGAGCGTAAACGCAATAATAGCTACAATAGGCACACTCCACCACCTATAATCATCCACAATGGCAAAAGGCAGCACACAAGCATACAATGCGAGGACCTGCTTTTGGTGGATGAGGTGTGCAACGGGTATGGGCGTGCTGTGAATGGTTTCCATAGTGCCGTACGCAGAGACGAGAGTGTTTAGCTGAACGGTCATTTGAGAAGAGAGTGGTGCGTGGAACCAGCCTCTGTCGTGGCCGCGGCGTATATAACCTTCCATTAGGATTGTGAGCTGTAGAGGTAAACCGAGACCTTGGTCTTCGTAGCCCATCAAGCCTTCAGGGAGGAGAGAGACGTATTCGTCCTTCTTCATGGGCGTTGTGCCGTCGCCGTTTTCGAGCGTGGCGGTAGATTGGCTGAGGAGGGGTGTCGTGCTCGTGCTGTTCACGAGAGTCGGAGGGAACGAAATACTCCCGAAATTGGACCCCGTGCGGTCAATGTAGCTGGGGCGTCTGGATACGGGGCGCGAGCGCTGCGGGTACACGCTTGGCTGTGGGGGTAAGGAGGCGAGACTTGCGGGTGGGATGTTGAATTCTGCGCGGAGATTGTGCTTGATGGAGTAGAGGACTGCTACGAGGACTCGTACTATCTTCTCTGTGTCTCCCCTCTCCTCTTCCGTGGAATGGCCGTCTTTGTCTCGCGAGTTGACGAGACAGATTCGAGCGAGGTTTCGTACGCATGTTCCGATTGTAGTCAGGCAGTTTCGTCCGGTCCAGAAACGGTCATAGCCTGTGCTATTCCTAAACACCAACATGAGACCGACCACTATGGAGAGCGAGGGTATAATGGTCGCGGGGATGGATATGCTGTCTACATAACGCGTATCGATGTAGACGATCAAGGCAGTGAAGAGCGAGTGGAGCAGCACTGGTAACAAGATGATGTTGTGTATAGCACCCTTGGAGAAGCGGAGGACGAGAGGTAGACGACGAGGTTTACGGCGAAAAGCGTGAGCGAGAGGGTAAGTCGGTCGACGCGTGGGAAGGGTCGGCGACGACATGATTGAAGAAATTGGGTTGGAGTCGGGAGCTGCAATGACAGTGTTTTACGCGTTCAGCATGGATTTATGAAGGTGAGAAGAGAGCCCGCTCTCGTATCTCCCCGCGATAGATATGAGGCGGTAAGTGTGGGGACGATATGGGGAAGACGTAAAGATGGCAAGGATGCGCGCCGTGGACCGAGTCGAAGCTTTCTATCCGAGACTCAGGTGACATGCGCCAGCGTGCATAGCTTCGGTGTCCGGCACGCAGATCTGCTACCGTTACTCTCGAGGCGCAATTGAAAATTCATAGTCAATGTTTACTTCTCAGGGTCCATCATCACATGAAGATGGGTCCAAAACGTGGGATCCACGTGCGGGCCGATGACGCGATAAGCAGCCCTTCCCGAACACACCTCGGTCAAACGCGTTGGTGATTTATTTTCTGGAGCTCAACGCCAACACTATGAACGCTCGATAGCACCGACCGTCCTTTCCGCTCGCTTCCAAGTCCTCCTTAAGTGTCATACCACATCTCTATATTCTCAAAATGGAGGACTCGCATCCAAACTCCACCACAATACCCTCCGATACCGCGAGCCATCCAACTCCACAATCCGATGCTGCACCTAAACCCACACCACCACCATCACGACCTACATTAATACAAAAATTGCGTTTCCTCCTCCTGAGATACCTCGCGAAAACTGCCGGCACCACAGATCGCACACTTGTCCGCCTCTCAAAACTCCTCTCCACACCAAGCGGCACCGACGTCCTCCTCTGCACAACATCCTACACCCTGACCCTCATCCATGCCGTCCTCTCCCGCGTCCTCGAACGACGTCTCGCGTCAATAGCTACAGAAATCGCCGAGAAAGCAGAGGGTGTCCTGCTTCCGGGCGAAACGCTCATAGCCACCCTGCCAGCGCCTACCAGCACAAAAGTCATCGCACAGACTGTAGGAAGTTCGAAGGCACTTGCCAGTGTCATATCAGATTTCCGCATATTCGTAAGATTGTGGGGGGTACTGGGATTGTATACGTGGGCGCGGGATACCTATCAAAACCCGTTGCCAGAAGATGCAAGCAGGAAAGAGAAGATATTGAGGGTATTGACATGGACAGCTATAACATCTTGTGTCGGTTTCCAGATCTTGGAGAACGGCGCGTACTTGAGCTCAAAGGGTGCATTGACGACGGCAAGTTGGACCGGTGATGTAGGCAAAGCCAGAGAAGACGCATGGTGGCTGTGGAGCTCGAGATTCTGGGCTGCGTATGTTGGGGTTGAGCTTCTACGTCTGGGTGTTCAACGGTACTACTCTTCGCCATCTTCGTCGGTATCAGTGAGTCAGGGTGATGGAGAGAAAGAGGATAAGATCCAGAGGGAAGAGCGGGTAAAAGCAAAGAAACTGGAGAAGTGGCTTTGGTGGAAGGACCTCGCTTCCAATCTGGCATACGCGCCCATGACTGTGCACTGGTCGATGGAGCAGGGACTACTGAGTGACTGGGGTGTTGGAGCTTGTGGTATAGTCGCTGGTGGAGCAAACTTGGCTGACGCATGGAGGAGGACTGCGTGAGCGAAGCAGCCGGCTCTTCGGAGATGCGTATAGTCATGCTCCGTGGCTGTCTTCTTACGATAGGGTATATCACGGCATGATGTCCCTCAGATCTACCCATTCTACCACGAATCGTCACCTGAGAAGATATGCGGTGGACTACTTGACTATGGTTCCCCGTGAGTTTTATAACTCATTGCAATTCTATAATCGCTACTTTCACGATATGATATCGGCTTGACCGGTCGTACGTCAGATGTTGATGGCTTTATGCCCTTTTACTTCCTGTGGTTTTTCGGTCAGCCTTTGACGACTAGTTCGTCAATGGACAATCTCTCGATCTGGCATATCCGAGGTCATATGGTGCTTAAGACAAATTTGTAGACCTAATGAAGGTGCGGACGAGGTCTGGTCTTGGTTCTTGGGCTGACCTTATGCTGTTGTATGGGCGGTCGCACAGTCATGGGCGTTGGCGCAGCAAGTGCGCGCCCAATAGCTCAATTCAGACAGTTTTGATATGGTATACTATAGCTTGATGCGATCATGCGCTCCCTTTGCGTGTTCTTGTTCTGGACGTGCGCTCTAGGCATGTGCCTGTATCGACAACTTGAAATTGTTGTTGGTAAAGGCGTTGATAAATATACGCCATTCTCACTAGATCTACTATGGAACTGGGATCGCGAGTGTTTCTCTAGTCTTACTCAGAATCTTCAGAATCATCTGAATCCTCTAAATCTTCCGAATCTGTATCCGAATCTGTATCCGAATCTGTATCCTGTGAGGATGAATCATCCACGGGGATTTCGATTCTGCTTCTCTTCGAGTCGCGTGATCGATGATGTCCCATCATACAACCCTTATCATCGCCGCCCTTCTCGCAACAGGTCCATATGAAACCATCCGGATACGCCTTCCTGTTTTCCTTAGTATCCTTCGGTCCATGACAACGCTCATCCCAGTCGGCCCATGTATCGTCCTCAGAGTCAAGTTCCAGTTCCTCTTGTGAAGAAGTAAGTGATACAGTCGAGGATCCTCAAAGGCCTGCGATCTCTTACCCTTGTGCCACACACATATCTCGTCTTCCAGTACATCATACTCTTTTTCACAGTGTATACAGATCTCGTAGCGTCGACTGGTGGACTCTATTCTGCGCTTCCGAGTGAGCGGCACAAGACCTGAAACAGCTGGCTCTGTGACCTGCTCTTCATTCACAAGTAGTTTGTCGCACGCTAACTGGAAAGCTTTAGGCGATTCATTGCATATGTCGCGCAAAACAGTCTTCAGACGTTCAGAAGTCGATGTTTCGATGACGTCTTCTAACTGTTGTCGCATGCGATCCTGTTCATGAGGGACGCGCGACATTGTGCTGTGCTGTGAGGGCGCGGTAAATGTTAATGGTGAGTTCGTCGAGCAACTTGTTCAACGTTATGCGTCTTTCTGTTTATGATAGGACCTCGGCAAGACCGCGGATGAAGTAATACCTATACTAGTACAAGAATGAGATAGCGCGACTTCAAAACGCGTTACCCACGTGAAAAGGACCACCAAATTTCGGTTTCAAGTTCAAGTTGAACAAATCACTGTTTTGCAAGAAGCGGCATAATGCATTTCAATCGTTTCATAAAGTATTTACATGAATAACCTATCACCATAGCCGCAGACCATGGGATGACATAACTCGCAGGACACATCGATTCCTCGTTACAACTCGCCCATTGACAACATCGTGGAGCCCGTCATCCACGAGTTTCCCAGTCAACCATCTCGAAGTGCTTCATAATCATAATCGTAAGTGTTGGTTTACCATCCAGAGCAAGCAACAAAGGCGTTGCCACTCGCACCGGTATGGGTGATCTCTCCCGCACGCTGTCCAGCAGTGTTGAAGATAACACGATCAGCACCCGGAGATCCTAGGACTCTGGTCAGCATGTATTTCGAAATCAAACGTTTAAACAACTTACCGCCAGTGTAAGCACCTGAAGTCCTCAGCGGGAACTCTTGGTAGGGGCCAGAAACGAGGAAGTCAAAGCCCTCATAGTTGTTGTACGTGTGAGGGTAGTTGGAGCTACCAGCTTCATCGCCTTGACGGTAGTAGTTATAACCCGCGTTGCGTGCAGTAGAGACTTGAGCTGAAGTGTAACATGTTGAGCCGCAACGAACGTAGCAGGATTGTCTAGCCTCGACGGCGGCAATCTCAACTGGTTCTTCAGTGGGGGCTGAAGTGGGAAGGGCGAGGGCGATAGGCGCGATGAAGAGAAGGATGTTTGTGAGGAACTTCATGATGGCTGCTGGAGAGAATGAGACGACGAGCGAGTGTCTTGTCTAGGGTCGTGTAACGAGGGATTGGTGGGGCTGTTGAACCTGTCTTTCGAACGAAGGGTGCCAGATGGTACCTTTATACTCTCCTTCTATTCATCACCCAAATAGCCCAGTGGTAGTCCAGCGGTCGCCTCCGAACCATCACAACCCTAAAATGGAAGATCATAACTCCAAATTAATTAACTCCGGACGCAGACGCCGTTAGCACCTTTCCGGAAGGAACAATTGCTCCGCGACAACGGGCAGTGGGCGCTTTCAAACTGGGGGTATGACGGCCAATCACAGACTACCACTTCCGGCGTGGCACCTACAACGCCATACTAAGCGTAGACCCTCGGTCCTTTCATACATGTACCATCTTCTAACGTTACTCCATCTCATTCGCTCTGTCGACGGTATCTTGCATCAAGAGCCGCTACCGAGGTGACCGGAGCGTCAACATCCCCAACGCCATCCCATGTCCTGAGGCATGCGACTTCCGCAGATCAGGAAGGTACGTGCAACGATTCGCCGGTTATCTCCCGGGACTAAGATGATGTGTTTCAAGCTGCTTATCGCCGGAAATCTCGTGGTCAGGCACATGTGGGTGTACGATAGGCTGAGTGCGGCTAGGGATCGACAGAGAAACTCGGCAACTAGTGCTGAATCTGGAAGGTGGGCCTGGGCATTGGGTGTAAGAGGGATAGACTAGGAGATCGACTACAACGACGGTAAGGGCGGATAGAAGGTAGTGAGTAGAGCGAAGCCGGCCGCTAGCTACCAAAAGGTAATTGATTACTGGGCGGAGTGTGCCAGATCCGATCTTGACAGCCCTTCAGTACTAATGATCATACAAATCGTCTAAGATGCTCTGAGTAACCGAGGCATGAATGTAAGATAAGACTATGATACATTCAGGGTCGAATGTGAACCCCAATAACAATAGCGTTGTTATACACTGGCATTCAGCCTGCCTATACATGGATGCAGCGCATGTCTTGAGGTCTAAACCAGGTGTCAATATGGGGAGCCTAAGCAATATAAGCGTACAATCCGTCGTCCTCTCTCTCCAAGAACTCCTTCTCAATCAAGCGGTCAATGTTCCTCTTGATACCGCTAACCTCCAATGTTCCTCTGTTCCTCGTTGCTGAGATGGTCTCACTGACCAGTTCAGCATGGCTGATTCTTTTCCTCGCTTTGAGAATTCTGACAATGGCAGCTTGCGTCTCGTAATTTCGATCAGCAGCGACACGTTCATGTGTCTCTTTATTCTCGGCTGCTGTTTCCTTGAGCTGAACGGTGTTGACTTTGATGCGGTACTTCGGGTCCGTGAATGAGGTATTGAGTGTGAAGGTGTCAGTTTCATTGATCTCTCGGCCTTTGGGGTGCTTGGTCAAAGGCCGAACCTTTGCGCAGGCGAGAGACTGTAAAGTGCGGTTAAGCTCAGCCGTTGCTGTCACATGTTAGCAATGTTCATATAACAAACCCAGTGGATGACTTACGTAGACCAGTGGCCTGCTTAAGGTAGTCGTAGTCGATATGCTCATCTTCCTTTCGGCCATTGAACAGCAGGAGGACGATAGCCTGGAAGGATGACACAACCAACTCCTTGAGTCCCTTGGGAAACCTGGCTTTGATTTGACAATGTGCGAGCGCATGCTTGAACTCCAGCTTACGGCCAGAGTGCTTGACCTTGTAGTGTGCTTCAAATTTGTTGATCGCCGACTGGATTTCCGGAGGCAAAATTACAGGGACAGTGGGGTATGTAGGCCAAGCTGACGCAGAAAGGACGTTGACATTGAGGTCCAGACTGAGCTTCTCGTTGCGCTCCTCGCTGATGTTTTTGTACGAACTCATTTCTTCCCGTGAGAGTTCGATATCGCGGAACATCTGCTCGAGGTTGGCGGTGAAGCCAGCACCACATTCTGCAGTATGTTAGTATTTTAACAAGCAGCAATTGCGTAAATACGTACCAATCTTCAACCTCGACAACATACTCCTCTCAGCGTCCGCGCTCGCACTTCTGCCCATCAATAGTCGTCTAGCCAAGTCTTTCTTATAGAAAGCTTCAAACACAGCCTTGCCATGCAGGAAACGGAACAGGTCGAGGACTTGGTCGAGCTGATTATTGACTTCTGTATCTTCATCGAAAACACCCTCCTCGTTATCCTCTTCAACCTCTACAGTTGCAGGCTTATCGGCTTTCCGACTAAGTTGTGCTGGTATAGCTTTTGCGCCTCCCCTCAACAGCATGTCCACGTACTTGGCAATCATCTCACCGGTCTTTGAGTTATCTGTACCCCAGCTTGCGGATGTCTTTTTGGTCTTGTTCATGAATTTGTCAAATGATTCTCGTAAACCATGTCCCAGCTCCTCATCTCGATGGAAAGAAGCCTTCCATATAGTGTCCAGTTGACGCTTCAGCGTGAGCAGTTGTATGACCATGTTCTCTTGCTCTTTGTCGTTGAACACTATAGCTGTGCCCTCGTCCTCGATCCACTTGGTGAACCCTGGCCGTAGTTTCGCGCCGAGCTTTCTACGTTCGAGGAGTGTGTACAGTAGCGAAAGATCTTCAATGGCATTGGTATCGAGGAGATCGGCAAGCTCATCCTGGTTAGTCAGTCGTGACTCCTTCTTCGATATCAAATGATCTTCGAGGAGTGTGAGGAGCTCTCGCTTGGTAGTATTCGGAAGGCTAAACATGTCGACCCTCTTCATCTCGCGGTCCATAAGCGCTCTTGCATTGCGGACGTATTCGGGTAACGACTTTTCTGAACTCTCTGTGTCGGCCCATTTCGTCACGTACTCCTGACTTATTTCCATCAAGCGCGGCTCGAAAGAGTATGTGTAGACTTGCATGTCGTGGAACATGTTGACCGTTTTGGAGAACATCTCGCTGTCAAGGTCGCCGCCCGTTCGGTCAGCAGCGACGAGATCGCAGGCGCCATCGACAATGCGTGGGTTCAATTTCGCGTGTTCGAAGATGATGGAACGGAAGAGGTTTATCGAGATTTCGCGTAGGGATTCGTGTCGTGGGAGCAGGTAGGCGCGGTCGAGATAGCAGAAGATCCAATCGAGGTATTTCTACAGATTGTCAGTATGCCAGCGTTGGTCCAAATATAGACAAGACTGACCATTTGACTGTTCCATACCGCCCAAGCATGTAACGTCGCCCGCAGCACGTCAATGTTTGGCCTGCCCAGACTCTCCTTAACCTTCGCCTTCAGACTTCCACCTACGTAGTCCTTGCATTTCGCAATCAATCGTTCCTTGATGTCTTTTGCCATGTTTTGCCGACACACATTCTCTACACCCCTATACAGCTCTTCAAGACTGAAATCGACATCGCCTTGCCGGAAGATGGTATCCAAAGCCTTCTCGATCTTCTGCCATGTTTGATCCAAGAAGACCCTGGGGTCCACCTTCCTCGTAGGCTTGAAGTTCTTCACTACCAACCGCTTGGGACCGCTGTTGGCATGCATATTAGGCGCCGCCTTTCGCATGTCATTCCGCTGACTATTGGCTTTCGCAGGACTGTTGTCGGGGCTTGACGTAATATCCACCACCTCGGCGTTGCTCGATATGCCCGCCCTCTTGCTGGAAAAGTGGTACATTTCGGCTGTGCTCATCTTGCTTATCGGAGCTGGCGATGTGGCGATCTCGGTGCTAGCTATCGGGGAGCTGTCTCGTCGTGTGCGCTTGCTGGTGGGTGACAGCGGCGCTGCAGAGGCGAGCTTCGGCTTAGATTGTGTGGTGAACAGCTCCTTGATGGTCTTGCCCGAGTGCTTCCGTTTCAGTGCACCTGGATTGGCTGACATTGGGTGGACGTGGGGAAAGGCCCGGAAGGTGGTGAGTTGCGGAGCTCGATATGTTAAAGCCGCGGCGATGGCAGTGACGCGCTTGACCTTACCCTTTCAGGTTCACTAATGACGATATCGATAACAACGGAATTCTGGAAGAGACTGGGTATTGACAAGTCTCTATCATTCCACAATGCACGTCGAGGCATGCGAACATTTTGTTCGGCCATGCTTTTACGCGGCGTTGAGGCTCTTAGGTACGACTACATGGTTGATCAGGTATCGTGCATTGTGCCGCTGATCTGTCATCAGCCATTGGCGTCCGCCGCATGCACGTTGCTAACATCGCACTCATCATCCACATTCGACAACCCTCATTTCATACCTGCACGCTGTATTGCGCTGCAGGTGCCCGAACCGATGAGGAAGCAAGAGAGAGAGCGCCAAAGATTGCTTTGAGTCTTCATTTTCAGGGCCTGTATCCGCCACCATCATCGATAACAGTAGGTCTCAGACCACTTTCACCCATCATGCTTTCATGCACACTTTTCAGCATGTGATCGTGGGATCACTTATCGCTTCCGCCGCCGCCGGCTCGTCTGTGTTAGCAATCACAGCGGCCTTCTATCCATTACTCCAATGCTACTCAATAGCTTTGTGCGGCGCCGCTGATTGCCATCGGGCTCGTTCTATTATCAGATAATTGTTCCTTAGCGCGCACTTGATTGATGAAGATTCTGGCTAAAATACCCCAGGCTGACATCCGTCAGAAGGATTTGGGGCTGAAACCTTGTGGTCAGCCTTGTGCACACCTTTTGGTCACTCCTTCACCGAACACTCGCCGGTTCCTCCGCTATAGTCATATCCTTTATTCCTATCACACCTCCCCTATCTTTTTCCTTACGTTTTCGCGGCCGAACAACTTCCACAGCATCCATTTAACAGCTATGGTTTGACAGACAACAGGCACACTGAGTTGCCAACGTTGTGCGACAAGCTATAATCAATGTCAGTTTTCACCCCCACTCAACATTTATGGGGTATCCACTTCTCCAGACGGCTACCGTTTGTGGAGACACCGAATTTCCATACGTGCACGCAAGCTCTGACTGTGTGCTCCCCCACGCAGAACAAGACACTTTGCTGGTAGCGTACCGCCATCGCGGAACGTACCTCGTGTTGTAGCAATTGTGTATCATGGTCGATCTACAAGGCTGCCAATAATAGTCTCTTTGTTGCTATTGTAGTGGTACAGGCAGGGGTAGACGCCAGAAGGCTGGAAAACGCCAGAGGTCTAGCCCCTTATAGAAGGCGTGCATCGCTGCCGTCTGCAACATCTCACCCTTGCCCCTGGTAAGGCACAACCCAGTGTTAGTTCCCTTTTCCTTCTACTCCGTTTCCATCATTGGTTGGATTCCCGGGGTTTGCGAGCTTTGTCATGTAGGACTTGATTTCACAAGAAACTTATCGCCTACAGCTGACGGGCCACGGCTACAAGAACTCACAGACTCATATGAGCGTTCGAGCTTATGGTACATGATTAACGATCCGTCCGCGACTAATTGGGCCTTACAATGAGGTCCTCGTTCTGGGTTATTACTCTCGCCCGAACGAGAATGAGCATACAACCCGCGTGGGATACTACAAGCTCCGCCGGATGAGCCATCCTCTTGGTGCCTCACCAAAGGACTGGGTTCCAGTGTGTATCCGTGCGCCAATCATACACTGTCCAAGCACCCCAGGTCATGAGTTAGGAATGCTCAACGATCAAGCCACGCCATTACGAAGAGAGGGTGTGAGATGAAGCAACCCGGTGACGATCATTGAGCATTGCCCATGTCGTGTAGCAGCTGCATGTCTGCAGGTTTTCGACACTTGGGATGCCAAAACTGGAAACATTTGCGGTTGCATGGTCGTTGCCATGATATCCTATTCCTCAAGTGGAAAGTGCTCATACGGCCGCCTTTTGATACCATTACGAACTGGCTGTGGCCCCGAAACCCCTCAAACCCTGTGGTGACCCGGGTTGATTTTCTCGTCCACAGATAGCATTCTTACCGGCCCAACCAACGAGAGGCTACGGCATCGTTACTTTCACTTGATGGTTTTACGCTCTCGCCTCTGCTTACTTGACCCTCATTGGTTCATAGGCGTCATGATATCTTGGATCACTCGACTTACTCGCCGTGAAGTCATCCCAACCACCAAAGCTTGCCTTTCAGGCGCACTGTTTGAGCATTGCCTCATTCCATCCTTCTAGAAGGCTGAATGGGGCTTGCATCACTTCTTTAGCAACCCACGTCTATACTACCGATAATGTTTTGCCACCCCACGTTTCCGCATGACTTTTATGTATATCAACCGCTTCATACATTGAGCATCATCCCAAGACCACCTTCACCTGGCACAACGACATTCAGTTCAATCGTATACCGTCTTTCACTCTTGTTGCAACACCGTCTGTCCAGCAAACTTCTTCGAACTTCTACCGACCAACACATCACTATATCACGGATCACGAATCATGAGCCGGGCTCTACGGCGTTCAGTCAAGGCCAATCGGCTAGGACCTGTTGCGGTCGCGGTCAACCATGGTATGCGTTCTTTATCACCCAAAGACATGTTGATGCTGACTGCCCAGCACATACGACACTAAAGCGCCCACATGTACCATCGTGCTTGTATCATTGCTCAATACTTCAACTGAAGGCTACGCCCGACACTCTCGTAGACATGCATCCTATGGATCGCTTTCTTGCGGCGCCTTCATCATATCATCCAGCCATATTCACAGAAGCGTTTACCGCGGGCACTGCTGCTGCAGATGGATGTACGTGCGTCTCAACCTCACCTGGCATATTGGCATCATCGTCATGAAACGCGATCGTGCACTGTAGCACTATTGCAAACCACCAATAGAGAATGGACACTGCAAGAGGTTGTATGGCGGCTACAAAGAAGGCGTTTGATGGGGGAAACTTCGGAAGCAGAACCCACCAAGCGTGAGTTGGTATGTTGCTGTTGATAGAAGTCTTGGACGCATGTACGAATAGCAAGTAGTATTAAATAAAACTCAAACTCCATTTCGCATGTTGGTGGACCAGCGCGCACCATATCCGCAAGTATAAAGTTTGCCAATTTATCATTTCCTAAACGGGTAGGTTCAGTCCCTGTTGATCGCAGCAGATTGCGCGTGGAAAGGTATGGCGTGGAAAGGCAGAACGGAAAGTCAAGCAAAAATCTACTGTCGGGTAACCTACCCCTTCCCTCTCTATCACATGTCGCCCCACTTCTATTACCAGATCCTTGGCTTCGCTATATTTTGCTTTTGCAAAATCTGCTACAATCTACGGTTCTCACATCACCTACCAGAACGGGAAGTTTGATGTCACGTGAGTTCTTCGTACCTTTTAGCGTGTGTGAGAAATAGCTTCTACGGGAATTACAAGGTTCGACGGATCTTCAAACCTGTCTAATGCTGTAACAGCAAAGTTTCGCTGCTCACATGGCACGGCTTTCGACAGATTTTCTGGTATTACTAGAACAGGCAATACGTTCTGTGATCGCGACAAGTTGCTTTCAGTCTGCATTAATCGACGATAACTCTCATACTACCGCATGAGGCGTTTCCTGCATGGGCAAGACAGAGATGCTATTGATCGCGGTATCATCTGAGTGAAGAGCGTAAATGTTTTGGTGAAGAAATGAAGTTGTACTTGGTGGTGGGAGTGGGAGGAAGAGTGAATAGTAAGTTGCTGTGATCGACGAAGCTACAAACCTGCCTGTTTGGGAAGATGCAGAAGCTGTCAAACCTCAAGAATCTGGCGTGAGAACGGTAAATCAAAGATGGCTTGCTGGCCTGGGGAATAGTTCGACATCCACAGCAAAACATAATTCATATACGTTTCTAGGGTATCTCCAGTGCAACCGAAATACGCAAACTAAGTTTGCGTCTCCTTCTTCGCAGCCATCATCTGACGATATGTGTCGATCATCTTTTGGCGCTCCTCGCCCAACGCCTCTCTCTTACTCAAACTACCGGCTGATTTAGGCACGTTTCCAACCTTAGCGCCCGCTCCATTCTTGACCTTGAAGATCTCCCTCGGTACTTTGTCGAACGTTGGCGGCGCATGCACAATATCGTGTAGGCCCTTGCGTTCCGCTCTCTTCTTCTTAAGAGCTTCCCACTCATCTTCGCTGCCATGGTCCACCTCACCCACCAGCAACTTGCGCTTGTTCTTCTTTCCCTTCTTCTTCTTGCCGTTCACCGTTCTTGTGGTTTCTAGATCGGCTGTCTTGTCTTCCCACATGGCGTCCAACTCGTCTTGTTCCTCTTCGGCCAGTTCCTTTGCCTCCTGCTCCTTCTCTCGTATCCTCGCTTCTTCCTCCCTCCATCCCTTCTGTAGACGCTTGAGGTGCCGTTCGTGCTTGGTGACTCTGTGATCGCTCAGGCCTGCGATCTTCTTGCCGTTCTTGTTTACGCCTGACAATGGCAAGGCGGCGTCAACTCGTGCGCGGAACTCTTGCATTGACTCGCCAGGTTGTATCCTCAGTACATCCTTTGACTGCGCCTGCTCCTCGCTCTTGTTGTTCGCATCGTCTTTTTCCAGATTTTCGGCTGCCTCTTGTTTCTTCTGCTTCTTGGTCTTCACAGCGCCATCGTCGAGGCCTGAGCGCTTCTTTACTCCGCTTTTCGAGAATGCCATGAGCCGCTGGAAGGCTTTGGGTGTGTCGTCGGCGCCATAGCCCTCGACTTGATTTACTTTGCGCTTTTTGCCTTTGGGTGCTGTGCTGAAGGTGCGCGCTTTACCGACGGCGAGAGGAGCGGCGTGAACATTGGGCGGAAGGTTGAACCTGTTGGCAATAGGTCAGATTACTGTCCAGAGTTCGTTAGGCTTGCGAAAATACGGAGTGACGTACTGTGAGTCATCCTTCTCTATGGCCCTATGTTTATGAGGCATGGCGAATATGGGTTGTAGTGTTGTATATGGAAGAGGATCCACGCAGAGATGCGTCAGTGTCGATGTCGCAAAAAAGTTACGGAGACGCGGCAGGGATCATCGGGGAAGTGGGGCTCGGATGTCTTGGCACCTTGCGCACGTCTAGCCAGGCTTCACCCCACCATTTTTGCTTGGGGAGCCGCTGTGCAAGATGCCGTAAGACTAGGCATATCCTACTGAGGCGGTGCTCGACATTGCTTAGAATGACCGGATTACCGCCTCATAAGCAAGCCATCAAGTGTGGCGCTCATCCCGAATAGAATACCCGAAATCCCCGCACCATTGTGGAAACTGGAACGCAACAAGCTCCGAGAGGGAGACGCGCAACACCCAGACTATCACTTGTAAGAACACGACGCTATGAGGACTAAATGCATTGTTTCGCAATAATGGCTTTGTTTGGGCCCCATTACGACAGCGTCGGACCGATGCCATTACCACTGCACGTCCCTAGACGTGCAACGTGGGAAGGCTCTATCGATGCCAGTCCACTGTCCTTCATTCAAATACACCACTGATTGCGCAAGCCCAACAACGTGCTCTTTGGAAGCACCTCCTTTTTGATCATATGCTACGACCTTCACCCAGCTACGTCGCTAGCATCTACCGTCGATTGTTGGTCTTTCTTCCATCTGTAGCCAATCATCATCGCAGGTCGTGTTGCGTGCCCGAACTCGCTCACCAGGCCGTGCACCAATTCTCGAACCCACCTGGGGGCCGGAGCTGTCTCGAGGGCTTGCATGTCGATAGCCCGCACTCTATCTTCGCGGTTTGCAGCTCGTTTCGCAGGTGGACTGGCCGGTCGCACTTTGTCTCGCAATAAATAGCGTCCTGCCCCGATTACTCTTGACTGCTCCTAAGTTTTACTCCCTCAATCAAACGACATTTGTAACTTGCAGACGTTCACCCAAGGAATTGGACCCTGCGTTTGCGCGACTTTCTGCACTGAACCGCAGAGGTGCATCGCGCCAGTCTAGCCTCCCTCAAATCCAAGGACGGGACAATAGCCAGTCTGGAGTCTGGATCGCCGGTACGCAACTCGTGGCGTTTGTGAGCGACTGTCGAAGAGGAAGGTGTCTTAAGACAGCGCGGGCGCCCTGGATTCGAGGTGCAAACTCCAGTAAAGACCTTTTAACATCTCAATCTTCAATCGCAACCTCCAACAACAAGTGCGCTGCACGTATCGATATCGCTTGAGTTCGCCCCACCTCTCAGGGTTTAGGAACAAAGTCGTGCGGGATTCTCGCCTGCTATTGGCTCGTGCCTGAGGATGGCCGCCGAAATACCCATTTCCCCCACCACTCAACCTCTTCTACGCATCTCTCTCGACTTGGACGCTTCTTTCGATCCAAAATTATCACGTGTTTCCTTGCGCCAACTAGAGGATGGCGACAGCTCGATCTTCGGTTCCGACGATGAGGAGTTAGGTTCACGGCCCGGGTTCTGGCGACGGCTAAGAATGAGCATTCGGAGGCGCAATGGGAAGTCGCGGGTTGACGAGGACTTTGGACGTGTGAGGCTACCGGATGAAAAGACGCAATCGAAGCAATATCGTTTGAAAAAGAAACATGCGGCTAGAGCCTGTGTTATAATACCGCTGCTGGTGGTCATCTTCTTGTAAGTGCCTGTCAGACATTAGCTTCCGCCGGTTCCGGTGCGAGATATCCTGTCAGCCTCTCATTCGACAGCCACACGGATTCGTGCAGCTGTCATCCTGTCATGTTCTCCAGGAAGAAGCATCGGTATGCTGACTCTTTTAGTGGTATCCTTCACATCGTTAATGTGTTCCTGGGCTATGTGCCTGTCTTTCTGGATGACCATATAGTCTCTACATTTGACTGGAGCCAGCCCGACAAGTCAAATCTATTGGACATCACGCGCGACGTTACTCCGGTCCAGTGCCACTCACACAATGACTACTGGCGCCGGGTTCCGCTATACGACGCCCTCCGCTGGGGTTGCACAGGCGTCGAAGCTGATGTTTGGCTATTCGATGAGGAGCTGTACGTTGGTCACAATACTAACGCCTTGACGCAAGAGGGCACCTTCACATCGATGTATGTTGACCCTCTGGTCAAGATGCTAGACTACAGAAACGAGCTCGGAGACTTTGCGACCACATCCAGCGTCAAGAATGGCGTGTTTGTCACTGAGCCTGCACAGACTCTGGTCCTACTGGTCGACTTCAAGAATAACGGTCAAGAAATCTTCCCCGTAGTCTCGCAACAGCTCACCGCACTACGAGAGAAAGGCTACTTAACCTACTTCGACGGCAACACCACCATCGAAGGCGCTATCACCGTCGTAGCAACCGGCAATGCACCCTTCGATCTCATTACTGCAAACTCTACCTACCGCGACATCTTTTTCGACGCCCCCTAGATAAGCTCGAAGAGGGCACCTCCGTCGGCATACGCGGCGGTCAAGGCACAGTCGGTACGACCCCTACCTCCCACTTCGACAACACCAACTCCTACTACGCCTCTGTCAACTTTGGAAAATCCATCGGCACGCTGTGGTTCGGTCACATCTCCGAAGCTCAAGTCCTAAAGATCCGAGCTCAGATCCGTAGTGCAAAAGAAAGGGGTCTCAAGGCGAGGTACTGGAGTGCGCCCAAGTTCCCGATTGGACTTAGGAACAGGGTGTGGAACCTGCTTGTTGAAGAGGATGTGGGGTATTTAAATGGAGATGATTTGCAAGGTATGACGAGGTTGGATTGGGGGATCAAGAAACACTGGGGGTTGATTGTATGATTGACATGAGCGAAAGGGAACAAAGGGGGATGAGGGTGAAGACGATGATATGATTTATGTGGCATGTATGGCGTTACAAGGGGCTCTCTTCCTGGGAGGCGACATTGAAGCTCTTGATGGAATTTACTGAAGATACCCGATAGATGAGATAACAATACCATCTTTCTTAAAAATCAGACGACCATACCCGTGCAGCATGACCCTCTACAGTGACTACGGGCCATAAGAGCATCAACCTCAACGGACAGTCTACTGGATGGTGAGAACATGATCAAAGAGTCATATATACATATCCAACAGAGTAGCGAAGTCATCGTCATCAACATCAATAGAGAAGCTGCTTTTTTCGCTTCAGCAACGCCAATAGCGCCATACAGTCTATACCCAACAAGAAGTCTCGTCACTCCGTCATTCCTGACATCTAAAACATACTCCAGCCCTTCTTTCTCCGTTCGTCTCTATCATCCCGACCACGTCCCATCATGCGCTTCTCTCTTTGCTCGAGTTGACGAAGACCTTCCATCTCCTTGAGCACATGTTCGAGAAGATCCTTGCGACGCACGACGTCTAGGTGGCGTTTGATCTTGGGATCTTCTTTGGCGAAGCGGTCGATTTCTTCTTGGGATAGGCCGCGGCCTAGACGGGCATCGAGTTCACGTGGGAACTAGGGCACAGTCAGCGATAGTTTTGCAATTGAGCAAGAGGGTAGTGGCTTACAATGTAGTAGAACTTGCTGAGTAGCTCAGCGTCAAGGAAAAGATCAGCAGTTGTGGTGAGCTTATCTGCGACAGCGTCGAGGAAGACTTCTGGGCAGTGATATTTGTTCTTCTTGGTGGCGCATTGCTTGCTCTTGATGGCCATAAGGCGTAGTTTGAGCACATCGATACGGTCGCGGAGGAAGACTGCTTCTCGGCCTATAGTTTTGTTAGTGTGATGGCCTCGAAGGAGCTATTGCTAGAGGCGAGGTAGACATACCCTTAGCAAGAAGTGCAGAGCTAAAACCACCAGCACCACCGACTCCATCGCCTTCCAGAACAACTTGTCCGCTTCGTACGCGGTCGATGAATGACATTACATCCCTGACCCTCTTACGGCCACCGACCTGTTCTTCAAGCTGCTTGACGGCGGCTTCGACAGTCTTTAGCTCATCCTTGAGCACAGCTGTGACATTCTCCCGGCCCTTTGCCCACTCGTTGTCCTCAACTTCGATGCGATACTTGTAGGGCTTGATGCAGATCTCCAGCTCGTCAGAGATGTCATAGGAAAGATCTTTAAGAATTGAGGTTGAAGCGTCAGTGATGGCCTGTCGGGCGAATGGATGAGCGGCGAAGCGAGAGTTTGTGATAAGGCGGTCAATGTGTGCCTGAAGTGCACTTGCGACAACATTGGTGGCCAGACGTCCAACACCAGCCTTCGTAAGCGCGGCGCTGGAGCTATCGAGCTTGATCTGCCATATTTGATCTTCTCCATCGATATCAGCTTTGGCAAGATTCGTGAGAGGATCGGTCTCAGGGAACGGAACGCTGAGATCATCGAAAGGTCTGTTCCAGTAGCGCTGTGCAAGCAGGTTAAGTACTTGCTGGTCAAGCTCATGCTTGAGGAGATCCCGGACTTGCTGACGACCAAATTGCTCTGTAAAGCCACGGAAGGAGTGCTTGAAAGCATCTAACGACTCTGCTAGGTACGACTCTGCGCTGATAGGTCGCTCGTTGTACTGAACTTTGAATTCATATCGTGCGTCTTCGAGCTCCCTTTGAATAGCCTCGCTTGTTGTCTTAAGGCTGCCGGCCATTGTCTGCTCGAGCACATGCATGAGCTTCTTCTTGAGGTTCTGTGTGCCAACGGCGAGCTCTGATCCTTCGGAAAATTCGGGATGTGAGCCAAAGTACGCCTTCTCATTCTTCGTGATCGCGTTCGTGATGTTGCCGTTGCCGCGGCTGAAGAGCTTGGAGCCACCAGCGCCGGCTGGTACCCGGCAAACAACACCGACGTATCCCAGACGCAGAGCATACTTTTGATCGCTGAGCAGGCTAGCACCACGTTCAGCATCTACAAGATCCATCTTTGTAATGACGCCAATAGTCCTCTCGCCACGGGGGTCCATTCTTCGGGACGCTCGCAGCGCGGTGCTGTTGGCCAAATCTACGTCAGCTGCCGAGATGGCGAGAATGACATTGGGTGCCTTGATGTATTTCTCGCAAAGCTGCGAGATCTTCTCCTTTAGTTGTGGGGGCTGGTCTCGACCAACGACTTGGATGTAACCGGGCAGATCGATCAAGGATAGATCAGGAACATTTGGAGAGTAGATTCTCAATTGGATAGGATCGTCGGACACACAGTCGCTTGCCGGCACGGCCAGGTTCAGATCTGTCAGCGTCTTTTGTACCTGGCTGAAATCTGTGACCTTTCCCAAACCAAGAGCAGGGAATTCGCAGTACTCTGCGTGCGCCTCTGGTGTATTGACGAGTGTGAGTTCGATAGGTCGTCGTGTGACCATGTTGTGTCCCTTTGGCAGAAACTCGTGGCCTACAATGGCTTCCAAGACCGAACTCTTTCCAGACGATTGCGATCCGATAACGACGATAGACGGCAACGTGAGCGAATCGGATTGTCCAACAGTCTGTAAAAGCCCGCGAATCTCGATCATCTTCTTGGTGAGCATCATCATCTGCTCATCCCTTGCAATCTTCTCCGCCTGTGGCCTGTCCTCATCATCTTCCTGGGCATAGCCAAACGCTGCTGCTGTTGATGCACCGGCTGCAGCAGTTCCAGCACCACCCTGCTTGGGTTCTTCCGGGCCTCTACCACCGCCATTGTTGCCACCTGCACCGCCAGACTCGTCCTTAGCGAGTAGCTTCTGCAGCCATTCTGGATATTTTACGCCCTCGAATTCATCCCTGGTCGACTTGAAGCCCTTTTCCAGCTGGTCGAAGAAGCCGTTTGCCGTGCTGAGTGCGCCACCAGCAAATTCGGTCGCGCCGTCTTTGGTTCGGTGGAAGAGGTCGAGTGCGAATGTTCCCGCCTCTATTAAACATTAGCCCTTCTCAACCATTCGATCTGCATGAACACATACGGCCAGCTTGGTACTGGATATAGGAAACACCTGCGACAACAGCCCCTCCAGCCGCCGCACCCACGGTCGCGAACTTGCCCACCAGCTTTGGTATTACCCTCGCAAAAGAAATGGATCTTGTGGCGGGGATGTTGTGCAGCGCGTAGCTACCGAGCGGCCATGGTCGTCGCTTTACCAGTCGTAGACCAGCTTCATTACGGAGGAGCCCACCAGCGGGGAGCGAATGTGTCGTATAGAAGCGTGGTGTGAGCAGCGGTGAGCGGCGTGCGATAGTAGAAAGGCGGCCCGCGACGAGCCTGCCGCTCATATTGACGACAAAAAGACCACGCGAGGTCTTTGGTATAGCATAGGATCGGAACAGGGTAGGTGGTTGCGAGGGTTATACGAGCGTTCGATGTGCGGCCATGCACGTCACCCATCGACTTTTGGTACGCGGCATGGCGATGGTCCAAGCACCTCGGCGTGGGGCTGTAAGTAGCTGGACAACACATGCAACACGACAACATTGAGACACGACATCTAATGAATTTTTCCATCGACACATCTACCTAAGCCTGGGTATCACCGCATCGTAGCCTCACTTTAAACACAGAATTGCTCTTTCCCCAAACGTATCCAACAACGACCCTTCTTCCTTGATCATATCCCTCAACCAGTTCCTGGACCCTTCCACTTCCCTGCTTGCGAACTTGACCAAAATAGAACCTCTTACATTCGCTGCACTCCATACCAGGCCATCGTTCTTCTCCCTCTGTTGCCTGTCGTGTCGTCTCTGCTCGTGTGCTTGAAGCTCAGGCTGCACCACGTCGCCCCAATTCCTTCCCCCAATACGCGGCAGTGCCTCGAACTCGTCCAAAAAGAACTTGGCCAGCGACGAGAAGATTGGGCCACGAATGATCAACGTGCCAAAGACGGAGTAATGGTCCATACGTGAGGCGAGTGGCATCCCTGTCTTTCCATGCTTGTCCAGGATGAGGTTGTCTCGTAGAAGCAGTCTCCTCTTCCCCGCATCATCTACAGTCCACACCTCGTTCCGGCTCCCGTATTCGTATATGTCCCAGTTCTCTCCTCGTGCTGAACGACCACTCGTCACCCAGTCGCAAACGCATAGATTGCCCTGTTCTTTCTCCAAGTGATAGATTTGAGACTGAGAGAAAGCTGTGTCGGCAAAGGGTTGCACTGGATCTGGGAGATAGACCAAAGCAGAACTCTGCTTGAGGTATATATTCATGTGTTGTCGAGAGACTAGTTCTTGACTAGGGGTTTTGAAGATCTTAGTCGAACCTTGGGTCAACAGTATCAACCGTGTACTACTGTCTAAATTGACATCCAAGTCTATGCTGTCTCCAGCAACTATTCCTCCACCATAGGTCAACAGGAAGACTGTGTGAACGAGGCAGGGTACTGCCGCTGTTGTATTGTGATCCACTTCTTTGCCATAATTGGGCGGTGCTAACGGATCTGGGGCAACTAGCTTGAGGGGATATTGGTAGGACAGGGTTCGAAGGACGGGTTTGTCTGGAGGAAGTATCTCGAGGATGATGGATCCATGGCCAGGCTTTGATGTTGATGTGCCGAAGGGAGAAATGAAGGACATGGCGGAGTGCTATCGTAGCTTGAAAATGTTCATCTTCTACAATTGCTAGCTTTGAACATGTGTCGTAGTCTACCTGGGATTATTGAGACTATGGTCGAGCAATAGGGAGCACAGACATAGGTGTGCTTGAGTAAACAGCAGTTCTCTTTTGTCGAAGACGCAACGACGGCTATCAGATAAGTGCACTTACCATATCAATTAGCGTGAGCGCGGGCCGTGCTGCCAAGACGCGACGCGGGGCAAGATTCTTTCTCTCTTGGGCGCCTTTTTGCAGCTCCCAACCCCACCAAAGCGCAGCCAAAGTATCGCCCGATTCGAAAAACAACTTACACGCGTTCGAAACTCGCCATCGACAGCTTCTACCGACTACCGCAAGAGCGGACTAAAATTTTTGCTACACCTGATAGCAACTTTCGCGTTCGAAGGCGACCCCACTATCAACTGCAGCCAGTCACATCTCGATCTCACCCTAGCATCTCCCGCAAGTGCGCGTTCGAATCGCTGCCTCGCCCTTTTTTGACATGCCTTAAGCGCGTTTCACTGTATTCGCATCACGCTACCGGAGTTGAAAGGGGACGGGTGGGAGCGTAATGGCGACGGGTTACGACAAGCTGTTGGAATTTCTGCTCTCAGAAATTGCACTCCGCGGCGTACAAGGTATGCATGACTCGTTGCGCGTGTAGTTGTTGCTTCCATTCGCGCACTGGCCTCTATCTGAGCAACTCGACATCGTCAATTCTCACGAGCCACAACACGATTTGGCTTGGAAGTGAGAGTGCTGCAGTCGCGTCACCTTGGTTGTTGCATTGCTTGTCGTGTTGTTCTTCTGTCGTATCACTATATCACTTCCCACTTGCTAACGTCTCTAAAGGTGCTAGCAGTGCAGACTTTCGTCACTTTATTGAAGTCTTCTACAAACAAGTCGTCGACAATGGCGAGCCTAAAACCGGCGGTAATGGCAACAAGGATGTCCCATCAACTGGGCTTGGCCGCGCGTTCTATGAGCGTCTATGGCAGTGGCTCACTGATCATCCCGACATTCGCATAGTCTACCAGCAGGAGGTTCGTCATTTCACGCTTTCCGAATTTGAAGCGGCTGAGCTACACGAGACCGGTACGATCGGAGAGACGCATTCAACAGACCTAGGCCAGCCATCCACCAATAACGTCAAAGGCATAGTGCAGCCTTCCAAAGGTCTTTGCGGGTTGAGAGACTCTCTGCGCCAACGCATCCTCGAAAATGGACACAATTCGAAAGAACTCGTGGCTCGGTCGTCCGAGACTCTAGCTCTTACAACTTTATCAAGGCCAATTCGCAACCTACCAAGCGGTCTGTCTCACATCACGGCAGTCTTCGATGAACCCGACTCCAGTATCACTGCTCCTCGCTTGTATGCCAGCCAAAGCAGAGTATGGCAGGCGTTGACAGGCCACGGTATCGATCTGAAGAAGGTTCCTAGCATGGAATTCGTGTTGCTTTCTCTCATTGCTGCTCGCGGAGCGGCTGGCATCACACAACCTGAACTGATCAACATCAGCGGCCAAGATAAGAGATCTGTCCCAAAAAGGACGGATGAGTTGGCTCGCAAGAACTACATTGCCAAGATATCTGTTCAAGCAAACAAGATGCGCACCAGTCTTTGCATTCACGCGAAGTTTGTTTCCCAGAACACCTTCATCAAGTCTAGTGCCATGGAAGACGTGTATCAAGAGGACGGCACATTCGTGGTTAGGAACTTCGCTCAACTACTGTACAACGTTGTTGGCGAAGGTGGTATCGTCCCTACGCGATCAATCAGGGAGAGGCTAGTGAGTTCTTACCTCAATATAATCTTGTAGCTTCTAACAACGAGTAGGAGGTACCCATGACTAGATGGAACAAGCGTGCTACTCAGGGCGCACTCATCCGACTCGATCAAAGCGGAATGATCAAGCGACGTAGAGTTCTTAAGAAGGCTTCTTCCGACAAGTGGATTACTTGCATTCAGGTGCTGCGCGAACCCCAGGAGGAGGATCTCAAGAACCTTGGCTTTCGACGCGTAGCTGAGCTTCCCAATGGTTCAGTGGACGAGCTTCCAGATGAGGATATCACTGGCGAATCGTTGTTGAAGGATCTCGATGCAGACATGCCAGATGATGCAAACGCCAACGTGGACAATCAGGTCAATGCTAAGTCCGCTGTTGATCAAACCGACAACATTCCCCCTCAGTGGATACCTGACCGCTTCCTCCCCAACACCATCTTCAATGCCGCAGCGCTGGGCGGTGTTCAAGGCTGGGACGCTGAGGCTCTGCGCAATCGGATCGTCGGGCCTTTCTGGAGGCGCCCAATCGAGTCATATTTCACTCGTGTGACGAATGACTGGGAGAAGACACAGCCTTTTCATCTACGACATCTTGCAGTCATCCGAGACGCGGGTACTACCAAGCCAAAAAAGTTCATTCACTACGTCTATCGTACATATGAGAATTTCCAGAAGGCCGTTGATACTGACATGGCTGTTTGGGACGGTGTTGCAGTGCCTCAGGAACCAACGAAGAGTTCAGATAACGAACTTGTCCTAGATGCGTGGGGTTTTCCAACTGTCAGTACAGGAGAGCTGGTCCGGGAGACCGGTTCGGCAACACTATCTGAAGCTGGTTCGGCCATTGTGAAACCGCGCAAAAATGGTCCGCGATGGGATAATGCACTCGCAGAGGAGGCCGGCTACAAGAAACTCGCAACGTCCATTCTGAAAGCCAAAACACCGGGTGCAGTAGGCCGAACTAAGAAGCAGAAAGTTGTCAAGGAGAAGCATGTCCGGATACCTAAGGCCCCCAAAGAGTCTAGGAAGCGTCCCACTATCTTGCTAACACCCCAGGAAAAGATGTCGCTAGGGCTCGATGGCGATGCTCGATTGAGCAAAAGCGTCCAGGCTCAAATCCTTGCTCATCGCCAGAAAACGGGTGATCCGTCCTCTTTACCCGAAGCGATTTTGGATGATCGAGCGAAGCGCCAATTAGCTCAGCCGCTGCTGACACTAGAAGAGCGGTTGGCCAGAGGTTTGGCACCAAAAGGACGCTTGGGTATTGTGGCGGAGAACGAGATTCGAGCAGAGCGCGGATTACCTCAGCTCGTGAAGAAAGAGAAGAAGCGAGTAACGAAGGCGACAAACGAGCCTACTGTTCTGAGCAAGTCCCAGAGGATAGCTTTGGGTTGGACAGACCATGGTCGGTTGCCAGACGCGATCATAGATGGCCTACGAAAAGAGCGCGAAGATGGCATCTCTTTGAAAGATTCCAAAGTCATTGCGAGCTGGGACGCGGAAATGAAGGCCCGGAAGATCGAGAAGGACAGGAAAAAGGGTACCAAATCTACCCCGAAGCAAGCGACCCCAACAGAAGATCACGACGTATCCATGGATAATCCTGAGGCTGAATATGTGCCTGATGTTGCCATTGCGGAACCCGAGGCTGAGACGCTGTCTTCCAACATCGTCGCAGGAAAGCGGAGCGCGAAAGATTCCACCGTCACTCCAAGGACATCAAAGAGGCGACGTACCAAAGAGACTGTGACACACAGGTCAAGCTCAAGGTCCGTGGCATCAATGTCTCCCTCGCCCACTGATGTCACAAGTCCGCCTGGGAACGATATTTCAATGGTCTGTCCTAATGAAAACAGTACCGATGTTACCAGCCAATCAACTTCGGCAGAAGTTACCCAGTCTATCCAGGCAACGCCTCTGCCAGTCGAGGATTCTATCATCCCAAGCGTAGAAGTCAGGCAGTCTTCACGACCTTTGACGAAGATATATGTTCAGCTCGATACCTCAAAACTGGACGCTCATGCTCGAACAGTCTTCGATCAGTACGAGAAACGATGCTCTCCGGGTCTCTTTCTCAACCCCTATATGAAGCAGAAGGTTGCTCGGGGTCGACCACGCAAGGCTCTGATAGCCACCTTCAAGCTACCTCATCTAGCGGACCTTGAATGGTTTACGTCTGAACTAGTTCAGAATCACGCCGCACATGAATCTGATGCTACTGGAACTCCTGAAGCTGGACGAACCGTCGTTGCTCAGCAGGATGAGAAGGTGGTTGTACCACATCAAGGTTCTTCAGCCGAAACACCACTGGAATCACATGGGCAAGCGCAGTCACCGATCAACTCCGAAACTTCTCAATCGCAACAAATGTCTCTAGCTGAAACACGTTTACCATCATTGGCGCAACCTCACTCCTCGAATGTGATGGAGCGACAGGAGGGTGTCTCGAATCACGAAGTGTCATCTCTCACCACCAAGAACTCAACCTCAACAGAGAGCGAAGTATTGCAAGCCGGCAACGAGGTTAACAGAAAAGAGGTGGTCTCGTCCGTACCAGAATCAACGGTTGCTGAAGACACTGCTGCCAAACCGGCTACGGCTACAAGTTCTACGACTGTTGAACAGCAGGGCAACGATCTCCCCGGATTTGCACAAAGGCAGTCACCACAATCAGTTGCATTAACACCACGGATGGTGGGCGGCTGGGCTCCCATCAATGCGACTGAGCGCCCCCACATGGCACCGTATCAGAGCCCTTATGCTGCCAGTGTAGGCGTGGAAGTTCATTCATCATCAAATACTCTGACCACTACTCGAACCGTTGAAGAAACAGTTGTCAGCACCACCGAGCCGCCGCTTCCCACCTCTGAGACCAATAATGGTGTCTCTCTTCCCAAAACTATTCACAGTGCCATCGTAGAGACTCCAGCACCTAGTATACCGGGCACCAAACCTAGGAGAGCACAGGCTGGTGGTATTGCAGGAACTCAACGTACATTGAGGCAGAAGCTCATTCTCGAGATCATCAAGAAATGCCATGGTGTTTTCCCAGGCGGTGGTGAGATGCCCAGACCGTTCCTTACGCTTTGGAAAAAGAAGTATCCAAATCTCCCGGAGCCTTCTCCTAGCACCATTACCGAAACGCTCAGAAATATGTCTGCAGACCCGAAGTTCAAGCTAAAGCATTGGAATTTCGCCTCACAGCACAAGAACATGCCAGGTACTGCAACGAGAAGAATGTATACATGGGCATGGCTGAACGAGAGAAGCCCTGAAGTCCTCAAGCTGGCGCACAACATGGCGCAATACTCTCAACAAAAGGCCTACGTTCACCGTGTGTCGGAGAAGTCGCTGCTGTACTACCCAGAGGAGATCCGTGATCTGATCGGCGAGGTCGTGTCATACCAACCGATTCAGGCTGCTCCCAAGGACGAAAGCATCATTCTGAACCAACTAAATCCCGAGCTCGAAAAGCAGATCACTGAAGCCAAGCTTCGAAAGCGCAGCGTATGGCAGAAACAGAAGAGGCTGGAAGCTAAAGCTCGCAAGGCGCAGAACGCTCAGGTAGAACAAGCGTCTTTTAAACAGGTTGGAGATAGCAGCGGTGCACCACGTACAAAGCGGGCGCGACTTGCTAGCTTAAACGACAAGAGCAAGAAGCTACGTCGGGCTCCTCTATATACTGCCAACATGGGAGCTCTCGATGAAGATTCCGACGATATGGCAGATGATGAACCTGCCGCTGCCACGGCCGCGAAATCTGGACAGCTCTCGCTCATCTGGACACGACCCATCGTCGCACCCGTTCCAGAACGCGAACAACTTTCCGATGAGGAGCCGCCTGAAGATGACGAGAGCGACGACGAAGCAACTGACTGGGTCGCGCAACAGGTCCAAAGCAGCGCTGTCGATGAACCGACTTCGTTGTCTACAGGCCAGCCCATGACCGAGGAGTCCTCCAGCAATGTGACAGCCGTGGAGTCTGACTCTACCGGGGCTAACAATGGTGTTCCTCTGGCTTCTAGTAAGAAGTCTGTGGATGGACCTGCTGCTGTGAACAAGGGCAAGAAGCGCGTACGAATCCTAGCTCCACGCGATCAGTCATCCAGGAAGAGGACTCGTGTTACCACAGCAACATCTATGGAAACACAAGGGGCGGGATCTACCTACCAATCTAGCACGGATGATGATACACGATCTGCTTCAGAGTTGGAAGACGAGTCTGAGGGTAGTGATAATGTTGTACATTCCAACACGAAAAAGGGAAGGATAAGAAACTTCAATGGACGGCAGAGAGGCAAGCCAGGCCCTCCTCCAACTCTACTTGAACGCCTTACTGGCTTGACTGGTGATCAGAACGATCCGATATACCAGCCCCCGCAGCGTGCACCTAGGCCTGGGAGATCACCCCGGTCACGGAACGAGCGGAAGAGGAAACGCATCAACAGGTTCAAGAAGGAACGACAGTATGCTCAGGCTGCGGACTCGCTGGATGATTTCAAGAAGCTTTTCTACACCTTCACAGTTGTCTCTTCTCTATCTGGAGGAGAAGGGCAGATCGATTGGAGCCTTTTCAAGAGGATATACGACAGCGACAGGTTCTTCGATGTGGCAAAGGCCCGGAAGCTTTGGGGCTGGATGCAGACGCACATGTCTGAGCAAGTTTGTGAGCTTACCACGACGTTCCAGTCACTTTATCTTGAAGCGTACGAAACGGGCAAAGTTGCAGCTATTGAGACTCCTGAGACGCACGACTGGGCGGGCCTCGTACGATGGGCTATGCGCAAGTGTGCCTATCCCGACCTTCCTCTCCCAGTCTTGAGGCAAGCCCTGCAACAGTTCACTGTTGATGAGTCAAACTACGAGATTATGGATAGGGTACTATGGTACAAAGCTGCAACGGCAGACCGGACGAGGACAATGCTTCAGCTACAACAGTCCTTCACTGCTCCTCTCCATCGATCGCGCAAGGCAATCTGGTCGCCTGACGACAAGCTTCTCAAGGCACGATCCTGGGTTCGTGCGAACACAGCTACACCACAGGCACTGTATGACGCGAACCTGGCGCACGAGAAGTTCAAAGACATTGGCGAAACTGTACTTGTCAACGTTGTGGGTGATCTTGTAGACAAGCAGCATCTCAGGATGCGCAAGCTCAAGCGCCTTCTGCCCGGCCGTAATTACAATTTCACGCAAGCCTTAGCGAAGAAATACGTGCGCTTGTTGCAGCTTGACGACTTTATGAACGCTGTCGAAGTCAAGAAAAAGATGGATGCTGCGTTTGCAGACCAGGATCCAGGGCAGAGGCTTTACAATATGTCGCGCTGCGAAGAAGATGGTGCTTTTGCGGCAATCATGACCATGGTAAACGAGGGAATGGTCAAGCTATCTCCTCAGCTACCGCCTGTCAACAACGACTTCGACGCCTCGCTCCCAAAGCTGTCCGTCTGGGGCTTTTGCGAGGGTGGTTACAATCACCGAGCCATAGATCGAGGCCGGTTATTCTGGGACATTCACGTCGTACCAACAGCAAACTACAAGTTTGGCAACCCACTGCAACCGCTGTCAATTCCGCCCTCGACTATGGATGACGATGAGCCTGCAGTTTGGCCGGCCCTGCCTGAGCCGCCGCTTCCCGGTAAACTCGATGCTGGCGCGCTACTACCTATCTGGAGCAGTATCGACGGCCAATCAGTTACATGGCCGTGGTGGTATAGGGTATTGAACTTGGTGCTACAGCCTTTGATATTCTTAGCTGGCGCAACTGCTGCTGATATTCACTCCCACTGCCCTGAGCACACCACCGAGCTCTTCGAGATCGAGCTTGTCCTAGACTGGCTTGAGTCCATCAACGCAGTCACTAAGACGGTTGGCGGCGGCTACATTACCCTTCCCGGCTTTTGGGCTGCATTTGGCGACCAATTGCACGATACAGAAGATGACTGGTTTGGCGAGCATGTCAAGCGTAAAGCGAAGAACCACGAAAAACAGCGTTGGCGTGTCGATTACAACTTGAGACACTCAACACTACAAGCGCGCAAAGCGACTGGCGCTGGCACTACTCTCGCTGAGGAAGAAGGCGATGCAAATATTCAGGAAGTTGGCGCCGTGGAGACGAGCACGAGTCGCGAAATTCTCAAGAACCCAAAACAACAATACAGGATCATGAACCAAGCCCTCAACTCTGAGCAATCTCATACGGAAGATAAGCGGTCAGATACTAGACCCGCTTCCGGCTCTGCGGCCCCACAAACCGAACAAGGTCCCGTTCCAGACCCGACGGCAAGCAATTCTCATACTGCTGAGGTCACGGGCACGTCAAGTGAGGACGTGGAGATGGCTGACGCGGACTCGGATGTGGATGCTGAAGGCGAGGTGGATACTGATGCTGAAGGAGAGATTGACGCTGAAGGAGAGATCGATGATGGCATATATTGAGCATGTACTTACTGTACGTCCGGTGGTTGATGCGTGCGAGGCGATGCGGGCGGTGGATGGAGAGGTTGTTGTTTCCCCAAAGTTTGTCGTTTTACATGCATAGCGAGGCGCGTACTGCGGAGTGATATCACGATCTGAGAAAAGGCGCCTATGCCGAAGATCCTGTACAATAGTCAAATACGTATGAGTAATGCGCAAAGTGGTAATATCAAGGGGTTTTCCCTAGGTCGTAATCGACATTTTTGAGAGGATAACCCGCAGCGCGACGTGATTGATGAGTATGCGGCGTTTTCGGTCAGCCTTGCTTTGTCTAGATTGCTCATATGGCGTGCAGCCGCATACACACCAATCTGCGTGCAGACCACACCCGTGATCGAAGAGCTAAAAGCCATCATGGCCCCGGAGAACTCTGAACAGTAGCCAATCTGAGGCTATATAGAGCTGTACTACTCTCTTTCGCTTTCTTCTTTCCCACGACAACATCTCACGAAGATGCTCGTCTCTGTTAAGATACAACCCAATAATTCAATAGAAACGAGCTTCTTCGCATGTATATAAATTCTTTCTGTTATATATCTATATTCATTACCAATTCTTCTATCTACCTTTCTCCTACCTTATGTGAGGTATTGCAACACCCTAACACCAAACTGGGGTCCTCTTTGATACCAACCTATGTATACGATCATCATTGAGGGAAAGCGCACCCTCTGGATCGTGTATTCGCGTCTTGTACCATAGAATTTCTTTTTGTGTACGCGTATCGTTGGTCTCCTCTTCCCTTCAAGTTTGCTGGAGACATACAGGACATGCCTCAGTATACAAAGAGATCTACGAGCGCATTATGTGCTCCGCACTCAGGTCTAGAGTAGCCTGTTGTGTTGCGTTGAGTTGCGGGCGTTTCGTGTTGCTGACTGCCAGTAGATATATGCAGAGACTACAGCGCTATATATGTGGTTCTCGCTGCTCCCATTTTTTTTTGACATAGGAAGCAGTGTACAAACACTAAGAAACGCCTTTTCTAGCAAACATTTAGCATAAAGCGCTATTGGTCGTTCGACAACAGAAGGCAACGACTGTCCAAGAAGCCATAGACGAGTATATGTAACGGTCTAGGCCTTGCCCAAATCCACTCTAGTACGAGTTGGGATAGCTCGTGTACGGTCATCTATATAAGAAGCTCACCCCACCTCAGATAGTCAATGCAGCGCAGTCCTCCCCTCTATCTTGACACCGTCACAGTATACAATGAGGACCGACTTTATTATCTTTGCAGTACCTCTTATACTTAGGTATCGGTTTCATGGGTATCGGCAGGATTTCGAAAGTTGTGAATAGCTCGCCTGGTCTGTGTCAAGAATGAGGACCGAGAGGGGTTCAAGATACAGGAACCGGACCTGAGTGGGTGCGCATCGCTGGGGGATTGAACGCTGCCATCGACGAACTAGTGACAACGCGCTGCATCGGGACCACAAGAGCATTTGAGACGAATCATTCATACCTGGTGCCGCGGTCTCGGAACCAATTGCAGAAGAACAGCGCAAGGCAACTCCTTCACCACAATGTACTAAGAGGGAAGGGAAGAGAAGAAGAAATACCAGATGATCTGGTAAAAGCAAAGATATTGTGGAGACGAAAACACTAAAGATTGTGAGCTAAAGATCACGCTTTCGTGTGAATAGGCTCTTTCCGCATTATGATAGCCTTCGGTTGGGTAACAAGCTGTCACATATGAAGATTCATTACTTAAAGACATAACAACTATCAATACGTACCAATGCTGAGTATTGTTCCGGGCGACACGAGTGTTTGATATGGCTCACGCTAGGTTAACGTCTCTTACGTGACGCGTTTTCTCTGTATCTGACCCCAGCGTCCCAACTCGAATCATGATCATCTACATCATCTACATCATAACAGAGCGCGCGTAACTGCGACTCACGGTGGCCCTGGTTTCCTTCCATGTGTTTAAGTAGGTAACAAGACCACTCATTGTCCAGAACCGACAGTGGCAAACATAATGGTAACCGAGTCACATATGGGGCAAGTCAATCAAGAATCATACATGTCAATTGACCTGCAATCTATTCACATGAACAGTTCAGCACTCGCATCAATCTCTCTTCTTGATGATATCCGCGGCTTTCTCGCCAATAGCATATATAGTTGCCTGTATATGCTGAGACGGGATGAGAGGGATGATCGAAGCATCGACGATGGACAGTTTTTTGATGCCATAGAAGAGAAGCTTTTCCGAGACGCAACCACCCATGTCTTCAGGCAACATAGCGCAGCTGCAGGAGGGGTGCGAAAGAGTTGGCCAGACGCTTCCCAACTCAATGGACTTGTTGATAATCTCATCATCAGTCTTGTACTGGGCTCCCGGCGTGGTCTCGATTGGGGTGTACTTCGCCAGCTCAGGGCCAGCCCAGACCTTACGGATATAACGAATGCATGCAGCAAGTACAGACTTGTCAACTGGGTTACTGAGCGCATTGTAGAAGATTCTTGGCGGTCCTTGAGGGTTGGTTGGATTGATTGTGATGGTTCCACGAGAAACTGGCTTCTCCAGACCAACAAGAATGTAGCCGCCTGATGACGGAATACCGTATTCTACAACAGCTGCCTTTTCGTTCTCAAAAATATCAGTGAGTACTTTGCGCTGTGCCTTGACACCCTTGAGCAGCTTCTTGTTGTTCTTGTAGATCGGTGGCAAGTACTCGTCGTTCTTGAGGCCACGGATTCGGTTTGCGAGACTGCGGTAGTTTTCAGGATCCACTACAGGAAGTGGGATCATGGCTAGACTGTTGCCACGGGCCTGAGTCAGCGGTCCTGTCTTGTTGACACGGTACTCCTCCCATGCAGAAGCGTTGTATGCCGGGTTTGTAGTCAAAGACATCGAGTTCGGGCTGCTGGTGTTGGAGACATTGAATCCAACACCGGTGTACGGATGGTCCTGGAAGTTCGCACCCACGCCATCGTGCTCAAGCTTCACGGAGATGCCAGCTGCCTCAAGCACGGCTCTTGGTCCAATCCCGCTGTTCTGGAGAAGCTTCGGCGTGTTTATCGCGCCCTAAAAGTGAATACAAAGTCAGCGTAAGCTCACTTTGGAAAAGGGAAAATTAGGAACATAGTATTGAACGTACCGCAGCCAAAATAACCTCTTTCTTTGCATAGTATGTTGTCGACGAGCCGGTGGCCTTATCGGTGACCTTTACCCCCTTTGTAGTGAGCTTTTTTTCACCATCGAACACGAGCTCGGTCGCCACAGTCTGCAGTACGACCTTCAGGTTCGTCCGGCTCATCACAGGGTCGTAGTACGAGTTACGGGCGTGCGACCTTTCACCGGTTCTGGGATTCATCGTGTTGGGGTACCATGAGGTGCCATATGCCTCGCCATTGTTACCATCGCGAGCCGGATACGCGCCGCCAGTGCCTTGGAAGGCTTTGAAGTAATCAACAATATCGGAGTATTGCGTGTCGGAGATGCCAAGCTTCAATGGACCCTTTCCGTAGCTACATATTGCCAAAGTTAGAAGCAGCTCAAGCTCATTCAACGTTTCGCTGACTTACCCCTCAGGATCCCAAGTAATTCCAACCTGTTCGACCGTTTCCGCTGGAGGTGGGACGAATTCCGTCCCTTTCTTGAAGTATGGATACATCCCTTCCCATCCCCAGCCTTTGTTGCCCAATGCCTCCCAGGCATCGTAGTCCGCCGCTGATCCGCGATCATACATCATCCCATTCACACAGGAACCGCCACCAAGGATCTGCGCGACACGAGCGTTCCATGTCTTGTTGCCGAGGTGTGGTTCTGGTTGGCATACATAGTCTGACCACAGAAGAGAGGTGTTAAGGGCATATGTGGCGCCATAAGGCATGCGGATGTTTGGGTTATCGTCTGCTCTTCCGGCTTCGATGACAAGTACGGATTCTGTAAGACCATCATGTCAGCTTCGCATACATCTGACTTGGTTGCATTGTCTTACTTTTCTTGTCTTCGGTCAGGCGATTGGCTACAACAAGGCCGGAGACACCACCTCCAATAATAACATAGTCATAAGTGTCTTGGGCGGATGACAGTCCTAGCAAAGCAGCGACGGCTAAATTCCTAGGAGAAAGCATCTTGGCGAACTGCTTCGGAGCGAAGCCACAACAAGAGACGAACGATTGATTTGGACGAAGATGGGATGTGCCTGTAGAGAAAGAAGGGATCTTGTGGGCTCTTAAACACCTTCACAAAGACCTGTATTATCTCTTAGCTTTCCTTCGGTGCCTGAACGTGCATGCGTTGTATGGATACATGAGTCGGTGGACCGTTATGGCAAACGTCGGTAGCAAAGGTCCGGCACGTTTGGCAGGTAAGCTGAGAATCTGGCCCACAGGTTCTAAAGCCCAGCGGCACATTAAGTCCTGGCAAGTGCGTGGCTCGGGACAGGGCATTGTTAGAAACAGCATGGCTCCGAGATTAGGCGATCTTGGCTTGACGGCTCGGCACTCTGCCAAATCTAGAAAGCCCTCTCTAGCCACACCACTCCCCTGCATGATCAACAATCTCTCGAAATTGGAGAATGTGCATTAAGTGCAAATGATGTGAGAGCCTGTTGCAGACAGTTACAGGTTCTCTTGGCATTCCTAGCTGTTCGGAAGCATATCTTATCCTCTAGCAACTTCCCCACACCTCCAAGGGAGCTCTCGAGCGACATTCCCACTCTTTGAATTGGGAAAGGCATGGGGCAGTTCCCGCAACACTCGCCTCAGTAGTGCGACCGGTTATAACTGGTCGCGTATTGCGGCGTCCTCGACAGGCCTGTTGATGCGGCGAAGTACGAAGGATTGTAGTACTGCGGCGCGGTTTATGGAATTATATTGCGGCGTCGCTATCGCCAAGTCCGAGAGTCTACTGTAGTGGACCAAAGGATCTACGACTGTGTCCTTCGCCACTTACCCCGTGGTAGTTCTCATATCGAAAGACCACTGATATGTCTTTTTAATAACTACCAACAGATGTCAGCACATTTGTTTAACCGGTTGCTTACTGCAGATCTTAATGCCATTTTCGCGTCAGCATCGGTGCGGGATGGGACGGGAGGGCGGGACCTTAATTGGCTTATCAGTCGATGCTCCGAGTCTCGCTTGCGGAATCTACTGCAGGGTTTACAGCAACTTACAGTGGGTCTTAATGTTGCAGCAAGCAAATGGCAAGCAATGGTTCGGGAAAACGGCCGAAGCAGGTCAAGGTGGCACGAAAGCACGCTCCTACGTACTACCACGCACTTTAGGATTAAGCTACGAAAGAAGGAGGTACGTGCTAATCCACCCGGAAGATTGAGGATGGATCTCTACGACTCAAACTTTAAAAATACATCTTCACTCACTTATTTTCTTGGATCTTGCAGCTGTCTCAGCCAGTGGATAGTTTTCCTAATTTTGGGGTCGCTATAAAGCATGCAACAGGCTTCTAGAGACGATAACGTGGTTCAGTAGAGAGGACTCGGCATGGTCTCGCCTGTGTTAGCCTACACGGTCATCACATGTTTCTGCATCCCGCTTCCCGAAGGATTGTAGAAGGCCTGGCCAATCAACACGATTTAAGACTACACCACCATGTTCGTGTATTGTTGAATAGCATAACTCGCAGTCAGACTGACTATAGATGACTTGAATTTTGTCCCACAAAGGCGATTTCGAGGGTGTTGCTGATCACTCCATCTTCAAGACCGTTAACGAAGACGCCCAGTCAACGTTGTGGAGAACTCTTGTCACCATCGTCACAAGCTCAAGCCTGGTTCTATCTCGTAGTTGAGGGATTGGAACTGTCACACCACACTATTACACGGTCAGTATATTCCTTGCAAAATCTCGGTATAAACCCGGAAACCACGAAGACGCTTGGGGTACGCCGTATGCCAAGCGCTGGGATGTCCTTCCACTGATGAGAATGAAACGCGCTCCTTCCATGAGCTTTTGCCAAGAGATCCTTGGTCGATGATCATGGTGTATGGGGCGTTCTAGCGACGCTTCCGAAACTTCGGGACATCCAATGACTTATTGTGAACTAGAGGCTGGTATAAGGCGTGCCTCTCGACGTATGCTGTACGACTGATATCACTTCCCTTTCTTCGCGTTCGCACCGCATCTACTATATCTCGACACTCGCAATGGCAATAGCTGAGCAACAGGACTGGCCAGACCGAACGCTGAACATCCTTGTTCTCAACACCCTTTTATGCGTATTGAGTACCGCGATACTCATATGACGACTTGTCTACGGAATCAAGGCTAAGCGGAGGCTTATGTTGTGTGACCATCTTCTCATCGCCGCCACGGTTCGTCACGTGCAACAGCTTCCTTACGGAAAGAAGAGCATACTAATGAGTTTGACCCTAGATGTTGAACATCGTGACCACGGGCCTCCGCTTTCGAACATGTCATCATGGTCAGGGTCGTCATATGGCAGATCCCAGCATTAGGAAACCCTATGATATCTTGAAGTATATGTACTACCTCTGGATTGGGCAAATCCTGAACATCATTGCTATGGGAATACTGAAATATTCCATTTGTGCCTACCTCCTGGCACTGAAGTCCTCACGCGTGTACCTCACGGTGGTGTGGGCTTCGATTCTAATGGTTACTGTATTCAATATGGTATTGCCTATCATGGGATGCTTCTGCAGCACACCATTTGAAGCGAATTGGAACAAGGCTGTGAAGGGGGAGTGCTTCATGAAGGGCGGAACAGGTCTCACATACAGCCAGGTCCGTCCTCTCGGGTAGCTGCGTCTCCTATGGCCCACTGATAACGGAACAGGGAATATCAAACTGTATCACCGATGTGATATACGTCGTCGCACCCATCATATATCTATCAACCATTCAACTACCAAGACGTACGCAATGGGGTCTTCGCATCGTCTTCTGTCTAGGCTTAGCGTAAGCATCTCCAACGTAGACCTCACCTCACATCATATAACTTAAACTTTGGTGCAACGGCCTGCTCGGTCGCGAAGACCGTCGAACTCTCCGCCTTGATGAAGACGCGAGATCCTACATGGGATGGTACCAACCTCTCCATCTGGTCCGCAACTGAGCTCTCGATCGGCGTACTTATCGCTTCTTTACCTCCACTACGAAAGCAGTTCGACACATTCTTCCGACGTATCCTCTCGTTGACCGGTACCAAATCCAAGACGCGAGCCAGTGGCAACAACATACCTCTATACAACGTCAGCAAACCATATACCATCGGCAGTGGGCCAAAGGGTGGTCGCTCGCGATTTAAGGGAGACTATAATGATGACGGAGATAGCGAGAAACATATTTTGGACGACTCTGCGCAGCCTGGCAAGGGCGAGATCGCCAGAACGGCCGTGCATGAGGTGCGCAGTGAGGACAGAAACAGCGTACAAATGCCGGATCGAACAAACAACATGTGTGGATAGCTATGGAGGTTCAATAATTCCCACAACCTTCGCTTTGGGCCTCGTTGGTATTACGAAAGTGACCCGTATTCGTAAAGTCAGAAGCTCGTCATTACCTAGGTAATGCGTATACATTTTCCTAGTCGTATGAAGATGACTCCGCTATCCCTGAAGAAGAGAAACACTTCGTTTGGAGACAAGAGCGAGTAGTGCAATGTGCTGCGGAAAGTCTTGACATCACTTGAGTGCAGTAAGCGGTCAAGGATACCTCTACCCTCCTGACGTCATGGACGTCAACATCGGCATCCTCGTATTTCGAAAAAGGGCGACACAAGGGTCGCAAAACGCCAACTATAGGTAGACGTATTATCTGTTATCTGCCCGTATTCCGCGCGAATAAATAGTTACATTGATACGTGCGTTGCCTACAAATGACACTGGTATTTCGAATCCTCGCAAGCATTGATCGCCATCGGTATGGCATTTAAGGTATATCACACCTGGGTACATCGAATATGTGATATTACACCGCACTTTGAGCTTATGGTACCTGTTTACGCCCGATGTCAGCAAGGGACGGAAAAGCAGACCGTTCCCTGACTTCGAACGGCACGAATTTTGGCTGCCGTATCCCGCTACTCTGGGTCCTCATTTAAGCGCATGCAGCGACGCCGACCATGCCACAATCCTTCGACCTTCCTGTGACCAGCCTCAAGCGTTCCTTTCGACGTGAAAGTGAGGGAGCCCCTTGCTGGTAATCTGGTGAGGCCTTGAGAGCTGACCCCTTTGACCAGCAAGCATAGGTGTCGGAGGGCCTATGGCACTCGGTCTTCAACTCGGAAGAGCTCATATATAGGCGCCTGGAGCGCGTTATGCTGCTATTATCGGTTTCCAGCCAAGATCCAGTCCTCTCACTGTTTGCCCCTGGTAATTTGATTAGGAATAAATCCCTTCGTTCAAACCGCCTCAAATTGCTTGTTCTTCGCTAAAGGCACTTCGCCACTGAAACGACCCACAACACGGCACATTTGAACAAACTGCATATCCTTGAAGCAGTTCCAGTGGGTTGTAGACATATGCCAAGCCTTCTTCCTCGGAATAGCCGCCAGATCAGCCGCGATAGTGAACCTGAGCGAACATACAAAACCTGCGGTTGGTTTCGAAGAGATAAGGACACTATGGTTCCGTGGGCTCCGAGCTGGTGCCATCAGTACGATGATCCAAGGCTCGACTAGAAGATCCTGATCAGTGGTAATCAAGATCAGGAGTTCCGTGTGTTCTCATGTTTACATTAGCCCATTTTCCGCTTGTAGACATGACGACGGCACAGTTTAAAGAGATAGCAGGAGATACCATAGCACAGATAGATCTATACTGACCGCTCACGAAGACGCTGCGCGTGACAACGGAGTCTATCACTGCCATCCGGTAACCGAACTGCTGGTAGGATTCGAGATGAACCTTCCGTATGCCAAGATCTAGGATCTTGATGTTGACAATCCATATAAGCTAACGGAAAGCACCCCATTCGTGGGCGATTTCTGAGCTTCATAATATGGCTCGCTGGGAAACATTGCCATGGCTAACATGCAGTTCACCAAAACCGAACTGTTGGGTCACATGTGAATTCAATATGAAGTGAGAAAGCACTGTTACAAGTACTCCTGTTCGTACGCGCCATTGACAACATTATAAGTGACCTCAGTCCTTGTCGTTCATTTCGTTCTTACCTTTGTTCCATTGCCTGTGAGGCTTCCCTTCAACATGACAGATACCCAACAAGAGTGGCCTGTTCGTCGAGTAGAGATCTTGGCCTCAACCACCTCCCTCTGCGTCATCAGTACTGCCTTCGTCGCCTGGCATATAACTCAGGGAATCAGGACCAAACATAAAACCTTGATCTGTGATAGCCTCCTCGTCATTGCTGTGGTATGTTATCGCATTCCAAGATATTCTCCAACTTTATGCTAACCTCGTTGATTTGAGATACTCAACATAGCTTCCATAGTAGTGCGCTACAAGACAGTCCATGATGGCCTGGGTCGTCACATGAAAGATCCTAGCGTCGACATGAGGCAGTATAGCTACTACCTATGGATTGGTCAGATTCTCAGCATGCTTGCCACCTCGTTTCTAAAGTACTCTATCTGTGCGTACCTCCTCGCTCTTAAGTTCTCCAGAGTGTATTTGGGGATCGTATGGGCAGTGTTGCCAAAAAGCAAGTTGACTTGCTTGCTTGTTCAAACTTGCTTGGTTCATACCAAGCAAGCAAGTCAAGTCAGAGCTGCACAGCGAACCAAGCAAGTCAAGTTAGCGTGCCTTACTTGCTTAACTTGCTTAGTTTACTTAGTTAAATTAACTATAATCGACTATATAGCAGATCTCGCGATGCTTTTTTAGCCTTGCAGTTCTTTTTAGTGCTGCAACTACCTCGGCTATTTCCTAAACAGGCTACAATAGGCTACACAGCTGCTAAAACAGCTTAGCGCCCTACTCCTATCCTAACCTCAGCCTTGTTTTAAAGCCTATCGCGATTTCCATTTTCCTGTATCGACGCTTCTTTCTGGTGTTTTTGACTGCCCTAATATGGCCAAACGCCGTGTACTACATACCTCTTCGAGTAGCAAACGTTTGAGAGTAGCTGCTGCTACCGACGACGTCATCTCAACTCCTGCGGCCTCATCTCAGCCAGCATCTCAGCCAGCATCTCAGCGTCGATCGCCTCGTAAAGCCCTCGCTGCCGTAAGCCAGGCCACTGTCTCGTCGCTAGTCCCTACATTCGAGTCGCAGTTTTTGGAATCGCATGTGGAGGATAATATCGTTGCGCCTACCGAGGGTAGCAGGGCTGTTACGGTGGCTACAACTAAGGCTAGAGACAAAGATAATGGCCAAGATGAGATAAACAGCGCTGCTGATAGCTTTGACGGCATTGACTAGGCTCGTTTACCTGGCTACATGAAGCCACTAGCGGGCTCTAAGCGTCCTAAAAGCTGGATTTTTCGGTATGGCTACCGCGTTGTTAAGCGCCAGGCTACTAATCGGATCTGGTTTGTGTGCAAGTACTGCCACATCCACAAAACTATCGACGCTGGCGGTAGTGGTTTGTTTAATATTACTCAGGCCACTACCTCAGCAGCTACCCATCTCAGCCAGCCAAAACGTGGGCACAACCTCACAAAAGATGGCCCAAAGTCGACGCTAAGAGGACAGGGGCAGCTATCATTGCGGCAAGCTTTTAACGCTGGATTAGAGATGCCTCAGCCTACCGCTAACGCACTCGGAAACTTCGACGTACAAGGCTTTCGAGTAGCTACTGTTATGTGGCTCGTCAACCAAAACCAGCCTCTTAGTGAGCTTACAGCGCCTAATTTTAGAGAGATAATAAGGTTTACCAACCCAGAGGCAGAGGCGGCATTGTGGGTAAGTCACACAAGTGTTTCTACATTTGTAATAAGGTTGTTCAGGTCTATACAACCGCAGGTTGTCAACGCCTTATTAAGCGCAGTAAGCAAGATACATGTAAGCTTTGACGGCTAGACAACAAAAGGTGGTAAACGTGGCTTTTTTAGAGTAGTCGCTCACTTTGCTAACGCAGCTGGAATAATACAAGACCTGCCTATCAACCTGCCTAAGCTCGCTGGCGCCCACACTGGTGAGGCTATTGCTAAAGCTATCTCGATAACCCTCTCAGCTTACGGAGTAACTAGCAACCGATTAGGTTACTTTGTACTAGATAACGCCGCTAATAACGACACTGCAATCGCCGCGCTCGCCCGCAAGTACAACTTCGACCCAGCTTACCGGCGCCTCCGCTGCAGTTGCCACACGCTCAACCTGATTAGCCAGGCTATTATATTTAGTAACAACAAGGACGCCTACGGTAACACTCGAGAGCAGTACAGTACTGAGGAGCAGTACATGCGAGAGTGGCGGAAAGATGGCCCTATAGGCGTCCTAGTTGACGTCATCAACTATATCAAAACGCCGCAGCAGTACGAGCTTTTTCGCAGTTTCCAGCGCCGCGCCAACGACAACCTGCCCACCGAGGAGCGTCTTAAAGTACTCAAGCCCGTCAAGCCTGTTGTTACTCGCTAGAACTCCTACTATGCCGCTTTTGAGCGAGCTACTAAGCTTTCGGCTGCTTATAACTTGTACGCTGAGCATCACATTAATAGGATTATCCTCGAAGACGCGCACGCCAACAAGCAGAACAATAAGCGGCCCGAAGCTCCAAGCTGGATGAGATCAACTGGCCTGCGAGCTGCTGATTGGGCAGTAATTGCAGAGTATCAGGACTGCTTAACGCCGCTCAAGTACGCCACAAAACGGCTCGAGGGCCGCAGCAAAGATGGCAAATTTGGGGCAATATATGAGGTTATACCAGTTTTTGAGTATGTACTCAGCCAGCTTGAGGACCAGGCACGCCCATTTGAGCAGGTCGATTTCAACGCTCACCCAGAGGCCCCCGAGGATCACCTCAAGGTCAACCTCCTCACCGCATGGGCCAAGGCCAACGACTACTACAACAAGCTCGACGCCTCGCCCGCCTACTACGCCGCCGTGTGCCTCCACCCGTACTATAAAACTTACTGCAATGTAGCCTGGGCTGACAAAGCTGGGTGGCTTAGCAGTGCCAACGTGGCGTTTCAGCAGCTCTAGGCGGCGTACAAACCTCAGCGCCCACGCCAGTCGTACACGGCTGTAACGAGTAGCAACAATATAGACGAGGCAATCAGCGCTATACTCGGCAGAAACGTCGGCCAAGAAGCTCCGCTGGACGAGTTTGAGCGCTGGAAAATGCAGGAGCCGCAGTGGACGCAGGAGCAGTATACAGCGAATGGCAATCCAGTCCAATACTGGATTCAATTACTGCCAAAATACCCGCATTTAGCGCAGTTTGCCATCGATATTATGACTATCCCAGCATCGAGCAGCGACTGCGAGCGCCTCTTCAGCGAGCTTGGCGACCTACTTGAGCCAAAGCGACGAGCTCTAGGCAGTGAGCTACTCGCAGCTCTTCAACTGGTGAGATCCTGGGTGCGAGCTGGCTATAAACCAACTATTTATAGTGAGGCTAAGCTTTCAGACAAGGAACTTTTAGATAATTACAATATACTTAAGTGGGACAGTTAGCTTAGTAATGTAGTAGTGTTTAGTCCCTTAGCAGTCAAGTAAATCAAGTACTTAGAAGCAAACCAAGCAAGTCAAGCAAGCAACAAATTGCTCCCAAGCAAGTCAAGTTACGCCTACTCTCTAACCAAGCAAGTCAAGTTTGAGGCAGTGACTTGCTTGACTTGCTTGTTGGCAACTGTGCGTATGGGTGAGTATCGCTATGATTACGACGTTCAGCTTGGTGGTTCCCATGATGAGTGTATTTTATCGCACTCCTATCGAGACCAACTGGAACAAGAGCGTTCCAGGTAAATGCTTCTGTAAGCCTAGGACTACATCACATGACTGCTCTGCAGTCATGACTAATGCGTCCGACTATTTTAGAGCTTAGACACACACTTGTATACACACACAATAATACACTCATACTTGAGACTATACACTACTACCACCTTATGCTTACAGCTTCATGTTAACGGGAAACGTTGGACTATCTTGGACACAGGTTTGTTGGCAGTGGTCTTTGTTGATAGTGAACAGCTACTAAAACAGTGGCAGGGTAGGACCAACATATTTACAGACCTCGTATACGTTGTCGCGCCACTTAGGGTGGTAAATGGGTTGGGGTTAGGTCGGGGTTGGGTTAGGGTTGGGTTGACCTAAATAGGTAATGACTAGCTCCAACTTAGCCTAGTTACTACCTGTTTAGGTCAACCCAACCCTAACCCAACCCCGACCTAACCCCAACCCATTTACCACCGTAGCGCCACTCATCTACCTTTCTACCATTTAGCTTCCGAGGCGTACTCAATGGGGTCTAGGGGTTGTCTTTTGCCTAGGCTTGGGGTTGGTAGAACCCCTGCTTGACTGGCACAACACGCTGACAATATCGTTAGTGCAACTATCTGTTCCATCCTCAAGACGGCCGAACTTCCCGTTCTAACGAAGACTAAGGACCCTGCATGGGACAGCGTTCGTCTCGCGATATGGTCGAGGCTTGAGCTGTCAGTCGGCATATTGATCGCGTCACTCCCACCGTTGCGAAAACCATTTGAATCTTTGTTTCGAAAGGTCATGCCTTCCACCTTCCTTAATAGTCGGTCGAGAACCCGGGGCCTTAGCGGCCATGGCATATCTCTGTACGATGTCAATAAGCCCTTCACGATCGGCAGCCGGCCTAGAGGCGACAAATCACGGATTGATCGTTACGACGACGACGAAGAGAGTGAGAGACATATTTTGCAAGTGCAACCTGGCAAGGGTGAAATTACGAGAACGATTGTACATGAAGTGCGAAGTGACGACAGGAATAGCGTGCAGGTGCCGGATCGGGCGTATAACGCGTATGGCTAGCTATGGCAGTTTGTTGATATCCACGCCTCTAATTTTATTTTGTATATCTTATATTAGCTGGCAACCTATCACACATAGCCACAAAAACAGTACCTTCCTGCCGTCACCTTAACTCTATGTAGTAAGAAGAAACTGGCCATCTTGCTGGTACACCACATACGCTACGATCAACTCGTTACTAATGTTCGTAAATTGTCCTGTTAGTATGAGGGTAGGTCTACTACCCTCGCAAACAAGGAACAGTCTCTTCAGAGATGGCAGGAAGAAGGTGCATCGTAATGTGGGCAGTCTTCACGTCAGTCAGGGGATCAGGGGTAGCACGCGGTCTAGACTATGTCTATAATCCTGACGTCATGGACATGGACATGGACATCAATATCTTTCTCTTTCTATATTTTTCTGCAAACAGCGACTCAGAGGTCTCAGAACGCAGATTAAAGACAAACCTATTTTTCACTATCTGCTGGTATTCCACACAAATGACTGGTCACATGGTCTTGTTCTGGTCGACATTGGTACACCGAGTCACCGAGATACCGCACTGTATGCCGAGGTGGTATCGAAGCCGACAGTATTCTTTCTCCGTCGCACTCGCCGAATTGTGACTGAACCTCGCGGCGGCTCTTCGGGGAGCTATGGACGGGTGTATAAAGTAGCCTGGGTTTATCGTCTTTGTGACGCCTGTCATCCTGAAGTACCGGTTTTTGAAAGTATCGTTTGTATTTCGGAACTTGTGAGTGGCCTGTCTGTGGTAAGGATGAAGACTGAGAGAACGAGTTGCTCGCAGATACGACCAGTCAACTGTATATAGTAGCGAAATTGATCACGACATACAACAATTTGGATAAAGTATAACAGATCTACCAGTGGGCCATATATGATAACCACACGAATCAGGTCCAGGTGCAGGAACTAGGCATCTGGGCATGCGCATCTCCAAGCTAGCGAGAGGAGTAAACGAGAAGGCACGAGCTAGGAAGAAACGTGCTACAGAGACTGATGAGACCGGAGATGGAAGCGGAACGATGAACAGAGGGGAGTAACGACAGTGCTCTGATGGGCTACATCAGAAGAGCATTCTTCATGCTTGGCGCTACGGTCTCGAACTCCATTGCGGACGGATCTTGCGAGGCAACTTCTTTAGTACGATGTACTAGGAGAAGGGGGAGAAAAGAACAAAATTCTAACAAGCCAATGAAAACAAAGACGAGGTAGAGATGAAAGCGCTTGAGAATATATTCCAAGAATGGCACTTGTGTAGAGAGCGGGTGCTGGTACTGCAAGCTTGTGTATGGAAAGCATCCTGCCGCGTCAAAAATTCTTTTCGCGAGTAACAAGCTGTCACATGTGAACGCTCATTGTCTGAAGATAGAACACATCTCAAAATATACCAATGTCGAGTATGGCGTCATGAGGCACGATCGACAGTCAAATGTGGTTTACGCTAGACTAGCATATTTGCGTGACGCGCCTTCTCTACATCCGGCCCAGCCTCCCAACTGTGAGCTTCATCGACAACGTCGTAACACACTGCGCATGACCGCGACTCACTTTGGCTTTAACTCCCTTTTCATGCGTGCAAGTAGATGGCATTACCGTTGCTTGTCTAGAACGGGCAGTCGCAAACGTCACATTGGCCGGAGGTCTATATGTGGAGAGTTCAACGGATGACTATATCTTTTAGACTACAATCTATTTACATCAACAGTATAAAGTTCTCTTTAGCTGCGGCTCTTAATGATGCTCGCGGCCTTCTCGCCGATAGCATACATGGTTGACTGAATGTGCTGAGAGGGGATGAGAGGCATGATGGAGGCATCAATAATGGACAAGTTGTTGACGCCGTAGAAGAGAAGCTTATCAGACACACATCCACCTATCTTTTCTGGCATCATAGGACAGCTGCAAGAAGGATGTGCGAGCGACGGTGTAATGGCTTGTGACTGGACCGAAACATTAATGATGTCTTCGTCACTTGTGTACTGGGCACCCGGCGCGAGCTCCACGGGCGAAAATTTTGCAAGCTCTGGACGGGCCCAGACCTGTCGGATCCAGCGCACTGAAGATGCGAGAATGGCCTTGTCGAGAGGGTTGCTCATCGCGTTGTACAAGATGAGTGGAGGACCTTGGGGATTAGCTGGGTTGATCATAACGGTACCGCGAGAAACTGGCTTCTCGAGAGCGACAAGCTCAAACGAACCAGATGATGGGATCGCGTATTCCGTCATACCAGCCTCAGGGTTCTGGTACAAACCAGCGAGAATCTTCCGCTGGGCGCGGACGCCGTTCAGCAGCTTCTTGCTGTTCTTGTAAATAGAAGGTAGATATGCATCGTCTTTCTGGCCCATCAGTTGCTTAGCCAGGCTGCGGTACCTCTTTGGATCGATCTCGGGAAGCGGGATAAACGCCAAACCATTGCCTCGTGACTGCGTCAACGGTCCTGTCTTGTTTGCGCGGTACTCTGCCCATGCTGAAGCGTTGAAGGCAGGATCGGTATCGAGAGAAGTCGGATTAGGTGTGCTCTCGTTGGAAATGTCGAATACAACACCCATGTACGGGTGGTCTTGAAAGTTCGAACCAACAGCGTCGTTCTCGAGCTTTACAGGAATACCGGCAGCCTGAAGAACAGATTTTGGTCCGATACCGCTGACCTGGAGTAGCTTCGGGGTGTTAAATGTACCCGCAGCCAGGATGACTTCCTGCCTCGCATAAACGACTGACGTCGTGTTCGTCTTCTTGCAAGTAATCTTAACACCCTTCGCAGTGAGTTTCTCACCACTGTCGAATACGAGCTCCGTGGCAAGCGTCTCCAAAAGAACCTTCAAGTTTGAGCGAGCCGACACAGGGTCGTAGTAGGAGTTACGAGCGTGTGATCTTTCGCCAGTCTCGGGGTTATATGTGTTAGCCCACCAGGACGCGCCGTACGCATCTCCATTGTTACCGTCAAGCTGCATTTTTGCGCCTGCACCTTGGAAGGCTTTAAAGTAGTCTTTGATATCGGGATACTGGAAATCCGAGATACCGAGCTTCAAAGGGCCGTTTCCGTAACTGATAGTGAATGTTAGCGATGGTGGAGCATTGAGAAGAATACGCTAACTTACGCCGTAGGATCCCAGGACATGTTGAATTCCGCCGCCACGTCTGCGGGTGGTGGGATAAATGTTGTGCCCTTCTTGAAGAAAGGGTACATGCCTTTCCAACCCCAGCCCTTGTTTCCCAGCGCCTCCCATGCATCGAAGTCGGCAATTGAACCACGGTCATACGCCATGCCGTTCACGATAGAACCACCACCAAGCACCTGCGCTGCAAGACCAGCATATGTAAGGTTGGCGAGGAAAGGCTCCGGTTCCGCGACGAAGTTCCAAAAGAGTGTGGTGTTGATGGGATAAGTGGCGGCGTAGGGCAAACGGATGTTCATATTGTCATCAGCGCGGCCGGCTTCGATGACGAGAACGCTCTCTATGGATTAAGTTAGCATTACTGAGGCTAATGGAAGCTGTCGCTGATGTTGAAGGAAACCGCTAAGCCGGACTTTCGGCAACCTCAATACAATGACCGACTTACTCTTCTTGTCTTCAGAAAGACGATTTGCAGCCACAAGTCCAGTAATACCACCACCGACAATCACATAGTCGTATGTGTTCTTGTCGGCACGTTTGTGCACTGGAGCGACATCGCTGGGTAGAGCACTGGCGGTGCCTAGTAAGGCGATGACTGCTACAGTCGTTCGTGGAAACATTGCGAAGAGGCGTTCCGGGAACCAGGAAAAGCGAGAGACAAAGTCAAATGACAGTAGAGTGCAGCCATCTTCGCTGGAGTCTCTTGGCCTTTTAAGAGAATCGAGAGCGCAAAGATGGCGAGCATCTGCCGTCTTCCCAGATCATTTCTGGTCCCTGGATATGCACGAGTCGTGTGTATACATCAACCAGTCGCCGTAACGTCCCTTACAGATGTCGGTACTAAAGCTCCGGCCATAGATATCAGAATATAAGTTCTGGCCACGCGAGAGAACGATAGCCGCGCCGCTTTTTCTGCACAATGGCATGAGCGAGGCGCGGTAGATGGGGTATGAGTTCGCGAGATTAACCGACATGGGTGGCTTCCGGATCCCACAATCCCTTCCCTCGCGGACGGGACGCCAGCTGCCGTCCCGCTAACCCTGCATCTCACCGTTATCCCTCCATTCAAAGTCTGTTCAACTTGTAACATACATCCAGGAAAAGAGCTTAGGTTTAATATCTGAGAGAACAGCCTTATCGAGAGACCTGGTATTGAAAGTTCAGACGTGAAAAAATAATTGACAGCATTAACGACAGCTAGTATTTTGAAGCATCCGTTTTTTCGTACTCATCCTACGCTAACTACCAGTATGCTGGATGTCCGAACGCACTCGCCGTACATGTCTTCATTGGAGGATAAAAGTAGCAAGGTACTTGCTCCTTCTCCTTCTGTGCGAAATTTGCGCATGAGCGGCGCAGCGTGCAGGATGCCGGAAACACATTGCGGCGTAGTTGCGCCGCATCAACCCACGTGTTTTACCGCGGGTCTTTCAAGCAATGTCATATACTTTCCATCTATTCAGCAAATCCGAGCCATTACTGCATGTCGTATGTTATACTTCGAGATTGGAGTATGTAATGCAAAGTTAGGTAAGCTCACACCAACGGGTTCGCCACCCCTGTCGACGGAGTGCGAAGAGAAGGGACGGTTCGGTTGACAGTCGAACCATCGCTAGTCCGGCCTGCTGCGTCCAATACTCAGCCCCACCCGCAACTAGCGCAATGCAGCAATACTTGAGATGTCACGATCCTTCGTCTCGCACTTATGCACGATGCAGCAAGCATTACTTGGAGGTGGCACAGCAAGATGTCATGATCTTTAATTCATGTTACGTACAGAAAGACGGGAAAGTTGAGTACAGAATGTGCTTGCTTAGAGATCACTGCGGAAAGCAAGCAGATCGCTAGGCTGACTTGACCACGAGTTGCTTACCACTGAGCTCAAAGAACCGAACCGCATTTAGACCTTCGAGGGCCGCACCAACGTTGGTTGATTTTTACCCTGGTCATTTAATTCACCTTCAAGAACTCGACTACGATCTCGCTTGTATCTATGAGATTGCCACAATGACATTTGGACGACTTTCTGAAGTGACCAGTGGGCAGCTGTCCCTCAGCAACCGCAGGCGAGCCAGGGAATGCCACCAATCACTCTAGCCATAGCCATGGTTCTCCTACATAAGAGATGCCATAATCCATAGTACATGCATGTAAGCGAAGACAATATGTTATGTTGGTTTTGTGCTGTTGGTTTTGTGATGTTCACTAGCAGCAATTACTTCAAGCTGACTTGAGGGAGGGATATTCAGAATGCATGGAATAAATCCTGTACGGATCTTGCGGAACGAGATCTCCAGATCAAGCTTCTGGACCGCAGAATCCTCCAGCTTATACATGCGGCACAGTTTAACGAGATATAAGGAGAAATACGATAGCGTTCTTACCATATCGTTTAGCCACTCACCACGAGCTCCACACGGCACACGATCTTGTGAACCGGGTGGCTAAAGGAATCAAGCTACATGTTTCGTTGCCGAAGTTCCTGAAAGCTTGGCCTCACAGAACGACCTCGGGACGCATCCTGTTCGAGACGGGTGGCTGTCAGATTGTTGGTGATTGAAGTACGATTGCCCCTGCAATGGGTTGGTTGAAAACTATCCAGCGTCTTGGAACGCTTGCAGGCGTCAAATGAGCCGTGTTTTCATCAACCATATGTCTCAGTAGTCGTGCGATCGAAGTTGGACTTTGTGATTCTCCGCCCGCGCATGTTCCTCATCGATTACCTTGCAAAATGACGGATGCGCAGCAGCAAGAGTGGCCAGATCGTCGACTCGAGGTTCTGATTCCAAGTTACATACTCTCTTCACTAAGTACCTTTACTCTTTCTTGGAGAATCGTGTACGGTACCAGAACTAAGCGGAAGCTTTTGATATGCGACTATCTTCTGCTCATCGCTGCCGTAAGTCGACGCATGGAATCCATTCTATAGGGAGAGCGCTGACAATCACACTTCTAGTCCATGGACCTAACTGCGGCGTACTTTCGCTGGAAGATAGTCCAATACGGCCAAGGACGCCACATGAAAGATCCCAGTATAACGCCAGGGGACTTCCTGAACTACAGCTACTTTCTCTGGATTATTCAGATCATCAATCTTGTCGGCGTCGCAATCCTCAAATTCTCCATTTGTGCTTACCTGCTTGCCCTCAGATTCTCGAGAGTATACTTGGGGTTCGTGTGGGCGAGTATCATAATGGTATTTACATTCAATCTACTCATTCCGATAATGAGTGTATTCTGTTACACGCCGTTTGAGGCGAATTGGAACAAGGCGATGCCAGGGAAGTGTTTCCTTTCGACAGGGGCTACGGGGCTAGCATATACACAGGTGATCATCCGTTTCTCGGCTTTCGGAGTGCAACTGCTAATGTTAACCAGTCGGCTTCGAACATCATAACAGACATCGTGTATGTGGTTGCACCTATACTCTATCTCTCTACGATACAGCTGCCTCGACGGACGCAGTGGGGCTTGCGGGTGGTCTTCTGTTTGGGTTTAGTGTATGCCAATCGTCCCAGATGTTCCTTCAGCACGCTAACATTTCGCCAGGGTGACGACCTGCTCAATCGTAAAGGCTTCCACACTTCCCGCCCTCCTCAGCACTAGAGATCCATCATGGGAAAGCACAGATCTGGTGATCTGGTCTGGAGTCGAACTCTCCGTAGGGATTTTCATTGCCGCCCTACCGCCACTACGAAAACAGTTCGACTCGCTGTTTCGGCGTATCATGCCCTCCACTTTCCTCAACAGCAAACCTAGAACACGCGCGGCTAGCGGCGTGATACCGCTTTACGATGTCACCATAGGTAGTAAAACAAATCGTCGGAAAACTCGCAAAGGAGATGCAGAAGACGACGGAGATAGTGAGCGCCGGATATTGGGAGAGCACGGCAAGGGCGAGATCACAAAGACAGTGGTTCATGAGGTGAAAAGTGAGGACAGAGATACTATACAGGAACCGGATCGAATATTTGACTACAAATGAAGCAGATATGGAGCTAGGCAGCATTGCAGAGTTGATCTGGGCGCCCAAATGACAGCGTAGCCCTCTGTGCATACTAATCGGGCTCTTATCCTACCATCGCATGTTGTTGCAGCACTCACAATGCCGAGAACGGTGAAGAATCTCACGTATGATATTTCCTTGAGCTATGTAGTAAAAACTGTAAGCGCGTATGTCGCTGGCGCCCATGTTTCTCCCAAGCAGCTACTACGAGAATCGCAATCTCCAACGCGAATGCCTTCTTACGTATCAGGAGCTTTCTCGGGAATGAAACTTGTGCCTTTAAAGATCAAACTTTAGCAGACTTAATGCCTTACTTTACGACACTCGAAAGCTGCGCACGATTCAGGATATGTCTACGTTAGTGACGTCATTGATATTGACATCGGTGTTTTGATATTTCTATCTCTGCCCGCATCACGCGGCCCAGAATATTAGAACGCCGACTACGTATAGAAATATTCATTATTCCCTCATTCATCATGCACATGACTGGTTACAGAAGCGTGTTGTGGTCGACATTGGTATACCGAGTCACCGAAATACCGCACAGCATGCTGTCGGGAGCCGTGGGCGCCGAGACGGCACGCCTAACGGTATACCTCCAAGGCTACATAAAGTAACTCGATGTCAGCTATGGAAATGGGACAAGTTCTCAAATCATATCAGCTTAGTCAAAACACTCCAATCCAACGTACATAACCTACCATGACTTCTCCTGTTCTCGTTTTCGGACCAACTGGAGGGGTGGGCAGCGCTGCTGCCATTGAAGCACACAAGCGCGGTAGCAAAGTTTATCTCGCTATGCGAAACACAAAGAAGGAACTTAAAGGGATTCAAGAAGATGGGAATAGCTACGTCCGGATTCAAGCTGATTTAGCCAAGCCTGAGACGATCAAACAGGCCGTCAAGACCTCTGGCGCAAAGACAGCCTTCGTGTACGTCATATATGAGACTAAGGATGCCATGCGGAGTAGCTTCGAAGCGCTGAAGGAGGCCGGTATAATGTACATTGTGCTCTTATCATCGTTCAAGGTCCAAGACCCTCTAACCTCGGAGGCCAACAAGAAGGATAATATCGCCGCTTTCCATGCAGCGGCCGAAGGCGCATTGAGAGAAACGGGCGTCCCATACGTGGCTGTGCGACCTGCATGGTTCAACAGCAACATATTTTGGAACGTCGAGGACATCAAGAAAGGCGGAGTCGAGGTCCTCTATCCCAACGTAGTGTACGACTACCTCGCTCCCTCAGACATAGGCACGGTGTGTGGCACACTCCTTACAGAGCCACGTTTACAGAAAGAAGCGGGACAGTCGATCTACTTGTGTGGTCCGAAGCTTATGACGCAACATGAAGGCTATGCTGTTCTTAGCAAGGTATTGGGGAAGGAAATCAAGATCAAAGAGATTGGCGAAGAAAGGTTTTCCCAGAAGTATGGGTATATGCCTAAGCCGGTACTCGACACACTGGTGCGGGGCATGAGAGAGAGCAATTCGGGACACGACAGTTATGCGGAGATTTATGACAAGGGCGTGGAGAACTTGAGAAAGTACACAGAGCGCGAGCCGACAAAGTTCGAAGACTGGGTCAAAGAGAACCAGGCTGCATTTACGTAGCTTGCACGCTATTGTCCGCCGAGAGATGTATATAGTGGGCACATGACTTAGGACCAGAAGGCATACGTTTAGGGCCTCATCGGAATGACGTTAATCTCCATGAACCAGACCAAAAGCAAAGTGATCAGCGCAGGTGTCAGCTACTAGTCGGTCCAGAAATAGTATCGCGCGCGTGCCCTGCATGACCTTCCCGAGGCCAACGCAGGGATCTAGATCATCACTTGACTGCTGAAACGCAGCAAGCGCCATCATTCACCACCACGACACAAACCCCACAATCTCCTTTTATTCTTCTCAAACTACGCAGAGCTGTCAACTGAGATATCGAAACATTGCTATCGCGACCTCGAAACCCACTAAATCGACGTCATGGCAGCGACAATCGAAGTATCGCCGCCAGCGCCTCCACTACCCACGAAACACGTCCCAAACGATGCGCACACGCCAAGCTGTCCGTCGTGTGGCAGTAGTATAGATATGGCCGAGCTCCAAGACGCGAAGCAAAGGATAGAGGAGCTGGAGGCGCAAATGGAGCGCCTGAAGGAGAAGGCAACAGCAGCTGGTACGCTCCCCATTGTGCGCCAAGCGTCACACCACACTGGGGGCCGACACAGGACTAACAACCCACAGTCGACAGATGCGCCGACTACGAAGACCAAATACGCAGTCTCCAAGCGACACAAAGCGCCCCTAAACTCCCCCGTACCCAAACCTCACAATCCGATATCGTCAACGCGACTTCTCGCCCCTCCGTCGACGTCGATCCCCCACGTCCCACAACTTCAAGCTCCACAAAGGCCTCTCGCTTCTCCTTCATTACAAACCGCTTTCCATCGCCTGCGAATACGGGGTCTATGCCTCCGCCTCCGCCACCGAAAGACGCTTCCAGCGCTCCGCCAATCGACTACACCCTACTCAACGAGCTAGAGCGCGAGCGTGCCCTACGCGCCAAGGCAGAAGCACGCGTTCAGACAGTAGACTCGGAGATCGAAGAACTTAGTGTGCAATTGTTCAGCCAAGCGAATGAAATGGTTGCAGAAGAGAGACGAGCAAGAGCTAAGCTGGAAGAAAGGGTTGAGACTTTAGAACGTAGGGATAGGGAGAAGATGGGTAGACTGGATCGGTTGGAGAAGGCCGTAAGCAGGGTGGAGAGAGTCAAAGCGTTGCTAGGAGAAAAGGAAGATATGAGGAAAGAGGCAGCTGCTGGTAGCGCGTTGCTGTCACCGCCGGTTAGGAGGTGATGAGATGCAAAGGTTTGTTGTCATCGTTATTGTCGTCGTTGTTCTTCCGTGTCATTTGTTACGATACCCATTTAGTTTTGATCTTCTGCATCTTAGTATAGCGTTTGGCGTGGCTGATATCATCAACGGTGCATTTTGGCGTGTGGATGGTTGTTTGATATAGGTACCTGAATAGATGAATCATCCTCTGGCTCACAACAAAAGGCATTCGCTTAGAGTTCTTGATGTGGGACTGCAGTCTGCGGGCTTTGTGTAACACAAAAGCACGCATATACCTTGCTTCAAATCTGACTGCGAGGAACGAACCTGATTGTCGCATTGCATAACACAATGAGAACGAAAAAGTAGCAAGTGAACTCTGCGAAGCTCTGCCAGCTACAAGCTCGACGCGACACTGCAAAGTATCAAAGGGTGCGATCAAGAGAACAACCCTCTGGCCATTCACTGTGACGACGTTGTTGAAACTTCAGAGTTCCCATCTCAAGCGATCTCCCACAAGCTAGCCTTGATAATTTCGACACACCCGCACTTCGCATACCTTCCCTCTCTTTCTGCCCATCTCTAGCGCCACCCCCACCCATCCGGAGAGAACCACCGTACCCCCACACAGAGCCATAGTCCCAGACCATTGACTCACGTACTCTGTGCTTCTTGGTCCTCAATCGTTGTTCCCTGTGGGGGCTATTATAGACCATCCCCTTCATCTTATGTGGTACCCGTTCCTGAGCCGAACGTGTTGCACTTCTGGTTCGCGCCAGCTGACCCGCAGCCTGTAACGTCCTTCTGATTGCCAACCATGTCCGGGTGACGTCCGGTAGTACGCAGCCTTGTTGTGACATACTGTTATAGTTCCCATGATGTCTGGTGCATTGCCCGTTCAGAAGTTCTAAATAAGACTTCTGGATTCGAGTTTGATAATGCGAAAGACGCAGCGCTGATGATCCCGAGACAAGGCAAAATAATAGTATCGCATTCGGTATACTCTGTTGGGAGTCAGATGCGGCAGTTGGGTGTGTGATTGATCGGGACAAGTATGGACATGGTCTTCCAATGGTCTGAAGACAATGTCAGCTCGCTTGTCTCGATCGATTACGAGAGCGCAAGTACGGTAGCCGGTAGGCCGCCTCTACACAGCGAGGCCCCCCTCGCTACAAATTCTAGGTCCTGTGAAGGCTTTGTGCGATTGAAGCCTCTCCATGGGCTTCGGAACAATCTTCCGCGAAGTATGAGCATCTAATAACTGCGTGATACTGCCGCTGCGTAATCAACTTGCTCTTCCAATCCTGCTCTTGATGACTATTCTGCTATGACTTTAGCAGCAGACCGAGCCAGTGGTCTTATTGCTTACGCAACAGCTATCGTGATATACCGTCATCTCGTTGTGGCTACATGATGCTCGCTCAGATACGGTGCACAACGAATATCAATAGACCAGTCTAGAGGCCTTCGCGGTACTCCCACTAGCAGTCTGTGGTGCGGGTTGCGTAGTGTAAGTGGTTTCCACGAACAACTGTGGAGCAATCATGACCTAAGGATCTCCCAACGACCTCCAGGCCTCAGGCATGATGAGGCATTTCGCTACTCGTTGAAGTGTACGGCTCCGTTATCGAGCCAGTCTTCAGTATCCAGGTTGATCCAAAAACGTGGTGTTTGGAGGCGTATTCTTACCGTTCTGGATGGTGGTAGCTTGGTGGCCATGATCGTGGAATGGTTCATCGTATCGTAGACCCAGTGCATCCCTAGTCCTGGTGCCAGCATTCTTTGAAGACTCATGGGCTGTTGGGAAGTTCTGCGATGGCTCTCATAATATAAAACGAAACACTTTCCTGCCTCCTAGTCTCTTTTCTTTCCTTTAGTAGATATCAGCCTTGCTCAACACACATCAAGTCTGATATTGGAGCCTCTTTAGAAGTACCACCACCAGCAACAACTACAACAGCCACCACAACCAATACTACTATCACCAACATAAGAGTAAAGCCAAGTACTTTACATCCCGCTGTCAAGTAAGATATACCAAGCTACTTACAAAAATCAAGCACATCCTAACAGCCATTAGAATGCCTGCCAAATACGCCAAGAACAAGTACAGTCGCCCGGGAGAGAGGAACCATGACCAAGCCATGGTTGCACAACAGGACAAAGTAAATGGTGAAAAAAGGGCGGAGGCATACGAAAACCTCATCAACTCTTGGCCTTTGCGCCGGCCTCCCTTTGGGGTTTACCGCAGCTTTCGCGGAGATTTCATGCAAATCGTCAAGGCTGGTGACGATTTCATGCGTCAGGATTTCCCTGCTTCCCAGCAGGCATTGGAACCTGGCTACCTTTGGATGCCCGCTTTGGTGCTTGGATTCCCCGGAACGTGGTTCCACGAGGAGAGCCAATATGGCTTCGATGAGTTCCAATACGTTTTGGTGGAGCCAATGGCGGTTAGCTTTAACTGTGTAGGGACAGATGGGGATATGGAGATATACCAGCGTAAGCCGATAATCATCTCCACAAACGCCATGAAGGAGACCGTATGGGAAGCGGTTTCGATAGACCAGTTTGATCCGTCTCAAGAATATTTCTCCGTGTCACCAAATGGAGACACCCAAACGCACCCTGCTCGGAATTACTTTCCGACCCCAAGTCCGTCTCCAGGTGCCGCCACCGTCCTTGCTGTCGTCCCTGGACAGCAGCTTGATACCGCTGGGGACATATTCCCCCCTTCCCATTTCGAGTACGACGGCATGGATTACTCGACTGGCTATGACAACCCTATCAGCAACCTTGGTGACGGCATTGATGTCACGTTTGGCAACGACGTCGCTGTCCCTAGCCTCAACGACGGCGCCGACCTCTCCTTTGGTGACGACAACTCTGCCGGCAACCTCCCCGACGGCTTCCAACTCTTGGTTGATTTCAACAACCCTGTGGACACCCCCGCCCAGACGGATAACGCTTCGTATCCCGGCTACGCGCCCGCTCAATGTTGGAGGCAGAGCTGAGTTTTGAAAGCGAGGGCCTTCGGGCATAGGTTTCGTGTTTGTGAGGGCTATGCTGATCAGATGTCGTTCTGGGGATTTCCTTCTGCTTGTTCATTGCTAATTAATAAACATATCATCCCCAAACGTAGTCAGCATGCTTCACATATGATGTTTGATATAGATACACGTCCTTGGAGTTTAACTACCTGCTCCAGACAACTAATATCTCCAAAGACACAACAGCCGATCATAGAAGCTCGTAGATATGAAGGTACGTTGACCTTGACTATTGAGCTCTGGCTGAGAGTCACTGCCATAGTTCATGCTTTCATGCTCCTCAAACTTGGCCAGTACTTCAATCTGCCAATCCTTGGAACCGCTCTTGGTGAACCTTACGATCCTGGTACCAGCATGCATGCAACTGACAAGCAGTAGGATAGCCTCTGGCGGTGGTTCTGACCTCCATTTCTCAACACCATGGTGCGCTGGCAGCTTGGGGTTTCGATCCAAGAGCTTCAGTCGCCATACGCCACCACCAAGGTTGGCTTCCGCTAGAACCTGGCGACGACCTGAGATAGGTACGTGAAGAAGCCGGATATGATCATCATAGCTGCCAGTGATAATCAAGCCACCTTCGCTGTCAAGGTGCACTGGGAGAATAGCAGTGACGCCGGCACCGTGTATCTTCCCATCCATCCAAGGTACGCTTCCTCCAGAGCCATCTGAAAGCTCAGCAAAACGGAGTGCGCTGTCATCTCCGCCCGACAGCAGGCCTGAGCCATCCGGGAGGAACGCCAGAGTCCAGGCTTCCAGATCATGCGAAGCGACCTCCATCTTCGTAGGCGCATCGGACTCTTCTTCCGTGTCGATTACACCGAGACATACCTGCCCATTTGATAGTGTCATACCGACCATGAAGGACTCTGGATGCCAGGTAAACGCGGTGATGAGTACATCCTCTGGAAAGTACTGGATGGTCTTAATATGGGCAATCTTGGGGTCCCGCTGCCATGATTGGAGCTCGTAGATCGCGAAAGCTCCGGTCGATGTCGCAACGCCAAAATTAGAGCTAGTAACGTGCGTCAAGAAATGGATGTCCAAAATAGCTGATGGCGTAGATAGGGTTTGGATGATGTTACTGCACGATGTCAGTATCGAGTTTGGCTACGTCCCAACTGCTACATCAAGTTTGTAAATTATCTCACATACACGATATCACCATCAACTTGTACCAATATCAGACTGCCATTACGCTGCTGATTTTTGGCGCTCACTTTTCCATCGTGCGGAGCACTGCCCGCGGATTCTTCCTCATTGGGCTTTTCGAGGTTGTAGGTGCCGACTATCGCATACTGTGGATTCAGCGGGAAGAACTCGATACAGCTAGGAGGCAAGTCGAGCTTGAAAGACGTAAGGGACCGTATCGAAGACATGTTGCTGAAGATGATGTGCGTTAATTTGTCTGCCTCTCATTTCGGTTAGTGGGGGGTATAGTGACTAAGCGCGGTGACGCAACCTTGGACCATCCTCAACCCGCAGTTTCCCTCCTACTCAACTCCACGCTGCTTTGCACATTGCAATAGCTTCAAGCGCGTGTGACTTTGATGAGATCTCGACAAACTGCGCTTAGTATCTGTTGCTGATGTCAACGCCGTCGAATTGATGCCTTGCTAATCCCTGGCATCGCCACATCGTTGCCTAGACTAATCCCAAAGCGTGCAGCACCTGACCGCGCGACATACGTCGCTCAATTCTATTAAAGAAGCCTATGCACGCGTTTTTTCGTGTCTCATCAACTTCAGACGCGTTTCACTTCTTCTCGATACCTCGTAAAACTGAACGAAGTGCAATTGACTTCCAGCAATCAGCAATGACCGACATCAACGTCCCAGAAGAGACCTTTGCCTCTGGACGCTACTCGAAGCGCAAGCGCACCCAGGTCACATACCATCTCGACGAACTGGAATTTTCAGACTCGGAATCGGAATTCGACAGCCCACAGGCAAAGGTTCGATGCACCTCTGTGGGCATTGGAAGTACCAAGACTGACCAGCTCTCAATAGAAGCGGACGGTCAAGGCAAGCTCCAGACCACTTCCCAAGCGCAAGGTCTTCCCTTTCATGGAACTTCCAGCGGAAATTAGGAACATGGTCTACGAGTATGCTCTTACAGATCCTTCTGGCATCAATCTCGTCGGCACATTCAAGCACAAGCGCCGTACAGTCGAACGCGTATCAGCCAAGTGCGAGGCAGACATATCACAAGACAGAGATTATTCAGACTCATTTCTTATAAATGATAGCATCCGAAGCCAACACGAAAAACCAGCCCCTCTTGGCCCGTCGCTCCTTGCTGTGAGCAAGCAGATCCACCAAGAGGCTGTCGACACTCTGTACGGCAAGAACGAATTCATCTTTACCGATAGCTTCGCCTTGTACAACTTCATGATCAACCTTGGCCCCAGAGGCGCCAAACACCTCAAGACGCTTCGCCTTCGAGGCTGGCTTTATGGCCGCGCAACAAAAGCATACAACCACTCCTGTTAGTGACTCCCCTGCATGAACTGCATATGAGATATATACTGATTTTGTATCTACAACTTGTAGGTTTCGCCGCACTAGTCTGGGCTACGAATATCACCGCATTCCACTTCGACACGCGAATCGGTTGGTATCGCGCATCCAAGTATGGAGCTGAACAACTCTACCGCGATGCATTCCCGTGGATGGAGGCCGTAGGATTGGCAAAGGGCAAAATCGATGCTGTCGTCGATATCATACAGCTTGACGATTATCATTTCGACAACTTTCGTTATCGCTCCGGCTTTGCGTCTCAGACAGATGTGCCTAATGAGGAGAAGCTCGAGGAATTCAGGACAGCGTTGAGGAAGTCTCTCGGCGCGCAACAGAAACGGGTCATGGCGCCGGCGGTGAAGAAGAGCAAAGTCACCAAGAAAGTCGTTGTGGATGAGTAGTGGGTATATGAGGAGAGGTGATGGCAGAGCAGGCCTAATGACTTCACAAAAACCACGAGCGATGACGGGCATTCAGAGGGGGAGACGGCGTTAAGCTTGGTGGGTTCTGTTCAGAATTGGTCGTTGAATATGCGTTTGCTTTCTTGACGTTGCTGCCCAGATAATTACTATGCGATAATTCTAGTCGGAGTCAAGGTTTTTGGACAATGCGGCAAGGCACGGAGAATTAGATTATATTCACTCCACAGTGTGGACTAAACTAGAAAACGTCCTTTCCCAGCAGCAGCAGCAGCAGCAGCATATGTGCAAGACGTAGTGCCAAGTACGTACATTAGGTATTAAGCCATCCATAACCAGACATGCACAGAAATCGTGAAACGTAAGCTTCGTAAAGCATAGCCATGCCCGCATTATATGCAAACAAGTGTGAAGACGCAAAGCGCAACGCGGTCTCGTATCTTCGTCTCACTTCAACACCAACCTCGCCAACATAACCCGTAACGCCTCGGCCCCTTCTTTGCCATCCTGCCCCAACTCCCTCTCAATATTCCTGACATGGTCATCCGTCTTACTCCTCAGCTCCCCAATAACACCCTTGCTATATTCGAAGCTCCCTTTGCTCTCCATATACCTCAGCGCATACCTTTTAACCTCCTCATCCGTAGTTTTTTGCTTGAGGATGTTGATGAGAATCTGGTTGCTTGGATCGGCTCTTATGGCGTGGATGACGGGGAAGCTGAATTTGCCCTCTGTGAGGTCTTCGCAGAGACCTTTGAGGGTTGTGTAGCCGGATGTGGGCGAGAGGTTTAGGTGGTCGTCTAGGATTTGGAACAGTAGGCCTATTGTTGAAACGAGGGGAGTGCAGTCGCTGCGAATGTGAGTCAGTTGGGGTGAAGATGGGGTGGACAAGGGAGAGGAAGTGAGGACAACATACATGTCTGTTTTCGACTCGGCTTGCATGAGCTTGATGGCTAATCTGAATAGTCCGCCTGTCTTATTCCCTACCATCTCTAGGTAGTCTGCCTCACTTGGACATGTCAAGCTGTCCCTCCAGTATAGGTCCATACCCTGTCCGCGGTGCAGGTTCAAGAGCTCCTCGGTGAATATCTCGATGAGCTTGGGGTTGTTCATGGAGAGGAGAAGGGAAAGAGCGCGGAAGTAGACGTAGTTTGCCGAGTTGATCGTTTGCGGGGTACCGAAGATGGAGTGAGCGACCGGGATACCGCGGCGGAGGAGAGAGGAGTCTTCTACGTCGTCGACGCTGGGGGGGTCGTTAGTTGAGAGAGGGAGAATGCGAGGTGTGTATGCCTACAGTAGACTCGCGGTATGCAGCATGCCCACTACTTTGGTAATAATTTCAAGTCTTTCTGATGGTACCTTCAACCACAGGTTAAAGGCGGCAATGCATTGACTCCGTATATCCTTGCCGGGGTGTCCATACAGGTAGTCGTAGGGCCCCAGTAATATGCGCTCTTTCGCCTCTGTCCACGCGACCCCGTTGCCGTATATCAGCTCTTCGCCTATGTCCTTGACGTGTTCTGATGGTGGAGAGAGTGGCATGGGGTAGTTTGTGCTGACTTCGAAGTTCGCGCCGGCTTGAGTATTGTTCATGGGCGAATCCATGTCGGTGTGCTCGATGCGGGGAGGCGAATTCAACTGCGAGGCCAAGGTTGGGGGTCGAGGATGTTGTAACGACTGTTGTTGGAAAGGCGCATTCAAAGGGTCCGCAGAGTGGCTCGTCTTGCTTTTCTTGCTCTGGCCCAGCCAATCAATCTCGCTCAGGGGACGCAGGACGCTGCTTCTGGAAGGTTGCTTGGCGGCGGTGTTCGCGTTCAAGTTGAGCATGCCCGTGGAGCTTGTGCGGGGTGGGATAGCGTTGGGCGAGGCGAAAGGGTGGTTTGGGGACGTGGCCGGCATGATGGAGGGAAGCGCGGAGGTGCCGGACAGTGTTTATAGCACAGGCACACCACTGCGCAGCCCTCCTCTTTCTTGGTTGACCTGCCTGACAGGTACACAGCACCGAGGCTCGTGACAATGCAATGACGGGTGCTGTGAACAGATAGGGTTACCCTCGCAGCGATTACTTCGAGGCTGCAGGATGCGCTGCGAGGACGGGGCGGAAAACCGGCGCAGCAAGGTGTCAGTTGCTCTTGGATGCCCAGATGCGGAGTCCTCGGGGCGCGTTCTCTCGTCGTCGCTGCTGATGACGTGGAGCTAAGAGGGAGGTTGAGGACGACGCTCGGGTAGCTAGAGGCATGATTGCGGCCCCAAGGCCCTTTTTGCAGCGCATCACTATCATACCGAGCTCTCGATCAAATGCACATGTCGAATGCATGGGAATGCATGTATGACGGCAGGCGTCGCTTAGCCCTGTACATCAAAGCTGCTAACTTTGTTTAGTTGGCAGGACCCTCATACAGACAGAGCACAGCTCAGGGCGGGATCCGACGCCAGCCTTTTTGCCCAACACTTTGGGTAAATCAATCACAAACGCTGCCACGTTATCCTTCTTTTGAGCCGGAGAATTAATGCACCCCTCTGGTTCACCTGCATCGGGAATGCGCGCCACCTAGCAAAAGCAAAATATAACAGGGCACGTAGTCCGATTGCGGAACTCATCTCTATATCCTGTAGTCCGTCTTTCATTGCAATCCATCCGCAGTCCAGAAACAGCAGAACAGAGCTGCCTCCGGTGCAGCATTAGTTATTATACAGATCAAAGATGTGTGTTACATGAAGAAGAGGAAGAAGAAGGAGCTTCAAGCCTGCCAGATGGTCTCCCCAAATATGACGGGTATGCAAGGGAAATGGGCAAACTAGAGAAGATGTAGTAGTCGAAAGGATGCAAAGAGAGAGATACAACCCCAGTTTAGAACCATTTTGTATCCAACACAACAAGGGAAAGGTGATGCCTGATGCTGTAGTCGTACGTCGTAACAAAGAAAACTCGAGAGAGGGAAAGGAGAGTGTTGTGCCGTGGAGGCTGAGGATTGAGGTTGAGGTGGCAGCGACAAATCACAGCGCTTGGTTGTACGCAAGCCAGGCATCATGCGCTTCCCGAAGAACTAAATCACAGTTAGCAGCTGACGCAGATATGTAGAGGACCAACACCTACTCTGCAGAACCTGAGCTTGCGCCATGTACGTCTCGCATGCGCACTGCAAGGTTCGCCCGTCCATGAAGTCAAGGACTACACTGTTAGGAAGTTCTTGTCGATCTTGGTCAGGTGGGTATGGCGTGCGGAAGTCGCTGAGGTGGAAGCGCTTGACGATGCCCTTCTCATTGTGCTTCGAAGGACTGAGGACGAGGTTGCCCAAGGCATCAATTTCGACCCATCGTCGTTTCCAAAGCTGCATCGAGTTAGGCCGTGTTCAACATGCATGTCTATTAGAGACTCACCAGAGTGTCCGGGAACTGAATATTTAAATCACCAACATGCACAGGTGGCGGTGGCTCCCGTAGCGATGCCAAGGAAGTAGAACGCATGTCGTTCTCTGGAAGTGCCAAATTGCTACTCGAGTTCTTCCAAGGCATAGCAGCCATGGAAGAAGACATGCGCTTGAACATCTTGCTGGTGCGAGAATCCTTCTTGTCTTTCTTGTCCTTCTTGTCGTCCTTCTTATCTTCGCCATCATGGCTATGTACCGACTTGGACTCGCTCATGCGGCGACCAAAGTTCCTCCAGGTGCTCTCCGACGATGCACGCGAGGGCGCGTTGCTAGGCTCGCGCGAATGTGACGAAGAAGGTGGGGGAGACGCGGGCTCGGGTCTTCCACGAGTAGGGCTCTTGGGAGTGATGGTTGCCTTTTGGTGGTCGATGATAAGCGGACTTTGATGAAGATCCAGTGGCGTGCCCTCAGTTGGCATCGCAAGTGTCGGCTTCATACTCCGCTCATCCCGAACGATGCGAGCAGTAACTTGCACGGACTCTGGCTTTTCAGCTCCTCGCTGTACGTTGTATACCGTCGACTTAACCGGGGCCGACTGTTTCTTCTTGTCAGGCGTCGTTGAAGCAGATGAAGTCAAAAACGCAGGGCTTCCAAGACGCGTGCTAGACCTCCCATTGGGCGAGGTCTCAAGAGGTGTTGTCGCAAAGAATGAAGATTTACGCTGGGCGAGGGTGGAGCTTTTTGTGCTCAAAGCAGAGCTAGCAAGACTTACTTGTGAAGCCGATTCCTTGTTAGTCTTGTCTGCGAGTGCTTTGATCCTTTGCGAAATGCCAGAGGAAACGTTGATCTTCGTACGCGCGCTTGTGTCGGATTTTGGCGCGGGAGGCCATCCGCCTGAAACCTTACGAGTACTCTCTCCGGGTGACAAACGGCTGATACCGTGGTAGTTCGAAGAGGCTGATCTGGGAGGTGTTGACAGGTCTGTCGCAGAGGATTTCCGTGGGAAGAATGGCGTAATCGGCGATTTGGACACCGACATAGGCTTAGCTTGGTGTACTGTGGCACTTTGGAGTTCTTCCATGAAAGAGTCGTCCGAAAGGTACTCGGTCTCGGAATTGTCTGCGCTGACTTGGAGAGGATCCAACACTGCACGCCGCTTTCCCTTGGTCTCATACCAACTTTGGTGCTGGGATGAGGGCATCAGCATGGATTCCCTGTTCCGCTTCTTTACCTGGCCTTCATCTTGTTCAAACGTCTCACCTGAAGGCATGTAAATAGTAGACTCCCGGTTGGAGCGTCGCTGTGATGGAACATCATTCTCGCTTGGCCGCAGGGTATCCCTGTTACTGCTATCATCATCGAATGACGGCGCTCTTTCGGTAATCACTGGAGCTTGTGTAAGCTCAGGCTGAGCTTCTGCATATGGTACAGGGGTCGTGCTCTCAGGCACCACAGTCGGTGCGCTGTCGACTGATTGCTCTTCATCCAAGGAACCCGGGCTGTGTGATTCATCAGTTTCTTCAACCTTTTGCGAGTCTTCCATGCCGGCTTCGTCTTCTGAGATAGACGATGGCCTGGTTGAAGGTGCGCCAGAAGAACCGTGAGTTTGGGCGGATATAGGTGATGAAACTGAAGCAGTGGAGTTCAAGTCATCTGTCTCGTTCTGGTTGTGATCTGCAAAAGCCAGACCAGAGCTGCTCAGACGTTGTGAGGACAGATCGTCGCCAAGCAGTGTCTCCTTGTCGGCGTCGGACTCGTCTTCAGGTTGTGCAGTGGAAGTGCTCTCCTCGGATTCGGTTGCGGTGACAGTAGCATCTGTCGGGGTTTCGTCTCCAGCCTCAGTAACAGCTTCGGTGCCCTCAGCCTGTACTTCTGGCTCCAAGGCAGCATCTTCCGCACTCTTCTCTCTCTTTAGCTGTTGGGCCTGCTGTTGTTTCTTGCGCATCTCGAGAGCCTTCATGAGTCTTGTCCTTTCCTGCGTCGTTCCTCCAGATCTAAGGTGACTCCGGTATGCAGATACAGGCATGGATTTGGTGCTGGCTGGGGCTCTCGATGAATACATGGACGAGGCGGGAGATTGTGGCATTTCAGGCATCGGAGGAACCTCGTGTTGTGGAGGAATAGCAATCGCGGGAAGTGTGCTAGAGGAGTTTGTCTTGGACTCTTTCTTGTCAGCCGTCTTTCGTGTTGCAGAGCGCAAACCTGCAGGAAGCGACGAAACCGGTCTTGCCAAATCTGACGGTGCGCTGCCGGAGGTGGATGGTCTTCGGCCTTCAAGCGATGGTCGCGGTCGTGGTCCCAACTTGACCTTGGGCTTGGTGTACTGCGCATAGTAGTGCTGGTAAAGCTCGTCGTAGTTTGGCCTTGTGGTCTGTGATGAGCTTCGTGGTTCTGGTCCGTTTTCGAAGAGCGAATCGTAGCTTTTGAGTGTATCCTGGAGGTCCGACAAATCAGTATCATCGGGTGTGGTGGGCCCTTCCGTTACTGTCTCCATGGTGACATGGGAAATCTGTGGTGACAGCTTGTGCTCGACAGCCTTCTCTTCCAGCATCAAGGGGACTGACTCTGCTTGCGATGTTACAGATCCGCTCCTGGTCGGCTCGTCTTCGCTGCTCCTAGATGGCTCCAGGATAGTGGGGATGTTGGACTTGGCTGTACCCGGTCGTGCAGCGTGGCCATCTGCATCGGGCTGGTTTCCTTCCTCGGCAGCCTCTTGTATCCAGCTGAGTTTCTGCTGTCGCGACGATCCACTAGAAGAGGAGCTCGAGGGGGCGGCGGTGTGCAGAGTGCAGGCGGCAGTAAGGGCGGCATCGCTAAGTTCTTCAGGTGTGGAAATAGACAAGACGATGTCGTGGGGCGCAAACTTCTCGGTGATGTTGATGAAGTGGACACTGACGCGGGCTACGGAGAGTTAGTTGTGACGGTGGTGGGATGGACGCTCGAACTTACCCTGCAGTAGTCGCGATGTCCCCTCAGGCACGTATTTGACCAGGACCTTGCGCCGACGGTACAGCAGGAGACCGTACAGTGGCGATTTTTCCTCGTATTGGGCGACAGCAGCGCGCGCCTCTCCGGCACCGCCAGTTCCCCGCGTCAGGACTTGGACAGCATCCCTTGATGTGTATCTGAGCAGGAACCTATACCCCAAACATTAGCACGTGGTCCGCGATGGAAGAAGAAATAGGGCACGTCTTACCAACCGCCAGCCTCGGCGAGGGCACCCTGGTACGCCTGTGTTACCTCGACATTGTCCAGGCCGTTCAGCGACATGATGGGACTCTCAAAGCCGTGCGTGTCGTCTGCAAGGAGACGGTGTTGTCGTCGCGGGTGCGATCAACGAGCGTGGTTCCAGGAGGCCAAAGCGAAGTAGGGGTCATGTAATCAAATCAGGGATCCGTCGAGTATCAGAGGCGGATAACCGGCCATTGGGGCAGCGCTGTGCGTCGAGGCAAATGGACGCTTCAGGAACATGTACCGTTGCAATGCGCCTAGCACCCAAAAGCTTAAGCTGGCAGCCCTGGAGGGAGAATGGGTGAAGGCGACTGATGAGAGCGTCGAGACCTGAAACGCGAAGCGACGGCAACCCCTGTTAACTACAGTACGCGCAGCCCGGCAGGTGGCCAGGGCTACATCTCCGCACCAGCACCTCCCGCCTGATTCACCAACATAAACGGCTTCCGCACTCACCATCTTACAAGAATGCCTTTTTCTTTTTTCTTTTCTTTTCACGAGACACGTGGTTGTACAGGCGCGTATCTAGGGTCCACGGCTACTGTCATCAGAGCCATGTGGCAACGCACGCTTTGATGCCTAGGTAGGAAGCGCATTAATGCAGGCACAATGCACCAGGCCGCCCGATAATCCTGAGGCGTCGCAAGTCGCAGCCAGTGCGATGAGATGGAGACAACAATGGGCGGACCGGCTACAACAGCCATCCGTTGCTTCTGCCGCCGGTAACCTGCCGATGACCAGGCGGGGAAGAAAGAAGCAAATAGTTGTTCCGGTGTAACTTTCCTGAACCCAGCTGTAGATCGCAGTCCAGTTGGCATCTCCCTGACTAAACACGAATGCGATGGCATCTCGCAGCTATTTTAGTGGCTCTAGGCTCCTGTAACATGGCACCTCAGTATACTCACGCTTACCTCGCACCATCACCACTTGTTGAGGCCCGTGGGATCTCGCCGGAACTTTGTAGAAAGACACGAGACTGATCCGTACATTATAAACAAGCTTCGTCCGTTGTTTACCACAAAACACGGTACGCGTCGGGACTAAGAAAAGCTAGAAAAGGTCCGTCTGCAAAGCTCTACTACTACGATCGGACTGCCCCGCTATCCCCTTGCAGCTTGCAGCAGCGGCCCATAACGACACCATGCAGGTAGTTGGCTATGGCCACGGGCATGCACTGCATCGCTGATCGGTCGGTAGCGGCCGCAGCAAGAAAAGACTTGAGCAGTAGACAGCCTGGTAATGTTTTGCAAACCTTCGCCTCTCCATCAACACTCAACAAACGTCAACTTTCGCAAGAGTTTCGATCTCAGCTAGCCCAAATCCTCCGGTCCCAAACTAATCCCATCGCGAAAAGCAATTAACGGCTATCCCGAAAGCTAGTCGCTCTGTCAACCTCAACCATGACATCACTCCCCCCAGCTAGCACCCTCCCCCACGCCTCCGAATCCGAACTCACACACGTTCTGGACCTACTCTTCGAACCTTCACCACCCCTGCGCGAGATAACTTTTCCCGTGCTGCGGTCCGCTACTTTCCCAAGCTATGACATTCTGATCACGGCCGTCAACGCTCAGCTCGCCGCGCTGGCCCAGTCAGAGGATGCCAACGATGTGAAGAAGCTGTCTGAGATACTCTGCTCGCACCCAAGGTTGGGTGAGAAGAAAGTAGACAGCGAACAAAGTCGGAAAGAGCAGGCGCAGTTGCAAGCAGGCGCAGAGGAAGAGAAGGAGAAGTTGGCGGGTTTGAACAGGGAGTATGAGGACAAGTTTCCGGGCTTGAGATATGTGTATGTGAAGACTTTTCCCTGATCCATTGGTCTTTTCACAACATCTCCCTAAGAGTGTTACTTACACACCTACAGTGTCTTCGTTAATGGCCGACCCCGACCAGAAATCATGGACAATATGCGCTCCCGCATTGACCGTGGCGACATCAAAGCTGAGCGCCAAGAGGCCATTCAAGCCATGTGTGATATAGCTCTAGACCGAGCCTCGAAATTACAGAAAGCATAGACGGGCGTCTTCAGCAGGAAGTAGTTTTGCTGGCTTAGCTGGAATCACGTCCCAGTATTGTCATAGAGTTGAACTAAACGGAAAAGGATCTCGGTTACGTTTAAAGCTTTCGTAATACTCAAACACGAAGAATGCATATCCTCGAGTAACAAATCTTCTACTCATACATGCCACACGTTTTTCCTTATTTGTTAACAAACGCCAGCTCATACATGTTGCATTTCGATCCGATAAATAGAAGACATCGCTACAAGACTGCACTCACACTCCACATGCCCTCCCAAGTAAACCGTCCAAAACGCCCATTTTTCCCAGTGTGATGGTACAGCGAACCTTTTTCCCCTTTTGCTCCTACCATTTTCCCCTTCCCTGATAATCCGAATTTTCAAGTCGTTGGTATTAAAAATACATGCTGACGCAAATGGAATGCAGTATGCTTCATGTATCAACTCTGTTTTGGTGATCATTTCCCTTCCCCCAGCCTGATTGTATGATACAGGTTTTCGTGTCCTGTTGTCAAGACACGCTGCTAGCAGCGCCACTCATGATCCAAAACGCATGAACATCAAGTTCCTCTGCCGTGTGCGCTCTTCTTCTACATCGCTAGTATGGACTGATCCACCTGCTTCTGTCGAATTTGTGTCCGTGTGCTTCCACGCCGATGGGTTCTGTGCTGGCATCATTGTGTCCTGTGCAGTGAAATTTGGTGACTTTGATATTGGCAGGAAGTTCGGCGAGGCCGGAGCAGCCAATGGTGTGAGATTCGGCGACATCGATGTCGTCGCGGTTGGCAGGGCGAAGTTCGGTGATGTCGATATAGGAGGGAAATTTGGTGACATTGGTACTGCTGTTGGTATAAAGTTAGGAGAAGCCGACGTTGTGGGTAGAATTGTGGGTGTGAAATTCGGTGAAGTGGCGGTTGTGGTGGTGACGGCAAGCATCTCCGGTGACACGGACTTTGTCGGGATACGTGGGCGGAAGTTGGGCGACATGACAAACGAGTCTGCTCGTTTGGGTGCAACCAGACACGTTGCGAACAAGGCAGAGACATCTAGTGATGTTGACGTGGATGTAGGAGTTGGGCTGTCTTGTGTAGACACGCTCGGCCATACGGCATACGCACCGTCCTCTACCTGGTCATAGTCTCCAAATACTGGCTCTGAGTGATCCAGTGTGTTGAGATCAGAGAACATGGTTGCATTTGTGGTGCCAGTATGTAATGTAGTAGATGAACTAGTGGTAACGGCAGATGGCGAGAAAGGCACATCGTCGTCATCTTCATCGTAAGGGTTCGGTATTGGTTCGTCCTCGTCGTCAAGATGGGCGTACGGGTCGAACGCATCCCCATCAACATCGAGAGCATCATAGTTTGACATGCCAAGTGGAGAGGGCGGTAGAGGTAGGTAATCTCGACGCGGTGTTGTATCTCTCGCAGAGTAGGACCATGCTTCATTTGGTGAGCGAAATGCTGCAGTCTCTTCAGGGGAATTCCTCGTTGTTGGAGAAGATGAGGTAGGCGAAGGACTTCTTGACGAGGGTGGAGAGTTGGTAGGTGATCCAGAGACTACAAAGTGGCCCCCAGTCCTCACAGCAACACTGGGCGGTACTGAAGGATCCCGCGACAGCACCGGTCTGGTGTAAGTGTCAACACTGCCATGGTTGAACTCTAGCCTCGCCAATTCGAGTTGTGCTTGTTCTCTCTCTTGCTCGACTGGTACACGACCATGCCCGCTCTGCGCTTCTTTGGTCAGGATCAATCGTCTGCGTACCCCATTCAGGATGGCAGCCTTTCTGAGCAGATTCCGTCCAAGAGCCTTTTGCTTGGCCCAAACTGCAATCTTGGAGCTGCCACGATCCACAATGTTGGTTGCTGGATGAGAGAATTGTGGTGATAGCCGAGAAGTAATCAGAAATAATCGGAGTCGGCGCTTCTTCTTCTGCACACAAGAGTGTTCGCCATCAATGTCAGCCACGGCTCGGCTGCGCTTCCTGGATCCGCAGAGTGGTAGGCGAGGTCGAAAGGTAAGATTCATAGTGGGTCGTGAGAGTGTATTGAATTCCAAAGTTGATCCTCCAGTAGGAAGCAGGTTCTCGAACTGTCGAGTTGGTGGTATCGGATGCTCAGCGCCGGGCATCATCCTCCGTTGCCCAACCTCATGCACTGTCTTCGGAAGATGGAGCTGATGACGCGAACCGGCATTCTCGCACACCAATATTGATCTAGCAGTGGCGAGGTTTGGTGATGCTAGTACAGACTGTCGAGAAGTCGATTTGCCATGCTGGTACGGCGCGAGGTTTACAGCTGCATGTGGGGCCAACGACGCCGTGCTAGTGAAGGGCAAGTCTTAGCTTGGGTGCAATGCGTCCAATATCGAGGTCGCGACCTGTCACGAGACGACGCTCAGAGCCCAAGACGATATTCGATATGGGCGTGGTTAATTTCGATTTCGAGAGCAAAAGGCTCGCCAGTGAGGGAACTCGTCGGTGTCAGGGAAAGTATGCAATCGGTGACAGTGAAAGTAGTATTCTGTTTGGTGCTGAAGAGGGGCTAATAATATCGCTAGAGAGAGCTGCAGGAAAGAGCGGATGACCCAGCGCTATGGGCAAGATGCGGAGAACCCCAGTAGCCATCTGCCACACTACCACTAGTCAGATACACACTCGTCCTTCTTACTGGACAACGTGAGAAGGCATTCGCAAGCCACCGGGTCCAGACACGCATTCAATGGATTGTCCACCTGCAATTATGCCTCAGCATCGGTCAAGATTGTGTTCGTGAGGCTGCAGCATCTGAATGGGGAGGCGAAACTGCGACCTTTTTTTTCGTGTTTGAGAGAAGAGGCGCACGCGAGCAGAGGAAGAGGAGATGGGCGCTGGTCGGAGAAGGTCTCCAGCGATCCCATTCATCATGGCCAAACTTGATTCGAAGTGAGGCTTCAAGCTTCAGGGGTTCCTGTCTCCAAAACCCTGTCACTCTTCCCCCAAGAGCCGCCGATCAGCCCAGACCACGAATCCTTCACCTGCAGCCAACGATAGCAGCATCATGTTTTTGCCATCAAGGATGACGAGCCTGCGAAGATGTAATCACCCTAGCACGAAGAGTCAGGTCGACCTTGTCAGATGCAAGCGGATGACAGCGACACGCGCGTACAGCAAACACAATCACCAAACAGCGACGTTTCTGATCTCTGATGCACTGCCTGCTAGGGTCTAAGGCACCGACGATCCAAGAACCCTGGGCCTGTGGCAGTGAATCGGCTCCCCTCGAGCTCAAGCTGCACAACACAGGCGTAAGATCGCCCAATAGCGGGGCACATCGCTTCATTCCCTTCATCACGAAAATGTCTGGATCTCTGGGCGACAATTCCAAACACCACCTCGAACTCAACAGTAAAGACGTTTGTAGAACACGGCCTGTGTATGGCTTCCCCCAAAGTCGATCGTCGTTCTGCAAGCATCCCATTCGTCTTCAAGATAGCTATCTGAACCCGCGGAGAACGCCTTTCGCCTCTGCGGACCACGGCGCATCGCGGACGATAGCGCAATACTCACTTTCGTGCTCACGTTCTGCTTTCGTATCCTTGTGTAACAAACTTACGTTTCCTGTTCTCAAGGTTTGCACCCCAATCCTGTACTCCAACTTACACTGCATCTGCACCGCGTCCTGCACTCCGCACTGTTGCGTAACACTACGTATCCTCGTCTCATTCGCCCACCTAGGCAGTATTACTGTCGTCAAAATGCAAGTAGTCACGAGCCTGAACCTCACCAGGGGTGGCGAGAATCTGTGGCGCATTAGACGCTTACAAAGAAGCTTAACATTTACAAATTATGTTTGATACCCTAGGTAGAGGCATACGCTATCCTATCTCTTGTTAGCCCACCTAAACAAGACATTGCGAATATTGTCGGGGTCAGTTGATGCGGCACGAAATCTTTCCACCCCTGGTGGGCTCTCCTGGGCGTCAGCTTCGGTATCAACGCTCCAGCTCGCACGTCGGCGAGCTCCACAACTCACCTTCTCGTTTACAGCAGAAGCGAACGCATACTTTGTGCAACAGGATAGGGCTTACAGCGACGCGGCTCCTCGTCCGGTAATTGACACAACGCATGACGACCCAACTGCATCCGTAGCGCCATGCATGGAGATGAGGCTCAACGTGTATTGAAGAAAACTCGTTCTTTACCGAGTAAGAAAGAAAAAGCAATATGATGGATCAATTAAACGCCACATGCACAGCCATGTCACGACTACAAAACTTAATTCGTGTCAGGCACCAATGACAGGCACTCTGACAACACGTTTGTTCAAGCTGTGAGTCGTCGGAGAAGTCTTCCATACGGTTGGCGAGTCGATCACGATCTCAGTATACGATCGCGGATGTAGGGACCCATGGCCCGAGAGGAAGGGCATTCCCGTCCCGCTCTTGGCAGCTACCCAGGTATCACCTGAACGGTGAAGAGTATAGCCAAAACAAGTAATTCGCGCGAACAAGACCCTGTGTATTTGGAGGAGATAGCGGAGAAGAACTCCAGTGATTGTTCATCACTACGAAGCGTCAGCCAATTTGCATTGCCAGTGCTCACCCACAATTGACTTGATCATCGATCGAATGATTAGTCTAAGTCATGAGACTATGGTCGATAGATCGCCGTGTTATTCCGTGATCTGGTTAGAATTACATATGCCTACTCTCTCAAATGCTCTCTCTCCAACGCCAACCACTCTGTTACGAAGGGCTGTACATTATGGAAACAGTGTATAACGTTTCTCTCCAAGTCAGGAACGCAAGTCGGTGGAGCTTCTGTTACGAGGTATATTCTGAGGTCCAAATTATTCCGTAGCCACTTGCCAGCTGATATTGGTATCTATCCAACTCTCCGACCCCAGAGTCTCAGCTTGTGTACAGAGGATTCCACTATGATGTCGCAGTTACTCTACGAGTCGCAATGACCACCGTCTTTAAACAGCGTCTACTCATATCTTCGCTTTCGTCTCTGCGGGCAATATCCGGTCTTCTACCAAGCGCATGAGTTTGATGGTCTGTTCGGCGAGTGTGAGGGTCAAAATCTGTCTCAATGTCAACAATAATTTCCTCGTCTACTCGAGTTATCTGACATACCGTGTGTGGCAGAATGCGCGCCAGGTGAGCAAAGTAGCCCTTGTACAGCGCAAAGATGCCCTCCGTCTTGACCGTCCGACTCAAGCAGTCAAATGCCGATGTGTATAGATTACCCGTCTGATTGTACATGCGTGACATGATGGTATCCGGGGGATGCATGACGCAGCAAACGACAAAGCCACTCGCCGTGCTACTAGCAATATGCAGCGGCATGCCCTCTTCCATACCCAGGTGTTTTACCAGCCGCCTCTTCGCGAAGAAGTATGTGGGGAGTTGTACTGAGCTGCCAAAGCCTGTGCGTACCATGGCTGGTCCTACACCTCTGTACAAGCCCTTGATTCCCTCGGCGCTGTATATTTGTCGCATACCATCGATGGCGTTTTTATATTTGTGCTGTGTGCCAACGGGTAGGAAGGGCGAGTAGGATTGCAACCGCGTCTTTACGAGGAAGAATGGAGACCCGGCTGCTGCACCTAGGACACCAGATGAAGCGCCTGCGAAGAGGTTGATGCCAAAAGATTGGACTGCTGGGTCTTTGTAGACGACGTTTGTGAGGGTTTTGCGGAGGGGTTCGTAGAAGCCTAGTCGGCAGCCGTTCAAGGTCATTTGGTAGATGTAGGCGCATCCAAGACCCCGTAGTAAGCCTCTAGGCCCTTCATTCTTCAAGATGACGCTCACACCGTGGAAGACTCCCTTGTATAACCGCGGCGCGTCACTCTTCGCTTTGAGCTCGCCTTGTAGTTGTAATCTGGGCGATCGTCAACGAATTGGTCGCAGGTGTTTCGAGCAAGTGCGCGCACCGAATTTTGACGGTTTCGAAGCCGTGGGTTACTGTTACTGCACCGCATGCTGCTATGCCGCCGGCTATGAAGGAGCTGTAGACCGATCATCAGCATATGACACATGGCGTGAAAGCCTCACGGCAAGTACCTACCCGAGGGTTGTGGACATGCTGACGCTCTATGCGACTCGTCGGCGTGAATAAGCTCGAAATGTACGGGAGACTGTGTTCGATTGTGTTTATGACGTGTGTTACCGCGCAATCATGGACAGGAAGAGAGGGCGTTTGTAGGAATTAGGAGTACAGGTGAAACCAGGCGTAATCTGGCGTTATACACGAACTGCGAGAAAAAAAGACAATGCTGGGGATGGTGAAAGTGAATAATCGTTCCGGTTTCGGCTCGGGATCAACAGCTACGTAAGACCGCTTTGACCCACTTCTTTCCATTTGATGCAACTCTTCAGCGCATTCCGCCGGCTCTAGTTGTCCCACGTCGCGTCGCGTGCAGCCAATCTACACCAACCCTGATTCGCTAACTGAGCAAGTGGGGATGAATGCAGTTGTTGTAGCAGAGGATTAGGAGACCAACACTGCCATGGCTGGGTCAGCGACGCCCGGCGGAGGTCCTCCTCCACCGCCTGCAGGGCCGCCGACACAGAAAGTTAGCGACGTCATAACGAGCTTCCGGCCTCAGAGGGTATGCCCGTGATACACGTAGATATTTGTAGTAGACTAACTCTGTTACCAGCGCTTCAAATCTGGCGGCCAAGGCACATCAGTCACCTCTCTCGACTTTGACGACTCGGGCGAACTGGCAATTGTCGCGCGCGACGACGATACCCTCCAGATCTACAACTGCAAAGAAGGCAAGCACGCAAAGGAGCTCAAGAGCCAAAAGTACGGCGTACATCTTGCGCGCTTTAGTCACCATGCGCAAAGCATCATCTACGCGAGCACAAAGGTCGACGACACCATCCGCTTCCTCTCCACACACGACAACTCGTACATCCGGTACTTCAAGGGCCATAGCGACACAGTCACCTCAATCGCCCTATGTCCGTCCAAAGATGATTTCATAAGCTGCTCCAAAGACAACACGGTGCGGTTATGGAACCTGCAATCACCAAACTACGTCGGTCTGCTCAACCTGCATGGGCCCTACCTTGCTGCCTACGATCCTTCTGCGACCGTCATCGCCATCGCCTCGCCACCTACGCAGAATGTTCTCCTCTATGATATGCGCAATTACGATAAGCCGCCGTTCGCGACATTCGACATCCTGGAGATGGAGCAGCGCTTCATGGGAGGACAGAAGGTGGACTGGACCAAAATTGAGTTCACCAACGATGGCAAGAGTTTGATTGTCGCGACAAACGGAAGCGGACACTTTGTGCTCGATGCCTTCTCGGGCGAGTTGACGCATTTCTGCTACCGCAAAGCTGGCTCCTCGGGACGTCTCCCACCCAGCGCCTCCACTACGAACACCGCTGGTGCCAAATCCGATGGTAATACCCCGGCAAACGGACAGGGCGATGTATGTCTCACGCCGGATGGCAAGTTTCTCATTGGAGGCAGTGGAGAAGACGGACTCCTGGTCTGGGATATCTCCAAGCCACCGGCGCCGAATAACATGCTTGAGCCCATGGAGAAGCTGCCAGGGCAGGGCAAGAGCGCAGTTGTGGGATACAATCCGAGGACCAATCTGCTGGCGAGTGCGGATAAGGATTTGTATCTTTGGCAGCCGGACCCTGATCTTATGATCTGAGAAGGGTGTCTGTCCGATATAAGGAATGAAGCTTCACTAAAGACAGACTCCGGCCATGGAAGAAGTAAGGCTAAGAAAGACACGTTGCTCGACATAGGAGCAGCAGAGGAGGTTACATGCACGCCCACTCCCTCCACTCAAGAGGCAGGGCGAGGAATCTGCGCACTAGAGTATATATACTCAGCAAGTTGATCGGAGTACGGAGAGAACAAGGGTGCTTCTGGGAGGTTATAACAACACCAGGAAAGTAAGCTTGGTCTGGAACGAAGACTACGTAGCGGACAAAGACTGAGTAATTTACGTCTAACCCAAAAATGTGTCCAATTGCATATTCTAACCTACCCATGTCATGCACATTTTTTCACTTCACACTACTGTTATTCGTCTCATATGTTGCGGTCCATGTTTTCATCTTGATAACAAGACCTTTTTCATGCTCTGAGGTCCGTCCCCTCATTCATCGTCCTCCCACCCCTCAGGCAACCATCCAATAGGCCTAGGTTTCCACATGCCCAGCACTTTGGTCGGCCCCTTGATCTTCTCCTTGACCGCGTCTTCTTTGCCTTCATTCTCCCTAACAGGTAAAGCCCGCTCAATGCCTTCCACATCGATATCAACATCCATCTTTTCCCCACTCTGTCCGTCCGCCCTCGCAGCATCAAGCACCGCTCGCCATGACCGCTCATTCGGCACATGACCACCCTCCAACATCTTCTCCGCAACCTTCAAGTTCCAAAACGTTGGGTCTGAGAAACACTGACTGAGAACTTGTTCCACAATCGCCTTGTCCGCAGCTCCTCTGACAACTGCCCAGTCCTTTGACGTAAGAACATGCAATACCCAATCATGCAAACCCTCCCTGACAGGATCCATCTCCGGATTCACCATCGCCCTCGCCGTCGAACAAGGAGCATTCGTAGCCCGCATGACATGCTGGACCAGATCCGTAAGCTGCAAAACACTGTTGCACAAAGCGCGTAGAAGCGGTGTCCATATGATGAAGGCGCCAGACATGGTACTTCCCAGTTTCTTATCCGTGGGCAGCATCATCTTCTCTTCGACTAGTAGCTGTAGTAGCACACGCTGTGTCTGCGAGGAAGGAGTCGTCGTAGCACTAGGTGCAAAACGAAGGTTATACGTTGATAGAGCTGTTTCAGCAGCTCTGCTCTCGTCTTTTTTCCTGTTCTTGATCTCGCTCTTCCGCTCTTTGACGTAAGCCTTTAGAATGCTCTGTAGTTTCTCTCGCACCGCTTCTCTGCTTTGCACACCCAGTTCTTCTTCTTCGTCTGGAGCGACGACTTCACCGCCGGTCTTGAATGCATGGTCCAGTTGACTCCAGTACCACTCCCAGAGCCACTCAAGCGACTCGGTAGCAGCGCGCTTTAGCTCTGCGAGGGAAGGGAGATGGCGATGGACGATGCGGTGACGGGTTTCTAGGAGAGTGATGGGGAGTTGGAGGGATTTTCCTGGAGGAAACCATGAGGGACGGTCGCGGGTTAGGTCGATTTGCGTGTCTGCTATGCCGGTTATGAATCTATGGGGTGGTTAGATGAGTGTTGTACGACAGTCAACTATCGATGTAGACTTGGTGAATAACAAGAAATATGTTTTGATCCTTGCGTAGTTCCAACAGCAAACATTGGAAGGACGGATAATGTAAAGGTGTGATAAGAAAATTCGGTCTCCAGAATAGTGAGGTAGTTGAGGCATGAAATGCTCTCCAGATGACAACTCTTGACAAACCTACCTTGATATCGCAGTAGCATATAGCAACCGCAGTGCATTATGCTGCAATCCGCCTCGTACATCTTGAAGCACTACATCGACAATATCCGCAGTCGAATCTAGCAGCAGTGGCAGGCCATCAGGTTTCCGTAGTCGCCAAGCAAACACCTACCTATCATCAGCACACTGTGGCTGTCGACCTCAGAAAAAGCACTTCCTGTAGGTCGTACGATCCCATTCAGCTTACCTTGTTCACCGCCTTCTCTCTCTTACTAGCTTCTGGACTGTACAAGTCCCGGCGTAGCTGAAGCAGCTCCTGACTATCGCGCCACACCGTAACAACAAATCGTGTACGCGATTCCATATTTAGTAGTCAATAGTCGCGCAGTTTGACGCGTTTCTGCAGTCGAGTGCTTCAAAGCCTGCGATTGGCTAGCCGATACGTTGCAGATGTGAAGGCACGTGAACTCACGTTGGCCATCAACCTTGGAAATTTCCTCAATCTTCCAGATTGTCGTATCGATAAACGCTAAAGATCTTATCCACTACTTTTTGATCGGACCAATGACGCAAAGGCCACCCGGCAAAACCTTGGAAGTATCTTTTTTCTCAGGCTGAGTACTCCCCATCTTCTGGAACCTTTCTCGTCTGAAATCTTAATTCGCGCTACTTGCTTAGTCTCCGGCAAGGCCTTCATAGTAATAGAACAAGAGTGTGGCAGCCGGCAACTCGGTTAGCTGGTAAACTTCAGCACTAGCGGGTGAAGTGCTCTGATGCTGCTCGGTCAGGGCAACTGAAGCGGGTCTGGCCGAGATTGAGCGATGCTGAGCGGAGTGGAGGACGATTCTGCAACTTCCACAATCTGCCGCACAGGGCTGCATGGCTCGCTCCGTCTGACGGCGTAAAGATCGGTGGGATCACAGAGTGTCAGCGTCGCTTCGCTTTGACGTGGTAGGTGCGTGTTTTGCACCATCATGCCACCTGGTGAGGCTGCTGTATTATTTTACAGACTTCGGTCCTTTGCCGGGCGATGTGACACAATTGCGCGTTGGCCGATCTGCGTCAAGCTAGAACCTAAAGAATGGGCCCGGAGGGCGGCGGCATGTCGCCGACGAATGATATGTTGTGTCTTGGTCGCCTTACGGAGTAGGTGGGTTTGGTACACTAAGGGCTGGTGCAAAGCGGCTTGCGCCGAGACAAATGTACGTTGGGACCATGGTTGTACGAGAAGGCTAGAAGGGTTGAAGAAGCTTGTGGGTTGTGGAGGACGAGGATTGATGCTGTCACGGCGAAATGCGAATACTGGGGCAGAAGCAGGGAAGCACCTTCCGTTCTCATTAACGCTGGACTTCGGATGCTGCCCCAGACGTATGGATCATCAGATGACTCATGAAGTAATGATAAATCAAAGTTGGCACTGCAGGGTGAATCAAAGGTTGATGTAATATGGTTGATTTGGTTGATGATGCTATCTAGATACATCATCTTCATCTGACCTCATAGTGAGCGATGCAAAGCCTCGCTCTACGCCACTAAAGGCTGGGTATCTCTAAGTCTTTTTTTCGGTCCCAAGCAGGACCATGCAAAACGCCTCGCTGTGCTAAAAGAATTCGCCCCAAGAATATGCTAGTGAACCTGTGTCGTGGTCGCACGTTTGAAACAGATATTCGGCTCATAGCCATCCATATCCCAGTCCGGCGTCCCGCACCGGCATGGTGGGCTGCTTCATCTGTTGAAACCACCACTCCTTGGATACCGACTCGTCTTCGTCAAAGAAGAAGCTCTGTCCTTCCATGTTGCCCGGTGTTTGAGCCTTGACGTGGACTGGCAGGTGCTGGCTCGGTTGATGCACCGCTGGCAGAGGCGGAGATGGTTCCTCGACACTGGCCTCCGAGCTCGCGTCATCGTCCTCGTCTTCGCCATCCTCCTCCTCGGGCGGTTGCCATGTCTCCTCAAGCTTTAGGCCCTTTCCGGTTCCTTCATTAAGAGCACTCCAGGTCAGTGATGGCTCAGGTGCGTCGTAGAGGCCCAAAGCAACAAGCTTTTCGCCGTCGTCGTCTTCCATATCTTGATCTTGCTGAACACAAGGTTGAATAGGTAGGAAGTCGGAAGGTGTCTGTGCTTGGTTCTTTTGAGCCCATTGCTGCAGGTACCAGGGCAAAGCCTCGATCGAAGGTGTGTTGAGAGAAGAATGGACGTAACCAGGTGTGTGCTGGGACCATCCGCACTCTGATTGTGTATTGGCATATGTGGGAGCACCGTTCATTGGCTCAAACATGGAGTTGCGTGTGGATAAGGAGTAGAAGTCTGAGCCGTGACAAGAGTCACGGGAAGATGGAGAGTAATGTTGTGACCATTGCTGATGTGGCATGGGTTCGAAGTAGTTGGTTTGTTGAGAAGCCTGAAACTGTGATGATGACGGATGCCAGCTAACAGGTCTACTCTGTTGGGGACGCTCTTCCTCCTCGTCCTGTGACACGCCAAACATCATCCTGTAGTGGTCATCCAGAGTAGCGTAGAGCTTAGTCTCGGTGGTAGTCTTCCTCCTCTCCATGGTTTTCGGACTGTTGTGATGGCTCTTTGTCTTCTCAATGCGTGATGATCGGCATGGTACTTGGCTGCCGGAGCTGCGAGAGGTACGTCGGTGAAGCTGTGAGGTTTGCATGTGGCCGGACATGTTGGCGAAGTGGTGGTGTGGGAAGGCAGTGATCGTATACAGTGGAAAGGTGAGAGGTGTCGAGGCGGTTTGTATATATGTGTGCTAGTAAGCGGTGGTGTCGGATATAATCACTCTTGTCTGACTTGGAAGCATGACTGGCTTGGGGGCATCTGCATAGGTATATGGACTGCCAAGAGATATAGACACATCAGGAAGGGTGGATGGGGAAATTGAGGTAGAGCAACCTCGCGGCAAGAGTCATGGTACAAGGAATGCCAGGGCTAGGCTAGCGAAACTCAAGGACAGCTAATAGTGGAATAGATGCAGACAAGGAACGGGAGTGTATTGACTATACGGAGCCACCAAGGGATGGCTCGGTGAGGGAGCGCTGTGACGACTAGGGCCAGTGGCACGGCTGGAACAATCAACGAAAGGCATAGTGCAGAAAGCGAAAAGGAACGCTTGGAATGACCAAATCACAAGACAGGGACGGCAGACGGGGGAGGCGTACCATGTATCATGGCGCAACGCGCAACGGAGCATCCGTGCAGCTAGACGACGGCCGGCTCATGGAGAGCAGGCCAGGGAACCACAACGCCCGCCACGATGATGGCAGAATGCGGTAGTGCGACTAGGCCCTGTATAGACGTGCAGTGCGACTCAGCTGGGCTCCGCACCGGAGTTGAGTGTCGTGTGCATGGGGTGGTGGCCCTCAAAGCGGTCAACTAGTCCTAGGGTAGTTGTACGTACGGAGCCTGGAGGACGCCCGCACTCGGCAGCGTCATGTTTTAGCCGCGCCTAAAGGTAGCATGATTAGTGGAAGAGGGCCGGCGATACTCCAGGGCGACATGGGCGTTGGTGTGGGAGGCATGCATGTTCACGGTGCATATCTAGCAGAGATCCGTGTCGGCGCCAGCAGCATCGCGAGATCAGGGGCGGATGGGGGTTCAAACTTTGGTTGGCGCAGTAGTTTCGGAAAGGGTTGGAAAGCGAGGTTGGGTCCTGCTGCTGCGCTACTTGTCCTTCTCAGCAATCGACGCGCTAGCTGACGCAGCCAATCAACGCGATGCGCCAAAGTGAATTGGTCCACCATACCCGCACCCAGCACCTCCTGCATGGTTGCGCGTGCAGCCGGCAAACCACACTGCTGGCCCACGGTATCCAAGCGCGATCTGGGGTGGGCGCTGCTCCGATGCCCTCATTGGCCCTTCCCCTAGCCGAGCGTCTTCCAGAAAGCGACATGCAGCTAACCCACCCCTGCGGCCTGCAACGGGGACGGGCGAGTCGATGACATGGGACTTTGCAGATGGATGATGCAGCATCAGACACATGCATCGCTGGCTGAGGTCACACAGCCAACGGCGGGCCACTTGCAGAGATTGGAGCAATCAGCACACAGCTTTCGCCTGGCATAGGCATGTCATCAGCCTTGCGTCCTCCCTACTCTGCAAACGCCTGGGCAGTCTGAGCACACCGGACGCAAGAAGCCGCCTGTCCATCGGTCGACCCCCCAGCGTGGGTACATGTGCCGCCACGATGGGTTACGCCTAAAGTGCCCCCGTACATTTAGTTGTGTCGAGTCTAACACCCTTGTTCGAGTTAGGCAGCGCCGAGGAAAAGCACTTTAACCTTTGGCCAGCGCCGGGCTCCACCTAGGCACGCCTTGAAACCATGTGTACGCTGCCAACGTCGAATATCGGGCTTGAGCAACCGAGCGCCCGGCCTGTTAATCCAAACACAGACGCCGTAACCCAAGTCAACACTGAACCGCTGCATCACACCCGACACTCTTGACCACCGGGCACAGTGTGGCTGATATGGCGATACGCGCGTTCACATGGTGGCATGTCATTTCTCTCGCGAGATCGTCTAGTACTGCAAATAGTGTGCCTATACACTAGGTTAAAACCTATTATAGGACGCCCGTACTTCGTTCAATGTCGTTGTGGGTGGAGTGGATCCGATCATCACGATAAATGCTGGCTGCAACTAATACGAAGCACAAAGTCTGGCTGCGCCCCGGTGACAAAGCAGCGAGCTTGCGTGGTGAAAATCCATCTCATGAAGCCTGCCGCTATAATCTACCGTTGTTTGCAGCTCGGCTGTCTCAACCAAGATGACAAGCGGGTTGATGTGATCCATCTCATCGACAAACCCTTCAGACCTCCCTGGGCGACCCCACGGTGACCAGGCCCAAAGTGGTAATGCCGTTCGAAAACCAGAAATGAGAAAATCCCCGCGTGGCTGATGAGATGCAGCCGAAGCACCGAGAGCCAACCCTGGCTTCGTCCCGCCTGAATGATCGACAGCGGTCCAACGCGGGCGCAAGGATGTTTTTGGCGGTTCAAACGAACAGGATCATGTCAGGGGGCTTGCATCTTGTCGCCAAAAAGAGCATATGAAAGCTGCACTTGGGTCCTTGCACCGGGTGTCGTTCATGGATGCACTCAAAAAAAAAAAAGCATCGTCAACGTCTACTTGGCTGCAGCCGAATGCCATTAAAAATATGGCATGCGTTTTTACCAGCTGAAGCCCAATCACGATTCGGCTGTTCATGGCAACACTCGTGCAGGCGCCAGCACGCAGGATCTTGATTGTGCCAACGAAGAAGTAACTAATATCACAGGTCGGTCATCAACAAAGTGCACCGAGTGTGGGCGTCAGTGAACGGATATTGCAACTAGCGCGAGCCACAGAACGAATCAATGCACCGTGTCCCGTAATCCAGCACATCCCGCGTATCACACCCAGCCAGTATGACTCTGCAGCACACGGCCTCGGTCATTATGATCCACGAAAAATTGCGGCGCAGCTGTACCACTTGTGCATCACGAGACGGATACGTTAACAGGAAAAGTAAGCACCGAGCTGTCACCGGAACTTGCTCTGCACAGCATTGCTTGATCGTGTTCATACAATCTGCAAATTGTCGAATCGAGGTGCTGAATGCTGACCCGCATCTTCCATAGTCTTGTCTTGAGATCATCCGCAGGAAATGACAGGCCACGCAACACTAGGCACAACACCGTCCGCAGACATTACACCATTTGGAAACCCGTGCCTACTAGCCGTGTTGCGCGTCGCTGGTCTCATCAATCGAGATTGTGAACGCTGTAGTTTCAAGAAGGCTTTCTCCGGCATTATTTTGGCGGATTCGCTTGGATTAAGGCGGCACAGGTACTTGACTCTTCAAAGTGTGTCGAGGCCAAGCGCTATCCACCTCTGACAGCCCCAGTCCGGCAATCTGCAACACGGGAAGAAAAACCCTTTAATGACGTATCAACGGGTGACCCACGAGTCGAGTGGGTCTCAAACGTGGCGTCGCATCGTCTCAAAGACTGTTGGCAGAACAAAAATTGCGGTATGAGCAGCATCGCCTACGCTGCGCTACGCTAGCCTGCCAACCAACCAACCAGAAAGTCCTCCATGCCTCGCCCTACCCTGTCGATAACATGGTAACGAAAGTAATGTCGTGTCGATATTAAGAATTCCCATCGGACTGCCATTGCTCCAAGCTTCCAAAATACCACTCACCAGACTTGGTCCGGCTACGTGTTGGTTCTCGGTCACACAACCCTAATTAAGCGTCAGGTGAAGCACGCTGTGAACAAGTTGCATGAGAAAGAAATCGGTGGGCTCTGTAGCTGCATTATTTGTGGATGACGGTGATCCTAAGCAAGGTGTCGGCTTGTCTTTGTGATGCGTGTTCTAGACTCCTTGTCGGCCCATGCGAACGCGAAATTCTCTTTCGGGCGCGGCGGCACTTTTTCCTTACCCTTGGTGCGAGCATTACCCTCACCACGCGGCTCAAAAGCCCACTTGCTCAACGTCGAGAACCCCTTGTCCAATCGCCGTGCTCCGTTGAAGCCTCCTGAGTGCCTCGATCAGCAGCCACACTAGCTCGTCAGTGAGCCTCCCTACTGCTGCGAGTTGTGCTGGACGCAACCTTGGCTATCTGCCGGCTCAAAGTCCTACTGCACAACTCAGGCAAGCACCAGCGGTACGACCTCCTGCCGCGTCTCATCTCAACATGCGCGTGTGATGCACGTCTAGGGAACTGGACACCGACACCCCACTGCATATAGCTAAGGCTCACAACCATGGGCAAGATGGCATTTTCCACATATACGATATGCGCCGGTGGCCGGGCTACGGGTCTGTCCAGTCAGACCGCCATTATGCCAACACCGCCCCCGCCAACTCGCTTGTATGTCTAAGTCGCAGGTACATCAACATGAACAAGCCATGACTCTGCGGGCGAGCTTTCACATCACTTTTACCCAGCTAAGACGGCCGCACGAGCATGCCCGACCGTGGGTATCATGTACACGTCTGTACCTTCGCTTCACCCGAGCGCCGCAACTGATGAAACTTACCTGTCGGGCGATCCCATGCTAAATGTCTTACGACGCAGCAGCTGAAGCCAGCCTGCATCTCCGCAAAATCATCCCCACTTTACCAGGGCCCGGCGGTGACTCGGTTTCACTTGCAGTACGAGCGTTTGTTTTCCTTCTGCCGCTTCGCCGTGACCCTTCTGCTTGTCGCACCTCTTTAGGTTCGGTCTCTGCTTGCATCAGCCTCTAGGCCAATAGCTCTGGTCTTTCGATGCAACAACAATGCACCAGAAGGAGCTATGGATCCGGGCGTCATCACGAATCAGTGTGGTATTGAGGCGCTTGCTGCTGCAACTTGTGTCGGCATCGCAGCTAATATAGAGCAAAGTTTCTCGATCAGCACTCTGCCACACTTGAGTATCCGAGGTCGGGCCACCTTCAGCATTAATGCTTACTGTTTGCAGTTACACCACCGATCTGGGTCTTGTAATACTACGCACCAATACGGAAATCGCACTCCGCTTTAATATTCCAGCAGCACACCCCTAGTCAGAACCCTATACAGCAGTCGCTATTCGTTTGTAAGACATAACTTAGTGCCCGCCAGTCATGCATCCGGCCACTGTTACATCACGCGATGTGTCAAATGCAATCCCAGGTTCGGTGCTACTGCGCGCATCACGGCTGACAAGGGCGGTCCTTTGTGTGGAGGTGACAATCCTTGAGTTGGCAACTGACACTCGCTTACGGAAGCTCCTATGCAAGTAGTTCCTCGTCAGGTGTATGACGATGCAAACGGGCCCAGGATGCCATGCATGCGCAATGAATTTTTCCACTTCACTAGATCGGCGAATCGCCTATCTTCGTACTCTAGACATGCTCTAGGCTAAATTGTGCTTACGCGGTGATCCCAAAAGGCCACTTCCACCACTGAGCGACGACCCGAAGTACCTTCTTTATTCGCCCGCGATTATGCGCAGAAGCAGTCACATCTGCAAGGTCATGATTTGCGGGCCCTCTGTAAATTGAATGCCTATTTTTGGGCGCTTGAGGCAAAGATATGATCTTTGCGTAAAGTATACGCAAGTCGCTTATTGTCCGACCTGCCGCATTCCCACCTGCCTTCCCAACTTGTCTGATGACCATGGCAGCCCGGATTGCCCCTTCATTGACATACCGATGTTCTCACGGCGAAGCGGCTAGTAGCCGCTCCATCAGCGCAATACTACCCCTCCCCGACCAGCATTATCAGCAATCCACAACCTAGGATGACCTGGATTTGCTCCAAACAGACCGCTCATGGACAGCCTGCACGACACAACCAGGTAGCTTAACTTCCGGACTGTGTTTCATCGACTTTTCTTTGCTTCCGCTTTTCCCGATCGCACGCGCGCTCGCACTCGAATACTGGCTGCCTAACTGCCCAACCCTGAGTCGTCAGCCGCGGACGGATCGCATGTATGCACACCAAGTGGTACTATTTGCCCTTCTAGCTACCCACACAGTATTCGGTCGAATTCAATAGGTACATGCAGGCGCTGCACGCTGTTATACGGGTAGTCTCGATCATTTGCGCGAAGGATACGTTACCTCTGTTGATCAACACGTATCAGGATGACCCATGGACAGCTTAAGATGCCTTTGCCGAAGTTCTACAGTACTTGCTTACGTCTTGTACGGATCTCCAACCTCCCAGCTGTCTTTTGCGTTGCACGCCCATATTATCGCTAGTCCTTTCGGCAGATGCAGGATGAGTTTGGCAACAGGCGCCCTAGTTATGCCACCCAAAATACTCCGGGATATCATGTACCGTTCACTCGACTGTGCCGCCCACGTTGGAAAGCTAGGTTATCGGTCGAAATCAAGAAGCTCCGGATCATCGCTACACGGATGTAACACCGACAATCGTGCCTTCAAGTAGAAGCTGGGAGCTCACGAATTATCCAGCCCGTCGCGTCCCGTCTTCGTACTCATACCCATATTTTTTGTTCCAAAACCTAGTCGTTACATAGTTTATAGCCTTGTAAAAGCTGCTGTCCATGGAAAATGCCGGACACATAGGGCTATACAGCCCAACAATCAGCTGATAATAGACGATACTATACATGAGTAAGCGGCAGACGAGCTCGGAACGATGTCTAATGGAGATCATCGGCACGTTGATCGTAGGCACTATGATCGCTGATGAGCAAACGCTCTACATCGACATCATATACATTCTCTTACTCGTAATTCGCTCTAACTTATCACACCAGTCAAATGGACTCAACAAAAACTCGCACTGATTACAGCCCTACCGATCACTTTTATCGACCGATAAGGCGTGTGTACACATACATGTGCATTGCGGGCCGACTTACGCATTGCATCGCCACCGTCAAGCATAGCATCAGCATAGCCCAGTAGCAAAAGCAGCACCTCGCCACACGTGTCACACACACACACCAACAACAACGGCCCGGCGTAAAATATGTCCCAGCCCACGCATCTCGCTTTCAACATCCGGAACCGCTTACGCTCGCTCGCTATGCCGCGGAAGGGTGTCGTCGGACGGGGTTCGGTAGGCTGTCCATGCAGGATTGTCGATCAATGACGAAGACATTGGAGTAGTGCGGGGCTTGTTTTCTTGCGCGAACATGTTGACATAAGCGCGGTATAAGTGTAAGTTTAAAGTTCGAGCGGTGAGTAAGTTAGGATATGTAGAACTATCACTATCTGTGTGTGGGTGTGCACATGCGTGAGCGTTGTCGCGGATGCGGAAAGTCATGATGGAAAAGCAAGTACGACACACATTGGCTTAATTACTCGCTATGCTTGCTGCTGCCTTGAGAAAAAGATAAGCATGCTTTCGTGCAGCAAGATTTTCAGAATATGAAAAAGCGTGTACATCATGTGTGTAATATGGTTGGGCATGTGAACCGCACACGACACATAATACATGATATCATTATAATCTGGAGCCTAGGTACTACAGGTGAGCTTTCCGATTTGATTCGTATCAATGAATTGCTATGCCCATGCCACCTGTTCCATCCCACGCTCAAATATCTTACACCGTCAATCTTATGTAGCTTTTCTCTTTTTCTCGTGTAGTCTCATTGATCTTCGTAGTAATGACGCCAATATGGTATGAAAAACGAATCAATGCGAAGCATCCGGAGTTGGGCAGCATCTTCAGACGTGCCGATGTTGCTAAAAAAAATGGTCCGCTTTTTTTGTAAGGCGCATACACTACTGCAACAATGTAGCTTGTCTGTATCCTGGAAAGAGGGCGTGTACGAGGCGTCTAACTAGGCACACTATCATGGAGCAAGTCGAGTACGACATTGTTTCTGGTGGTCTAGTGCGATACTTTGCTTTCGTGGGCAGAAAGCTCTGTGTAGATCTCCAATCTGAACATTAAGAATTGTTGTGGTCGTGTTGTCGTGACTTCCGAGCATGTACCACCATCCCAAGGAAACTGTATAGCCTATCTCTGAATATCCCGCACTTTGTTCTCGCTGGCTTGAGGACCCGGCAGCCAGAACTGCAGAGGGTTATAAATGATTATCACACACTTGGTCTTATACAAAGATTGCAGCACATCTCGCATGCCGCCCTCTAGCTTACTGTCATAGTACTCATGTCCACTAAGAGCGCGCCGAGTTTCGAAGGCTCATATCCTTCGTCGAACATCTTGAATGCGAGTACGTAGAATTCGGAACTGAAGTAGCGATCATCGTCCCGGCAACGACCATGACCGACAATAGATATTTGAACTGTTCGCGTTTGCCATGTTGAAGAAACTCTGGCATGTTTTGGGGCATTGAATCCCTCGGGATTGGGTATCCGAACTTTTGTTCTCAGTGCGGTGAATAACACCTGGCAGGAGGTATAAGTTTGGAGTATTTGCGGCATCACACTGTCGGTATCAAGCGTTCGGCTTCGTGACTGATCTAGCATTGATCTTGTCTTGTCGGAGTTGACAAGGAGTATGGCGCATGCGTCCTTGATTGCAGAAACATTGGTGATGTATGGATGGGGCTCTGTTAGGCCAGACTTGCGAGAGTAATAACGGTGTTTTGCAACGACTTGACTGTAGCGTTGGTCAAGTACAACATGGGTCATTCCATTGCCTGCTACAGTATCGAAATAACTCTTAATGTCGGACCAGAATGGTGAATCACGCATTCTTCGCAACCCACTTCCTCCGATGTGTTCGGGGTGAAAATTGCCTATCCATCCTGGAGGCGGCCCGCAGCAGATATTGACAAGATGAGACGGGTCAGGCAGAAGTAGGCTCAGATTTCTCAGTCTATCAACGACTGCTTGGGCAGACGGTCGATCAAGCCGGTTTGTGGCCAGCAATGCGGGCAGAAAGTCGACGATTGGTTTGAGTCTACCACTTACAGGATGGTCTGAGAGTAACGCAAGCCATGAGGATGTTGCTTCGGGATTGCGGGCAAAACTGGACTGTCCGTTACTGGCTCTTTTCCAATGTTCCTTGGCTTTGGAGAGGCCATGTCCGTAAAGCCCCGAGACCATCTCGATTAGGACACATCCCAGGGAGAATATGTCACTGGCTCGGTTCCGTGGCTTTGAGTCTAGGACCTCTGGTGCGGAATATCGGATAGTCCACGCTGACGGGCGCCCTGTAGTTGTTGAAACGGAATCATCAGAGAAGTCCAAGCTAGATACGGTCAACATTCTAGTGTCGAGATTGGATTAGGAACTGACCTGAACCCGAAGTCGGTAAGCAATATGTTGTTGCCATGTACGAGGATGTTTTGAGGCTTTGAATCCTCGTGCCTGCGTAGGGTCAGCCTCCCCCATATGGGGTACAATCTAGTAGGAAGTGATAAACGAGGGCCTCATGCGGCGTGGCCGGTCCCAGTGTTGGCTAGACAGCAGTACACGTACCGAATTTTCTTGTTATGCAGGTATAACCTGGAAGACAGTCAGCAAATGTACTGACATATGTTCACCTGCGGAGCTGCTTATTATGACTCCATTGCCAGTGCCCAAGGCTCGATTTCGGAAAAGGTAGGTGGCTGTCCACTTACAACCCATTGCAGAGACAATCAATCCCCTTGTAGAGTATGCTCCACTCTCGGTCACCGATAGGCTTATCCAGAAAGGCAGCCAGATCCATATCAGCTACAGGCATCGAGAGAATGTTAACTGACTCGTTGTCCGTGTAGCTCCCAAGAAAATGAACGCAGTGGCGATGGTCAACTTGACGCATGACCTTAACCTCTCGAATAAAGGCAGCCATGATATGTTGATGCAATTTGAGTTGTTTTGGCCTTGCAATCTTTTTCCGTACACATATCAGGGGTGGCTCTCGCGATTGTACAGTCACCTCTTCAACAAGACCGACCATTCCTTCACCGAGTAGACGATTCTCTTCAAATATGTCTTCATCGTCTTCAAATTCACAATGGTTGAACATCATATCGAATATCTCTTCTCCTCGGATAAGCTGCGTCCAACGTATAAGAAATACACTCAGATGTTCGTCTTGTAGTTTCAGGAATTCTGAGATATGGTGGGGGTCTCCCAGTGAGCGTCGAAGTAGTTGTCTAGACAGCGGCAGCCACAAATCGGTAACACCAAGGTTTATAAAAGTACTCCGAACGCTTTCAACACCCATTTCTGATAGTATCCGTCCTAGTATCGACCCAGAGTACCATGGTCTGCAAAAAGGATCTTGTTCAACCCGAGCCAAATGGCTTTCAGTCGTTGATGCTGTTCTTGTCGAATTTAGTACAAGGTAACTGGCGTGTGCCTCCGATGAGGCATCCTTGCTATCTACAGATTTCATATCGCTAACACTACGCGGCGCAGGCTGTAGTTTTGGCGAGCTAGTGATATTTCCAGTCGTGTGTCGACAGGGTTGCAGCGTCAATGGCCTCTCTTTGCTTCGCTCTGTAGAATCCGGAAGTCCGCTCTCGACGTCGCCCGTCAACTCCGCTACTCGAGCCTTTATGCGTGCCACGCGATCCGCGATGTCCTGCCTATCCTGGATTTCGGCCTTAGTCAGCTCCGCTACTTGGCCTACTGTCCTTCGCTTTATTTCGACCAATCTGTCCAGGTTGCTGCTACTGTTCGGCGATTGGTGTACTCTGCTTGGACTCAGAACTGGAGCAGGAGTGATGGACTGGAGACGAGGCAGATCTCCTTCTGCCCCACCTTCTGCCTGATATCCAGGGTGTGGTTGAGCCTGATCGTTAGTAGTATGAGTCTTGGATGCCCGTCTCTGTTCTGTCTGAATCTCCATGTTGGTCCGGGCATACTACTACGCGGGTCCAAGGCACTGCAGCCGGGCCGTCATCTCTAAGAACTGACGTTGTTCCCAGGCTGAAGCCGAGTAATGGCGCCAAGACAGCTGCAGCTAGGATTGGTGAAGATAGTTCGTATGCACTTGCTCAGATAACATGAGACGTGAGCCCCACGGTGCACACGTGATTGTCGCTTAGACCTTCCCAATCCTATCGTCTATCCACATCTTGCATGCCATACGCTTCACAACCCTCCCCGCACCCATCATGGCTGAATCTCGACGCTTGCTGGTTCCTGAACTGGCGCATATAACTTTGCCGTTGTTGCCGCCGTGATACACGAACGAGTCTGATCTCTCTAAACACTTCAACACAATGCCCATCGAAGTAACGCGCATGAAAGAGGCCGATATCGACGGCGCAATCGATACTATACAACAAGCTTTCGCAAATGATCCATACAATAACTGGGTATTCCCAGACCGCGAAAAGGTAGTGTTCTCAGCACCAATCTTTCTTTCGCGCGTTGCTAACCTATTCCCAGGTCTCTCTTACGCGAAATCGCGTATCGCTCACCCTCCGCTGCCGCTGGGGCATCGAACATGGCCTCTTCCATGTCGCGCGCAATACTTCAAACCCCTCCAAGATCCTCGGCTGCGCAATGTGGCTTCCACCCCGACCCACATCAGAGCCCGAGTCCTGGTCCCTATACCTTTCGTACTGGTATCTCTGGGCCAACCAAATACGCATGAACCTGTGGTACGGCCGTGGTGGGCTTAATACGACACGATATTGGATATGGAAAGCGCGACAGGAAGAGGCGCAGTCTGAACTGTGGACGGATTCGAAAGGGTACTATTTCTGCAACATCGTCACTGTATTGCCGGAGTGTCAGGGACAAGGTGTAGGAAGAGCATTGATGGAAGAGGTGCTGAATATGGCTGATAAGGAGGGAAGGAGCTGCTATCTAGAGAGTAGCAGGAGCGAGCCGAATGTAGCCATCTACGAGAAGTTTGGGTTTCGGCTGGCGAGAGAGATGGAATGTAGGGATGGAGAGGGAGACAAGGACGCTATCAAGCTATATTGCATGCTGAGGGAGCCAAAAGCTGGTCAGAGTCAGGTGGACTCAGACGTAGGGAACAAGAGTGTTGCTACAGAAACGGCCGGGACGACACCAGAGATAGGGCAGTGAGGAGGGTCAAGCCGAACTGGGGCGCAACAACTACCAAAGGTCATAGTCAAACTGATGTGCTGAGCTCCTGTACGTCAAGGCCTATGGTATCCAAATCTACACGAAGATCAAAATCACCCAAGTCCATCAACAGCCCAAACTCCCACTCTTGAGCTCTCCCAGGTCCTTCCTCCCAACTAACCCCAGCCCAAGCCTCAAACACACTTCTCGCTGCCGCCTCCTTCCCCTCACTCTCGAACACATCAACAATCCTCTGCGCACCCCCAAAGACCCCTTCCACAAACCCGTCATCCCCTGACGACTGTGCTCTAATCGCCCGCCCAAGACTCCCAACAACGTTTCGTACTCGTTCAACCCACCACCCCTTCGGCACCAAGCCCGCTAACGCAAACCACCACGCCACCAGCACCAAGGCGCGAGGTTCCCTTTGGCGCACTAACTGGAGAAATTCTGGCATGAGAAACGACGTGAAACAAATGACACGGACGTAGAAATCGGGGTTCAGGTGGTAGTAATACAGCGACAGGAAGATAGGAGATAGAGCATGGAAGACTGGAAGCAACGTTGGTCTATGCCAATCGAACGATCCTGAGTCCTTCCCGTGGACAACACTGCCAAGGAGCTGCATTAAAGGTGGTGGAAGGAACAGGCGCGTTTGCATGGGGAACAGAGTGGGCGTGTATGTCGGTGCTGGATTTGGATTGTCGGGGGTTGTTCCTAAACGCCCGATAGGCGCATCCACGCCCTCGACATCAATAATGGGTGGTGATGGCAGAATGCGTAATTCTCGTCTTACCAAGGGGTAAACGGAAAGTTTCTCGATACCTCGTGCCCACCGGAGGGAGGCAAGGATGCGTAGCCCTTCACTTAGTTTCAACAGTGCTAGCATCCATTCTAGATGCTCTTCATCGTTGTCTGTTGACGGTGGCGGGACGAGGGCGAGGAGGAGACCTCCTGTGACGAGGATTGCTTCGTAGTTCTCCGCGGTGATGTCTTTGAGCGCTTCTTTGTAAGAGGAGAAGGTCATTTGGCGGTATAGTAGTGCTTGCCTTTCGACGGTTTTATTTGGAATCAAAGTGTTGCTGTGGTTTGCGGCGATGCTGAGCAAGGCGTATAGGAGGAAAGGATGAGAGATGCCTAGCTGGGGGATGATATCTTTGTGTAGGGCCTTCAAGACAGAGTCATCACGCACTACAAGTTCGCGCCAGACGTCTGCTTTGTAGTATTGCAGTAGCTGGTGGTCGAGGGATGTGAAGGCGCCTATAGATGTATGGGAGGGTGGAATGAGCCATGGCGCCAACTGGAAAGAAGTATCGTTAAAGTCTACTCTAGTGTTGTAGGTTGGTGGTAGAATCTCGTGACCAGGCGATGGCCCCGAAGACGATGTCTTGGATGTCGATTGAAAGTCTTGTGTGTATTTGCACTCCAGATTTCTCACACTGCAGTAACGACAGACAGGTTGCGCTTCATCGCACTGTATCAAATCAGCTCCCCGTCCGAATATAGAATCTCGCAACCTTGGAACCAAACATACCTTGACTTTCTTCCTTTTACAGGTCGTACATCCACCCCTCGACTTACGATGCGGCTTCTTACTCACAAAACCTGTGCTTCGGCGCACCATATCGATGAGGTCCACATGAAGTTAGTAATTTTAAAGGAATCACATCCTGGAGAGACATGAAGTGGTGCTGTGTAAGGCGTCCAACACTGCCTAGGCTGCGAGTGTGGCTGAGCTTGGAAGGCGTGCTTGGTGGGGGCTAAGATCTGGCTGGGTAGTCATGCACGTCATATGAAATGTGAGTATGCTTTCGTCGCTTCTGTTATGCCTCTGGTTGCACAGTACACACTAATTCCAGAGGCACGTAGGGCATGCATGTCGCAGCTTCATGAGGTTGCAGAGTGTGCACGGCTAAATGCCATGGGATGCGTTCATTTGGGTATATTTAAAGCCCATTTGTCCAACGCGGCAAGCTTCATCAGTACATATTACGAGAATGATATGCTACAAAACTTGAGAATAACATTAAAAATTTGTTGTGTATATAGATGTAGAAAACAGGAGGGGATGTCCGCTCAACGCACGCTAAAAGTACAAACCAAACTCGCTGACAATCCTCATTTCCTCTCCATAACACCCGTCTCAAGGTCGTTGTCCACTTGTGATTTCTCCAAAACTCCCTCAACATACCGGCTCGGTTGCAGAACCAGCAGCAGCACGAGGACTAAGAACATTGGAACAGCGTCGAAGCAATACAGCGTCCACTCATGCGCGATTAGATAAGCAGCGTTGCCCATGGCATACTCGATGAGTCTGAATGTACAACGGAAGAGAATCAACGCGCTGACGCTGTAGAGTATGTATAACATCTTCTTCCAGTTCGATGGTATGGGATCGACTTTCTTGTTCATACGGATTTGAAAATCGAACGAGGCCGCGAGAAAGATGATGAAGGTGGCGACTTGGAGTGCGAGGCCGGCGATTACGATTTTCTCCCCGGCGAGGGCGAGGGAGAGTTGCATAGTACCCATAATGCTGGCACCTGTTTTCTGTTGGCCAAAATTCGTTTTGACTTATTTGATGTCTTGGGACAACGTACCTAGGCCCTGAATGATCAACGTGGTGATATCCGCAGTGACGAAGATCCTTGTGTACCACCTCGCTGGAATCAGACTAACATCTTCTCCACTAGCAAGTCTGATGGTACGGCCAAGCATCATATATATGGTTGCCGCGAACCACAGGGGACCGACAAGCGTCAATACACCTTGAGTGATGTACTGGGGCCAGGCTTCGTTGGCGAAATGCGATGCGATACGTGCTCCATAACCGCCGACTTCACCTGTTGTCTTGTGTTAGTAGCGAGTTCGGATGGTGTACAAATGCGACGAACTGGAATCCAGAATCGATAAAATGGACATACAGAGTGCGCCGATAACCACAAAGATGACAATCCGATTCCTCGACTGGAGGAACTGATACAGGTGTAGAAGAGCCATTACGAGGAAGATGACGAGGCAGATGATAGCTCCAGCCAGAGAGGGAACGTAACGGTACATCTCCCAATCGAAGCCTGGTCCCTTGGGTGGGTTTTGCCGTTTCCACTCCAGTGTAGGATGAGAGATGCTGAGTACGTTTGCCATTTTGGATGATCAGTCAGAACCTGGACAGAGTAGTTCAATACGAAAGTTGGAGCTTTCAAAAGAAGCAAGACGGATAGTAAGTAGTAGGTCAGTTCCTCAGATGGCTGTATTGCTTCGTCTCAAGCAGTGATAGAGCCATCTTATGTAGTCATCGCATCTGAGGGTACGCACTGCGCCATCACTGAGTTTCGCATCCGCAGTACTCGTCGCATTCGCTTATTCTTCGCATTATCCATGTTAAACACACCCAAAGTTCACGTATGACGATGTTTCTGGGCCGCTATGCCCAGACTTTCGCATCGCACGCAGCAGCATACGTTAGCGCGTAGTTTAGGCTCGAAAGAAGGGGTCCAGAACGCCACATTTCGGATTCGCTAAACTGGCCAATGCGACGTCTCAAGTTCCAGGTCAGCTCAGTGACGAGGCTCTGCGATGAGGGCTGCGGTATGGTTGTTGGTGTACATTGGATACTTGAGCACAAGCTACAGTCATGCAAAGAGCGACTGCACGTTGGTGAGTAGAACTCAGGAATACACGCCAAGACTACGCACGTAAGTCCTTGCAGAGCCTAAACATCGAGCATGCTTTACACTTGGAAGTCAGACTGAGACGCATATTTAAGGGTTAACAATGATACATTACAGAAGAACTGGCATCTGTGATAGCCTAGCCAGGCGCCACGCTGCAGTACGTCAAGTGATGCCAGGTTCCTTTGTGAACTTTTGTTTCTCAGATCATATGTTACAATGTGCGGCTAAGCGCACCAGTCCCAACCCATCCTCCGTTCAAACCAATAAAATTGAGATCCCTATACGGGCTAATTTAGCCCATGACCATGCCCTTAAGACCGGCCATATCGCCCTCCTTGGCGGCGATTTCGAAGTATCCGTAAATGATAGTTACGGCAAGGAGAATACCAGTACCGCTACCGAGAGCGCCGAGAAGGTCGCTGCCAACAGACAGAGCTCCAATGCAGGCACCACCGAAGGCGGCCGCAGTGGGGATGACGCGCTTAAGCTCCTTGTACATGGACTCCTCACGGTGACCAGCCATAACCAGACCCTGCTCCTTGAGCTGCTTAGCAACGTCACGGGGAGATGAGCCGGAAACCTCGATCCAAGTCTTGGAGAAGACAGCGCAAGCGACAAGCATGTAGACGATGAAGACAGCGGTCTTCAAGGGGTCGGAGAGAGCCTCGGTGATGCTGAGAGGGGGGGACCTGGAACTAATTAGTGACTGAAATTGTTGTGTGAGTTTTGGATTGACATACATGTAGTAGGCGACACCGGAGGTAGCGAAAAGCTGAGCAGAGCCCTCCTTGGGCTCCCAGACACCGAGGAGCTTGACGAGAAGGTTGTCGGAGAAGCGGTTGTAGAGCATCTGGCTGATCAAGAAGACGTTGGAGGACAGAGCCGACTGCAGCATGATAGGCATGTTGGAGGTGTAGAACAGGCGGACAGGGTACGAGCCACGGACACCACGCTGACGGGCGGACTTGACTGGGATCTCAACGCGGAAACCCTGGAGGTAGATGACAGCACCGAAAACAATGACGGTGGAGATGAGGTTCATGACGTTGGGGAGGTTCTGGCGGTAGAAAGCCTCCTTGAGCGCAACAGTCTTGTTGGGCCAGGTGAAGAGCAAGTGGACAAGGGCAATGAGAGCACCCTCGAACTCAGGACCACGACCAGTGTTGATGGTGGTGGGAGAGAAAGCCTTCCACATGATAGACTCGCAGATGTTGGTGGCAATGAACAGCGAGATACCGCTGCCGAGACCGTAGCCCTTCTGGAGGAGCTCGTCGAGGAGGATAACGATCAAACCAGCGATCATCAGCTGAATGACGAGGAGAACGCAGATACCAGCACCGAGGTCAGATGGCTGTCCGTAGAGACCGGAGATGACATAGACGACGGCCTGACCGAAAGACAGAAGAATAGCGAGGAGCTTCTGAGCGGTCTGGTAGAGCTCGCGGTCAGACTTGAGGTCGAGGTTGACGTCGATGAGGTGGGTTCCTGCAAGAAGCTGGAAGACCATGCCGGAGGTGATGATGGGCGTAATACCCAGTTCCATCAATGTTCCTCTGTTACTCGCCATCATCATTCTTAGCCAGTATAGCGGGTCGGAGGTATCCGACGACACGATTCCGTAGAGAGGCATCTGGCTCATGACGAGGAAGACGAGGAGCGTAAGACCAGTCCATACTAGGCGGTTGTTGAAAGGAACCTTGCTCTCGGGCAGCTGAATTTCAGGAACCAGAGGCACAAAAGGCTTGACGAGATCGAGGAACCGTACTACGTGGAACCGTTAGTTATGCTGCTCTGTGCCGTAATTCCTCGCAGTAATTGCGCGCACGCCTTGCAAGGCCATTGAGAGGTGAAGTTGTGACTTACGGCCGCTCATGATTGCGATCTATGGCCCAGAGACAAGAAGAAGACAAAGAGAAGTGGAAAAAGGTGGTTGCGAACAGCCAGTTGATGGAAGATGGAGAGGGGGTTTGGTTCTGTAGCTTTCGCAACGTGTCGCTGGGGAAATTATCCGTGCGCACGCTAGCCGTAGCTCCGTCCCTGAGCTATCGCGAATCTCCCACCCGCAACTACCAAGAGGCCACGCTGTTCTGACCATTCACCCATTATAGATTTTGGAACATTCACGAAGCACGCTGTTTCACTTCCGAGTCAGGAAGCGGTTACTGTCGCTACGAACGACCTTTTGCACATCGCGGGATTCGCCACCCCCTACAAGTATCTATCAACACCACGGACTTCGATCCTTGAATGACAGGACTTGCATCGCGCAGTCTTTCAGACTCTGCAATCACTTCTTCTTTCCTTTCTTTCCTTTCTTCGCGTTCTTGATGAACACTTGCAGCCCTTCAAGCTTGGCCCCGTTCCGAAGCTTCCCCAGCGTCTGTTTTCACTCTTTTACAAGACCTTGCAGCTTCTTGTTTCCGACCTCCGTTTCCTCTCTCAGTCGCTTCATTCTAAAGACCAGAGCATGCTTAGCATGCACCCGAGAGATGATTAAAATGATGGAGACGGTTCTTACGACTCTGAGGGATCCACTACAAGCTCACTAGTCGTGGGATGTGGAGACTTCATCGATCTAGGAGGAAAACAGGCCAAGGTTTCTCAACTTCAGAATTCATCAAGGCCAGTCGATCGTCGAACCAATGAGCTGAGTTCCATTCCTACAATGAGCACCCGCAGGGTGACATTCACAAGGATTGCCAGACTCTACCTCCTCTTCCCTTTCTGCCTTTCCCCGATTGTGAACTCCGCAACAGGCTGTGCCTTCTTGACCCCTGCTTCAAGTCTCTTCAACGTCTTCTCTAGTTCCTTGTTTTCCGCCTTCAGTGACTCGTCCTCTTGGTCCATTTCTCTACCTCGCTCTTCAGTCCATTAATCTTTGCATCCTTCTTCACACATAGCCTTGTGAAGTTTTCTCCTGGTGACTCTTCTTTCAATCGTCGTAGCTTGTCACGTAGGGCGACTGTCTCCTCTTTGTGCTTCTTGTTTTCGCGGGTGAAGAGCTGGCTGAGATCCGCGCACTGGGGTCATGGACGTGGGTTTGTTTGAGCCTTGCAGCAGTCGAGTACTCGGCCTAGGGAAGTGCAGAAGGTGCAGTCGGTATCGGTCTTGCTATGGGTAAGTTCAGGCTTATGGTAAGCTACATGGACACTGACCTCAGAGACTACATGTGAAGGGTCGGAGCCATCAGGGATAATGGTATCGTGCTACTGACCATCAAAAGGCAGTGTATCGTTGCTCTGGGAGTCAAGCGGTGTAAACGTTACTGCTGTAGACTGTAGACGATTCATCTCATTGCACTGAATTCTTGAGTTGAGTGACATCGACAAACAGGAATGTAGCTGCAACTCGGTATGCTTGACTTTGATCTTGTATCGCCTGACTGTATCGGCCAACCACGAAACGCCACTGGTACCACTCTTGACATTACGCCAGTGTATGTTTCCACCCAGCACATCATCAAGGGCGCTCACCTTACCACTTCTAGAGTCCTACCCCCCCACAGACACACTGGGTCTCGTACAATACTAGCCTTCGATATCACTGAAAATAGCCGACCGATACCCCAGATCCTCGATACGCCGTTCGCGAGTCACGACGGCAAAGATGGAAGGGTTTCGGGGGACTCGGCCACGCAGGTCTTTCGGGGAGTGCATGTTGGGCTTTGACTACCTCGAACGCCAGACGAATGGAATAGTCACTGCAGAACTCAGCACCCTGAAGAGTCTCCTCACTACTCTAATTCTCACGCTCATTGAGGTGGCATCAAAACAAGCAATTGTCCTGACCGGACAAGCGTGCCATAGGATGCTGGCCGAGATCTGCAAACCTTAGTCCTCTGAGTCGAGCGCCGCTAGTTACAGTTTTATACCTGCATTCACAACCAAAGCGGAGGTAGCATTGGAGGACGAGGTTCAGCGTACTCACTCTCGGATCCAGAAACAAACAGAATCCCTACTTGGAAACGTACAAGATGAGCTCGCAGAAGAGGGTTTGAATACAATGGAGATGATGTGGGTGAAGCGGTCGAATCTAATCAGAAAACCATCGTAGAGAGAGTGTGGGCGAAGCGTTGGACAACCTTCGCAATGAGAAGAACACAACAAGCATACTGGTACCGAGACTAGCAGCAGCTGAGGGCAGTGTCCCCGAGAAGGAGAAGGCTCTGGAAAACAGGTCTCGCGAGCTCGAGAAGAGCTGTTATAATGCTGTACAAAGCTTCATTGACGGACGATTGCGCGATGACAGAGCTAAGCTCGCTGATCGGCTTAGTACAGCGGAAGCTAAAGCCTTGCAATACGCGAAGATTATCAGAGAGAAGGAGGTATTGAAAGCCAGGATTTCTCAAGAAAATAGAGAGAAAGCGCTACTTAAGCAAGCAAAGCTGGAGTTGGAGCAAAAGTTACAAGGATCGCGATGACAAGGCCAAAGCTTTGAGAGAAGGGTACGACCAACGTAGCAACGACAACCAAGTTCTCCGAACTGAGAAGGCGGTACTTCAGGCTGACTACGACGAGCTGAAGGAGCACAAGCGGCTATTCAAGGAACAAGAGTCGAGCTCTGAGCTACGTCATATTGATCAGCTTGTGGTTTCAAGTCCATCCGTCTTGTCAACAAGGACACTCGATCGACAAACCGCCGAGCTCCAACATCTAGACGGCCTCGTGGCCACCTGGCAGGCCACCCTCGACCATGCGACAGCGGATAGGAATGGCTCAAAGAGCAGCAACTGAAAAAGCTGAAGCCTCCTCCTCCGTCAAAGCATCATCGTGGTGGAAGATTCGATGGGAGCGCACTGCGGAGAAGCGTACGTTCAAGCGAAGTTCATAGTTATCGATAAGTGAGCGCACTGAAAAATCTCTAAGACACGGATTAGTTGACGTTCCCCTGAATGTATAGTGTATTGCATATATACCGACATTGCTGCTGTTGTGAAGTTCTGGTGATGAGCCTTTGCAAACCTCGGGATGTAGCAAGCGACGTCAAGGGGTATTTAGTCTAGGCCTATCCTGGTTTAGCGTTCTTATATCCATGTTCACTCTTCGAAGTCGACTTCGGAAACAGCTACGACGTTCAAACACATCAACTGCCAACCTTTCTCACAGCCTCCTAGATTCGTCGCAAGGTCAGATTGAGATTTGCGAAGCTTCATACACAATGGAAGCCTCAGATGATCGCGTAACGGAAAAAGTGCAGTCACTGAGCGACCTGGAGCTTGCCGTTCTCATTTGTTTGGTCGCGGACCAACACTGCATCATCGAAGCGGAAAGGGAGCTGACGCGTGATGTAGTAGAGGAATTGAAGCTTGTGGGCAACCTTCTAGTGCAAGGGTACCGACATGCTAACCTTTCCAGGTCGCTTCCAACGTCTTTGGACTAACATGGGCCGTACTAGAATGCAACGAGAACACCACGCTCGACGACTTTGGAAGCGGAATTCTTGTCAAGGGCGAAGAGAACGATTATTTTGGCAGCAAACCTGACCGAAGTAGAGGAGAGGTAACTTGCCTTCGTATAGACCGCTACGCCAGTAACTAAACTCTGAGCAGTTTTCGTCAATCTCAAAATCGCCTACGAAGTCTGAGCGGCGCACATCGAAATCACCTAGACCATTCAGTCCGCTGGATAGTCAAAGTATCGCGAATATTGTTATTGCAAGAAATCTCAACCAGGCGAATCCACAGGTTCAGATCCAGGCTTTAGAGGTGCACCAACCGCCTTTTCTGCTCGAGCATAACTAACGACAGATAGCTGATACGAGGCAAGCGGAATTTCACGAGAACAGCTGTACATGCAGCTCCGAGACCGTTCCTATTCATCGCTTTGAACGCTTCAGGCACATCGCGCTTGACAATGCATCTGGTGGGTTGAATGATCAATCTCGGTTCAAACTCTGACAACGCTATAGAACGACCAGTTCTTCATCTCGCACAAGCACCAAACAGACGATGGGATGCCAAATCTTGAAGAACTACAAGAGAAAGTACATGTCTCGGATGACGGCGCGTCGATGTCTTCTGTGGTGCGCACGCCGCCACTCCAACCGGGGAAACTGAAACCGCGGACAGCATTGTTCTCTCACGACGTATGTAAAACTTGGTCGAGTCAACTTAAGCTGACGATTACAGGATCTGGTAAGCTTGACGAAGCTGGTATCAGGAGTCAAGATCAGCTCTGAAGTAAGAGCCTATCTACACAACATCATTGTTTTCATGAGGCTGCACCGAGCAGTCGCAGGAGGCATCTCTGCGTTGGCAACGAGGCACTTCAATACGTTGGCACAGTAGGTGGGCCACTATTTCAGAAGGGTAACACTGACAAACATAGTGCTCTCGCCCCACTTCATGGTCTTGACTACATTTCCCCGTCCATGGTCGCTCTAGCAGCTCGCAAGATATACCCACATCGCATCGTTATTACGGAAGCCGAGAAGGAGCGCAGCATGCAATGGGGCAGTTCACTTGAAGCGGTAAAGGCTGTGCTGGAAGGTGTCACGGTTGAGGATGTCATTGAAGAGGTGCTGGAGTCGGTAGAAGTGCCACTTTAGCAGCCTCAGTCAGCAAAACTACCAGTGCAAAATCGATGGTGGTTGGCGATCAAGGCATGAGTAAGGACGCTGGTGGCTGATCTCAGCGGTGTCGCGCGGATGTGATTGGAACCAAGTGGGGCAAGGCCTGCCTGCCCCTCGGAAAGTGGGCCGAGGCCGCGCCCATGATTGCACACTCGACATTGCGCACTGCGCTACAGAAGAGGTACAAAAGGGCAGCGGTACCTTTTGGCCTCTCCAATCGCTGAACCATCTGCACCCTTCAGCCATGTCGACGAGCTATTTCGATCAACTGAGTCCTGATGTGCAGGAAGCGGTCGAGGTACCCAGCGCACCTCAAACGTCATAACGATGCCATGAAGCTAACTTCCTCATGGAGAGTGAGCTTGGAGACCAAGACACCAAGGAGATTACCCAAGTGAATAGCCACGACGATGCGCTAGAGGTACACACCCCACCATACCTTTTCTTGACACGTTGACCAACCAACGCAGGTCGTCTTTGAAGGTGGATATAACAGCCATCGTCGCAAAGCCTCTCTCGCTCCCCACCCCTCTGGCAAAATGACATCCCGCCCTGAAAACAGTCGCCGCACCACTGCGTGTATCGTTCATTCTCTACTCGAGAAGCACGATGGCTTGCCAGTAGAAAATCACTTCCAGTCACACGAAGGTCTCGCCCAGGAAAGGCGCGTCGACAAAGACCCTACCTCTACGCGCGCCGAGCAGACAACACACTCGCGACTGTTGACCAAGAAAGAGTTGTCCGATATGGCATTTGGCATACGGGAACTCTCCAAGAAGCTCTCGCAGATAAGGCTGAAGCTGCATGTGAAGAACATCTTCATTCTGACAAAGGCGCACGACGAGGCTTTGATCAAGAACTCGCGCGAAGTCACCGACTGGCTACTGCAGAAGGACCCAGGATACAAAGTGTATGTGGTGGCTCTGCCTAGCGACGGATACGGTTAACGAGATATAGCTACGTCGAACAGACGCTGGAGGACAACAGCATCTTCAACGCTGCTGGGCTGCTGAAGAATGAATCATATCAAGGGCGTCTCAAGTTTTGGACGAATGAGATGTGCGCTCAAAAACCCCAAACCTTTGATATTGTTCTGGCGGTAAGAAATGCCGTACCGCGGATTGTTTATGAGCTAACAGCGACACAGCTTGGTGGTGACGGCACAGTCTTATATGCGTCGTGGCTGTTCCAGCACATCGTCCCCCCAACCATCGCTTTCTCGCTAGGCTCTCTCGGCTTCCTCACCAAATTCGATTTCGAGCAATACCCGCAATCTTTATCTACTGCCTTCGCAGATGGCATCACAGTCAGCCTCCGTCTCCGCTTCGAAGCTACAGTTATGCGATCACAAAAACGAGACGGTGAGGGTCGGGATCTGGTCGAAGAGCTCATTGGAGAGGAAATTGATGACCACCATACACACTACTCAGATGGCACACATAACATCTTGAACGAGGTGGTTGTAGACCGAGGGCCAAGCCCTACTATGTCGTCTATTGAGCTGTTCGGAGACGACGAGCATTTCACCACTGTTCAGGCTGACGGTATCTGTGTCTCTACGCCTACCGGCTCGACTGCATACAATCTGGCAGCAGGCGGATCACTCTGCCATCCCGACAACCCCGTGGTCCTCGTTACCGCCATCTGCGCGCATACGCTCTCTTTCCGGCCTATTATCCTGCCCGATACCATCGTGCTCCGCTGTGGTGTACCCTATGACGCGAGAACAAGCTCATGGGCTAGCTTCGATGGCAGGGAAAGGGTCGAACTCAAGCCGGGCGACTACGTCACGGTTAGTGCGAGTCGCTTCCCATTCCCCAGTGTGCTGCCGCTAAACAAGAGGAGAACGGATTGGATCGACAGTATTTCCAGGACCCTGCAGTGGAATAGCAGGCAAAAGCAGAAGGCATTTAAAGAGTGGAGCTCATAGAGACATGGTTGGTTCGAACTAGACCTCTGGCTATAGAATACTATTCTTCCAGATCAAGTAGCGTGACTTGTCTTATTATATGGTAGAACTATGCATCTCGATCAATGTTGGCTCATTCTATCTACCCAAGAAACGGTTTGCCTAGACACGTCTCTCTGCCTCTTGTTTGTATCATTGTCATTCGCCGTCTTAGATGCAGCCATCCGAACCACAAACGCGATTGGCTCGCTCCAGGCCCTATGCGAGACTTGCTCATTTCTTTATCCCCACCAACATATCAAGCACACAATCGCCAGGTTTCCGAGCGACCGATACTCAACTACGGAAATCCTTCAGGATGGTCGTGTAAGTGACCACCATGCACATCCTCCCTCTGCTGACAAGTAGTAGGTGGTGTGAACGCTGTGACAGATCGTACCGCACGTCCCATGCACTCAACCAGCACGTCCGCGACTCGCCAAACCACCATGAATGCCCCGAATGCGACTTCGACTGCGCTACCTGGGATGACTTGCTAGACCATTGTCGCGATGAAGGTTGCCGCACTGTGTGTCAAGGCTGCAATGATGGAAGTGGGTCGCACTGGGAGTTTCAATGCGACGAGTACTGGGACCATGTTGAAGATTTCAATGTTTGCACTCAGTGTGAGAGGCATTTCACATCGTCAAGCCATCTCCATCAGGTAGGATCTGCAGAACTGCTCTCTGAGTGGGTGTAGTACTGAGCATGTCTAGCACCGGCTTTCTCACCGTAAACCGACGTACGAGTGCTACCAGTGCACTAGAACGTTCAAGACATACGGCGGCATGGTAAGCTATCTACACATCTATCTTTGGTTCATTCGCTCACCATCACAGATCATCCATCTCGAACGTCGTACTTGTAGCAACATTGATTACACTGATCTTAACAAGCTTGCAGCTGAGTGCTATAAATGGAATTATTTCATGGACGAGAGGTATCGAGACGAGTTGCTCAACGAGGGCGATACCGTATACGACGTCGCTCCGTTCATTTGTCCGACATGTGATGCGGCGATGCCAAAGCTATCAAGCTTGTTTCAGCATGTCGAGTCAGATGCGTGTGCGCAGACTTTGAATGAGGGGGCTGTGAGGCAGTTGAGAAATCTCTTGAGTCGTCGGCTGAGCTGAGCTGAGCAGACTGGAGAAGGAAGTATTCTTGACAAAGGCTTGGTTTGCTATGTATTGGGATAAGAACGGAGGCCCGTAGTACATATGTAAAGGATTGGAAGATGGATGCCCAAGTATTGCACTCAAAACGATGAACAGACCCGAAGAAAAGTACAAGAAGCCCAACACCCTCACCGAGAAAGAGATTTCTTAGGGCTTGTTGCCAGCACACAACTCCATAGTGAGACCTTCACTTCTATCAATCTTGCCCATATGATTGTCGTTCTTGCAAAGGTTTTCCTAAACAGTTCTCGAATTAGTTCTATACATTTGAAAAAACCACTGCACTCCAGGATGACTCACCCCATAGAAGTACGCTTGATCATCGCATCAAGTGTTTGCCGCGCATTGAAACGCCTTTCTACCCGGCTGACTCAACTGCAGACCAGCTTCATGGCCCACACTGGCGCTAATATCTGAGTTGATTTTCCAGCAGCAGCTGTTCCGTTTACCGTACCGCGACACGGTATTAGGCTAATATCCATACGTTCAACAGGAGTAGATTGGTCGCGCCTGGCGAGTGACTCATGCCCCAGTGTCATGAGGCGACGGGCTGGCGAGACATGCCGGTGCATAAGGCCGTGATGGTGCGGCACTGCGTCGACTTTGGTTGACAAGAGGAATAAAGCTATCGCGGTCGATACTATGAATGAGGATAGATGTAGTAGTACCATTGTGGAACAGCAATACTCGACCGTCCCTAAGTGCTATGAAGCTAAGGTCGCTATGCGCCGTTGAGGGGATATCGTTTTGATGAGGATTTTGGCGCTACGGAAAACTTCACAACCGTAGTATTTGCAATAGAACGGTGGAAATGTATGGAAGAAGAGTGTTGCCAAACATGGAAAATGTATATGTAGTAGAATGGCGCTTATCACAAAACAAGACGTGACTGACAGTTGAGTAACTGTATCTGAGTAACAGATGAGTAGGTGTGGCTTTGACCTTTGCTTCTTACGTTCGAGAGGCCTTCGTGTGATCATTTGCGGTGATGGACTCGAGGTTAAGCGCTTCTTGATAATGGCGTAGCAAAGGGAATTACACTGTATCTTCTATGAAGTATGAGGGGTCGTGCGACAATTGGAGCCCACAGTGTCAGGATTTAGTAAGTGACGAATGGGTGTCATGTGGTGACAGGCGAGCAAATATGTTCATAGTACTTAGGAAAACCTGAGCGTCTTCTACATAGTTACTGGTCAATGGTGCCTCAGGACACCAACATCGCAACAGATTAAGTGAGATGTTTATACGATCTGATCATTGGAACTCATGAGCTAGCTATTTGAGTGTTTCAGCGACAGTTATCCAGAAAGGGAGAGGCAAGTGCCCGCATCCATATACCATCCGTATCGTGAGAAACCTCCACCCTCCACTTGTAAGTGCCCTTGTTTGAAGAAGGAGATAGACAAGACGCCGAGAAAAGTAGCATACAAAAGAAAGAACTTAAAGTAGGAAAGAATACATGAGACCATGTATATTTGTCCACCCGCAGTATCCAGGGGCCTGCGTGTAAATTGTCAGAAACAAGGTTGGGAGAGATTCGATAGGCAAACAACACACTTTTACTATCCACCGTGTTTGCGAAAGAAGCCCTATTCTGGTTGGACTGTGAAATGGAAGTTCAAGTAGTTGTCGTAATCTCTTGTTTTGCCATCTCGCCGCTCATGTCCTGTTCTCCGTGCAGATCTCGAAGGCGACACCTTTGTCGATTGTGCAAGCGCCGACTGGCGCGCCAGGCAGATAGCCGAATTCGGGCACGATATATGCATTCTGTGCACAAGGTTCGTTCGCGACACACCTGTATACAGGACCGTCTTTGGCGGCGGCTTGTATGCCCTTTTCGTGGCCGACACAGGCGCTGAAATCGAACGTTGTGGCGTCAGTCTTGACCTGGCAGTCTAAGTAGGAGATATCGTAGGACATGGTGGTCTTGTCATCCCAGACAGTGTATTCGAACTGCATGACTTGGGTCATGGCTTCCGTCTTCGAGACTTTGAGGGAAATACCGGACTTGTAGCAAGTGCGAATAGGCTCGGAGTAGGTACTGTTAGCGGGAACGAGCTTGCAGATGTTACCAGGGCCACAGGTCTTGACATCGCCGATAGAAGAAACGTAAACGTCGTAGTCGCAGGAGTTGACAATTATAGCAGTATGCGGCTCAGAGTTCAGAGGCGCGTAGTGATTGCCGTTAGAAGAGGGGGATTTGGGAGGTGCAGAGGATGATTGCACAGCGGAAGATGATGCAGATGCGGACGCGATGTCGGACGGGCCCTTCTCCGGGAGCTTGACGGTAATGGACGGCGGAGGCGCAGCTGAAGTGGTAGCAACGGCACAGCTGGAAGACTCTGGGGAGCTTGAGATGAGATCCACCGTCAGCGTAGTGTACGCCGTCTCGGTAACGACGACGATATTAGTCTTGACCGCGCGGTGGTAAATGTCGGCATGATCATAACTGTGACGGTGTCCCAGGTGCGCGCCCGCGGCGAGAAGCGGTAGCACGAAGGCAATGGCTGAGTTCGCTCGCATTGCTGAGTTGTCCTGAGCTAGGTTCTTGAAGCTGGTCGCGTGAGTAGATGACAGTTCGAGTGATATTCTCGTGGTGGTTGAGTGTCGCGTGACGTGAGTTGGAGCAAGTAAAGGTAGTGAGTGCGGGAGCGAAAGTTGCTGAGGGAGTTGTCGTCGTTGTTGTTGTTATGATTTTACGTCACTTAGGGTTCTGAAAGCGCAAGTGAGCGTGTGTTATATGTTACGCCGGAGGAGCGTTGGCCTGTTGGACAGCGGGTGAATAATAAGCGCCGGCCAATGAGAGGCTTGCTGATGATGAGTCCACAAATGGGCACAAACAGCGCCGCAACGCGCCCCCGCATATTCTTCTCTTATGAGCCGGTGGGGGCTCACCGAGTGTCACTTGCGTTGCGGTGTGAGGCCGCCCCCAGAGCGGGCCAACAATTTCCATGCATTGCATGTGCATCCCGACCCCAAAAGTGACATGAGTGATTGTGGGGGCAACTGGCGCACAGTGAATGAAATTGAATGAAGACAGATAGGAATGATTCGAAATTCATGGGGTAAGATGTGAAAGGAAAAGGCTTTGAGAGATCACGGGTTAGACAGCGTTTCTAACCGTGACCTCTACGATGTCGAGTACTGACGTGAAGTATATAGTTACTCGGAGCCACAGGCAGTTTACCCAACAGGCTCCAATGGTACGGAGGGCTGTGGTGCCTGTTTAGTTTGCGCATAACAAGAATACATTGGGCTGCCACAGTTAGCTTTTGTCCGCGATATCTGGACCCTTTCACTTACTCATCATACCCCGTCCACCCCACACACTTCCAACAGTTGAACAGACTGGTAGGATCATAGCGCCTCTTGGTAGCTAGCAATCGGTCGTAGTGTTCTCCGAAGAACGTTTGCTGCCAATTCTCCTCGGTCCAATCACCCTCATTCGAGTAGCACCCACCGCCAGGTGTCAAAGCCTTCAAGTGCTCAATAGTGGCAGAAACAGTCTTCTGAATCTGCGAGCGCACAGCTGGAGGCGTGGCCGTTGTCCAGAATTGGCCCATCACTATTTCCCATAGCGAGTCTCGCCAGAGCGGGTTCACGCTAGTCTTACCATTATCGGGAGTGTTGTCGGGCCCAGTAGCGTAAAATTGAGCGCCTCCACCGCCATGGTTGGTGTGAGAGAACTGCATAGCGGTGACGACTGCAGTCACTAGCCGTTCGATATTGTGAGATGAACTAAAGAGATCCTTAGGGATGAAGCGCCCCGCGCCGTTGAAGCCTAGACCAACGGGCCCATTACGAGATATCTCAGGTCTTTCTGTAAATTCATGCCATTGCGAGAACTTCTTGAAGGAATGATACTCGTTCTCTGTGATGTTGAGACCGGGATAGTTGGTAAGGAAGTCGTGCCATTGGGAAGTGATATTCTTGATCGCCGACGTGTCGCGCGAGGGCATAACTTGCAGGAATACAACATGATTTGGGAGTACAAAGTTGAATCCGGCGACTCCATGTTTGGCAAATAGGGTTTGGTTCGAGGCAAGCCCAGTGATGATGTCGCGATGTATCTTCGACTTGGTGATATCTTTCGGCTCCGGAAAGTGAGCTTGGAAGCTGTACACGTTGATAGGTTCGGCTGGATGCAGCTGGAACTTGTAGGACGTGAGCACAGCGTAGCTACCACCTCCGCCTCCGCGCATTGCCCAGAAAAGGTCTGGGTCGCTGCATTCATTGATAGTACGTTGTTTGCCATCGGCAGTGACGACGTCGAACTCGACTGCTTGATCGACCATGAGTCCATACTTGGGTCCCAGTGGTCCATGGCCACCTCCTTGACCGTAACCCCCGGCGATGCCGACAGAGGCCACAGCGCCGACGGTGACAAGCACATCGTGAGGTTCAAAGGCCTCCCATGCTTCCTGGGCTTGGACACCAGCACCGATCTCCCCAATATTCTCATAGTGAGTTTTGCAGCCTTTAGGCTGGAAGCTCTTGTGAAACTTAGTGTCTTTCATGTTATGAGTCCAGATAGCCAACGAGTTTGGCGCGGTTGACCGTGCGTAGTAATCATGTCCAGTATTCTTGATGGAAACACGAATCCCATGCTTGCGAACAAAGTCCAGCGTCTTGCTAATATCACGCCCACTCTCAGCTTTCACATGGTATGCTGATAATCTTCCTAGCGCGCAGGTACCAGAAACGGCCTCCGATGTATTGAAAGAGTTGAGTGCGCATTGAGATTGACCACACCTTTCCCAGTCGAGGAACTCCATGGAACCATACTGCTTAGTCCGTGAGACGCCATCGCCATAGTTCTCTGCAACGTCTCGACATTGTTTGCTCGAAGGATCGGAATAGCATGGCGCGGCCCAAGGCACCGTCAGTCGAAGGTTGCCGTTGATACTCTGATTGAAAGCCTCCCAATCGTTTGTTGTTGGCCAACAAGTCTGTCCTGGTAGGCATGTGTAGTTGAATGAAGTCGAACCTTCGTGTGCTGGCACTGGCCACATGACGCTCTGGAAGAGGTATTGCTTGCAGAGGGTATACGATCCGTACACAGCGAGGCCGCAGACAAGGGGTAGTATGATGACATGCCGCAGGATATCGCTTAGACTCCGCCTCGCTGATTTCATAGAGTTTTGCAAATCTTCATCCTCGCTCTGCACTCCACGAACATGGACAACCTTCTCGTCCAACAGTGGTTGCCGTTCGGTGGATGCCATGTTGCCACCCAATGCAATCGACCTTCAACCGGTGCCGTATGTGAAGATCTCTAGCCGCGATTTCCGTGAAAGTACCTTCAATGTAATATCTAGATGATGTGTTATTGAACAAAAGGAAGTTGTGACGAGGCAGCAAACATGGCGAAGCTTCGTTATAAGGTGGTGACCGTACAGCCACGAGCTGAACTTGTGGCCTCATCGATGTCCCGCAAATGCATCAAAAGTCATCCTGCCGTAACCTGGATTTGGAAAATGGCTGACTGTGTCTCAGCCTCAGATCGTACTTCATAACGGCTAGATTGACCAATCAAGTCTTAGGATTGGGGCGTGAACCGTATCTTGCAGCCAGTGGCTGAGCAGTCACCAAACACCGCCCGAAAAATGCATCAGGCAGAAGGTCCTTGGTGCACATGGTGCTGGAGGCTGCTGCGGAATGGTTCGGGGGCGGGCGAGGACGCGGTGTCTATTTGCCGTGTGCCTCCCACGCGTTGCCGGAATCGGTCACTGGCGCGTAACGCCTTGTTTACCCCCGGAGCCGCCACGGCTGTGTTCTGCAGCCACTATAACGAATTGTGCGACCGCTCAGGCGAATGGATGGAAGTTTCTTGATAAGGCTGCGCCATTGAAGCGCGATCTTGTTGAGAATGGTGGCCTGGGAGCTGGAATTATGACGCATGCAAAGAAAGAGGCTGAAGTGCTAGGCAGCACCCTGTGCGCAGAACTTCAAACACATAGTCATCAATGATGGGATCTCAACGCCAGTACAACCAGTTGTCAACTATCAGCGGTTTCTATAGGACTGATAATGTCACAAGTGTCTCTTGTACGAGTGTGGCTCAAACTGTGGTAGGACCTTACTGGATCTACGACAGAAACACGATGACGCACTAACTTCAGCGAAACATTCTTTAAGAGAACAAAAAACCCCTCACATTGCCATGTGCGCAAATGCCATATATGTGCTAACTGACACCAGAAAGGCGAAATTTGAACAAGATACGATCAACAACCTAAGAGGCAAGGAATAGTCACACTCCCCGTAAAAGCCCCCACAAGTCCTTCTAAAGGCAGAATCCCCAGTTTACTACCAACCGTTATCGCCAACCCGTCGGATCCAGCTCATACCCTAGCAAGATAATCGCAGGCCTTACAAGACGGACTACTGCCTACGGAAATCTCGTAACGCAGCGTCCCCTGCTCTTCATTCCTATCGCCCATTAGATTGAACAGGTTCATATCGTCCACCATGGGGAACCTAGAAATCGACTTGGGTTTCGGAAATCCGCCGCGGTTGCAGCCTCCAGACTTGGTTGTGTAGCGAGAGAAAGGCTTTTCGTCCGTGGCAATAGAGGAATTTGTAACGGATTCCTGGATGAGTGCGTTCATGGCTGTGCGGAGCGGCTTTTCTACTGACCCGTCCGGGAAGCTACACGTAAGTTTGATGGCCTTGGAGTCTCCCAGATGAAACCAATCTATAGGGCAGGACGTGCCGTTGCTTGGGTCATCTGTTATCATGCGGTTGTCGAACCACCGTAGTAGGTCCAAGTCGCCATCATATTCGACCTGTTGTGATGAGAGTTTCGTTTCGATGTTGTATTCTGGTTTCGGCATTGGCTTAGGAGTAGGCTTCAGTTTCGAGACACGAGTAGGATTCATGTCTCGCATAAGGTTCTCGTTGAATGCATCTGCAGCATGCTTATCCTTTGCGGTCGAACCTATTAGAGCCCACCAATCGTATAAGCTGACCGTCGAGGCAGGGGCTAGACACTCGTTCTGCAGGCGTTGACAGATGAAGTTTGAGATAGCGGCGAAGTCTGCTTTTGCACCATGAAGAAAGTCCTTTTGGTTTGCGGGTTTGCTGCCATAACCGCGAAGGCCATCCGTGCCTTTGACGTAAGCAATTCTGGGATTCTTACATTCACCGAAGTTAAACATTGCGCGCGGGTTGAGTACCGCGGAGTAGGCAGTTTGGAAGAGAAGGACGATCGTCAGAATAGAAGGAAAGACATAATGGAGATAGGCTGTGTGTGTATTAAAAAAGGGTCGATATAGAAACAGTTGTGAAAGACCATAATGGAAAAGAAGTAATCTGGTGAAGACTCGCAATATGCTAGTAAAAAGAGGGTCTTGCTCCAACATCTGTATACTGTCTCTTTGAGCTTTGCTGGGTCTGTGTTGTACCTCTCACACCACGTTTCTGCACCTGGAAATCAGCTCTTAGCGATATACCAAGCATATAGATGATATAGGTCATCACAATAAGTACAACAAGATAGACGGCCGATTCCAGGGTACTATGACAACTCTCCAACAGGGAAAGCGTCTGCGCTTTGGCATAGTATCTGCGAGGTCGTTCCTACGTCAGCAAAGCTGAAGAGCGGGGCGTCATCATTTTGAACGCTAGTATTATCTCAAGCAGCAACATTGACCTTCAACTTGCACTACTAACTTCAACTCTACTGAAGTCTGTCGCATCTTAATCCGCCTATTAGGAAAGCCTACTTACGCTTCATGACCGTTGTTAGGTCCGTGGGCATGCGCCCTGATATCGATCGTGTAAGAAGTCAACACATTTGCAATGTACCATACAGTCATCAGATACAATTTTTTGATTCTTGTTCGTAGAAACGTGCTACCGCACCACATAAGAAGACCAAGCGGGAAATCAAAACACTTGCAAAGGCCGAGCTCAAGTTCACTACATTCGTGGTACCGGTAGATGTAAGTATTTTAGCCCGCCGACATCTCTATTAGAGATTCCTTGATATCGTGATTTAGCTCTCCGTTCGCTCGTCCTGTCGTGAGATAGCTGTTGTTCATTCGTTCATTTCATCCATACTGAACTGTTGGATGCAGGTACGTCCTGTTTTCAGGCCGAAACCAGTGTTGACGCAATCTATGCGCCCAGGCTGGGGAAGGCGCTGGAATCGGTGATGTTGATGTTGGACGGGGCACCACCGCGGCCTCCACGACCACGGCCCTCGCCACGTCCACGACCCTCACCACCACGGCCACGTCCGCGGAACTCGCCACGACCTTCGCCGCGACCACGTCCCTCGCCGCGGGATTCACCGCCACGGCCACGACCCTCACCGCGGAACTCGCCACGGCCACGGCCGCGTCCTCCTCGGCTACCGCCCTCACGAGGAGGGGGAGCAAGCATGCGGTCGCCGTCGAGCTCAACGTGGACCTTCTCCTTGCGGGCGCGCTCACGCTTGGCCTTGCCTTGGGCACCGGCCATGAAGTCTTCTTGCTCCTCACGGGAGAGAGCAGTGCCCTCGGGGAACTTCTTGCTGCTGCCCTCGTTGGGCTTGCGGACGTTCTGAGCGGCAAGAGAGAGCTTCCTCTCGGCCAACTCGGCGAGGTAAGCGGTGTAAGACTTGCTCTTGTCCTCAGGCTCGGCCTCGGCGGCGTCCTCAGCATCCTCCTTGATGGCGTCCTTCTCTTCAGCCTGGGCAATGGCCTCGCCAGCCTGCTCGTCAGCGAGCTCAGCGTTGCCATCGTTTCCGCCCCAGCCGTGTGCGGCCTGCTTGTCGTGTTCGCTGGAAACCATTAGATAGTGTCAGGATATAGTGTGGGAGTCTTCTTACGCAATGCCGGTCCTGCTATGACGGTCACCCTCGGCACGAGCAACACCACCGCGGCCTCCTGCGCGTCCACCACGACCACGGCCGCGACCACGAGATGAGGTGCCAGTAGGCTCTGTAGAATATCAGTACATGTGCGTATGAACCAATGGTATTCCACTTACCGCCAGATCCCCTTCCACGGTTCTTGTCAGAGCCGACGCCGCGATCCCGGAATGCTGTGCTTCGTTAGCAACTGTCCACTGAGTTTCTCAGGGAGAACCAGAGCATATCTGATGCCCTTGGTATTCAACGTACCGTTCTCGTTGGCGTTGTCGGTCTGCTTGGCACGGTTCTGGTGGCTCAGCCTCTCGGGCACAGGCTTGGGGGCGTCGGTTCCATCGCGCTTGCCGTGCCTCATAACGGGCTTCTCAATTGCCCTCGTCGGTGGGTCAGCCGGCCTGTCGGGGTCGAGCTCGGGGTCATTGCCTGCGGGGTCATGAGTGAATGTTCCAGGACTGTGCTGTGCGGCTGCGACATACCCAGCAGCTCGTAAATGTTCTGTACTTGCAATTAGCATCTTGAAGCTTTACAACATACTGCAGTCACTTTTGCAACCCTCAATGGAAGAGCGCGAAGCTGGACGTGATGGTGGGGTGAGTTGGAGCTTACCTTGGAAGCAATTTGCGACATCTTGACGAATTGGAGCGCCTTTCGCGCTTTGCCCTTCTAGATGCACAATCTGCCGGGAGATAAAAAGAATGCGAGAGCTTGCCCTACGAATTTTAGGGACGTGGCTCTCAGAATGTGACTCGCAAACGGGGTGATAGGCGCGATGTTGCGGGCAAGAGGTTTTGGTGATTCGAAAATGGCCGTGGGTTGCTTCCGTAAGCGAGTGAAGTGGGGCTAGGACTATTGGAGGCACGAAGAAGCAACAGCGCTGCAGTTGCTGCCGCATACAGCGCTTCAGTCTGTCCTTGTGTAATTGTAGCTGAAAATAATGGATCGGAGATCAGCGCATCAGTTGAAGGCTTGACTATAATTTCAACGCTTTTGCGCCGTTGGCCTACGGCTGATTTTGGTTCAAGTGTGCCTTCAAGTGCACGTCATTCCAAGGCTCGTTCATACCAGGCATGCAACGCTCCAATGCTAGGAATTTGAAGCACGAATGCTTGTAATGCAGACTCAAGATGCTGTTGTAAGTTGGTTCTATCATGAGATTGATCTCTCCTTTTTTTTTCTTCCTTCGGTAGGGAGCAATGAGCGCTGTCACCAAGATTATCGAGTTGAGGTGGGGGTGCGACTTTGACTTGACAGATGCGGTCGACTTAATTACAATATGTACAAGGCACCATCCCGTCTTCCAACGTCAGTAGACAGGCTGCAGTGCCAAAGTGAAACGTATGGATAAGAAGCCATTCACTGTTGTCCATAACAATAATCCCAAGCAATTTCCATCACAAATACACACGTCGTATGACCTGCCTTAGGTCGAATGATAACTTTTTAGAATTCCGCACATAGCAAGACTCTTGGTCCGATGTTGAACGCCGTCGTACTGTCGTGACACATGGTCGATTGGTAAAAGCAGTTGTTACGCCCGCTAAACAACGTCATTAAGAAGGTATCAGTCGGCGGGCGACGATCCATTTGGTCCCTGATTAACTTCCAATATAGCCTCCTCTTCCCATGAAGTCCTCATATCATCATCTACTCTCATACATTGTAGGGAAGTGCATGCTGGCCGAAAGTCCGAAAGGGTCGGCGTCGAGCATCGGGTCGTACTGGTCGAACAGGTGGTTGTTGCTCATGCTGTTGAAGTTGTGGCCCCCGTCGTTGGGTGCTAGCGCTGCTGGACTCGTGAAGGGAGGGTTCTGCGAGGGCGGCATCGGTGGTGGCATGTTGTTCGAAGGTGGGAAGTTCTGCTGCGGGAACGGGCCGGGGCCAGCGGAGTGGTCGCTCGGGTCGTCGTGGTCGTTGTAGGAGTCGGCTTGTTCCTCGTACTCCTGTTCTATAACACGAAATCAGCCTAGGATTACAAAGCCCTATACCTAAGAAGGGAAAGGAAACGGGTCAGCTTGCCAAGTTGACTCATGTGGTCTGTGAATTGAGTCTGGTAGAAAGACGAAGGACCACTGCTCTGAGTTATGCCGTTTCCGTTGCTGCCAACGGTAGACGCGCTTGTCATGCCATTGGATACGGGTTGGTTCGTTACAAGCGGAGAAGGTCTCTGAGCATTCATCATGGGGGTGAAGTTTGATCTGGGCGGCTGTGGCCGTAGCGGCTGCTGCTGTTGCTGTTGCTGTTGCTGCTGTGGAGGGATGGGCCCAAAGTTGGGAGACACTGATTGACCGTGAGGTATGAAGCTGGGCGAGCGCGTTGCTGATTGAGCAGGCGACGACATATGTGAGCCAGGAGTGGGTTGCGACAGTGGTGAACGCTGAATCGGCCCATCTGGCTGTATCATGGGCAACCCATTGATGTTATCAACCTTGGGCGGGCCTTGCAGCGACCGCCTCTGCTGTTGTCTGTTCAATATAGCACGTTGTTGGAGAGGCGCCTGGTTAGGCGAGGTGTGTGCAGACGCTGGGGCTCTGGTCGGCCCCAGGTTTGGACTGCCAGTCTTCGCGCGCAGCTCGGCCTGGACGTCGATACCTGAAGCAGCAATGGGTTAGCGTGTGTACCTTGATAGATAGACATGTTGATAAGATCGGGGCTACCTTTCTCTAGCAGAATCCTCTCAAGTAGAGAATTCTTATACCGGAGCATAAGGCATTCGTCGGCGGCGTTGCGGTGACTGTTCTGCAGGTTCTGCAGGGTATCCTCATGGTGCTTTATGGTGCTCTCCAACTGCTTGATATACTCTGTCCGTCGCTCACGGAAGGCGGCTTGCGCCTGTCTATTGCGCTGCTTGCGCTCTTCTGAGGTGGCATATATCTTACGACGCTTGGTTAGTCCTATCTTCGACATAGTAATCGGCGCTTCAATTGCTGCAGCCATGGCAGGCAACTGGTATCAGGAAGGCTCACAGGTTTACGGCCACCTTTGCGCTTCTGCTGCTGGGGCTCTTCCTGGGTATATGTCTCCGCCAGACCAGGTTCCGGCGACGATCCGATAGAGGAGGTCGAACCATCGCGCGAAGCCTCTGCCTTGCCCACGGGAGCCGTCATATCTGTTACGAGACTATCTCCCATCTGCGGCCACCGTACCCCTCGGTGCAGATAGAGGGGCACAGAGGCGCCAAGAGATGCGAGAGATGCGACAAAGGCAGGTCGAAGGAGATAGCAGGAGGCTCTGGTCGCTTAGACGCGCTTGTGCTGGGCAGCCGCAGCGCCGGGTCGAAAATCAATACGGTTTGTATGGGGTTTTGATAATGTATGATAAGAAGAAGGCGTTCGGGCCTGTGTGTGGTCGCGCAGTAGTTGTGAGGTAAGCTCTTGGGTAATGGAAACAGAGATGGGCTCAAACGGAGGGGCGGAGTGCTGGACTTGAAAAGGCGGGCGGACCACTCTCTGTTGCCCAGATCACCTCCTCCCGTGTGGTTAAAGCTCGACACTCGACTCGCCTCCAGGAAGATGTGCCCTTTGGCGCGCGACGAATCGCAGCCGTGCGACCGCTGCTGGGCACTTCCAACGCGCAATGACGGCCAAGCGTGCGGGTGTGCGGTTGGCGGACAGCTCAGAATTTTCTCGCGGGGTGCTCACGCTGCATCACGGCTCTGGAAGGCAGGCTTCGTGCAAGACGCCTTGGTGGAGGACGCCGAACATGGCTGCCCCAGCCGAGCTGGGATCGCGATACTGCATGCGGCGTAGCCTGGTGTTTAGTTCCCGCGCCACTAGAAAGTTTTATACGCTTTCTCCGGTTCTCCATGGACGCGCAGTGCAGACAGCGAGCCTTGAACTGTTATCTATTAGCCTTCTCCCGTCCAAGGGCCATCAACTCGCAACATTTAGGCATCTGTCTGGTTTCATCTACGCAGCCATGAAATGTTCCTGTGAAAAGCAAGCAACCGGCCGTCGCATCGACTCCAGGCCACCGACGTCGGAGCGCGCTGCCCCTGCACCGAGGCCACGCACCTCGTCCGTATGAAGTCACCCTACTCGCACGCGGCATATGTAAGGCTGACGAGCATGTTCCATCCGATATGACGAGGGAGGGGTGCATTATTGTCGGCTCAGCTTGCGATAACGATCGATACGAATGCCAGTCAGTCCATACGACGTGCCTCACCGATGAACCGTGGACGTCTTCTCAGCCGTGACCAGGACAACGCCAGTAGCCATAGCGCAAAGAAATTCCAATCACGCCCCAGCACTCATCACGTGGCTGGACTTCCCCGCTAGCCAATGGCCCCTAGGGACGGAGTTTGACGGGGAAGGAACAAGCCGGCCTCGACACCTGCCGCATGCATTGAACACCACTACTCCATACCAGACGTCTGGTACTCTAGACAATCCACTCTGCCAGCGCTGCATCCAGCTCCCGAACCGCTACCGAAGTCTAGCCTAGGGATCACCGGATGTCGTTGCTTTATGCACCACATGAGTCTTATTGGCCCGAAGCAGCCATAGCGTCACCACACTTTTTCTCGGCTGAGCGAGCAGGTGACCTTTGACGCGGTCGAGACTTTCATACGAGGAAATTGGCTGCACCCTGTCACATCGTGACATTGACGGCCAGCCGTGTCGAGTAGTCGAGATGTGTTACATCGGCATCCCACAGTCGGGATTGCCTGCTAGATGCGGCATCCTCGGATTGCTCTGCACAAACCTCGGAACATGCAACTGTGCAATTCTAATTGATGCCCATTAATGCACGCTGTGAATTTCACAATAATCTAGAAAGTATCGGCATATTTGTGAGTCCTGTGCTGTGTCGTGGGCAAGCGGCCTGGAGACAAGTAAGGTACTCTGTGTTTACCTGCTACCAATATGACTAGGAGCTGTCAAACATTGCAAACTCCAAGTAGAACAAGTCCGAGTGAAATGATCAAACGAGCAGACCTATACTCGGTATCAGGATTTAGATACGCTCCTTCAAGAATATTGTCGATTGCTCCTTCTGACTTCAATCGCCACGTGCGGCGCAATCGTGGAAAGGGTGAGCACCATACGGCTTCTTTCTCTCACCCGTAGAAGCAATGATGTGAGACATCATGACATTCAACCTCCAGCATGCACACCTCAATCGACAGTCCTCACCCTTAGCAGGATATCCAAGCATCGACATAGTCTCATATGACTTTCATCCTGTTTTCAGCAGCATCAGATCCCGCGTCAATCACTCGGTCAGCTTCTAGTCGCTAGTCACCAGCTTCGCGCGCAGTCTATCGTTTACGAGGGTGCTCAGCACGATATTGATCTCAGAAAGCATCGCGCTGACGGTAGGCAGCAATGACATTTTCCGAGATCGCGGGACGGCTGCTGAAAGGGTCAGGACACTCGCAGCCGCCGCCTGCCAAAGAGCAGCTACTCGACCCTCATCCTTCACCAGATCAGACCAGTATTTCGTCTCTACTCGCTTCGCCAGAGTCAGACAACGGTCACATAACAGCCTGTGAAGGCATGCTCGGCAGCCACCTTGGCGAACAAAGAGGACACTCCATTGCCTCTTCTTGGGCGAAAACTCGACCTTTATCCGACATTCGTGAAGTCACCGAATCGAGCTTTGCAGATACACTACCTCAAAACGCCCTAACCAACATCTTCCCCCGTAACACCTCCCGTACAGAAATGTCGCGGAAACCCTCTGTTGCTACGAGACGACATCCAAGCAACGACAACCGGCATGGCGAAAACAAAGAACCTGACAGAAAGACTAGCATCGAAAGCAACGGCATGAGATCCGTCCACCGGGGTCGAACTTCTAGATCACCATCACCATCAAGTCCTGCAGACAACAACAGCATATCCAGTATATATAGCATCCCAGCTGGCAATGTTCCACCGCGATCATCATCGCGAACTCGTGCACCTAGCAATTCTCAAACCCGACAGCTACAGCAGGTACCACCCATACACATAATTCAAGCGACAGCGACGAACGTACTTAGCGCAATATCCACTATACCTTTCCAGCCTCCTAATAACAGTGCCAATACTATCCTTCGACACGGTCAATCACAGTCTCCCCTACGCCATATCGTTGCTCGTCTCGACCCTATATCTCACGATGCCAACCGACGCATACCCTCCAGAACATTTGTTCGCGATCCACTATCGAAAGAGCTGCTAGAGTTTCCATCACACCGACATCCGCGAATTGAGCTTGGCCTAGACTTATCGGCAGGCATTTTCGTGGGCGGAGGCTCCATTGAAGGGACCGTCCAGATAAACGTCGACGATGCAGAGCGAATACGTCATAGAAGGACTCTGGACATTGCACGGATATCTATCGATCTTCTTGGGACGGAGGAAATAAGTGGCAACAGACGAGCCGTCTTTTTGAACCTAGCAACGGAGCTTATTGACGAGCAAAACCCGCCGCCTCAGAACATGGTAGATACCCAAGAGCCAACAAGTTCAGCAGATCTATTCTGGCATCTGATGCCTTCTAATACCAACCTTGCTTTCAACCTAAGTTTACCTCTCAATGTCGGTCCTCCACCATTCCATTCGAAGAATGCAAGGATCCGCTACACACTTTGTGTGTCTCTTCTTATTCGCGACCAAGGAAGGCAATACATTGTCAGAACTTCCGAAGACATTACAGTGCTCTCAGTGTATGATCGTATGAGATTCTCCATGTTCAACGTCTGTGTCTACAAAGTTAACATCCTGGCAGCTGAAAAGGCGCTCATGTCGCTCCCCAGTCCATTGACTGCTTCAGAAGAGTGGATAAAGCCCCGAGAAACCACCATCGAGGCTGTTCGGGTCACCGCGGGTCTACATCGACAAGTCTGGGTCAGCGGTACTAGCCTTTACGTTGATGTCCATGTTGCCAACAACAGTCGCAAGACGGTGAAGAAGATCGAACTTCAGTTGGAAAGGGACATACTTTGCTACAAACACGTCTGTTATACGCGCTTGTGCTACTACTACGTAATGATGCTGATGCAGATGCTTTGCAGGCTGCTGCGGCCACGATGGAGAAGTCTGCGGGTCAGGCTCGCATCTTTGACAGCAACGAGCGGTCTATACTCAGTAAATCATTCGTCAAGAACGGATGCGCTGGCTGGAACGGTGTCTCTACACACCAAACTCACATCAGAACCTGTGATCTTGAGGTACCCCGCGGCCATGCTACGGTGAAGTGTGGTACGTACTTTAGCATGAAGTAGTATGCACCGTCTTGACTGAGATAGGCAAATACTTCGAAGTCAGATACTTCCTCAATGTCATCGTCGCGAGCGCGCACACGTCAGTATCTGCATAACTCTCACCGGTGAAGCTGAACTCGTCCAGAAAGCTCGTCACCGTTCAACTACCAATCGTACTCATCCATATGGTGCGTCTCATAGTCACTCCTCTTCTGTATGCACTAACCATCACACCCTCAGAATTCCCTTGATGTGGTCCCCAACTCCGTCGCCCAAGTCGCCATGGCCATCGAAGAAAAGCGCACAGTCCGCCGCTCTCCACCCCGCCTCGGGCGTCGCCCATCCCAATCCGTTCAAGGCCGCGCCTTCGCAGCACCACGTTTGCAATCCTTGGAACGCATGCGCGCACGTGACGAAGCTATCCAAGAGTTGGGTCAAGCCCTCGAGCAAAGCCCCCGCAAATATGGTCTTCGCCGCGCAAACTCCAACTTTGATTACCATACTCCACCTTCCAATCGCAAAGGCAGGATACTAGGCGATGGGGAAGCAGCAGATCTACAGGACCGGCTAAGACGCGTCAAATCCAATGCGACAATTGTATCTAGACCTCCAACCCTTCATAAAGTTAATTCAACAAGGTCAAGACGTGGCGCTGGATCGGCGTTTGGCTTTCGAGAAGCGGAGGTTAGGGAGGATATCGAGCTAGGTGGTTTGGGTGCGTCGGGTGATGGGCTTCTAAACGAGAGATTGGCGAGGAGCAGCGATCGACAGTATCGATTTAGCAAGAAAAAGAGTGTAGAAAGATGGAAGGGGGTGGCGAATGTGGGCGTTGGGTGGTTGAAGGGGAATGGGGCCAAGGACGATAGGGAGCGAGAGGGATGGCTATGAGCTCACACTTCCTTCTCTGAGCCTTTTATTCATTGCATAACACGTCGCCACATGTGTTGCGATGATTAACGATTTCCTTTGCTCTGTTTGGCCTAGGATGCGAAATGATTTGTTGGATTATGGCATTACTACCTGAGATTGGACATGTTACAATTAGCGCATGCCACTACCAGTTGAGCTCGAAAGCGTCGCCAGTCTTACTGTTGTTTGCATAGTCACTTGAATTACTTGATGCTGCTGCTGTACATGGCGGTTGTGTAGGTAATGGTAAAGTCAATATTATTTGATTTGTTCTGTCATCTAAACGACAGCCTGGTTGCTTCTATGTATAATACAATCGTGTCATAATGTGGTCATTAAATTCCTCTTAAATCCACTTCATGCGGTATGATACAGTGTTATACATGGTATGTCGAGGTAGTCGTATCAGCAGAAGCCCTCTCGTAAGGTAATGCTTATGACCTGCTCTTGGCAAGCTCAGACTGAGCAGTCGATGTAGGCCCTCCCTTCACGCGCTCCCCTCCAGTGATCTTCTTCTCACCCTCAGTGATGTCGTGTAGAGTCTCGCTGGTGATGGGCTCCTTAGCATGACTCTGCGCCTGCGCAGTAGGACCTCCAGCGACCGGTCGCTGCTCACCAATGAGCTTCTTCTCAGCGTCGTTGATCTTGCTTAGTGTCTCCGAGTCTAGCTTTCCTGACGCAGAGGAAGTGTTGGCGCCGGCGTTAGACGTTGATGAGCCTGATGTGAGAGCGGACTGAGCGATGGATGTCGGGCCTCCTTGCATGACCTCAGCCTTGCCGGTGAGGAGCTTCTCGCCCTCAGTTATGTCGTGAATGACTTGCGATGTCAGGTTCTGGCCGGCGTGCTGTTGAGCTTTTGCGGTTGGGCCTCCCTTCGCTGGCTCATCCTTGCCAGTGATGAGCTTCTCTGCTGCAGTGATCTGGGAGATGAAGTTGGAGTCGACTTTGACGGACATGATTCGTGTTGTTGTGAAATTGCGGTGGTTGCTGAGATCGTTGATGTTGTTCCTAAGCGGCGCTCTTTGAGATGTGATGCGAGCTGTTGGTCGTGCAACGAGGAAGAAGTTGCGGTTGATACGGAGGATCCTAGAAGCCATTGTTGCTGAAGATTTATAGGTCTGATATTAAACTGGAAGTCGCAGTGGTGCTCGGTATGTGTAAGATTTTGTAGTGTGATGTGTACTGATGTAATGCGAAATTGATATCGTCTAAGAGTACACTCGATGTGACGTTAATATGGGGAAAGATGGATTAGGATGGCTATTTGCAACTTCTCGATCCGAATTTTTGACCGTGCGCAGCAAATCTCTGCATCAATGGCGACGACATTGCGCTTGATGACCCTGAGATGCAGGTACCATATCACCGATGGCCACGGCGACTTCTCGATGCGGGCTGATGATGTGGTGGAGCTATGATGTCAGCATCCTGGGGAACGAAGGCCATGACGATTGGGTGCACTAGCGGTGAGCTAACATCGCGATTCGATCTAGGGGTCCAGACGCAAGCTTCACAACCTCATTCACGATGGTGATGCGATGCGAATCCGATAGTGCGAAACCATCGAGGTCATTATTGCAGGTTATAATCCATCTTTTTTTTTCACTTCTATTCGCTGAGACGCAATGGATTCTTAGCATGTCATAACGACAGGTATTCAGACATGCCATTTTGTTCCTGATGTGTTTGCCAGCTGAGAGTCTTCTCATTCCTGAAAAGCCTGCCCATATTCATCAGGCGATCTCACCGTTCCTGTCGCGCAGTAATTGTGTGCTCCTCTGACTGATAGCATCCTGCTCGATACTAACCCGGATTTCTGTAGTCTTTACCACATCCCCCATCGGCAATGCAGTTGTTCCATCCTCGTTCATACGTGCATATGTTGAGGGACCGAATCGCGAACTGTGCGTGTTATCCCCTGCGCCATCCTTCGTAGCCCTGCGTTCGTCGCCCGTTCCAGGTATATAGCGCGACCCTGAATGCGCATCGAAGCCTTGCTTGGTGAAGTCGACGAGTTGATTGAGGATGTCGAACTCGAGTTTCAGCTTGATGGCGTAGGCGAGTGTCTTCCAACTTGTCTGAATCTCATACATGCCAGCATATTGAAAGGCCAGAATGGTCACGTCGAGCGCGATGACAACGACATTGACGGCGATGAGATGATTGAAGAGGCGCTTCGTATTTGGACCTTTGAAGACAGCCGAGCTGCTCATAAGAACGAAGGCGCGGTAGATATACAGCCCGCTAATGACGCATTCTTGGAAGACAAACCACGTAACTTGGAAGACCTCCCACTTCTCGTAGATCCGGAGCCATTTTCCCGGTTTTGACGAATTGGATCCAGCAAAGAGCGTAGTTGCGCCTCCTTGCACGATAATGCAATCTGTGATGATCATGTATAGCAACCATCTGTCTCTCTTTCCTGGGCTGATGAGGTGCAGTCGCGACCAAAGTACGATCGATTGGCCAGTGATCATGAGCATGCCTCCGCCACACGCCATGGTGATTTCCAGAGGGGCCGAGTCGGATATTCCATAGTTGCGAATGAAGTAGCCGAAGGCGTGTATCACGATACCGACAGTTGCTGCGATAAGCGAGTAGAAGTACACGCCACGGTATGAGTGGAAGCGACGGAAAATCTTGACAAACACTTCAAGAGCGTGGGAGACGGCGAGGGCCAGAAAGACAATGACGATAAGAGCGGTCTTGTAAGGCAAGGCAGGGTTTGTGCCCATACCTTCGGCTCGATCGCCTAGCCGGGAAGTCATTTTCGGTGTGGTTGCTGCCAAAGTACCTCCCCAGGAATGAGGGAGATTAGGAAACCAATGTCAACTCGGTGCGGTTCCGATCGTGAGTTTCATCTGGACAGCTGGTGAAGGGCCGCTCGGATGAAGACCCGATCGCGGACCGCCTTCTTCTACTCAAGAGACTCGAGATGATATCTCTCCACCTCCACATCTAACGCGCACGCTGCAAACCGTTGGCCTCATTTTGTACTCGTTCGATCCAGACTGGCCGCCACCAAACTTTGAATCCTTCAGTTCATGCCCCGCATCCTGGTTCCGGGTTGGACGTCGATCATCACTGGCTCGCATGCATCATCCACGGCCCGTCCGCAGGGACATACGTTCAAAGAATGTCACCGCGATGTAAATGAAGGGGCTAATGCGACGCCTTACTTGTGAAACGCGGTTATGAATATGGAGGGCTGCTAGCGATGTTGGGATGGGGAAGATATCCACCAATCAAGGGAAAGAGGGAACACTGTGATCACTGTTTACATCCTTGTCAATCAATCTTAACAGCAACGTTGTGCCGCTTGCATCAGGTCAGTATTGCTTCACACCGTGCCGCAACCGGTTAGTGTTCGTGTTTGTGTCCTAATGGGCGGGAGCTTTGGGTGGCAGCTTGTTTCGATGATGCTATTACGTCGTGCGTTATTAGAAGTACATCTCGCACAGAACAGGTCTCGTGTGGCTAGAGTTTGCCGGCTTATCGTCACTCTCACATACGAATTGTTAGTTACTCCAAGTCGTTAAATGAACCACAGGCTGATCTAGATATCAATATCCGATGATTGCTACTAGCTGAGAGATTCTGGGCGAACATGCGTACTTTCAAGCTATGATAGAAAGCATTTCCCCAGGAATCCATCGAGGCGCTAATTGAAACGGGTTAGCCGAGACCACGACCGACAGATACTATCCCGCGAGAGATGTCCATTGTCGTTTCGATTATAGACATATCGTGCAAGCGATGTTGTTCGTATGTGAGAGAAGTTAGCCGAGCTGGCGTCACCCCTATAATGTACGTGACGGATGGTGCACAACACTTACAATTCCGTAACCGGTAGTTAAAGCCGCCGTTCCTATGTCAAGTTGCGAGATGCTTAATAGTATCGCCCAATATAGTGAGGAAGCCAGTATCTGTATCGCAAATAGCCGAAGAACTTCTAACTACACGGTCGTCATCAAACGGAGTTCTAGCGGTCGCAATGAAAAGAGAGACGTCATGGACGTGAACAACAACACCCTGATCGCGCAGCGTTTAGAGGACGATACCCCGGTGCTTGAGAAGCCATGTCGCGTGTCGACTGAATGCAGAAACACAGCGAAGCTCCAACTACCTGGGATCGGCGAGTTGATCCAGAGCTTTTGCAAGCTATCACAACCACGGAGGTGCCCTTTCGTGGAGTAAATGATAGTTAGAGATTCCGACCAAGAAGGCAGAAGACGCTTGAAGTTCGCCATAGGGTGCATTGCTTTCCAGAAACCCTTATCCACCAACAGTTCTTGAACAACTTCATTCTTTTTGGAGCTTCGAAAAGTGTGATAGGCCAACAATTCTGCCCATTCCTTGCAAAGGCCTACAGCGAGCATATCTCAAGACAAGCCTAGTATCCTTGGCCTACGTGCAAATGTTCAAGCTCGGAAGCTACTGGGGCCAAATGCGAGGCAAAGTTCTCGAATGACCCTATCATCGTAGAACCGCGAAATTCCATGTTGTCATGAAGAACAAGGGAAGTAGATTTCTCCAAAGCTCTGGAATCCGACCTCATTCCCAGAAGGCTCAGTACGTTCGAGTCCTAACAACTGCCCAGCATTCTCTTAGTCCCGGGAAAACTCTGGGCATCGAGTTCTTGTTGATACAGAGACGGTTACCAGGGGTAACTTGAGAGTCTAGCCTCGAGTACCGGAATAGCCGTTTCGACTAGAAGTCTGGTTTTCTACAGGAAATCTCGAGTCGTATGCATGCCTGCTGGTACCTGCTTCTGTAAGCAAGCAAGCAATCAACCAGTAGGCATCCTGTCAAGTCTGTCAGTTCGCCTTGTTGTGCGTGGAGCAAAGCTAGAGGAAGTGGCGCGTCTGATATGCCCGACGAGCAGGAAGTTGACGCTGTCGAATAACTAACAATTAATCCAATCACCGTTCATAGTGCTATTGCAAGTGCCGAAGATAAGACTGCGTGAAATAGATGAGGATAACTTTTATGAAAAACGTGCATCATCAGAATCTGACATGTAGATGCAGAACGCGACGCGAGTTTGTGTTCGCGTTGGCTGTGATAAGTTAATAAGTGGCTCGACGTCAATGACGGCACGTGCATGTCAAGGTCTACTCTTGGGGTCTGCTCTAACACTAATTTCTCAAGCTCTCCATCCCAGGCCATCGTCGCGCAAGCACATTGTCCCAATGACACTCACGATCGCATGGCTAGCTAGAAGTCGGCCGTACAATCGTTTCGCACACCCGCTAAGTGTTGCTAAGTTGTCTTTAGACTCATGATCTAGGAAATGTACAGCAAATGGATTGTAACTGTCTTACGGGTATGCAGAGCTTCGTGATGCACACCGGCACAGCTCTGCTTGCTTTGGAAAGACTTCACTGCACCACTAGGTTACGCCTGTTTTCCAGCAACTTGTTCTTCGACGGGATCTCGTAAAGTGTACTGAGCTAGTGGGACGCTTTTGGCTCGTATGATATGGGTTACCCAAGCTTCGAGGGTCGTTATTCCAACGATAGGATATACCTAACATTCGCACATAGTTCTATGCCCGATATTGATAAGGTGATGGATTGACGAGCCGACATACTACCGACGTCTGGGTTAGCGTCTGCCGAATAGCATGTAGCGATACCCACCTAGATAGGTAACGTATCAAGAAGGTCTTATCATCCCAGAGCCGCTCCATGCGCCATATCAAGCTAACGGAAAAGATCCGACGGGTAGCCCATGCGACAAGTGTGCACCCCCGGAAATTCGCTGCAAGCCGTATAGTAGCGAGTTGGGTAGTCGGTAGCCGTAACGTTAAATGAGGCAAGGGTGGGGCAATTGCCGATGCCGGGGAAGCAATTCAACAGCTATCTAAGAACATCAGTACGATGGTATGATGTCGGCATCGAATCCACAACATCTCAGTGTAGCAAGAAAGTGTATACAGTTAACACCTAAGCGCTCTACTTAGATTTCGAAGGTATGTTGAAAGACCTGGTGTAGGCTGCATGAACGTATCGCATATTAACAAGATGACAGGAACAGACACAGCTTCTAACTCAATGTCGAGACCTGAGGTACAAATTCCACAAGGTACTGTTGTAGGCACCACCTTACACGGCGGCTATCCTCGCGCGGTTGAGGCCTTCAAGGGCGTTCCCTATGCGTTACCACCAACAGGTGAACGCCGCTTCCGACCACCAGAGAAAGTAGGACCAAGTCGGGAGACTATAGATGCTTCAAATTTCGGCCCAAGAGCTCCAGCACAACAATTAATCGTCCTTGGACCAACACTCGAGGAGAGTGAAGACTGCCTTACGGTAAACATCTTCCGGCAAGCTGAACACAATGGATCAAAGGCGCTGCCAGTTGCAGTATATTTCCATGGAGGGGCTTTCAATCGGGGAAATGCCGCGATGCATGATACTGCGTCCATGGTTGGATGGTCTGAACTTCCGTTCATTGGAGTGTCATTCGGCTATCGCATAGGAGCCCTAGGCTTTCTACCATCAAAGCTGAGCGCTGCAGAAGGTGCACTAAACTTAGGTTTGAAGGACCAGATCTGTCTGTTAGATTGGGTTGAAGAGAACATTGAGCACTTCGGGGGTGACAAGAACAACGTAACACTCATAGGACTTTCAGCCGGTGCACATTCGGTGAGCACAAAGCCGGTCTTTTTCTTGACCAGTCTAACTGAAACTTCTCTAGATAGGCCATCATCTTTTGAACTATGAGGAGGGCTTAAAGCCCAGGTTTCATCGTGTTATTATAGAATCTGGCGCTCCCACTTCACGAGCAGTTCGCAATCCAGACGCGGACATCCACGAAATGCAGTTTCATGACTTTCTAAAGGAGGTTGAATGTCCGAACTCCCTGGCCGATTCAGGAATCTTCAGTTACCTCCGCAAAATTCCGACCTCCGTGATCGCCAAAGCTCAAACCAAGGTGTTCCAAAAGTACAACCCCAGTCTACGTTGGGCGTTCCAACCAGTGATTGACAACGAGATCATTCGCCGCCGTCCAATCGATGCCTGGCGCACAGGTAAATGGCACAAATTGCCAATCATGACCGGCTTTCAAGGCAACGAAGGTTCACTGTATGTGAATAAGAAGATGTCGACCCCCTCAGAATTCCTGGATTTCTGGAGAACCTTGCTGCCGCAGATGAGCGAGGAGGATATTCAGACGATAGATCGCTTGTATCCTGACCCGACCGCGGTGCCGGACTCTACTTACAAAGAAACGCGACTTGAGCACGGTGTCGGACCCATGTACAAGCGTATCGAGGCCGCCTACGCACATTATGCATACGTAGCTCCAGTCCGCCAAACGGTGTTCTTCGCCAGCCAGGACACGCCCGTATATCTGTATCACTGGGCGATGAGGCGAGATGTCGTCAATGGAGCTCGTCATGCAGACAACATGTTCTATGAAGTCAGGGATCCTTCATTCATTGCGCAGTCCAAGAGCCAAGATGAGTTGTCGGGTATCCTACATGCATACATCACTAGCTTCATTTGCACCGGCACTCCGAATGCGCTTGGCGGCTCGTATGCCAAAAGAACAGAGTGGAAAAGCTACGATAGAGCCGATCCAAAGGTGATGATATTTGGAAGAGATAATACGGAGTTGGTTGGTGAACAGATAATTGGCGAGCCAGCAATCATGGTTGACGACATTTACGCGAAAGAGGAAAGCGATTTCTGGTGGTCTAAGGTTGAGCTGTCTCAGCAGTAGTACTTGTCATGCATCGGCGGCTCTCATACGCGCACCACGAAGAGCCGTTCTTCGTTCAGGGCGGGTAGCTAGTTAAACTATGCATTTAGTCCTGCTATTGATCCTTATACTCATAATTTGGCTTGCGGCGGGATCTCGTTCACAAGAGCAACAACCTCCTCAGCACATCCATACGACCCCTGATAACCCCATCCAGCATGTCCATAATTATGCACAACCCAAACCCCATCAATCTTCTCCTTCTCAAGCCTCACACCAGCCTCCCTTCCAGGTCTTAACCCAACACCATGTCGGATAACATCAAGATATTCCGGCCCTTGACCATCCGTCAGCTCTGGAGACATACTCACAGCTCTTTTCATGATGCGACTGGCGATGTTGGGATCAGGTTGACTTTCCCAGCTACCGTTCAGCATGGTGCCCCCTAGGATGGTTCCACCACCCACAGCTCGCGTCATCATGTAACAGGCCTCATCGTCGCCGTCATCAGTACCTGACACACACACCATGGCTGGTGCCACATTCCTCACTACAACCACTTGCCCACGTATAGGGTAACAACTTTTATCTTCCACACCTCCTAATTTGGCGGCTGATAATCCTGTCGCGTTAACGATGATATCGGGCTTAAAGCCGCCGAATTCAAGGGATTGTAGTTCGGATACATGTGTCAAAACCTTGCGATGAAATACCACTCCGTTTGCGCGACATTGGCCTACAAGCCAGGGGAGATAGAGAGCTGGGTTGATGCAGACAGAACCGAATTCACAACCTGATGCCATTCCTGATGGCATTTCGGAGGTAGAGAGATCTCGATAGTCGTCCACCAGTTCGCGCCACCAAGGGTTTTCGGCGAAGACGTTGCTGAAGGTTGTACCGCCACTGCTTCTCAACTTCTCCATGTCTTTTTGTCGGCGATAGATCCGACACTCTGGTTCTGTTAGTCGTGAGGTGCTACTTGCGATGGTAAGAGAGTACTGACTTTGAAGATGGATGCCAGCTTCAGGAACATCTGTTGCAAGTTTTTTGAGTTGCGGCCATGTTTTACGTTCCCATTGGCTTCCTGGTGATGAAGACATTCTTCCCGGCATATGTCAGCCAATTCTGTAGCTTATAGCTTTTGTGTGCAGTCTTACGGCATGAAGTTTGCGCCAGCCCATGGTGATGCATATTCGATGTCGTAGTCGCCTGGCATGTGTTTGGCTACGACGGCGATCTTATTGCCTGGATCTTTGGATAGAAGGTACGCTGAGGTCAACCCGGAGACTCCTGCTCTTCACGACAAGATATGTTAGCTGTACAGAGACAATGTCTGCTACATGATGGAACAAGCTTACCCAATAATGATGATGTTGGGCATCGTGTAGCTACTGTTACACCAGTGTCACGTAACTGCGTCTACGATTGGCGGGGTTCGTTTGCAAGCTTTAGAGAACGATGGACTATTCTCTTGAGGTGCACAAGCGTTTACTGGACTCACTAGGCCTTAAGTAGCCAACGGGACGGCGGTGCATGTCCAACGCCAAGCCCGCACCCCAAGTTCTCCGCCGGACAACCCAAGGCTCCCGGTAACCATGGCCGGCCCGTGTCTGTTGAGAGACTCATGAACATTCACGTTTGTATTGACTATATTTCGCAGAGCGGAGGAATGTATTTTCCTCGGGTTCAAGCCTCCCGGTCGTTATCGATAAGATTGCGTCGTTCAATTGGGCAAGACCTCGGCTGCACCCTTCAAGCTCCTGATACTTCACGATCGTCACTTCCCCCAAACCATCATGATCAGAGAAAACAGCATCTACATCCAGAGCACGTCTATAATTTCGCAGTTGGTGGATCCAGGATTGCAGAGCAATCCATCTCGACTTTGGCACCAAAAGCCAACTGTGGAACAGGCACGCACGTCAGGCACTACGACGCAGGTGCTGTCAGAAGAGCTCCTCATCACACCGAAGTAAAAGGAACTTACGGGTTTCTGGCTGAAATCAGAGAAAAGCTCGTTATAGACTTCATTCGTGGCCTTGAAGTCGTCCATCGGGGTGATGAAGATATTGAGCTTAATAACGCTAGCAAGGCTACTACCAGCTGCTTTGAGGATAGTGGACAGGTTCTCTAGCACTCGACACTAGAACGGTATGCTCAATCATTGCCAAACTTCTCATGGTACAGATACCTACCGTTTCTGCTTTTACACCTCCAGGGATGATTTACATTGTCTTCTCCTCGAGCGCAAGGCTGCCGGAGCAATGAACCATACCATTGCATACTACCGCCTGCGACGCGTTGAGTGGGGCGGCAGGCGCATCCTTCGTGTATGTTGTCTTTCGAGTAGACATAGCGATAACAGTATTGGGCGTAAAACTAGGTGCTGAGAGGGGTGCTTGACATCAAATCAGCGGTTCGAGAAGGACTGCAGCAGATAACCATCTAACCTTAGTGGCATGATATATCACTCATAGCACAGTTCGCGTTGGCTCAGAGGATGCCGTCTTCGGAGCTCTCGTACAATTGATTGATGGGGAAATAGATAGGTGTACAAGCAGGGAACTATGCCGACCGTAACGACGTGCAGCCGAGGTATTGCCGAGCCGCCAACAGGGTTCCAGCGCTCACTAGGAATTATGCCCCTGCTTTCACCACCACTTTACAAATGCCACGAGATACTAACTCTATCGCAAAAGTACCTATCACTGCCGACATTACACTGTCATGGTGCTGTGGTGTTCTTGCACGTCCTGCATCCTCCTATCGCTAACCGGGGTAGGGACCCACAACTTCAGTTCCTACCCCAGGTGCTGGTTTCCAGCTTGTACGGAAGTGCTATTCCACCTGATAACAAGATAAAGATGGGCATTGGAGTTTCTTTCCAGGCAACGTGATTGGAAAGCTGACATTCACTATCAAATCCCCTCTTATCGAGACCCGCATAGGTTTTGCCCATGCGCAATCGGAATCTCGTGGCCAATAGCGCGGGGTAAGTCGTCACGGAGGACGGCTTCCAAGGTCAAGGCTGTGTTCAAGTTTACGAGCGAGCTCTGATATATGTATGCTCGAGCCTCAGGCAACCCGTCGTCAATTGATCTTCGCTCTCTACCATGGAACCCGGACCGAACGCTTCCCAGGGCGACGACAAACCAGCGGCCATGTCAAAGGACGTAGAAACCCAGTTAAGCAACATGGATGGTAACTCTCTCAAGAAGCAAGAGAGCACTATTGCAGGCGAAGTCGAGGACCTTGACGAAGCGAACCTATACCTGAGGCAGCACAACATCACCCCGGAGTACACTGCCGAGCTCCTCGAAGACCCAATAGCGAACAAGAAGGTTTCCAGGAAAGTAGACATGTTACTGCTACCATTACTATGCGGGACCTTCTTCCTCCAATACATCGACAAGCAAGCCATTAGCTATTCTGCCGTTTTCGATCTTTTCGAAACGACTGGTATTACTGGCGATCAGTACTCCTGGCTGGCGTCAATCTTCTACTTCGCTTACTTGTTCGCGGAATGGCCATCCGCGTATCTTGCGCAGCACTTCCCGACTGGTCGAGTCGTGTCAACCTACTGCTTCTGCTGGGGTTCTGTCATGCTTCTCACAGCTGCTACACACAATTTTGCGGGCTTTGCTGCTATGCGGTTCCTTCTTGGCGTCTTCGAGAGTGTTGTCACTCCTGCATTTATGATGGTAAGTCTTGGACGTGTCGGGTGCATACAACAGATACACTGACTTTGCATCTTCACCACTGCAGATTGTTGGAATGTGGTACGTCGGAAAGCAGCATCCCGCAAGAGCAGGTATGTTCTATTGTTTCAACGGCATTGGTAGCGCCGTTGGTGGTATTCTCTTCTACGGTGTCGGATACGCGAAAAGTTTTGTCGTCTGGAAGATTATTTATATCATATGCGGAGGTATGACTGTTCTCTGGTCTATCCTGCTCTTCTTCAGGCTGCCAAACAACATCATGACAGCCAAGAGCTTTACCACAGAGGAGAAAGCCCTTCTAATCGCCCGCGCCGCCAGCAACCGCACTGGAGTATACAACCGCAAGATCAAACTAGTGCAGGTGCGGGAGGCCTTGATCGACCCACAGATCTGGATACTCTTCTTCTACGTCTTACTCAACGAGATGATCAATGGTGGTAACGCAAATTTCGGCAAGCTCATCGTGAAGGACGTGGCAGGGGGAGATTCACTAAAGACGACGCTGTACGGCATTCCACAAGGCTTCGCTCAGGTATTCTGGGTCTTCACAGGTCCTTTCCTCGCATCTCGACTCCCGAACGCACGCACATATATCATGGCTCTTTATCTTTGTCCCACAATAATAGGCACATGTTTGATCTGGCAGCTGCCGCGCACCAATGTGGGTGGGTGCCTGGCGGGCTATTACTTGGTATGTTGTCTAAAAGTAGCAGCCTTTACGACATGTCGCTAATGAAAGCAGACGGGTTCATTTGTTGGCTCTCTAGTCATTGCCCTCCAACTGCCTGCATCAAACGTAGGCGGATATACCAAGCGGACCACAAGCACAGCCTTCGTATTTCTGGGGTACTGCGTTGGTAACATTATCGGTAAGCCCCGCAGCAATAGCAACCCTATCTCAACACCGGCATTACTAACGCCACCTACTTTAGGCCCTCAGGCCTTCTTGGCTAAAGAAGCTCCCAAATACGAGACCGGTGTGAAGATGTTCCTAGGATGCGCAGTCTCTCAGGTTGTGCTAGCACTTTGCTTACGAGCACTACTCGCACGGCGGAACGCTCAGCGCGATCGTGAAGAAGCTGAAGGTTCGCATACGCAAGATGCCGATATACATGATGTGGACGCCATCGAAGATACTACCGACTTCCATAACCGGAAGTTCCGGTATGCTGTATAACCAGATATAGAGACTGTATATACCGTTGTGTGACCTGTCATTGTTAGCGCTTTGCCTTTCTCTTCGAGATCCTCGTCAACGACGGAACAATGGGAACTCTGCCTACCTCTGCTTAATCCGATTTCTCTGTCCCAACATCAGTTACATTTACTCCCTCTCTTGCTTTCATCTCCTCTTTCTGCCTCTCCTTGACTTTCTTTGGTTTCTTCGCGCTAACCGGCCCGTCGGCACTTCTATCTTTCCACTACCCACGACCTCATGTTAGCCATCTCTCTTTCTCTCAAGTTCTATCCACAAAAACTCACCATACCGCCATATCGATAATGCGGGTATTCCTCTTGCATACCCTTTGCATCGTCAACGCCACCAGAGACTGACTTCCAGCATGTACCAGGGCAGACGAAATGCCATTTCTGCGACTCGTCAATTTGGCAACGAACGAGTACGTCGCGTGGTTTCGAACAAAGAGTGCAGGACTTTGTCATTGTGGACAGATGTTTGGTTGAGGCTGAAAGTTACTGAATTAAGCATCGGAGGCTGCTTCAACAGCTAGTCGCAAGTGGAGAGAAGTGATGACATCATGGGCTTTTACCCTTCATCCTCCGTGCTCTGCGCCAGCACAGACCCATGATTAACAGTCTTCCATATCTCTCCATACTTTTCCTGCCAAATTTCTCTCCATCCGTCATTCAAAAGCCATTCTGCCTCTTCTTCTTGCACCACGTTTTCGATGAGCGACCCATTTCTTGCAAGCGCACTACACCATCCGTCCCATGCGCCACAGCGTTTAGCGTACATGCTCGGCGTCAAGCCGTCATGATCGCGGTGGTGTACATCCACACCCGCCCTTATCAATGCGTTGGCGATCTCTTCGACAGCGATTGGATCCCCTGGACTGCCTTCATGATCAATAACACAGTAGCAACGCTGAATCCTGTTGCGGCCAAGACTACCCATTGTGTTGATATATGCAGCGTCGATTTCGAACAGTGGAGCAATGATGCTCGCTACTGAGGGCCAGTCCCACGGGTCATCATTCAGACTTACAGGTTCCGATATGAGGCCCTCTTGCTGCAATCTTTGTATTTGTTCGCGCAGTAGAGAACGCGATCTTCCTTGATAATAGTCCCAAAGCAGCATGTTCATTGTTGTCTCAAATAAGAACGATGATGACTCGTAGACTTGGGGGATAATATGATCGATAGTTTTCTCGAATGCGACACGGTCATGATCGACTATAGAGCGCATAAAAAGACCTGCGACAAGGCTTACATCGTGGCTGTCATATGTCAGAAAACGGCTATTACAGGACGCTAGACTCGGCTTACTTCAGGTTTGATACGCCGATGCCTTGGCTTGCTAAGTAATCGAATAGGTCTACCCGTGTATGCTCTGCAGCATACTACAATATGCAAGTTAGTTTCGGGTCATTGCATTGAAGCATGCTGGACAAAGCTTACATATAGACATAGATTTCTTCCTTCTCGATTGATCTCATAAGGAGAAATAACGCCTCGTCGTAATGCCCCATCGATCTCTTCAGCGTTTGCAGATGCGAAAAGCTTGTTGTAATGGGTCTCAGACTCAGCCAATGTAAAGACACTGAGTTGAGCGCAGAGCCCCGGGCTGGATGGACCGGATAGATTGCGAAGGAAGTGTGCGTGGATGGCGTGGACTGATCGGCCAATACCGCAGGTAAAGGTAAAGCTAACCTCCCCATCTGGACGCTGAGACCTCGATTTGGAGCCTCGGTGAGAAGTCTGCAAGCGCAGACTGCCAAACGGGGTAGTATATGTATATGTTGATCGATGGGCAATCGCTGGCGTGCTAAGGTAGAGATTCGCGTAATTTGCTTCTCGTATAGCAGGTTTGATCCTTGACTGCCCTATGGCATGCCCAGATGCCGTCCGATGACGAGATTTAGTCTCTTCAGAGTAATACCAACGGTCTAGCGGGGTTGCAGTTGATTGTGGGTACTTTGTTGCTTCCTCCTGTGCTGCCGATGCTACAAGGTTGTCATATTCGGATTGTAGCCAAGAAACGTAATGTGGTGGAAACATATCGATACCATCGTTGAGTAGATTTCTGAGCGCTACTTCCAAGTGCGGTTTGACTATTAGTAGATAAGCCATGATCATGTCGCGACGTTCGCCGAAAAAGAAGACGTCTCTAATTGACATGGATGTAGGGCGAGATATGCGGTATTTCTCAAACTGGGCGACGATGACATCTTCGAGTTTGGCTGATAGCATATCTCGGGTCTTTTGATGCTCATTTATATGCTCTTGGTGGGTAATCGCCATAATTTTGGAAGCCTGTTTTGATTCCTGGTAATGGCAGACTGCCAAACGTCCCAGAAGTTCTTGCCCTTGCATCAGTGTGGCTTGCTTCTGCCGAGTCGAAGCCAATAGCTTTTGGGTCGTGTTGTGCCTTCTTAAAATCTCTTGATGTTGGCTATCTGATCTCTGCCTAGATGTTTTATGAGTACAGGTTCATTCTGTGACATGGAGAAATGCATACCTGCTTGCAACTTGTAGAGAGTTTGTGAGTAGACCCTTTGACCGCTCAAGATTGCTGAATATCTTGTTGATTTTACGCTCGTCCAGAACGTACTTCACCCTACTCCAGGTCTTGCTCACGCCTCTAAATCTCGCACTTAGTATTCTCAAGTTTTGTAGTTCGCGTTGTAAGCTCTTAAGCGCAGATTCGAATAGAGCTGTGATTTGGTCTGCGGTATCAGCTGCCTTCCGACTAGCGAGTGTATCCAGGATCTGTTTTGCAGTCTCTACGAGCAGGGTAGTTTCTCTGACGGTAGTACACAATCGATCAATCTCTTCTGGCGCATCAGCAAGGTCGCGTAGGAAACCATGGACCTCGCGGCCCGTTCTCACAACAACATCAGCTACGCCGATAATAGCGAAGATGCCCGCCGCAAACTCAAGGCTTCCTGACATGATAAGCGATGCGAATGTTATGAGAGCTAGACATTGCCAAAGGTCGAGGATAAAGGGAGGGTCGTTTAAAGGGGATCTTCATGTCGTGCACATGATGTTGCCGATAGGTGCGACCATCTCGAATCCCGAATGGGGGCGGCTGGTGCAGCCCACGCACGTGCGTTTGGGGCCAAGCTGCAGGATGCAACCTATCAATGGTCTTTGGCCCCTGTCAATGTTACCAACGCGTTGATAACGGGATAGCTTGTCGCTATTTTCGAGGTTGAACAGGTGCCTTTCTCTCGGAAACAGGGCCAAAGTGGAGGGTTGTTGTGCTATCTTGAGGCAGATGGCATGGCAGCATTAGCTGGATACTGCGCACTAGATAGACGGCTGGCTTCTACCGGTGGTTCTCGGGCATGCTGAGCTCTACTGTACTTCTAGCAACAACTTGGCCGCAAGAATGAGAACCAATAGAGTCAGAAGGCAAAACGAGGCAAATCTATACGTCAGCAGTCACCAACGCGGAATGCCCCTGGCTCAAGCAGTTCCATGTGATATTCTAGAATACTGAGTTGTTCGCAACATGCGCTAACGATTGGATGGCTTGATGGATCTAAGTCGCTGGGTTTGGTGAGGCTGACAAGGCTGCATCTTGATGGTGTGGCTGAGATACCTAGCTTTTGTGTTATACGGTACGCTTCAGCCTCGATGTCACACACATCCCCCAAGGGGTCCATACGCAACAAGTTGGAAGTGAGGTTAATGCAGCACAGCAAAGGAAAGGGATCGGAAACTGTGAGGGCGCGGTGATAAAGGTTGCTGAAGCACGGCCCCGCGCCAAAGACCCACTTTCCTCGTTCACGAGTCCCGCACGGCAACTTCATCCGGCTTCACCTTTTCGCATTCCTCGACCACCATGGAGCAAAATGCATCACAACACCGCATCATTGCCCTCATTTAGGCACTTTATGGCAAAAGAGACGGGAGTTTGGTGCTACAACTGCAGATTGCATTGACGATAACGAAAGCTACATACATATACGTTGACCCATATGTCTATTCCTCTGTCCTCCAGTTTGACCCCATATTTACATACCTCAACTACCGCCTTCCATCATTACATTGCTCTACTCTACTCGTCGCAGCCACAGTCGGAAGGGGTAGGAGCTGGCGCGGTGCTAGACTCGCAGGAGCTTGAAGCAGGAGGAGCCGGGGGACCACCAGGACCACCAGGGGGGCCAGCGGTAGGAGTGGGAGCACCACCACCTGGGGCAGTAGCAGTGACCGTAGCAGTAGGAGTGGGGGCGGGAGCACCGCCACCTGGGGCGCCAGCACCAGGGCTGACGTCCTGGCACAGAACGTCCTGGCCAGCGACAGGAATCACACAGCACTTAGCTTGCTGGCCAGTGGCAGCGCAGCCGCTGATGAAATCAGTCGTGTTGGCAGGAGTGGTGGTGGCTAGACCGTAGTGTTAGCATCATCTCTTGTATGCGCGAAAGAGATGGGAGGGGGATACGTACGAACTTTGCAGTTCAAGCCGACAGCACCAAGGACATCAGTAGCGCAGCACTGGGGGTTGCTGTAGAGTCCAGCGGGACAGAGGCTGCCAGTTCCAGTGGAAGCGAAAGGAGCGGCAGCGACGCCGGCAGCGAAGGCGAGGATTGAGTAGCGCATATTGATTGCTGGAGTTTTGTTGACTGTTGGACAATGAAGGGCTTATGGAAGCGAAGGTAAGATGCTGAGATGCTGCTTGATGTAGATGGTGGTCAACTTGAAGTCCATACTCTGCCTTCTTTATACTTTGCTCTCCACCGTACTTCATCGCTGCTTGGCGATCTGTAGTGCCGTGGAGTTTCTCCTTCCGTCGTCTCATATCCTATATTGCGGTTGTTTTCGTCCCTGGTCCATTGAGCGTGGTATGTACATCGTCTAGACGCAGCATGACGCTGTACGACAATCCGAATCCCGTCTCGGCTCGTCGCAACCCCAAACCATCTGCGGAGTAATAAGAAAGCATTGGACCTCAGCCAATGCCATTTGCAAGACATTTTAGTACTTAACAAAATCGATAAAGGCTGTTTACCCAGTGGCCCTGGTAAGTGTGCGATGTCTGGATCTGACCTTGGAATAACCACACATTCTCTCATGTGCTGTAAGACCTGCGGCTACGCGATGTCCAAGGATTTCCCCGCAACTCCAGACCATATTGCCTACTGGAGATTCCAGGCACTCTGAATCGGGACCGATGCTTTACAGAGAGTTAACAGTATGATTGACAAGAAAGCATTGCGTTTAGGCGTCAGGATGTATGTACGCGAATGTCGTAAGGCTTCCAACGATACTCGAACGCTGATATTAATGACCCACTGGCTAGTGTATGTACACACCTGGGCAATTAAGGTCTCAAGGCAAACTCTCGACGCGTGTAAATCCATTCGTCGGAAGAAGGCTCTGCTTCCAAAGTATGAGTGATCTCAGTCTTTCCTCATCGCACAGCACCTTCCCACAGCACGTGTAGGAACACGGACTATAAGTGTGCCGAACAAGGTAGATGATCATCTACATTCAGAATCGCTATAGAGCCTGATCTCGGCACCTGGAAATCATTCTGCAAGGTACAATGCAGCTTTCTTTTATAACGCAGATGTCCAGAGGTCGTTTCTCGTAGCGAGAGACAGTACATGATGAACATCCTCCTTCGTCGTCATAGTGTTGATGTCCGGCAAAGACGGGCGTCGATCGTTGTAAGGGCATGGACATTGTATTAGCCATATATATCTGATTGGGCAAGCCACATAACCCGGGACCAGGGCAACTTGCGGTAGTGCTACCAGCGTGGCGGTATGTGGCACCGGGTGTATTACGGATAGGCGATTGGCAGGAAGGAACAAAATCACCACGGCGAATATGAAGGCTTGTTGTATCGATAATGCGTCGATGCCGGCAACGAGGTCGAAATTAAGTTGCGGGGAAAGTAGTCTGCCATCGGGCTAGGTAATTAAACCTTGCTTAGCGCATCGGCTCCATATGTAAGCTTCACATTCACCTTAGACAGCGGCGAAGTACTGAAATCAACTGAATCATCATCGCTAACGGCACGGCTAAGGTAGACAGATTGGTTGGGCTATACTTAGAGATCTAGAGCTTGAGGGAACCAAATTGCAGCCACATCATCGTTCAATGCCGTCGAGAATTGGGAGTAAAGTGCTGGGGGGTGCATCCATCATAGATGCGAGATCCATTGATTGATCTTCATGAGCTCGGTCTGCTCCGTACCATGCTGATTAGGGCGCCAGCTACGAGGAGTCCAACCAGAACTCCGCTCTGCACTGGTGCAAATAGTGCAGATCTTAAAATTACCAGAGTACCGACGATGACGAAGATGATGGGAAGGATAATGATCGGACGGTAGGGCCTTTCCATCTGTGGTTCTCGGCGGCGGAGTATAAGCAGTCCGATTACAGTGCTAACATAGAAGACCCATTCAGCCATACCAACGAACGTCAAGAGTGCCCGAAAACTACCCGTCAGTATATAGACAAGGGTCACGACCAGGGCCAAACCGTTGGCATAGCTGTGTTTCGTGTTAGTCAATCTTGGCATACAACACATTTCGAGGGGCTTACATCGGGGCGTCAAGGCTGGATGAAGTGGTGCTGTCTGCTTCAGCCCTCTGCTTCATCGGCAACCCTCGTTTGCTAAACACTGCAGGAAAGTAATGACGCTGCGATGCAGCCATTGTTAGTCTGCCCACCGAGAAGACGTTACTAGTAATGGAACCTGCGCATGAGATAGCAACCAGGATGGTAACGAGAATGCCAGCCGGTCTTCCTAGGAGAGATGTGGCGGCAGCAACAGCTACTGCGTTGTTGGTACTTAGTTTATCCCAAGGTACAAGAATGTAATAAGCCACATTCACAAGCTCGAACGAACTGAGTACTACGATCATCGCAGCTTTGATCGCTTTTGGAAGAGCACGACCCGGGTCGCGGATTTCACTCGCGACGATATTGGCCTGCAAGACGCCGTCAGCCGGCACCGTTGGCGCACAAGATATATGCACTCACATTGTCCCAGCCGTCGTACGCCCAAAGTCCTCCGTATATGGCTGCGCAATAGTGGCCGTAACGGTCCCACGTGCCCATGGATACCCAATCGATGATATGGCCATCCGATACTGTCGACCTTGTCTGGAACCAATTGCGGGTGTACCAGTCGCTAGGTCCGGAGAATGAAGAGTTTGGGTTTATTAAATGAGCGAAAACAGCAACAAGACCACTTAAGACTATCAGGGCCACAGTTGAAAGCTTGAACACTGTAAATGACTCGCTCAGTCGCATTGTGAACCGGGTATTGATCGAATTGAGCAACACCATGGAAACAAATGCTATGGCAGCAATGAGTTTGAGTACCTTAGTGTCTGGCAAATCGCCTGTACTGGACGTGACTGAACCTATGGATTCGGCAATGACGATGCTTTGAATGGCCATAGATGAAGGCTTCACACCCAGGATGTACACCCAGGCCATGAGGAAGGCAGCCGTATCACCGTAGATATGGCGCAGGTATTCTTGCATACCTCCGTTCAGTGGCAGCGCGGCACCAAGCTCAGCGAACGATGCTGCTCCTGCCCATGATAGCAGCCCACCCAGAACCCACACGAGGAGAGCAGCTCCAGGAGAAGGCACGTTGCTGTCGACCTGAGCTGGCGAAGCGAATATACCCGAACCAATCTGAAGTGTGACAAGAACTGCGAACGCATGCCGCGTAGTGAGCTGCTTGGATAGCTGCTGGACCACCTGTGATGTGGAAGAAGAGCGACGTCCAAGCAATGGTTCCCGTTCCGACTCAGTGGTGTTCGGCTTAGGGATATCTTGGCCCTCAAGGCGACTGGGTGGATGTATGTCGTCCATCCGAATGCACCTATTGTTCCCGTCTCGAAGGTGTTGAGGTTATACTGCAGTAGATTTCCTTGCTGGTTGGGACGGTCCTTTTGAGGCCTTGGCGGGCGGAGGACGCTAGACCATGTCACAAGACATCTAGCACGCGCTATTGCGGCTCTCTGTTCGTGCGTGAGCTCTGACAGGTCAGATCATGTAGGCCACTGAGTAAACCTCGAACAAGTCTGGATGACGTTATGGGGGTTTTTGTGGTCATCGCATCGTGCTTTTCCAAGGTAGTGTGGCGTCCACACTAGCCTCAGATGTGGCGCAGCATGAAGAGCACAACTATGACCGAACGCTCTAAGAATCGAGTACGGCGACGACACTAGAGAGGATAAAACATAGAGAGGATACCAGGTAGGGTACTGGATGATACAGTTGCTCCAAGTACATTTCTCCATCTCTTCTACAACACGACCCATTCTGCAACTGTGGCGCGTTGGTGGTGCCTGCCTGTGGCTCGAAAAGCTCGGACTGGTCCTTCAGCGCCCTGACACCCCTCTTCGCTTCCTCACCAACAACCAGGTACGTCAACACCACGCCCGCGTTTCAAGCTCCCTACCGCGCTCCCATAGACTTAACTACCCCCAGACCCTAAACCATGGACGCGAACCAAAATGACGAGCTTTACCCCATCGCCGTGCTCATCGACGAGCTCAAGCACGACGACGTTATCCTCCGCCTGAACGCCATCCACCGACTAAACACAATTGCCCTCGCCCTAGGCGCCGAGCGAACACGAGAGGAACTCATACCGTTTCTAGATGGTGAGAGTCTGTCTGGTAAATATGCCAAGTCTAGACTAGCTAACGGATGTATCCAGAGTCGGTTGAGGACGAGGACGAGGTTCTCACAGCATTGAGTGAGGAACTTGGCAAGTTTGTCGAGTATGTCGGCGGCCCAGAGCATGCACACGTGCTCCTATCGCCTCTTGAGAATCTTGCAGCAATAGAAGAGCCTCTTGTCCGGGAAAAGGTGTGCGCTGCAATTGCCCAGGTTTGGCCGCCAGCTAACACGTGCAGGCTGTCGAATCGCTCAACAAGATCTGCGAAGAGCTGTCGCAGCAGCAGATTGAAGAAAACTTCATACCCCTCGTCTTGCGCCTATCAAAAGCCGACTGGTTCACCTCAAAGATTTCCGCGACGGGACTCTATCAGACCCCATACACTCGCGCTACACCCCCTTCACAAGAAGCCCTCAGACAGCACTACGGCCAGCTAGTGCACGATGATACCCCCATGGTACGGAGACAGGCGGCGAACAACCTCGCCAAATTCATCAAGGCTATGCCGCCATCCATCGTCATCGACGAGATGATTCCCCTCTTCCAGCACCTCGCCGCAGACGACCAGGACAGTGTCCGACTTCTGACTGTCGACATCCTTATCGCGATCGCCGAAGCAGTACCTAAGGAGCAGCAGTCGAGCCATGGTGTCCTGCTGACTGCGCTGCGAAGTCTGTTCGAGGACAAGAGCTGGAGGGTGCGGTACATGGTAGCGGATCGCTTTGAAAAGGTGCGTTCGGCTTGTAGCGAAGGAAAACATGCGCTAATGGGACTAGATTGCGAAAGCCGTCGACGAGGAGGTTGTCAACCGCGACCTTGTACCCGCCTTTGTCAAGCTACTCAAGGACACAGAGGCCGAGGTGCGCAGCGCCATTGCAGGACAAATTCCAGGTATGTTCCTTGGCAGCAGCAGGTGTACAGCATATGAGCTAATCACTACTAGGCTTCTGCGCGCTGTTGGAGCGTGAGACCCTCTTGCACGAGGTTATGCCCAGCATAGAGGAGCTGGTCTCCGACCAGTCTCAGCATGTTCGCGCTGCGCTTGGCACCCAGATTAGTGGACTCGCTCCAATCCTTGGAAAGGAAGAGTAAGTTGCGACTGCGCGTGACCACGTGCTTTCTTATTAACACGAGCCAGGACCATTTCGCATCTTCTTCCCATGTTCTTGCAGATGCTCAAGGATGAATTCCCCGACGTTCGCCTGAACATCATCTCCAAGCTCGAGTCTGTCAACAACGTCATCGGCATCGAGCTTCTTTCGCAGTCCCTCCTCCCAGCTATCGTCCAACTTGCGGAGGACAAGCAATGGCGTGTACGTCTGGCCATCATCGAATACGTTCCTCTACTCGCGTCACAACTCGGTGTGCAATTCTTCGATGAGAAGCTCAGCAGCCTATGCATGAGCTGGCTCGGCGATACCGTCTTCTCCATCCGTGAGGCGTCCACTCAGAACTTGAAGAAGCTTACGGAGGTCTTTGGTGTAGAGTGGGCTAACGACGCGATCGTCCCCAAGGTTATGGCCATGGGCCAGCACCCGAACTACCTTTACCGAATGACTACATGCTTCGCTGTCTCAACACTGGCGCCCGCCCTGAGTTTGGATGTTATCGAACAATCTATCATCCCCATGATGGACAAGCTGGTCAACGATGATATCCCCAACATCAGGTTCAACGTCGCAAAGTCATACGGTCAGCTCATCAACACGCTGAAGCAGCTGCCCGAGCAAGGCACCGTCATTGCTCTTGAGAAGGCCGGTACACCAGGCCAGGGTTGCCAGAAGGCTACAGATGTCATTACAAAGAGCATCCTGCCGAACCTTGAGAAGCTTCAACAAGACGACGATGTAGATGTACGATACTTTGCGACGACAGCAGCACAAAGTTTCACGGATGCGATGCAGACTTAGAAGATCCAGCATCGTCCGTGTTCTTGAATGTGGAGAATGACATCATGAATAGCATCAACGATGGTTAATGATATGGAAACGCTGCAGGAGAACGGTCTGACGATGAGAGAACAACGTAAGCCGAAAGCCCTGTAGGTGTACTTTCAAGCTTTGTTTTAAGAGAGTTGAGTGGGCTAGTAGTTGGGCTCACTGGCAATAAACCACAAAGATTACCCAGTTAGACTCATTCCTGGCAGATTTGCAATGCATACTTTGGCGTTATTGCAGGTGTTCAATGCATAAGATACGTGATGTTGATCATTTATTCTATTACGCAATATGCAAAAGTTGCATCATGCCGTCATACAGTAGCTATAGCTTCCCCTTTGGCGTTGTAGGCAGTCAGACGGCACCAGCCTCCTTGAGAAGGTTGTTGAGCTGACCCTTCTTGGATTGCAAATCGCTGTTTCCACCAATGTGCTTCTGGGCGATGAAGATGTTGGGTACAGTGGTCTGGCCAGTCATTTCGCCGAGGGTAGACTGGATAGCTGAGCCATCATCTATGCGCATGTTAGCTGCTGGTCCTGTATTTCTGTCTATAGCTGAGAAAGAGTCTACATACCGACTTGGTCCAACTCGATCGCGTAGAACTTTGCGCCGCTGTCGCTCAGCAGCTGCTTGGCCTGGCGACAGTAGGGGCAGTAAGACTTTGAGAAGACAGCGACGGGGTTCTCGTCGATGATGGACTGGACCTTGGTCTTTGTGGCGGACATTGTGGTGGGCGAGGGGGCGCGCGTGAAGAAGTGACGCAGGAAGGAAATTTTGGCGGTTTTTTGGAGTTACTAGGAGGAAGTTGTAAGTGTTGTGTTTAGTTGGAGGGGTAGAAGGACTGGGTGGCGTACTTATGCGTGGAAGAGTGAGTGATTGAGGTTTGTCAGAGAGAAGACCGATGTATGTCTATAAGCTTGTAGATGCGTATACTAGTGATTAGTGATGCGCAGCGTACCCCCCGCAGTAGCAAACGTTCTCGACGGCAAATGATGCAATCGCTCGTGAAAGACGGCGCGCTAACTGCCGTCGGAGATGGATCGGCGATGTGAGGTGATTACAAAGACTAAAAAAAGGACAGGGGTTGGGGGCGCGGTTTTGGCCATGACGCGTGCGGCTGAATGCGACGCGGACGAAGTAGGGACCTAGCTTGCACACATGTTTCGGTGCCTTTGATGCCAAGGAGACAGCTGTTAGGTCCGTAGAGGAAAGTGGTTATGGAGTAATATATATGGAAAAGACAATAGGTTAGAGGTGAGAAGATACAGAGCCGGGAAAGCGCAGCGGGTCGCGTACCTTCCGCATTCCGAGATTGAGCGTTCCGACGCTTCCACGCCGTCGCAACGATTATCAGACTATCTTTGGTTCCCGCCATCCAAGGCATCCATTCACTGTCACCACACATACCATCAATCTTCACGACTAGACTAGCCGCAATCACCCTTCTTATGCGCACTTCGTACCACGCACCACGATGACGTCCTCAGCGGCCGGATCAACCGCCTTCTTCATCCTCTCCCTACTCACCATATGCGGCGCCGTGCTGCTCCTCTTACGCTACTACCTCCCACTTCGCACAACACCTGCACACGTCGTAGTACCCGTCTTCTTGGCAATAGCACTGCCGGCTAGCATCGTCGTGCTCCTGCCCATCGATCTCGCGAGTAGTGCTGGATTAGATACAACGGATGGCGCCAGAGGCATATGGTTGAACGACACGGTCGTGTACAAGGCATGGCGCATCATATACTGGCTCACGTTTGCGCTTACATGGGCTATCTTACCTATGCTGGGCGAGTACTGCGATAGTGGCTATAGAGAGCCTAAGGCGAGATTGCAGTATGCGCTCAGAAGCAACGGACGATATTGGCTCATTGTGGCTGGGTGCAGTATCGTTGGCTCAATATACTTGCTTCTATGGAATGGATTTCACGTCGACACTTTCAAGAGTTTGGTTATGGCGCTGGCGTATACTTGGGGTCTTATACTGGGCATCTATCTGATGGGCCATGGACTTGTCGCGTTTCCCAGGAGTCTGTTTCGATACGCGAGTGTTAGCGAGAGGTTGAAGAGGATACAAAGTCAGGCGCCCAAGGTAAATGATAAGTTGACGGAAGCGCTGGAGAAGTTGGACCAGTACGAATACCAGGTTGTGCAGCTCAAGCAGAGAAAGAATGGCACTGCGCGAGAGTTTCAGGAGTGGATCGATGAGTTGGCGGAGAAGGGCAATCTTCCGGAGAACAGAGCAGGCGTTGTTGGACGACTGGGTACTGCGACAGTACCTCCTGTCATCACTGAGAGATACCTAGCGGACCTGACAAGGAAATTGAAGCGGGCGCGTCATGCGAAATGCCGGTTCGAGAACGAATGGGACCACGTTGTACGGAAGGCAGTCAGGACACAGGCCATTCTCGATTCGAAAGCCAGCAAACATCTTGAGTTCAAGGGCGCCGCATTGCCGACCTCAAGAGGACTGTTCGATCGCATCAATGTTCTCACCCCTTTCACGCGCTACCACCTACACGTTCACATCATCCCCGCTCTGGCCTACGTCTCCTGGGCCATTACAATCCTCGCCTCTATCTCCATCGTCTGGTCAGAATGCGTGCGCGAAGCCCAGGATTTTGGCGGGCCCAAACTCTCCATCATCGGCTGGACTGTTGTACACCGTCACGACAACGGCCGGTCGTCTGTCGGATTCAACAGCCAGATCATCGCCGCTGCTTGGCTGTGCTACATGTGCATTTGCGCATTCTACAGTCTCACTGAAGTCAAGATATGGGGTAATAGGGCGCTGGTACGAAGGAATACCTATCAAGAGTCTGCGACCTGGTACGGTCTTCAAGTTGCCAAGCTGACGGTTCCACTGAGCTACAACTTCCTCACCATGACGGACAAGAACATCTGGAAAGGCACCATGTTCTACAAGTTCCTCGGCCGTCTTATCGTCCTAACGCCGCTCGGCGAGGGCTTCAGTGCCTTCTTCCCTATCTTCATCCTGGTACCTGTCTTCGCAACGGCCTTCGGACTCTACGGCAAAGTAAAGAACATCTGTGGCTTCGGAGACCTACTTGACGACGAAGACGATGATACATCAGGAAACTATGCCAGCACCAGCTCATGGCGCGAAGGCCGCGCATTAATTGAACGCGAAATCCAAGGTGCAAGCGGAAACGTCCTAGGTCTTTCCCAACGAAGCACTACCAGCCCGCCAAACGAACGCTACACAGACACCCCAGCACCGTCATCATCATCCAGCCTTCCAACCACGATTGTCGCAATAACAGCAAACAGCGGCCCAAGCACCACCCGTCCTTCAACAACCCGCCCCGATCGCCGACGCCCCGCAATCGAAGACGAAGAAGACGAGGGTAATTTTTTCGAAAACTTCGCTTCAAGAGTCAAGAACACGTTCGACACAAATGACTTCTCGTTCCAAAGACCCAAGTGGCTGGGTGGCGACGATGAGGTCGAGGCTGGACACAGTAGTAGAAGACCGTTGGATAGGGGTGAGGGGGATCGCGGAAGTGGGTTTTTGAGCTTGTTTGGTGGGAGGGGGGAGGAAGGCAGGGTTAGGTTGTGATTTTATGTGTTTTGGGGAATATCTGTAAGATGATAGAGAATGATTTGGGTTTGGATGGGCATTGCGATGGTGTTTTGGGTTAGATATTGGGTGTAGAGTTTTGGGTATACTTGGTGTCATGGGTTGTACAGCTTTTGTACTGTACCTTCTGCGCTGGTGGCGCTTAAAACCTATTTAATACAGGATGTTTTGACTTCTAGGCGCGAATGCCAGGCTGACCTGACTGAAGCGCGTAAGCCTACTAGCATTCTTCGATGAGCCCCTCAGCCCGGTGAACCTTGTATCATTCTCCGGATGCACTTTCATTGGTCTCCTGCTCGATTCAGCTGCGTGCACGTTCCGCGAGCTGGTGTAAGTATATCGCAACCAACCACTGAAGAAGGGACTGGCTTGAACTTTCTTAATAGACAGCTGGCGCGCGCTTCAGCTCCCCTCTTCGGTCCTTCCCCGCTTTCTTTCTCATCGTTGCGAAGACTTCGTCGCCTGAAATATGGACGAACCCAGGCGCTTGGAACTCGACGAAGGATGTAACGAATCACGATCGACCGAAGCCTTCGGCGGGGGCTGTGATGTCAGCATCGACAACGAACCCTACACTGGAGTGACGTCCGAGAATGAGATCAGCAAAAAATCTGGCATCTGTGAGAGATGCAACTGCATACCTTGGAAAGACCTTCTAAAAAACCCTCTGTGGTGGGTGCCAGACCAACCTGTAATCAAGGAGGACAAGGTTCCGTTAAAGGCATCATCTTGTCGTATCTGCAATTTGTTCGCAAAGATCATCGAAACGCAGAAACTCTCAGAGAACGGACCGTATCATTTACGAAAGTACAGGCCTTGGTATCTCAAGAATAAGGAAGTGCCTGGCTTGCCTGCGTTAAATTCATCGCAAACCCTCCGAATGTTCTACCTACAAGTTTCAGACACCGACCACATAACATGCCCACAACTCATGGTCACCGACTTTCAACCCAACGACACATCAACTAAACTGCGTTACTATCAAGCAAGCAACGTCGACATCGAGCAGGTTAAGGCTTGGATAACGGAGTGTGAAACAAGCCATTGCGTTGATTGTGTTGGGGATGCGGCTACCCACGATCCGCTTCGTCAGTTGCGCGTGATCGACTGTGATCAGAAAAGCACTGTTCCTGCGCCTTTGGGATGTCGCTATGTTGCATTGTCTTATGTGTGGGGTCAGCACGAAAGTGCGTTCAATGATCTGCAAAACGCGCCGGAGACTATCGCTGATAGTATTGACCTTACAAAAAGGCTAGGGTACAAGTACCTCTGGGTTGACAGATATGTGTGTATCCCCTCTTCATTTTCTGCATACGATTATATTGATTAGTGTAGTGTATCGACCAAACTGATCGTATAGACAAGCACACACAGGTTTTGCAGATGGGCGAAATTTATGCTGCAGCGCAGGTCACTATCGTTGCTGCAGCAGGAAGCGACCCCAGCTATGGCTTGCCTGGCGTCAGCTCACAATCACGGCCTGTACCAAAGTCTGAAAAGATTGGAGATCTGTGGTTAACACTTCTACCACGTCTAGTTCAATTGGCAGAGGTAGCGGAGTCTAAATGGGCCTCTCGGGCGTGGACCTTCCAGGAATTTCACCGCTCTAGAAGACGCTTAATCTTTACCCGGCACCAAGCAATCTTTGTGTGCAACAGTGGGATGCAATACGAGATAGCGTTATCGGGGTTCACGTCGATTTCATCAAGAGCCCTAGAGCATGAAAAGGATATTTATTGGGCTCGACAATGGTTGCCTCCATGTACTGTGGTAGAAGGAGACAGTGAGTTCAGGTGGACCGCAATGGACCGAGCTGCACGATACTTGGAGGCTTACAGTAATCGCGAATTGTCGTATGATACGGATGCTTTGGATGCCATTGCAGGCGCGTTGGATCCACTTCGTAAGGATTCTGTTCACCATATTTGGGGTACCCTTTTTCGCTACGATTTCGAGAACGCAAACCTATCGTTGCGTTTGACGGAAGGCACTATTTTTAGCTTATGCTCTGCCTGCACCACCTGGGATTCAAGCACGCATACGATTCGACGATCCGCGGCCCAAGGCAAGACTGACCTTGATCCCATCTCTGCAGACGTCTTACCGAATCCTCAAGATGTCGAAAGGTTAAGTGAAATTCGCAATTTCGATCAATCAGCTTTACCAGCATGTCGGATTAGCATAGGCCAGATGGCCTTGACTTGGTATCACAAAACACCGGGTCGTCGTCGACATGGCTTTCCCAGTTGGTCTCCTCTTGGGTGGGCGGGCCCGCTAAGCTGGTATCGACAGAGCTCCAACTCCGCGCAGTCTAGCATAGTCCTAAATCATGTCTGTAATGTCAAATTACACTCCCCGAAACTGAGCAGCAAGATACCAAATTGCGATCCGGCGCAAGCAGAAAGCTTGGACAGCACACCACCTACCATGGAAATCCCGTTGAGGACCGTGCATTTAGACCTCGTGCTTGATCACAATAAGCATCAGGTGGCAATTAAGCTGGATTCTGACTACAAAAGCATCATTGAAGTACATTGGGACACGGATCCTAACCTGTTGAACGCGAAACATCTTGTGGGTGCTATGCTTCATAGCAGAGAAGATCGGAGATACGAAGCTTTTGTGATGGTGCTTGCTAAAACCGGCAAGGTCTTTGAACGAGTGGGATTGTCCAAGGGTCCTTTGAAAGCGTATTCTTCGCTCCATCAAACTTCCAGACCTGTTACGCGCAGACACGACTTAACACCTCTGACTCGCGATGTCGAGATCGAAGCGGCATATCGGTTCAAGAGACCAGCTTTTTGGCTGGATATCTTCGGGCATAACCGCTCTATCCTGATACGATGAAGATGAATGAATTTACAAAAATTGTATTCTAATAGAAAGTTCACCGAATGTTTGTCATCCTGAAGCTCATCTCCATGGGAGTGCAAGACCAGTCTAAGCACGAGGCATTCCGATTAAACAGATCAGCGATGCGGTTATCGATGCAAAGTTACACGATGGTACTCTCGCTGTTGTCATAATGCTAAAGAAATGTGTAGTCTTCCTGAAGACGACGAGTGCGCTGCTAAGGAAGTCATGCATTCCATACATAAAGTATCAAAGTTATAGGCATACTCAACTTTGCCATCGCCGGTCTTGTATTCAGTTCCATCAATCGCTGTGTTCGAAATGTACTCGATGTAAGTGCCATTTTCAACCTCGGCCAAGATCTCCTGGAGGCAGGTAATACAATTTACATTGTTGGGCTTCTATGATGCTCTTTGGAGAAATACGACTTTCGCCTGAGATATTTCGAAAGCGGATCCAATCAATATCGGCACGGTTATCCGTAGGAACTTGCCATGGCTGATTCAGGTTAGAAGAGCTACCCTCATCTGCTAGTACCGTGGCTTCCGTGAAATAGAAAACAGCGTCCGCGGGCGCTGTTTCGTTATCTCTGAGGAAGCGCGTGAATCTGTATGGTTCGTCGATCGCGGTTATATTGCAGGATTCGGAACTGTTCGACTCGTCGCATGTGAGGTTGAACAGCTGGGGAGCATCTTGACACTGGACCTCGACGGCCAACGTATAAAATGGATCCCATTTGCATCTGCCACTAGGACGAGAAAACGGAGGGGTGTGCACAGATACCCCTTCAGATGACAAGAGCCCGCCGTATACCGCCGCTTTCATGTTAGGAGACACGTTAATACCAGCAACATCAGTGAAGTCATATGTTGGGTTGTAACTTGTAGCAAAAGAGGCGTATGCGACTGCATCGGCAGAGTTATCATGCACAGATGCACTGTAAATACCAATCTCTGTTGGAAGAACGGGCCCAATAGAAGACTAATATTGCCAACGATCGCGCGGACGAAAGCGAAAGTCCTGCACCGACATAAGTGACAAAGGACAGTATGCCTCTTCTCGAATGACTCACCGTACGTGATGTGAAAACCACAACTGGAGTCCTTCATACCGGCTTCTATGGTCGTCTGAAAGTTCTAGAATGGGCTGTGAGGAGACGCGACGATGGTCAAGCAGTTGTGAACGATGAGCCTAGAGCGATCGCGTCGAGCACTTATAGCCATGAGATCGGAAACCTGAATCACAGGCTGGCTCCCCAACGCTAGCGCACCATCGCAGTATCCACATCTTGGGCCCTCACACTCCTTACCACCGACCTCAACCAGGGCTTTAGCAGCTCCGCGACACAAATGGGCTCTTTCAGGTCAGGAAGGATGCATCTCACAATAGCTATTGATGAAATCGGAAACGTGTACGGCTTCTCGCCTCATGATTTGCACTCCCAGCTCTCAGGCTTCCTGTAATCACCCCCGACAAACGTGTTTCTCGCCGGATACCTGCAATGCCTCCTTGTAAAACTCACTCCACTCTTCACAGTATCGTTCACAAACTTTGTTCCCTCGATATACTCCGGCGCAACACCCTTCTCAACCCAATCGACCATGGCCGCGAGAACATTATGCTTCGCATCAAACGGAATACCTGCTTGAGCCGCGTTCCCACCCTGACCCAACACCCACGCACCAGGACCAGTACTGCAATGGAACATGCCCGAAATACGGAAGAAACGCGTCCATTCGTCCATATCTTCGTAGCTGCTGTTACCCCGAAGATGCTCGTAGAAGCGGTTCGTGTTGAAAGAGGTAATTTGGTTATCCTGCTGTCCGTGGTACATGAGCAATTTCCCATTATTTTGCTTGAACCCAGGCAAGGAAGATGGGTAAGAGCGGATGTCGCCTGGGTTGAGATCTTCTGCCGCGCGGACGTCGTCTAGACCAAATTCGGATGCGTTCCAGGTCGGATCGTTGTATACGACGTACTTGAACCAGTCGTCCGAGTAGGCGAAAGGGGCTCCGGCGTACAGTTTGTCTACAGCGTTGAATTCACTGCCAGGCTGCATGGCGGGGAAGATTAGCTCTCCATTAGGGAACCTGTAATCACTGAAGATCGTCTGGAGTTGCTGGACTTGATGCTCGTTCAGACAATTACCTGTGGTATTGCGACTACACAGGAGCATCGAAGGATTGAACTTGCACAAAGTTGGATCCTCTATGATACCGTCTTTGACCTTGTCGATGGTATCGCATTGGCGCAACACTTCGTCATGGATCCATGTCTGCCAGGCTGTCTTTGAAATGAAATTAGAGCCGGTGAGAAGGCCGGTGATGGTGAAGAAGCGTGCGCGCCAGGAGATGAGGTTGTTGAAATCGACACCCGGTGCGCCGGCAACGATGCCGTCGAAGTCGTCTGGGAACTTCTCTGCGCTCTTGATGCCTTGACGTCCGCCGAGAGAGCAACCTAAGTAGTATGATTTGGTGTAATCCCTTTCGTAAAACTCCCCAGACAAGGCTTTGCCGGTATTCACGCTCATGTGAAGTCTAGATAGCCAGTGAGTTGACGTGTCGAGGTAAGGAAGAATGAAGCTTACGATCTCCAGGCGAAGTCTACCACCATCTCAGGATTATCGAGAAAGGCTACCCCTGTAGTACCATTGTGGCCATTGTTTGCGCCAACGGTAGCGAAACCGTTCGAAGCCCCATACGCGATATCCTCATACTTGATGCCTGGTCTTACTATCAGTACCTGATACATATGACGAACCTTTCTACGTCCACTGAACACTTACAACCATCGATACCCCCGTTTCCCGTTGCCAGGAGGCGACCCGACCAATCTTCTGGAAACCAGGCTTCAAAAGTAATCTTCGAAGTTCTGGAAGTCTTTATCTCCAGTGCCATACGGCAAAGGTCTACTGAGACAATTTGGCTGGTTCGGCCGCACGTCGCGTCGTTATCCGGGAACGTCAAGTTGGCGCCCGCCGGAACATGTTGTAGGACGTTACGGGTTGCATCCTTGATGTACCTTTCGGGTTCGAAAGCAAGACATTTCTTCTCGAACGCGGAAGACGCGACAGCGACTGAGGCCAACGCAAGGTGCGAAACGATCGACACCCATACTGTAGAGAACATATTGACGGGATGGAATTATACGACTTGGCAGGTGCTCATCGTGAAAGCTTAGCGACAGGCAGTCTTTATGTTTGGTGCGAAGGATAGGTGTGGCTTGACGAGCCGCATGCAGCAAAGTGCGGGGCGCAGGATGCGGGGATGTTCGTCCTACTCTTCACTGCCTCCAGAAGTGAATGATCCACCTCGAACATCGCAAGATTCTCGCAATTGTAAGATCAAATTGAACGGAGTACGGAGGCCATGCTCAGACATGAGGCTTCTGCTAAGGTTCGTAATCGATAGAGTTAGTGTATCTGACATGGCGAACGTAGGACTTGCACGAAGTGGTACACATCTTGCTGGATCTACAGATTGGGAGTTATTCCCGGAAGCATCCCTGCTATTTTACATATGTATCGGATAAATTGTGTTGCGCAAGTGGTAGTAAAGTGGAAGAAGACGACGGGTATGAAGTACCTCACTAGGTGGTGTTGCGGGGCTTCGGCGTGGGCGCCGAGAACGCAACTGACCATTGCACGCTAGCTTGCGTGTATCTGATTGGCGCTGCCAGTCCCATTGGACTTTCTACTTCCATCACTCAAACACTCACATCATCCCAGAACCCCTCGATAATCTCCCTCGGAAGTAAACCCTTCTCACCCTCCGTCTTGAAGATCTGCAGCGGCGCGCCCTTCTCTATCGCTACTGATACCGCCTTCTGTGCCCGCGCCCCTTCCACCACGCGTCTCAGTTCCTACAGCAACTATACTGGTCTCTTAAGCTGCCGTTGGTATTTTTCTGCCCATGTCTCGAAGTCCTTCTCATATCAGCGCATCTCTTCGACGGTTATGATGAGATTACGGTGGTGGTGGCCGGAAACGGAGAGTGATGTACGGCCGAACCGGCATGGTTACCTCACTTGAGGCTTTGTAGAAGTAGATTTGAGCTCTATCGTTGAACCGTGAGGCTGGTATGTACCGCCGTTTATGACTAACGTGTGGGTGTTGTTGCTATGGGGTATTGTGATGTCGAAGAGGGCGATCATGTGGATGCGTTGCTGTCCTTTTCGAACGTGCTTGAGCATCCAAGAAGGATCCGAGAACTTTGTTCGACAACCTTCGGGGCGGCCATTATAGCCCTCTCGTGTCTGCCAAGGTGGTATAGGTCGTTCTGTTCCTATGCACTGCATTTTGGAAGTTAGCTCACTGCGTTCAGAGGGATTTGAGTATGTGAGAATTTCGACGAAGAGGTGGCAGCTGCGAGTGGTTGGTTGAGCATCGGGGAGAGCAATAACGCAAGACGACGTGAGTCGACACCCAGGTTCACGCGGTGAAGGTGAAAAGACGTTGCTAGCTCAATTGGACATCGATTGCACTTTTGAACCGCTTCGAGCTCGATTCATACTACGTGTCGTGCTTCGCTATTTTGGGCTGCAAGACCGAAGTTCACTTTCTTTTATGATATGAAAATTGACAACCATTACAAGTGGCTCGTTGTCATGTTGTAGTATGATTGTAGTTGTAGAGTGGACTGTCTAGAATGTCAACACAACCATCGAAACCACCAAAAGCATCAATGAAACTCCTCCAATATCACGCGTATGACTGCTTGCAGTACTTTTAGTCATACTGATAGCGCCACTGTTGTCCACTACTTCTACTCACATGTCAACACATCTTGCGTACGCGGGGTGGTGAGGATACTTACGACTACCGATCGCGCCGTTCTGCTGCAACACAGCATTGTTGTTACAGAGATCCATCAACGTAGCGTTGCTCTTGAGCTCCTGTAGCTTCAAAGATGCCTTTTCAAACTTTTGCTGTAGGTTCTGTTTTTGCTCCTCGTTGAGGAAGTCCGCAGCGGGTCCTTGGTCGAGACCAGTCTGACCATTTGGCGAGTTTACCAGCCTTTTCAACGTGTCCAACGCCTTGCATTCACGAACAGCGTCGCGCTGCGCGTTGATAGTGTCATATTCGGTTGTAAGTGTTGAGTTGGATGTCAGCTTACCGAGTTTGGCAGTAATGTCGGCACTGTGGTTCTTGATCCAGTCAACACGCGCTTGAGCGAGCCTGCCATGTATCTCCGTCGCGTCCAACGCGGTCTTGTTATTTGCGATGTCACTGAGCTTTGTCAACGTGCGTAGGTGTCTGCATGTCCTGTCGATGTCGACATCCCTGGCAGTGACTATCGTGTCGTCGTCGCCCAAAGGTTCAAGAGATCGATTGTTTGTCCAGGCGCATGAGGTGGTGATAAGTGTAAAGAGAAAGCTGGTAGTTAGTATGAATAAACGCATTGCCGGTTGAAAGTATGTGATGAGAATGCCCAGTGGAGAATGAAATGTGGCAGCTGCCATGTTGGCTTGGGGTCTTCCCTCATTATCGACTAGAGCTGTCAATGTTTCAATTCATCCTCGGATGCCGCAGAGCCACAACGACTACTTCGCCATGCGACGTTTCATAGCGGATATCCTCCGACGTTTCAGTCACTATGAGAGCAGCAGGCTCCATAATCAACGTGGCCAGGTCGCGACGACCTGGGAGTACACGAACGGACGGGTTGATTAGACTTGTTCAAGTGAAAACATGATAGAAATATAGAGAAGTGTGTTTGGCTATGGCGAATCAACCAAGCGACTAAGCAAAGTCATCATCGACTGTTGTCGTTCAGAGAATGGTGCAGGGGGGTTCTCCCGGCGTGTGGGTGTTATCGATAATAGGGCTGAGTCACGCTAATGGCGGGGACCGGAGGAGTCAAGTCTAGGGCTCTAGAAAAAGATTCCCCGCCACGGCCGACTCTCAGCAACAACACGCCGCCACCATGTCTATTGAGTTTCCGAGGGAGGAGGAGCGCATCCTCGCGCGCTGGAAGGAGATTGACGCCTTCCTGAGGCAAGTCGAGCTAGTAAGTGATTATGCCACAGCCTCTTGAACGCAAGCACGTGTGGTCAACACTTGCTGATGCATTATAGTCGAAAGGAAAGCAACCATACACTTTCTACGATGGACCGCCTTTCGCGACAGGATTGCCGCATTATGGCCATCTCCTGGCCTCGACGATCAAAGACATCATCCCCCGCTACTGGACCATGAAAGGCCGCTATGTCGAGCGACGATTCGGCTGGGATACTCACGGTGTGCCCATTGAGTATGAGATTGACAAGGAACTGGGCATGTCGGGACGCGACGCCGTGAAAGAAATCGGAATCGCTGAGTACAACAAGAAGTGCCGGGCGATTGTCATGCGATATTCGACGGAATGGAGGTCAACCATTGACCGTCTGGGCCGCTGGATTGACTTCGACAACGACTACAAGACCATGGACACCAGCTTCATGGAGTCTGAGTGGTGGGTCTTTAAGCGCCTGTTCGACAAGGGCGCTGTATACAAGGGGTACAAGGTCATGCCATACAGTACCGCATTGGCTACGCCCCTCAGCAACTTTGAGGCCACACAAAACTACAAGGATGTCCAGGATCCGGCAGTTGTCGTCACATTCCCGCTTGTGGACGACCCAAACACATGTCTGCTAGCATGGTGAGCTACTTACTTTAACCTAGTTTAGTTGGCATGTGCTGACCCAGTCTGAATAGGACCACTACACCATGGACACTCCCGTCAAATACCGGTCTCTGCGCGCATCCTGATTTCGAATACGTCAAGATTCTCGACGAAGCATCCGGCAAACACTACATTCTGCTCGAAGCACTACTACGCACGTTGTACAAGGATCCTAAGAAGGCCAAGTTCAAGATTGTTGAGAAGCTGAAGGGCAAGGACATGTTGGGCTGGAAATACGAGCCGCTGTTCGACTACATCTACGAAGAGTTCAAGGATTACGCCTTCAAGGTCGCGAACGATACCTACGTAACAGCAGATAGTGGTGTGGGTATTGTCCACCAGGCACCCGCATACGGAGAGGACGATTACCGCGTTGCCAAGGCCCACGGTGTCATCTCTGACACCCGACCGCCGCCTAACCCAGTCGACGATCAGGGTCGCTTTACTTCGGTTGTCCGCGATTTTGAGGGACAACATGTCAAGGCAGCAGACAAGGGCATTATCAAGCATTTGAAGAGCACCGGCCGCTTGATTGTAGACTCACAACTTCTCCATAGCTATCCCTTCTGTTGGCGATCTGACACACCCTTGATCTACCGGACGGTCCCCTCATGGTTCGTCAAGATTCAGGACATTGTGCCGCAAATGCTGGAGAACATCGCTGGTTCGCACTGGGTCCCTTCATTTGTCAAGGAGAAGCGCTTCGCCAACTGGATCACCAACTCACCCGACTGGGCAGTGTCACGAAACCGTTTCTGGGGTACGCCACTCCCGTTATGGGTCAGTGATGATGGCAAAGAGGTAGTTTGTGTTGGCAGTGTGGAGGAGCTGAAGAAGCTCAGTGGATACGAGGGCGAGCTTACCGACATCCACCGAGATAAGATCGACCACATTACCATACCCAGCAAAGAAGGCAAGGGCGTACTGCGAAGAACAGAAGAGGTCTTCGACTGCTGGTTTGAGTCTGGTTCTATGCCCTACGCCAGCGCACATTACCCATTTGAGAACGTGGAGCAATTCGAGAAGTCTTTCCCTGGTGACTTCATTGCGGAAGGTCTCGACCAAACGCGTGGTTGGTTCTACACACTCACGGTCCTTGGAACACATCTCTTCGGCAAGCTGCCTTTCAAGAACTGCGTAGTCAACGGTATCGTACTTGCGGAAGATGGCAAGAAGATGTCGAAGCGTCTCAAGAACTACCCTGACCCTAACTTGATCATGAGCAACTACGGTTCTGATGCGTTGCGGTTGTATCTTATCAACTCGCCCGTCGTTCGCGCTGAAACACTACGATTCAAGGAGGCAGGAGTCAAGGAGATCGTTTCCAAGGTCCTTCTGCCCCTCTGGAACAGCTACCAGTTCTTTGAGCAACAAGTGTCACTACTGAAGAAGGTCGCCGAACTGGACTTCATGTTCGACCCGGAGGCTGGAAAGACCAACAAGAACGTGCTCGATCGATGGATCCTCGCGTCTTGCCAGTCGCTGCTGAAGTTCGTAAATGAGGAGATGGCTGCGTACAGGTTGTACACTGTGGTTCCGCGATTACTGGAGCTCATCGATAACACGACAAACTGGTACATTCGTTTTAACCGTCGCCGGTTAAAGGGTGAGCACGGTCTGGAAGACACCAAACACGCCCTCAACACCCTCTTCGAGGTTCTCTACACACTCTGCCGCGGTCTTGCACCCTTCACACCATTCATCACAGACAACATTTACCTGCGATTACAACCTCACATCCCCAAGGAACTGCATGTGGAAGACAACCGAAGTGTCCACTTCCTTCCTTTCCCAGAAGTGCGCGAAGAACTGTTTGACGAGGACGTCGAACGCCAGGTTAAGCGTATGCAGTCAGTCATCGAACTTGGCCGTATCTGCCGAGACCGTGCCAACAAGGGCTTGAAGATCCCACTGAAGACGCTAGTAGTCATCCACCCAGAACAACAATACCTTGATGACATCAAGTCACTGGAGAACTACATCCTAGAGGAGTTGAACGTGCGAGATATAGTATTGTCAAGTGATGAGGAGAAGTACAACGTCCAGTACTCAGCATCGGCCGACTTCTCCGTTCTCGGTAAGAAGCTGAAGAAGGATGCCATCAAGGTCAAGAAGGCGCTACCAAACCTCAAGAGCCAAGAGATCAAGGACTACCTGAAGAGTGGCGAGATTATCGTGGACGGTATCAAGCTCGAGGCTGAAGATCTGATGGTCAAGCGCGGTCTTGCAAAGGACTCTAGCAACAAGGATCAAGAGTTCAACACGGATAACGATGTTCTCATTCTCCTCGATGTTGCCTCATACCCAGAGCTCGAGCAAGAAGGTCTTGCCCGTGAGGTCATTCGTCGCGTACAAGATCTACGTAAGAAGGCCGGACTAGTGCCGACTGACGACGTAGGTATGGAGTACCGAGTGCTGAGCGACCCGGAGAATGTAGGTCTGGAGAAGGCGTTTGAGAACCAAGTTCCGTTGTTTGAGAAGGCTCTACGGAGACCTGTGGACAAGCACGTCATCACTGAGCTTGATGGTAAGATTCCAGAGAACAGTAACGAGAAGGTCATCATGGAGGAGGAACAAGAGCTCCACAAGGCGACTTTCATGTTGCGACTGATCAAGCTATGATAGCTTTCAAGTGTGGGTTGATAGCATGGTGGCGCGAGATGAATCTTTGATGAAATGAAATCAAGATTTCTATGTTTATGCTGAACGCCCTCATATGCTTTACGTGTCAAGGAACTCCCGCCACCACTACTACCGTTGCTTATACGCCTTCTTTCATGGGGTTAGCTGTTGACGCCTTTCTATAATTTGGAAGGTGACACTTACCAGATAACACTCCTTCAGTTTCATGAACTCATTGACGCACATATCTTTCCGTACGTTGTTGTAGTCTGAGAATATGCATTTGCCGTATACTGAGCTCTGCGTTGTGTTAGAATACTCTCAGGCGTGACTGGCCACACCGAGGGGCTTAACATGCCTCTTTCGAGCATTTTGCCGCCGCTGTGGCGAGTTTATCGATGGGGCGGGTTCGGCCAGGCATCCTGAGCAGATGTTTGTATCTCTTCTTTCTGGACCTCGCAGAAATGTATCAAAGAAGCACGTCGTCTAGAGATTTGTGATGTTTCTCTAGACATGGCAAACACAAGCCATTCCACCTCGATGAGGTCAACGAACAGGGTCCACATGACTAAAGCCTTGGCACTTCCTGATTGACGAACGCGGGCAACCAACCACTCGAACAACAAAGCGCGTTGCTGCAACGCAAAAGCGGGCGCACAACAGCAACTCTTTTTACTTCCATCCCTTAATGCTTAATCGTTGCGCGACGAGCTCTCCTTCTTCTTCTTCACTTTCGCGCATGTCGCTTTTGGGTTGCTGTCTTCCGAACCATTCCCGGTTACTTCCATGTTGTCGCGAACGCGCCGGAGACCAACGAGTCGCGTGCACGAATGCTATCCTCCATGAGCCGGAATGGAGCTGATGCGAGGGCTATAACGAGTGACGATCTTTGTCGGGATGAAGGTAAATCGGCTGCGCAGAGGCTGATCCATGATGATGCTAACATGGCAACAGTGTCCGATGCCATCCACGATATCGTTCGTCGCGCGCAAAACTCCCACGATGGATCCACCAATGCCCTCTTCGTCGCATATGATGAATACATCAAAGACTATCATCCATCGCCTAGCGACGCCGCCTTATACTACAGTTTCTTGTTGCGTATGCGGGAACATGAACGAGAAGGCGAGGACTTGATGTCGCGGCTTTTTCGCGTGGTGAAAGAGGTTTTTGGTCTCCACGCAGAACTTGACGACGAAGAGGGTATCAATGTCCCGAACAATCTTGACGCGACGCGTAGAGGAGCACAGGCAAGCTTGGGACGATATTCGAGGACTGGAAGCTTTGACTCCTTCCTTGATGGGACGGCAGACAAAGTCGCAGGTACTGTCTATGGTGACTTGGCTGTGCGCCCGAGGAGATCATCGCAGCGGGATGCTCCGAATGGCTATGGCGACAAGGGGAGCCACCGTCGCGCGACATCAGACACCGAAGCGCATTCGTACCGGCCAGCACAACTCCCTGCTCGTAATAGAGTGAATGGCATCGCGCCTCGCCGCACAAGTTCTGGACCCCAACCGCCAGTTCATAAGCGCAGCGCTTCTGTCTCAAGCCGTGGCAGTCTACGAATTCGAAGAGGTGGACCTACCGAGACATACAGAACTGGCACTCACGATGCAGATGAGAGCGAATTCACCGACCGCACAGCTAGCCTCGACCTCTCCTCCATCCAAATACCAGGAGTGAACGCGCCGATCCCTAACGATCCGTACGACTCCCCGCACCAGCGCCGCCTGCGACAATCACAACAACCCCAACAGCAGCAATATGTTCCCGAACCGTTTCGACTGTCAGATACCCGATTGATGGACGACGCGGAAACCTTCGAACACCAACGTCTACACAGAGTGACGAGGGAATGTATACGAATATGGCGTAATCGCACCCAAGGGCGCATGAACCTGCGTGACGATATGGAGAGAGCAGCCATCGCCTTCGATCGCCGCGTCCTGCTCAGAGCCTCCCTCCTGCAGCTACGGGACACGGCGCTTGTGAGGCGCTCTGGTCGAGAGACAAATCACTTCTTTGATCGGCTAGAAACTCGTGCAGACAAGGCTCGCAGTCTCTTCCTGCTCACCAAAGCCTTTACACACTGGGCAAAGTGTGCTGAAGATGAAGTTCAGCGTACGTCAGTCGCGCGACGGCACATTCTACGCACACGGTTCTTCAACGGCTGGCGCGATATCACAGCGGTCAACGAGCTCAAGATCCAGCACTTTGCTCTTGCGAAGTTCCTCTCTATATGGCGAACACGTGCAGTAGAGGTGCGGGATAGGGATCAGTTTGCCGAGTCCTATTACGAAGAGAAAATCGTCAGGAAGTCGTGGAATGCCTTGAATAACGAGTACCTCAACAGGGGCGCGACGAACTGGCATGACACAAAAACAGCGAGAACAACACTGCAGAAATGGCGTGAAATTACTGAGATCATGAGGGAGCGGAATATTTGGGCGACCGATCGACGAGATGGGATGCTCCTACGGAGAACGTTCCAGACGTGGCAGCAGAAGACAGTGGCAGAAAAGGCTCTGCAATCGCAGGCCGACCAATTTCGCCATGTATCTCTCCTTGGAACGATATTCAGGACACTCCAGAAACAGGCGCAGCTTGAGCCACTATTGCGCCAGGTCCAAGCACGTGTTAATGGCCGCTTGCTTCGTGCAAGGTTCCAGGACTGGCGTAAAGACGCTCAGCTATCACGTCAAGCACGCGACATTGACCGTATGCGCGTCTTGCGCAACGCTTACACCGCCTGGAACGATAGACTGCGCATCAAAGCTCTGGAAGATCGTATCAACGACCGCATCATTGTTGAGTGCTTGTACAAGTGGACGTTGGCCTCCCGGGTATCCCTCTTCCAACGTGTTCACAACCGACAGCTCAAAGAGTCGACATTCTTATCCTGGGTCACCAAGACTAATCAGCGCGCCAATACCCTTGATGCTGCAGAAATTCGGTTCGCCCAGTTCAAGCGTGCTCAGCTGATGCGGACATGCTTGCGTAAAATAGAAACTATTACTACGGAGAGGCGGCGAGAGCAGTTCGCTATCGTAGCAGAGTATCAGCAAAAGCTCAAACAGCGCATATTCGATAAGCTCAAAGAGAGGCAAGCGTACTTCCAAGAGTTGAATCAATGGTCAGCGGATGCGCGCTTCTACGTTCTTAGCAAGCATACACTGAAGACATGGAGCCAAGCCACCCAACATGCACGTCGCAACCGCAGACGCGACACATATTCGCAAGTCCGTAGAACGGTCAAGACAAACCTTGTGCGAAGGGTGTTTGAGCACTGGCGGGACAAGGCAAATCACATTGCAGTGCTGACGCAAAGAGCAAATGACATGCTCGAAAGTCGCACTTTCCAAACCAGTGGCGCGATCATGCATCAATGGCACGACAACACGCTCATTCTTCGCCAACAGAATACTCAAGCTGTGAGCCTCCATGCCTTCAAACTTTCCGCTCGTTACTTCGCCATTTGGTCTCAACGCTTGGATCTGATACACACACTCGAAGGTCAAGCTGTCGCCCTGCGGCAGGAAAGCACGGAAATTGCAGCTACTGGTGCTCTCAAGAAGATGGGGTGGCGTCTTTGGAACTTCCAAAGGCAAGAAGACAACGCGAGAGCGTTGTTTGAGAGGAACTTCGAGAAGCACGTTAGAGCCATGGTTCGTTTCTGGGCAGAGCGTGCTACGGAACGACTTGGTCACCGGCCCGTGAGTCCAACGCCTACGAGTAGGTCAAGAGGACGAAGACAGGATGATCGCAATGACAACGATGGTCATGGCAACGATGGAGACTTCGATGATCGCGATGACGACACCAATGATGCCGGGCATGTAGGTCTTCAGCCATCAGGCGACGAAACACAACTACTAGAGCCATGGACAGCCTTCGACGAGAGCGCTCTAGGTCTGAACAACGATCTCGACCTTTCTCTCTCCCTCACACCAGAACAACCACCACGACATCCAACCCTCACCCCCAACCCCTACGCCCCTGCTCCCTCGCCTGCATCAACCCGCCCGCCAGGCTCTATCCTCCGCCGACCAAATACCTATCCACAACCACAATCCGCCATTCGACCTCCCCCGGCTACCATAGTAGAAGACGACGAGTCTGACCTCGACTTCGGCGAAGGTGCACAATCGACCTTCTGGTCCGGAACGCCCATGCCGCCGCCTCCAAGCAGTAAACCAGGTTACCTCAAAACACCCAGTAAACGCAGTGTCGTTCGCGCCAAGCGTCCTGAACTCCCCGCTAGCCCAGAGAAACAACGTGTCCTCTCTCCTGTACGCCGGCCACTGGGCTCGTTGCTAAAACGGGAAAGAGGTTCACGATTGGGTACTATGAGTGCGCCGCCTATACAAAGCAACAGAGATGACAACCTTGGGGTTGGTGGTGTGACTAGTTTCGAAAGAAGGTTACGAGAGGGTGGCTTTGGAGGGAGCGTTGCTGTCGGTAATAGTGCGATGAAGAGAGGGAGGGGAAGAAGTGGTAGGGCTAGAGTAGGGTTCGGGGAAGTCAGTCAAATGGGAGGACTATAGTTGTATTGCATTTGGAAAGCATTGCGCGGCGTCTGTCAGAGTGGATCGGTTTGGATGTGTTTGGATACCCCATATTGCTTGTCGATTATATCTAAGTAAAGTTTCCTCTTATCTGCATGCTTCCAAGCGTTTCACGTTCCATTGTGCTGAGCTCAATCTCGTCTAACAGGCAAATGTTAAGACGGTGAAAGTATGTTGGTGAAAGCTCACCTACTTCCTTTCTCACAGCACGGTCTGCGCGTGAATTGCCTTTGGGTTTTCCCCCTTCGCTGTACATAGAAGCATAAGCATACCGTTGCACAAAATCCCGACACAATCTTTGACTGGACCGAAGTCTATCCTGGCGCTGGCGCTACGATGAAGGGCTTCGACGCCAACGATGCTGTCATGTTTAAGACTATAGATGAGTTGATTCTCCATGTCGATGACCTCTTTACGCCTTTTGGTGGTGGTGGTGGTGTCGGTAGTCACTGGCATCAGCGTAATTTTGCGCAGGAATATGGTGTCAACGATCTACTGTACAAAATCAAAGAGCAGACGGGTCGTCTCGAGGTTGCCTACAATAGGCAAGAAGATATCAAGGGTTTCTCCTAGGAGGAGCTCAATGCGCAGTTCCGCAACATCGTGGACCAGCTTTCGAATTTGTCGACTACCTACGACAAGTACAGCGATCCCAAGGCGGAATCAACTCAGGAAATGCTCCACGATTTGCTGCGTGAGGCTCGTTTCGAAGTACCGAAGGGATCGAAGACGCCGTCTATTGAAATTGATCCAATGTACAGGAAGATCACCAGAATTGTACTTCAAATGTTGGCTTTGGACGCTAGACATGTGCGGAAGAACATAGAAGAATGGAAAAAGCACCCAGACTTCCGCAGTGAAATGCTTGAGGATGGTGTGGTTGTTCCTGAAACCGAGGAGGAGCTGGACGCGATGATCGCCCAGTCTGTTGATGAGAATCTTAGGTGGCTGGAGTCGTTGCACAAGTTCCGACACATGGCTGATATGATTGAAGATGGACTAGTTTACTTTTATTCGGCCATGAAGAAGCATAACGACCTGGAGCAGCTGCACAATCTACGAGATACGGCTGAAGATGGATTAGAACGCATGTATCGGGTCATGAAGAAGAAGACCGATCAGGTCAAAAAGGACTGGGAGAACAACCAGAAGAAGACCAATTGCAAGAACGATAATAAGAACGAGAACAAGAAGTTGTATTTCCCAAGTAGTTCTTGAGGGCTAAACCAGGTATGCTGTACGTATGTCAGATAAATACAGGGGTGGTATAACCGAAGTATCTGGACGCGCTGGTCAGGGTTTCTTATGCGCGCATGCAGCTTATGCTGTATGGATGGGTTACGCCGCAACAGTGAGAATGTAGATATTGATTTGTGGTTCGTCGACAAATATGAGAATGGTCAAATTGATTCGTCGCTTAATCTGAAGGTACCCGCAGGTATATGACTCTGCTCGTATTGCTGCTGCATATCTTACATCAGCCCATTCTCTGCCCAATAGTTGGTCAATACCGTGGTGTACCTGGTATGCATATGTGAATGCGACTTCATGCTAGCAGCACGTACCTTTTGCCTTAAAACCTCCCTTAGTATCCTCACCACTCTTCTCGCTGTGTAGCTGGATATCAACATACTACACCAATATATCAAGATGCGTGCAATCATATTCACTTCCCTCAGCCTTCTCGCTGCCACCCTCATAATAGCCCAGTTACCCCCAGACTACAACTTCTGCATGGGCGACAAGAGCACTTTAGGCCATTGCGACACACTCACCTACGTAGACAAAACTTCGACTGCGACAAACCCACCTAACGCGACGGAATGCCAGGAATCGTGTAATAGTATTTTCCAAGATGCCGGAGAATGGATCGTCGATCTCAAAGGTAAGATTTTCGCCCTGAATCTCCAACTCAAGTTTCTTTCGTTCACCCACGACATCATCTCATTAACACCACTCTCTCCAAAAGGCAAACCAGAAGGCTACCAACAACATATGCACAACGCACCTTGTGGTTTCAGCATGGGTGCCATTCCCAATACTCCGCACGAGTTTTCTTTCGATATGAACAACCAGGATATGGTTGACATTATTGATGAGGCGATCAAGCGGTTTGCAGGGTTGCATGGAGGGAAAGTGGCGGCGCAGGGAACGGTGAAGTGTGATGGACATGAGGCCATGTGGTATATTAGTCGAGACGCACGGTGATAGTTTAGGCCCGTAAAGAGGTTTTGGTGAGATGCGGGTTAAAACTGGTGTGAACCCACATGGCGTATCGCCTGAGGCGTCTCAGTCCCCTCTACTATAGTCTGCAACCTAGACAACGAATTCACCACAACCATACTCTTCTCTTCACCTCTTACGCTTACAGATCGCTCAATATCCCCCTCTTTCTCAGTAAGCCAGACACAATCTATACCCACATCAGACGCAGGAACAATATCTCTTTCCCAGCTATCCCCTACCATCACCACGTCCGCACTCCTCAAACCGAGAAGTTTCAATGCCTTACCAAATAATCCATCTACTTTAGACACACCAAGCTTATTCGTAGTGACCAGCCTGTCGAAATACGGCTCTAGACCCAAAGCGGCGACAGTACGTTCCTGCGCATCTTGAGGGCCTTCGGTTATGATAGCTATGCTCTTCTCTTGTTGTTTAAGTATCTGCAGTAGTGATATTGCGCCTGCTTTGAGCTGCATGTTCTGCATAAGTATACTTTCGTAGGTGTCGAGAAGCGTCTGCATCTGCTGCTTCGTACAGTTAAGACCAAAGATGTTTATTACACTTTGGAAACGCTCTGCACGGTACTCGTGGCTTGTTTTTCCATCCACGAATGCAGCGGATGTGCCGGTTTTGAGGATTTTGATGTACTCCGTCTTCAACTCGGCGACTGTGAGCAATCTATCAGAAGGATGTTCATGGTTTACGTGTTGTTCTATGACGAGATGGAGTATCGCGTCGACGGCGGCGGAAGATGCTGTGCGGAATTCGTGGAGAGTATCGTCGAGGTCGAAGAAGAACCATTTTGCTCTCTTGATATGTTCGGTCATCGTGTCTTTGTGTGCCTGTAGAGAATGTAGGCTACAGTTTTCAGAAGGTTGTCCGGTACCAATGGTACCTAGTATTGTGTCACAAGCATGGACGCAGAGGAAAGTGCGATTAAGCTACGCTGGATGCAATGTACTTGATGTAAACGGTGAGAGAACTATTTCTGACTCATCCCTCCTGCTAAACACGATCGGCAGGAGGATTCGCACGTCTATACTGTAATGCAGAATTTAATCAGTCACTGGTGGCTGATGAGTATAACACGAATCGAAGATGTACTTCGGGATTCAACAACTAATCTGGCAGCCTACTGTAAAGACACAGATAATGGTACAAGCATCGAAGGGGTTGCGCAACTTCGGTGTTTGATTTCGTAGAGCTTGTTAGGGTTAGTACGCCTTCCCCCGCACACCGTCATGAGGAAGCGCAACCGGATTTCGGAGACGCCCGACAAGTGATTACCCACTCTCACGTCGATGTCAACAACGTGGAGAGCATGTGATGCAAGAGTACTCATACTCGTCTAGATGATGTTGATGAGACGGTGGTAAAGATTGCGTTGATGCAGAAACACTGGAGGCGGAAACCCAGTCAGACAGCCCTGCTCATTCACGTAAGGCTCTGAAATCGCACACATCATGCACCAGACAACGCGGCTGAACTTCGAAAAAAACGATTAGAATCTATACACTATAGTCTAAGACTCATGGTTCTTATACTCATTAACACAGCATTGGACTGTTAGTGAGGCGCATACCCTCCCGCATTAGGATCATCAGTAAGCACAACGTAGAAGCCCAAGGGACAGAACAAATCACTTTGCTTGAACGTCAACGTGGTGTCCTCAGAACACAACGCTCCACTGACGGTCACCTTGCCGATACCGGGAGGGATTCCACACGGCGCACCGTTGACAATGTAGCTGTTGCCTGGCTTTATGACTGGCGGCGGGTTCGGTGGGCTTGGACCTGGACGCGGTTGGTGGTTGTATGTGGTAACGCCAGCCTCTGCACCAGCATTGATGTCGTAACCGGTGAACGTAAATCGGCCAGGGCCCTTGAAGATGAAGAGTCCGGGTGCTTGGATGAGAGAGGGGAAGTCGAAAACGAGGTTGCAGATCTTGCCCTGGGTAGCGTCGGAATCGAGCTCGAGGTTGAAGATCGTGCATTTGTCTTTAGGGGTTACGGTTGCCCATTCTGTGGTCGGATATGCTTTGTCGGGATTCTTTGCAGATATAGGGACGAGGGCTGAGGTGGAGATGCTGTTGCCCTTGGGGAGTTTGCCGTCAGGTTGGGCAGGGTTTGTCGGGCATTTGGCGAAGTTTTTGAGAACGCTCAAGGTGCGTGGTGTGATGTCGCTTGGTGCCAGTGTAGCTGGAGCAGCGAGAGCTGTAGCCAGGAAGGCTGAGGCAAGCGTGAAGATCTTCATGGCGAAATGGCTAGTATTAATTCCACAGCTTCAAGAGATCGATGTAGAGATACTGTGTAGCCTTCGAATCACAAAGAACGCGTAGTCTATTTCGAGAGGCTCGCTCACTCATTTTATACTTCGTCTCTTCTTCATACCGTTAAGTCAGCTTGTCGTCGCCAGGCTGGCTCGCGCATTGGCAACGACAATCTAACGTTCGCGTAACGATTGTTACCCTCGTCTACCCCTTCAAATGATGTCAAGGCCCATCCGTCAAAGGTAAGCTGACAAGCGAACATTCCTCAATTCCAACAACGGCTTCCTCGCTCCCATCTCCAACTCATGCGATTTGCCAGAGACGCCAGGCATGGCTCGGCAGCCTTGTAGGTGAGACGTGGCTAGCGAAGTAAGCTCTGTATTCGGACACGGCTGTCTTAACTCTGCATTCACCCTCGTAGAGTCAGAGAGGCCTAGAAGACGTATTAAAGGGCTATTGGCAGATGGTCGTTTCACACGGCAAAGGTTGTCGGAACCCCACCTTTTATCCGTCGATGCAAGTATTGAGTAAGCCTTCCCAAGACTATTGAAGGCGTCTTAGGTGTATTAGCCTGATGTCGGTATGTTCATTTTGAGAACAGTTTGGGGATGCTCAGCTGAACGCCACCACCTCTTCGGATGCAATCGGCAGGGCATGGCTAGCGTCATGTGTTTCCATGGTCATGCTGCAACACCTGCATCCAGAACGTAGGCTGGCGCGAACAGAACCCGTGGAAAAGACAGTTCTAAATGCTCCTAGTGCCCGCCTGGTGCATGCCGATCTCGCGCGATCTTCGACGAGTGTAGAGGTGGCGTTCGCAGCGCAGCGACGGCCCACGCTTGATGAAACCGCTGTGGCTATCGAAAATTAGTTCGTAGCCCAAACATAGCTCTCAAGCTACCCTCTGGAAGGTTCTCGCGATGCTGAACTATGACCGATCGAGAAGAGGTAGTCGTTGACGTCGGTACGAAAAAGAAAAGTATGATGTTCTCAGTGAGTCCACAGTAAAAGATGGATGGCATTGGGCTGTCCGACAGTCTTGCGTCATGGTGTTGCACGCTATGCCATCACAGCAGTTTGATGTCACATGTGGGCAGGCGTAAGAGTTGTCTGTCTGTCAGGATGGCTGTCTGTAGCTCGGTGACGACCAATAGTTGACGTTGAGATACAGCTCCGAGAACTCATCCGCACGATGTAGATTGCGAGCGATGAGCCGGCTCACGGTAGGGATACCAGTACGCTTAGAACATTGTTTCATCACTGAACAAGTCACGATCATTGCATGAAGAAATTCAGTCAATAGTGGCACAGGAGAATGTTTTTCAAGTTCAATTCCGACTACACCCTCCCCGGACTAATTACAATTACCCTTTCCGACACCAAGGATATTTACTATGAAGTGAAACCTATCCTCAGTGCAATGTATCGTGTAAAGTCATAGCATGCCCGTGGGCATGCTCAATTGAAAGTTATGACATTTACAAGAAGAAAGCAGCGAAAGCACCAACACCGGCAACGAAGCCACCGACGTTGAGAGCAGAGGCAGCACCAGTGAACTCAGCAGGGGTGGAAGGCTTGACATAGCCACCGGTCTTGGTGGGGTAGCCAGTGCCAGCAGGAGGAGCACCAGTGCCAGCAGGGACAGAGGGGTAGGGGGCACCACCGACGGGGACAGATGGGTAAGGAGCACCGCCGGTGGGCTTGCCAGCACCGGGAACAACGGGGGTGCCGGAAGGCTTACCAGCACCGGGAACAACGGGGGTGCCGGAAGGCTTACCAGCACCAGGAACCACGGGGGTACCGGTGGGGTAGGGGACGGTGACGGTGATGGTGGTGGAGCTTAGGCAAGAGGTGGTCTCGGCCTCGGGTACCTCAGGGGTCTTGGTGGACTCGACCGGGTACTCAGCAGGCTTGGAGGGAGTGCCAGCGGGGTACTCGGCGGGAGCAGAGGGAGTACCAGCTGGGTACTCAGCAGGCTTGGAGGGAGTCTCAGCTGGGTACTCGGCGGGAGCAGAGGGAGTGCCAGCTGGGTACTCGGCGGGAGCAGAGGGGGTGCCAGCGGGGTACTCAGCAGGCTTGGAGGGAGTCTCAGCTGGGTACTCGGCAGGCTTGGAGGGAGTGCCAGCGGGGTACTCGGCGGGAGCAGAGGGAGTACCAGCGGGGTACGCGGGGTACGCAGGAGCAGAGGAGGACTCAGCAGGCTGAGCAGGGTAGGCAGGGTAAGCCGGGGCGGCGGGAGTGCTGGCTGGGGCAGCAGGGTACGCGCCGTATTGGGGAACGGCGGCAGCAAGGCCAGCGAAGGCAGCGACGGCGATAGTGTAACGCATTTTGATTGATGGGTATATGAACTTGAAACGGTAAAGTTGGAAGTGTTGGTTGATAGAGGTTGAGGTGGTGGTGGGAGAGAGTTGGCGAGTGTGTGTTATTAATGATAGTATTAGTTGGTAACAACGAATGGACGACTCGAAGGTCAAAGGACTTGAAGCTCGAAAGTTTGGCTGTGAAGTGAAGAAAAATAGCAAGGCGACCACGCTGCTATGATATATACCGTAGGGAGATTACAGCACGGTAGCGCGGACCGGAAACAAATGGCCACTGAAAGGGGGGCAACAGGACAGGCGACAGGGGCGGAAGCATCTGGGCGCTGCAAGTGGTCTGGCGGATGTCAGGGCTAATGCAGGAACCAAGCTGGCCTGCCGCCCCGCTGGCCACTCGTAGGACGTGCGTACCTGATGCTAAGACCAGATCGGCAGGTTGGCTGTGGAGGGCTGCGGTGGCTTCTCGTGTTGCAGAAATGAACGGGTTGCGTTGGTTGCTCAGTCGAGACTCTGCTGTTGTTATCTTGCTGCACACAGGCCGAAACCTCCAGGCCGGCGGCTGTTGTTCTAATTACGCGCTATAGACGGAAGAACACAACATCCCCATTTCGAGAGCATCGCGAGGCACGTTAGTCTTGACGGCCTCTGCTCGGTGCGCCTTCAAGCTCTAAGTGGCGATCCTAACAGGGTATCTTCAGGGGCGTCCTTATCGTGCTGCCCGTTGAACAGAGGTTCTCCACCGGGACATGGGGCATACAGCAAAGCCTCTGGAGATCCTTATCCCGAAATAGTGTTTATAGCATGTCAGTGTTGCAGAATCTGCAGGGTACGTCAGCTTTTGTTTAGTTTTGCAAGCATTTTACGGTGCCTTTCACGTGCGCGTCAGCTTGCTACAGCAAAGCATCCCTTTCGGCCTGGTCGCATGCTAGAGACGTCACCGAATGCTCTATGCACCGTCTTCACGCCGGTGCCGGCGTTTGCACGACCGAACGGTCCTTTGTGCGAGGCGCCGTGGCCCCAGAATCGACGAAAACATTGGTGAGGCCACTTTGCCGAGGGGTGGAGATTAAGCATTAGCTGCTTACGAATACGGTCTAGCTGAGTTCTGCGCTGTCCCCTTTCGTCTCCACTACGCCTTGTCCAGCTCGACTTTCATTTCGGCCGCACATCCAGCGCCTTTACGCCGGCCATACCTCACGATCCGAGTTCTGCATTTCGTCATAGTTGCTGTTGTGTTTCATCAGCCAGATTGGTCTTTTTGCGCGCTTCAGCCTCCACAGTCATGGACGCAATTATATGCTGCAACCGTTTCGGCTGCGATGCATATTGACCGCCTCGCATTCATTTACATGTGCCGCTCACATGTATTCAGCCGGAAAAACTCCGGTAGGCATCGGCGACAACACCCAGGAGGCCCTTCCAATCGCGTTCTCCGCTGCCACATAATCAATGTCGATCATATTGAAGCGCACGACTTGATCAGGCTGATGATAGCGCGGCTTTATCGGAGCGAGATAGGGCGGTCAGTCATTCAACGTCGGGAATGGAATCATAAGGCGAGCAGCTTGCGATTGGTGTCCTCAGCTCTGCCTCGTGACAGAGAGGACCCACAATGTCGTTTAAACACCAGTCGGCATTTGATTTGGTTGTGAATGCACTCTCCTACCGCCGCTGCCCTTCTGACAGTGTATGAACATCCGTTGTTGTATCTCCTCATATCTTCCTTTCTCTTAACCAGCCCGCTGGCTTTACGTTCGTGCAGTTTAGGACTCTGGTAGTCACAACTGGCTGTGCCCACTCGGATCTTTGGAAATATTACTCTGCGGCATGGAGATCTCCGGCTTCTGTGCACCTCACAACCTGTCAGCGTACCATCTGCATCCGTTACATCACCAAAGGAACGCACCAACAGGAACTCCCTTAGAACTGGATCTATCGCATACAGCTGGACCTTTCACAATTTCCACCTCTATATTGGTTTCGCAAGTATAAATCGCCTGATGTGTGCGCGTTGTTGCCATCCGCAATAAATGATACCCAAGCCGCGCACATGGAAAACCTCCGCATGGAAAGGGTTTTTAGCCAGGGAACGCATCTTCCAGCTTACATCATCCTAGAAGCCTTGTTTCCATTTCTTGTAACGTCGAGAAAAGTTGGAATCTTGACATGTTGAATGTTGCCCGGGTCACACCTCCCCTTACATCCAGCAACACTATCTGCATAGAATGGAACCACAGCTACTTGCTTGTCTCCATGACGAGGAGGAGACTTCCTACGTATTAGGTGGCAGTACAATCTCCTCGAGCACTGTTTGCCGACAGGACCCAGTGATGCCATGGTAAATACAAGTCTGTCTCCGATGCCACTGATCCTAAGCTGTTAACGGCAGTATTTTAGGAGAACATACATCAATATTTCCAATTTTCTGTATTCGCCCAGCTATCGTTGGGTTCTGACTCAAAGCTGAACAAGTATTGTTAACCGCAACTAAGAATGGGTAGTACGAGTCTGTTCGTGAAATTTACGTTCAGAATTCATAATACAACTCAGGTACCCAAATCGATCACGATTTTTCCAACGAAGTGCATTCGAGATCCAAAGTGGAGATCTGACGCCAGAATATCTGGAACAGGGTAACGAATTACCAAGGTTACGCTGCCGTTCACACCAATGACCAAACATCCTCTACACGATATGCGCAGCAGGTGGATACCATGGACGTTGCTATCTACTGGAACCCGTGGTACTGCGATGACCCATTAACGACAAACCACTCATACTTTCCGCAACATATACCATATACGTACACAAATTTCGTCACGAATGAGAAATACTGCACAAACAAGGAACTGGATACCATGTTCGCACTCTGAATACCCTCCACAGTCAATTTCCACCAATATTTCTTTTTCGTACACATCGAACACTACCACAACTCGTATGCACCATGGCACCTTCACGAATGCCCGACGAACCATTCCGTTTCCTAGATCTCCCCAAAGAGCTAAGACTTATTGTGTACGAAAATCTTCCTCGAACTGTCGGTAACACAACAATAAACCTCTCCTACGAAGACTTGCCTCTGCACTACAAGCGGCCAATGTCTTTCTTCACTCTCATCCACCGCAGCACTACTATTTCCATTCTCTGTGTCTGCAAGGAAATCTACGCAGAGGCAGTCGACATCATCCACAAAACTATCCGAAACTTCATTCTCGAGGCATCACCCAAGATTGCAGGCACCTTGCAACCAATTCACCTCTCCGACCCCCTAGGACCACTTATGAGAGCTACTGCACGCGACTTTGACCACCTGCGCAACAGATTCGGCTTCTCTCGAGATGGCAAATCTATGATACCCGTACTGTCTCACGACGATCTTATTTCTGGATGCTTATACCTTGCCATCCGGTACTTCGATTACGATGAGTTGTATGGATCCCAGCAACACGCTGCCCCAGGGAGTCTTATCGACTACAGGAGCAAAACACCCTTGTTCCTAAAACACCTTGCAGAAGCCCGAGAAACTACGGCTGAATGGGACATTGAAGACTTGCCAGAACAATTCTACAATGGACCGGCGTTATTCCTACCAGGTAGTCTCAAAGCGCAATTGCCCTCGATCCCGCACGATAGCGCGTGCAAAGAGTCAAAACGCGCAATAAACACTTTCATCACCACGGCTTCGATACAGCTACTCTACCACCATATCAAGCGAGTCTCTGACTCTGCGCTCGGAAACCCCTATATTGAGTTTGTCAATTATTCCCCGATACACGAACAAATGATTCGGTCCATTGACGCATCACAACGCGAAGTCCTCTGCATGAGACGTATGCTGGATGCTTTCAACGTTGCAGATCACCGCTCCATCTGCTACGACTTCGGCGTCCATGTCAAACTCTCGGGGTACGTTGTCGTAGAGGAGGGCCAGCAGCCGTGGCTAAAGCAAAATGCCATTATGAGGTTGCCGGTGCAAGGATCTGATTCGAATTTTCGGGGTTGGGAAAGACTCGAAAAGCCGATCGATGGAGTTGGCGGTGTGGCAATCTGCCGGGAATCTATGACGAAGGAGGAGTGGGAGGAGGGGTGGCTTGCGAATGATTTTGAGAATAAAGCTGACTTTCATGATAGCCATAACATGACTTTTGCTACCGACACTGCTATGGAACTTTGATAGGCTGCTCGAGGTAGCGCACCTAGCCGGTTACTCACTATGCATATGGCGATTAGTCAACGTTGATTTGGCTGCGACAGTGTGTAACACTGTGTCGACATCGCTTAGAAAGAGAATCATAGCTTGATACCTTTATGTCATCCTTGATTGATTGCCATATGCATGACGAGTAACCGAAGGTCTCACACAACCATTTATGGCTCTTCCTCCTCCTCCACTTCTAGAATCTGAAGTACTGCGCTTGCTATGTCCGTCATGTGCTGGTGACATGGAGAAGTTAGTCGTGAGAAAGGCACTTTCACAGCTCGCATGATGCTTGAAAGGAGTTGTATTCGATAATAAGGAAAGAGACTGATCGCTACTCAGCTAGAAGAGACACCATCTTTGAGCTTGTGAGGAACACAGCTTGATCAGCGCGGAACTGTCTGAATGAACATGCTAGATCACAATATCCTGCAGGCGTTGGAGTTTTGTGATGAGGGACAGCCGTCGATAAGTTTCCAGTATCACCATCACAAATGGTCAAGCAGCATATATACGTAACAACCTTTCAGCGTACTCATACTATATTCGCACAGGCTAGACATACATAAGACACATGTGCCTTCCAAGCTCACTTGACAGGAGCAAGGATACAAAAAAGACAAAGCCCTGATCCAACGCCATGCTAATACACACGTTTCCACAGTCATAGCCTGTGGGTGCAAAAACCATGCCCATCCTGATCAAATAACATGTTGACACCCTGTGTGTCATGCCGCAATGCCCGTAAAAACGCCAATGTACGCCTGTTAACACTGAAAAGTTATACCTAGCCTAATAGGTAGGTGCTGAGTGGGAGTCCAAAGAGCACAGTGAAGCCGAAAGACTTTCTATGGGCTCACTTGATGCTGTCTCAAGTCTTCATCTTCCCAAGGAAGCCATCGAGGTCAAACTCCTCTTCGTACTGCTTCTCGTCCCAAAGGTCTCCGAGTTCATCCAGGAAGCCCTTCTTGCCCTTCTCTCTCAGCGCACCCGTGGCGTCCACAGCATCATTCTCATCGATGCCCGTGCGGTCGTCTTTGGCGTTGCTGGGTGGTGCTGGCAGTGCGGCAGGATCGTTCGAGTCGGCGGAGACATTGAAGAGGTCAAGAATCTGATCCGTTTGCATGGATTGGAGACCGGCGTTTTGTTGGTTCACGACAGTCGAAGCGATGTCGATCTTGAAGCGTTGGAGACTAGAAAGATTCGTTAGTGAAAAGTTCGATTGCGTACTGTGTGAATATGGGGACTTACTTCAAGATCTTCTCTTCCAAGGTACCACGCGTCACAATCCGGTACACATTGACGACCTTCTTCTGTCCAATACGATGCGCGCGGTCCATAGCTTGGATGTCTTTCTGCGGGTTCCAATCGTGCTCAACGAAGATGACGGTATCGGCACCGGTCAAGTTGAGACCCAGACCACCGACGCTGGTTGTCAGGAGCAAGACGTCGTACGAGGGATCGGTGTTGAACTTGTTGACAATTTCCTGGCGCTTGGTAGCTTCGACACCACCATCAAGACGCATGAATTGCACGGATGGAAGTAGCTTCTCGAGCACGTTGTGCTGGACCATATCAAGCATCTCCTTCATTTGGCAGAAGACAAGGGCACGATGCTGAGAAACAGCCTCGGGGAGATCGCCATTAGCGGCGGCGGACTTATCGCTCACAACGTCGGATGCACCGATACCGCAGTCGACAAGCAGATCCTTGAGAGCGCCGAGCTTGGGTGCATGCATGATGTCGTCGATTGTGGTGTTGTGCTTCTTGAGATATTGCTGTGTAGGCTCATAGGCCTTGTTGGTGGGGCCCTTGACCACAAGTGAAGGTGAGTTACATAGCTTCTTCATGTACTGTAGAGCCTGGAAGATGTGTTGCTTGCTCTCGCGGTCAGCATTACCGGCCTTGGACTGAATCTCCTTGCCTTGACGCTTAGTGAAATCGTCGAAAAGATTGCGCTGCAACTCAGACAGATCACAGTAGTAGTTCTGCAGAATCTTGGGTGGCAGGTCGTCCAGCACTTCTTCCTTGAGACGACGAAGAAGGAAGGGAAGCACCTGCTTGTGTAGAGCCTCGATCGCCAGCGCACCCCGTTCTTGCTCCTTCGACGAACTCTTAGCAAACCGGGAGGCAGCAATGGGCTTCGCGAAACGTTCCTGGAAAACCTTCTCCGTACCAAGGAAGCCGGGCATGAGGAAGTCGAAGAGTGACCACAGCTCAAGCACGTTGTTTTGAATGGGCGTACCCGAGAGGATAAGGCGGTGATTCGACTGGAATTGCTTGACAGCCTGGCTGGTCTTCGATTTGGAGTTCTTGATCAGATGACCTTCGTCAAGTACGCAGTAGTTCCAGTTGATAGGCTTAAGAATATCTGCGTCATTCCTGCAGATATCATACGAAGTAATGACAATATCCACCTTGTCGAGCTGGTTCCTATGTTGACCACGAATGGGCGGCGAGCCGACGTAGGCTACACAGCTAAGGAAGGGTGCATATTGCCGGATTTCTTGCTGCCAATGACCTGATAGCGTAGGCGGACATACGATGAGAGATGGTAGGCGTCGGAAGTTTGGATCGCCAGTCTTGGCGAACTCATCTGCACGGATGTGGTGATCACTGGCCACCATACATAGCGTTTGCAACGTTTTTCCGAGACCCATGTCGTCACAAAGAATACCATGAAGGTTATATCGGTTGAGGAAGGCCAGCCAGTTGACACCTTCTTGTTGGTATGAACGGAGCGTCGCTTTGATACCGACAGGAATCTCGAAAGGCTCCACCTTCTTCGCATCGAGCATTTGAGCGACAAACTTGCGCTCTCGGTCTCGGCCCTTGAGAAGAGAGTCCGGAAGACCGGGTGGATCGGGAATACCTGACTCAAGCGGTACGAGCTTGACGAGCGTGGCAAAGCTGGTTGTAGCCAGTAACCGGACATCGTTGTCTGAATCGCTCATACGACCAAGAACAGGAGTAATGAGGAAGATGACGTATGGCAGGATCGCATCTTCCATGACATGGATGAGATGATAGATGCACTCGATGGCTCCTTGACGGCCATGCACGTTTCCACCGTCGCTGATGGTTGGTAGCACGCTCTCGACAAGCATCGTGACACCTTCGACAGACATGACGCTGCAGATGGTGGCAAAGCACTTGGCAGCTGCATACCGCAAGACGTAAAGCTTGCTTTGGAGAGCCTTGGCAATGAGTGGAAGCAGATCCTTGACAAAGCCCCTCACACTCGGGTGGAAGCTGCCGACCAGGGCACGTAGAGTCGACAAAGCATCAACGACTTCTTGGCCAAAGACACCATCTTCATTGAAGATGTGCGCTGGAAGTGTGGCCTCAGTAAAAGCATCCTTGATTGGTCGTTCGATCAGATCCTTCAAGATAGGGACCTTGTCGAAGATCTCAGCGCCGAAACTCTCGACGACTTTCTCCAGACCTTCTCGAGCACCGCGCTTCGTGATCCTAGCAGCTCGCGACTCTTCGGCGAAACGAGCAGCATCCGGGTGGTCGCGTACATCTTCATCCTTCTTGAGAGTGAGGATGCCTGTTTCGATGTGTGATTGTCCGGCAAACTCGGGTGTTTCGGCTGTCTCCATGCAGTAGAACTTGACCAGATTTCCAACGACTTTGTTAACTACGCCAGATCTCTTGGCGTTGACCAAGAAGACAATGTAGCCGGCGACGGCAGCAGCGGAGCGTCTCTGTAGTTCAACGTTCTCTTCCTTCTTAACGCTATCCATCATAGCCTTGATAGGCGGCGATGGCTTCTTCGGGGGGGAGTTAAGCGCCACTAGTGCACCGGCCGCAGCGGCCTTGATACGTACATCGCGCTCTTCCTTGATGTCCTTGGCTTCTTGGATACTCGATTCTACCTCCTTGCGCGCTGTTTCCAGGTTCGTTCCAGCGACCATGCGGGCTGACGGCGTCATTCCCTTCTTGAGTTTCTCATACTGTACATTAAGCAGCTTTTCGGCATCTGCGACGCCGAAAGCATAGTGGTTTGCATTCGGCATGCCCTGAACAAGAGCAGCGATCGTGGGGAGATTTTGTACATGTGCTTCGTGGAAGATGCTCAGTAAAGAGTGGCACTGCGTTCGAACAATCTGCAGCTTCGGTACCAAGTCCTCGTAGGCAGCTGGCCTTTCGCCCTCGACGATAGGCAGCAAGGCCTGAACGAATGATTCGGCCAAGGCATCCTTGGTTGCCAGGTTCTTTCCGAACTCTTCAATGATGATTGCGGCTGTCAATTGGGTTGAAGAGTTAGGGGAAGACATGTGCTTCAGTAGTCTAGACCTGAAGGTCTCAAGTCTCAACTCTTCGGGCCAAGCTCCCATTGCTTTACCAAGAGCCTGTGCGGCAGAGGTCCTGGAACGGATCATCACGTCCGCTCCGATGAGTTCGAGATCACCAGTTATCATGTGTCCATCGACGTTGTGAGACTGCAAGGCTGGAGTAGGTGTTGACATGTCGTCTTTTCCGTGACGAGACTTCTTCCTCTTCCTCGCCGGCTCGCCGCCATCTGGCGGAGATGACTTACGACTCGGCTCAGAATCTGGTGGTGGACCCATAGCTTGTCCAGAAGGTTTGATGAGTAGTGACTTATTCAGCGATATCGGATGGCGAGAAACTCCAATAGGCGTTAGAGTGAGGGGAATGACAGCATCCAATATAGGCTCCATATGAACGGCCAGCTGACTACCCAGGGTCTCCACAATGGCGTTCCAAAGCTGGAGGGAGAGCTTCAATACGCCTTCGTTGCGTTCGAGCAGAATGTTCTGGAATACGAGCTGCAGTGCCTTGCTATCAACCCAGCTGTCTGCACCTCCGCTCTGGATGTTGAGGAAAGTGATCAGCGCACGCAGCACCGCCGCACGAACACTGGTGATGGTATGTCGTAAGAATGGAAAGAGTCGAGGCACCAGTTCGTGGAATGATTGGGTGGGGTCCTGTCGTGCGTTGGCTTGCATGGCTTCCAAAACTTGAGGAAAGCCGCAGAGCTTGGCCAGCAAATCCATGATGAACCCAGTACTGGCACTCAGATCATCCTGTAAGCTGGAGAGACAAGACCAGACTACATTCATCAGCCCTTCGAGTGCCTTGGGGCGCATCTCGATGAACTCCTTCGCGACAGGAATAAGGGTCGCTGCACTGATCGCTCGGACATCGTCATCAGAGTTGCTCAAACCGCTGATAACTGCAGCAAGAACTCCATCCAGTAATGTGCCGTCTTCGAGAAGTAGGTCATTTCTTACGGCGACAAGGTACCGTAAACCGATCATGCCACCTTGACATAGAGCCCAGGGTGCGCTTAGAGGGTTGGTATCGAGGGGAAGGTTGTGGTTGATGATTAGGCGGTTGAGGACCTGGAATGTTGCAAGGACGTTGTCGCGAGACATGTATTGCAGTAACGAACCAAGGGCTTGTCCAGCGGTCTCGCGTATGGGCGCGATGGCATTATCGCCAGTAAAGTCTGCAAAGCGATCGAGCATGAAGATGCAGATCATACGACATGCTAGATCATTCAACCATCGCTGATTAAGCCGATCGTTCTCAGTCCGACTGAGGCCTTTCCGTCTGCCAGCACCACCGCCATGGATGCGAAGAATCTCTCGAAGACCCATGGCTGCACCATGACGTACCTCCCAAGTGTAGTCAAACAATTCGACAGCGAGATATGCGCATACACGCTCGAACGGCCACTCCAATCCAGACTCTTCAGCCTCGGTCTGAAAAGATGACTTCTCTGCTACTGGTGCACCCTTGAACTCTTTTACAAACTTCGCATCGTCGTCCCCACCGTTGCGTTCGAGCGAGAAATAGTCATTCATGGGCTCATCCTCGTCTCCGTTTTCTGACTTTTCAAATTTCAGAGCCACGGGATGTGGGCGTGCAGGAGTCTCGACAAGTTCTGCTTGCGAGTCTTTTCGTGAATTTGAGTTGAAGTCGACGACTTGGACTTTGTTGGCACCTCCAGCAGCCTGCCTCTTGTTCTTGCGCCTTAGAGCGTTTTGCTGACGTTTACTGAGTCCTTTGCCATCAGGCGTACCCGCAGTAGGGGATCCAGCAGTGTTGATGCTATCCGATCGCGAGATATTAGTGTCTATGCGATGCATGGCAGGCGTCTTGGGGGCGGGTGTTTGCGGCATCATCTCTTGAGGTGGTGTTAGGTCCTCAACCCATGCGCCTTCAAAGCCAAGACGCTTGAGAAGGGTGCTCTTCTGGTACTCCAATCGTTCAGCAGGATCCATGGCTGCGAGCTTGTAGTCATGCTCCTTTGTTCCGAGGGAGGCAAGGACTTTGCCGAACTTGAGGATGGAGGGCAAGTCAAGGGTAGCAAGATCCAGCCCGTCGGTAAGAGGTGGCAGAGTGCTGTCGCCATTCTCCTCTTTCTTGACGAGTGCACCGTTGCTGTCTTCAGGCTTGACATTCCCATTAGACTCTGACTGGTCTTCCGGTTTGACAGACTCATCGGGATCCTCGGCGTTGGGGTCAAACTTTTCGGCATTGGCGGCGATGCCTCCTATGGCCTTGGCAGCAGCAACTCGAGTTTCCCAGCTTTTTGATCGCAGATAGGGAATGACTCGAGTAAGAAGATTAAAAAGTTCATCGGGATGTTGTTTTTGGACGTCGGCTAGCTGGTCGGCTGCTGTGTTTCGGATTAATGCTGTGCTGCCAGTCTCGAGAAGCCTTGGCGTGGGTTAGCGGGAGCCAAAATGTGTAGAGTAAGCAAGGCTGTAGAAGCGAGGTAAACCTGTCGCAAAAGGCTGCAACTATAGTTTGATCGAGCTGCGAAGAGCATGCATCATGTTACGACCGGGTACACTTACGTTACGAGACGATCCAATCTGGTGGCACTATCAAAGCGTTAGCGCGTCATGCATGCATCGATGCGATATGCGACATACCTCATGTTTGCGCCGCAGTATTAACGATGGGGCTCGCAAATGGAGCGCAACCAGGAGAATTAGAAATTACTAAGCGCCCGCAGGCGTGGCCATTGAAGCACTGCGCACGGCAAATGATTTTGGGCTGTGTAGTCAGAGGTGTGTATGCGAGTCACGTGATGGAGTGGTAACTCGATGCGGTGCCGGGAGCGCGTTCGGAGAAGGTGGGCTGCGGGCCTATCTAAGAGAATGAACAGGTCATTAAGTAGGCTGGATCACCACCAGGAACGGGCTAGTAGCCTGGTCCGTGCGTCCCGTTTCAGGGAGCAGAGGGAAATTTTTGCAACATCAACGGCGCCGGCCAGAGTGATGCATGTGCAAACAGAATGCATGTCCTCGCTGTGAAGGTCATGTATCGATTATGAGACGTATTTTGATGATTATCGCGTGTGGTGCGATGAACTGTGCCGGTCGCGACTTCCTTTGACAGAGATGTGGTCTCTGCACGCTAGCCGGATCCATCACCGCCTCATATGTACGCACCAACGCGCCTGCTCAAAGACCAACTTCCAACATCTCCACTCCTCCACCTACTCGTAATCATATACGATGATCGCATTTGGCGTCGCGTCACTTTCGCGACAGTACTTTGCGCACGCTGTACGGGACACACAACGCCCGATCTTATCGTGACTCTACGCGTCTTGTTGTCACCAGGCTAGGCTACCATCATCATTTCTGACAGCAAGCCAGAGCTCTCCGCTGCCCTGGTGGCTTGCAAGGCTGCCCACCGGGTAAGCCCTTGACCACTTTTTGACCATCACAGCAGCCGCAAACAGTGCAGCCCTTTCCGCGTCGCTCTCTGCCCTGTTCGACGGGTTCGAGATATGATATCCGTCGCAAGGCGGATGTACCGGACTAGACCCAACCTCTCGCTTGGATTGATCTACATGAGGCGCTGGAGCTAGCGCATACTTGCATCGACATATCTTCTGGGGATATCATTCTTCTATTTGCCTTACTTTTTTCTATTGATTATTCTGTCTTCGGGCCCAAGCGCTCTCCCATGGAAATGCGACGTTTTCCCCGCATCACTTGCGTGTTCAACATGTAATTTCGATGTGGAGCCCAACGAACGCAGGCCAACGCTTTTTGTGCTACGCGAAATACCCTCGATGTCATTGGTACCGTGCCTGTGGCTGCAGACAGCGGTCCGCGACGCGTCCGTGCCTCACCACTATTTCTGTTCGTAAACAATGCGGGAAGCTCTAGCGCAACGCCTGGATCACATTCTCGAGGGAGAGTCAGGAACGTGTGGTACACTAGAATATTCATCATCGTGAGATTGTGTACCGTAGTATCACTTCACCAGTCCAGGCCGTCTTTGCTGCCTGCCAGCCATCGTGTTGGCGCGTGACATTACAACATCAACCTGAAGTCCTGGCCTTACCTCATCACCTCGTCATTAGGACATGCGATTGGCAGCTCATTCTTTTTCATAACCGTGCTCACTTCTTCTCACTCTGTAGTCGACAGAAGAGTACACAGTCACTCCGCATGAGGCCAGAGTGAACATATATCACAAGATCGCGAAAAAGAACATGTGAACCTTCTCTTCTTGTTTAGTGTCAAATACAGCTATTTCGATGTATTAGAAAAGAGGCACTGGGAAGTGTAGGAGATTGCTTAAATACCCCATACCCCTCCATGGTGGAAGCTGATAAACCTTTGATCTTGATCGGACGAAACTGTTGCATCCAATATACGAAGAAGCTCGTTTTTTCGGGGTTGTATCATCAACACGATAACGCAACCTAATGGTATACATTATTACCTGTATGTCATATCATCAGCGTAGATCACTGCATATACCTTTAGGGTACCAATACGCTTCTTTACAATCGTAGTATCATTCAATTACAATTCAAATATGACTCTCCTTTCGCTATCTTCCCATATCACGCACTTGCACGTCATCTAGTCCTCATGGCTGTTCAACTCCGCTACCCGTGCGATAGCGGCGTCAATGGCTCTATATTTTACGTTAGAGCATATCTTAGGTTAAGGATGAGGACTTACGCTGTGTCAGGCGAATTGGAGAGCAGTAGAATCTCCAAGTCGGCCGTTGCGGCAGCGATGCACGCTGCAAGGGAGCCCTGGGCAGGCCGACCGTCTCCATCTGCTTGTCCCTCATTGTTCTCCAGCATTGGACCAACATTACCCTCTGCGTCTTCTCCATGTCCATCCTGTTCGGCGACAGCGAGATTGTTTGCAAATTGTGCACGGTTACTAGCAGTACTCATTGCATTTAGGTGAGCTAGGAGTTCCTGAGTTGTGGCGTCCGTCGGCGCGAAAGCGTTGCGCCTCGGTCCACGAGCTCCATTCGATTCATACTGAGTAGTGACTTCATGGACGATGGCATTGTTCTTAAAGTTCTGCTTCCAGTACAGCAGATCAGGTCCCGGACCCTTGACATCAGTATTCTGATTAGCGATATACAGGCTCATGAAGCCGTCGCGGAAAGCCGCGTACGTATCGAAGCCTTGATAACGCATATAATAGCATAGACGCAGCGCATCCTTGGTCTGTGGCCGCTTGTTTTCCGCGGTGTCTTCTGTCCAGCGGAAAGCTTGTCGGGGAGTGAGCGTATCGGATGCGTGGATCCCTAGGTAGTGCAAAAGCTGACATTGTACCCTAACATACGGCAGGGTTCTTACGGTGCCCTTGGCCTCATCTGCTTCGTTGTAGGTGGTCTTGGGGAGCATGGAAACGAGCGTTGTGACGGGTTTCCTCGGCCCTCGCTGCCCTGGTGTGAGGGCTGCGGCAGTATTGTCGCCGAATGTGGGAGGTGTAGTCATGACTCTAACGGGTGGCACACGTGCTTGACGATTGTAGCTTGAGGTCGTTCCGAGCTCCTCCAATTGTGCAAGAGATCTCTCAGCTTCGGCTTGTAAACGAAAGTTTTGTCTATCAAGAGCTGGGTCGCCCGTGGGAGAAGGTTCATGATAGCGGCGGAGAAACTGTCGAAGGCATCGAATGCTCTCGTTGAGTGGAGTATGGGCGCTGTTGGTGTCGGACATTTGGAGTGATAGTAGGTATGTTTATCTTATTGGGTTGTTTAGCCAAGAAAACGATGGACCGTGCTGGTAGCAGAGGAAATACGAGCAGGCGAGGTGTAAGAGATTGAATGAGCAATTGGGAGTGAGAAGTGAGAGGAGGGAATAAGGAGCGCCAAGAACTAACTTGTGGCTGGTGGCAGGTACGAAGAAGCGCTGCTTCGTAGGAACGGTGAAAAGCAGGCAGTGAGTGAGGAAAGTGCAGAGGAGAGCAGAACCTGCATGAAACTACATGAACAAGATGAACGAGGCAGATTAGAAGAAACTCAGACACACTCAAGAGAGACCGGATGAACCTAAAGAAATGAAGGCTGTTCATCGCGAGAAAGGCACAGAGGCACACGATACAGACTGAAGGGGGTCGATACGGCATTAAGACGATAGCTGAAATCAAACTTATCCGTACGATGAGGATTGAAATTCTTGTAAAACTTCCCACACTATGGTCAGCATCTTATCCATAATGTTTCCATATAGTACACACAGAATACTACGAGCGTATACCTCTGGGGTACCTTTCCTAGAGCAAGGGTAAAACTCAGAAAAAAACGTGTTCCTTCGTAAGTAGAAGCACTACATCGCCTCGTCCTGCTGTTGTCTAGTTCTGGCATGAGCAGATAGATCCGCATCAGACAAATCGACAGTAGACAGCCAGATCCTCAAGAATCGGGAGAAGTGAACGAGGAAGAAAATGCGAGTATCAATTCGAAGGAATACGGGGAAATGGTGGCCTAAAGGGTAGAACATGCTGTCCAAGTGTACTAAACAACCTAGAAATGTTAGAATTCACATCAACCTTCGAAAGAAATTGGACGTGTACCATGATATCTCAAACGGGTGTTCGTAGCTGTGGCTGCGAAGTACCACGCTGGGCTATCGCGATTCGTCCGTGGCCACTCATCGCAGCAGCTAGACGATACAACTGCGGTACTGTTCAGCTCACTTCTGTTGATTATTCGCTATAGGCTGTGTAGTAATCTACGCCGTGCTCAACATGCGCACAGTGCTATCATGGCATGTATGTGTTAGTCGTGATATCCAGCTGCGGCCAGCTGCTAGCGTCGCTGAGTATGACCAGTCATCGCACTTCGCAAAACCAGCCTACACAATCTCAGGCCCTACTCACCAATCATGCCGAGCGCACCAGACATCCAGAGTCCAGGCGCCCTTGGCCCTGCGTCGATACTTGAATGGCGGATGCCCAGTCAAGAGATATGTCCGATGTGCAGGTTTCCACGCGGGACGATCACTCGGTCTCGATTCTGTGGTTCAGATGACGTATAGCGCAACACCATCTTGCGCAACAACCCTGTCTACATGCCACCACAGCGGGCCACAAACTTGTAACAAGCACCGTGCAAGTGATCGAAGATGAGATCACCGCTGGCGCAGATGGCGTACACGCGGGATGTGCAGGTGGAGTATATATGTTGGCTGCCTGATCTGGGTGTTGACTTGCATATGCAAATACCCACAACCTGAACATACCCTACGGACATATTACATTGCTATCCATACTTTGAATAGAACCCACACAGAGTACTATCGCCCAAGATGACAGACCAAAACAAGGGATCGCAAAAAACCTACAAGCAAGCCGCAGGAGAGTACTACAACCAGAAATACGAGACATGGATGCCATGGATCGAGGACCAGTACCTGAAGTGGTTTACCAAGGATAACAAGGCTTCTTATGCTACCAAACGTATGTGTCCTATACGCTGCCCGATCATGTCAAATCGCGTGTTACTAACATTCCACCTCATAGAAAACCTCGACAAAACCAAAGTCACAGGCGTATCCCAAGTCGACAACCTCCAAGACGGCGTAAATGGCCTCGTCGGCGGCCAAATTGGCAAAGGAGGAATCGCGCAACCCCTCGGCGATGCTGTCTCCAAAGAGGGTATCAACCGTGCTGAGCGGGGCGGTAAAGATGACAAGGGCAAGCCTATCGAGGGACAAGGCCCACTAGGAGGCTATGGCCAGAGTGCTGCCGATGGAGTGAAGGGAGGCGCAAGCAGTGTTGCGGGAGGGGCTAAGAGTGCTGGAGGGTACATTGGAGGTATGTTTGGTGGCGGTAAGGGAGAGCAGAAGAAGTAGGAGGGAGCAGACGGACGATGATATGATACCATGATCCATAGGATCGTTACTTTGGACGGATTAGACTGAACGGTTTTGGCTGGGCTCATAATTATGGGTTTAGTCCTCGGCATTTATAGTAATACACGTATACCCTCCAATTGTCGTTGCGTTGCGTCGCTTATGGATTCGAAAAAAAATAATCTCCTTCAGATCGTTAGAATGTCAACATGGAGGGTCTCTCCACTACGACGCAACATGCGCATCTACATCCACCACAGTCCCCTCTCCCTCTTCCACTCCAAACAACTTCAGACAGTTCCCTCTCTTGAACATCCTCGCACAATCCACCGCATTCGGCTGGCCCTTCTGTACATCCGCGCCCCCTTCATACAACACCCTAACAACATCATCATAGCCTTTGAACACCGCCCCCGCAATAGGACTCTGGCCCCTCCCATTCAGCACATTTGCATCCGCGCCGCTATCCAAGAGCATCTTCGCAGTCTCGGCATTTCCGTGATAGGAGGCTAACATGAGGAGTGTGTCGCCGGATGCGTTGGTAAGGTTGTTGGGGATGCCGGCGCTGACGTATTGGGAGAGGGTGGATGTGTCCCCGCTGCGTGCGAGGTCGAAGAGGCGCGCTGCTAACTCGAGGGCGGCAGGTGGGAGTTCAGAAGGAGATCTGGAGTCGGGTGGTGCTTGAACGGCGCCGTCGGCGTCGGTTGCGCCTGTGCCTGCTGCTTGGGCGGCTTGCTGGCCGTATGATTCTTCATAGGATGGCATCTTCTCTTCTCTCTGGAATGGGTGCCGGTATACGACGTAAAGTCAAGTTGGAGAAGGCGATGGTGTAAATTGGGACTAATGGCAGATCGCCTGCTGATATGTCGTTTTACATGGTGAAAGTCTAGAGCGCAGCCCAGTAAGAGTAAAGGCGCAGTTAACCATTTCTTGAGCGTCGATGACGAAATCAATCCCGGTCGCGCTTTCCGAGCGGGAAACGCGCTAGTGGTCGTTGCATCGTTTGCTTGGCGACGATCGCGACTTCCCCAGTGCCGCTCCATTGTCACAACTATACCAAAGTCGACAGTTTTCACCACAACTCACATTACTGTGACGCCACAAAATAGAGCACGATAGCCGTGCCAGAGCTGCGATCATGGCATCACCACCACACATCCCACAGCTCAACGTTCCCGGCAGTCGCAAGCGCGGCAGCATATCCTCACACTCTGGCGCGCCCACGAAAAAGCGCAAACCCTCTAATCTACGCAACGCCTTCTCACCAGATGCCGAATCAGTCGGTGGCTCGCCGCGCCAATACTCGCGTTCACCGTCCGTGGAAAGCAACATCACCACATCAGTCGTCAATGGCGCAGGAGGGAAGAAACGCCGGAAGAAGGGTGGAGACGGAGGCAGTGTCGCCGGTTCGAGTATAAGAGGAGGCAAAGGTGGCGACGGAAGAAGTGCAATCGGAGGAGAAGACGAAGATGGCGACGGAGGAGAAGAAGTAGAAGACGACGATGATGACGAGATGGGCGAGGAGATGGGTATGGAAATCGAAGGCGGCATGAGTGTTGAAGCACGAAGGAAGCAAGAGAAGGAATACGAACGGTATGTTCCACCACCAACCCTCTGCTATTCAAAACCAGTTTACTAATTGCAAATCCCGACGAGTAGTATGCTAGAAGACTTCATGACCCCCGCCCAAATGGACCGCTACGCAACCTACCGCCGTATTCGCCTCAAACGCGAAACCGTCCGTAAACTCGTCAACCAAACCCTCTCTCAATCCGTGCCCCAACCCATCATCATCGCCGTAACGTCCTACTCGAAAACTTTCATCGGCGAATTGATCGACCGCGCCCTCACCGTGCGCGACGAATGGTCCGCCGTCCGCACTCACCTGCCCAACCCAAACCTACCTGGGCCCATCCTAAGTCAGAGCTTAGTCCGACCAAGTGCGCATATCAAGGACGACAGGAATCGTCCCACCAACTCAGACATTACGAGCGCTGGATGGTATCCTGGACAGGTTGATCGGACGGAGAGTCTATGGAAGGAGGTAGAGAAGGATGCTAGTTTGCAGGATAGGTTGAAGGCATGTGATAAGGGGCCGCTTACACCAGCGCATCTGAGAGAGGCATTGAGGCGGTATAAGAGGGATCGTGATGGTGGAGGTGCTGGGTTTGCGGGTATGAGTTTAGAAGGGGTGGAGAGGACTATGGGGAGGACGGGTGGGAGGAGGCTGTTCAAGTGAGGGTACATTTCTTCATCTCTTCCATCTCTTCACAGCTGCTGGGACTTACTTGGGTGCCATGGCGATGAGGACTATTCAGCATAGCGACGGCGTTTGGGTATGTGCATTACTAGCATAAGATTACATCTTCGTGAGGTGCTAAACAAAACCTCATTTCAGGATTAACGATAATGCAATATCATTGCTACCACAAGCCTCTGCTTAAATACTGTGGAGAGTAATATCAACGCAACGGAGAGGGACAAACACCATAGTTTTTTGCAGGGTCTTTGCGATATCAAGTAGTCATGAATATGAGTGGAAGTGAAACCTTCTCAAGAGGCATTTTGTGAAGAGCTACATTTATCATAGCTATTCATCATTCCAGTCCATCCCAACCGAAGAGAGAACACCTTAGGAAATCATAACGCTAATCAACAACCATCTAGTTCTCGTGGAGGAGGTCGAGGAAGGTGTCTGCAGCAGGCTCGGGCTTGCTGGCCTCGAGCTTCTTCTGGCCCAACTTCTCCTTGGAGAAGGTAGCAGCGTATGGGTTGAGGCGGAGCTGCACCTGGAAGTTCTTGAGCGGGTTCTTCTTTTGTACGACACCACGCTTGGAGACGGCTCCACCACGGACGGGGCGGAGGACCTTCTGGACGTCGCTGGAGTTGATGATCTTGCTGAGGTCGGGCTGGCTCATCATGTTTGATGGGAGGAGGTAGTCCTTCTTGAGCGCTGAGGGCTCAACAGTGGATCCGTAGACCTTGTCGAGAGCGCTGAAAGCAGATGAGGTCCAGACGATGAAGCGGCCGAGATGACCACCGGGGGCGAGCTGGAGAAGGTTCAGGGAGTAGACGGATGAAGTCTCGACACCTGGGATGTTGCGGAAAGCAAGGACGAGCTCCTTGCCATCCTCCTCGGGGTTGTAGATGACGAGGGGTCCACGGCGCTGAGTGTGGCGGCGGCCACGGAGCTTACCCTTACCAGCGCGGAGCTTGCGCGAGTTGCGGGCCTTCTCGACATCAGCACCAGCACCGATAGCCTTGAGCAGAGCAACGGCAGCGGAGGTCTTCTTGATGGCGGCATCAGCGAAAGCAGTCGATGAGATAACGAGGGGAACCTCAGGGACAGTGCTGATGGCGTGACCGCGGGCAAGGAGAAGAGCAGGGCTTCCTGAAGCAGCGAGCGCAGAGGCGGTAGCGAAACGCTTCTGGTTCAGGTTGATCTTCTGGTGCCACTTGCGCCAGACCTTGGTGGGAGCGAACATGCGACCGGATCGGCACATGTTACCGAAGGCAGCCTGACCAGCACGGTGAGTACCTCCACCAGAGACACGGGGGATACGGGCGACAGCGCGACCAGTACCCCAGGACTCGGCAGAAGTTTGGTGACCAGCCTTCTCGGAGCTACTTGTTGTTAGACTGAGTAGTTGTGCAGCGCGCGAGGTAGGCTTACACAGCGTATGGCTGACGGCGGTTCTTGTTCATGCCAGTGTGCACCGCGTGGACGATGTCAGGGCGGATGGGTGCCTGGACGGATTGTTAACATTGCTCAGAGAAGTCCTTGTAGTATGAGGCATGTGCTCCGGAGGTACAGCAGAGCTGTCGAAACACGTTGTGTGTCTTCGGGAGACTGAGAGGAGCCGGCAATGCAGAAAGTGCGAGTTTTCGCAACAATCTCATGCCCGCACGTCATGGGAAGAAATCCGCAGTATTCCAGCACAATGCGAGCACTACCCGCTGCCTTCCACGTCCTCGCTCTTTTAGGTGTCTTCCCATGTATGCGTTGCTCCAGCTGCCATTGTAGCCTCTCTCAGTCTCCCCCTCCGATTGTGGTTTGCGTGTCGTATCGCGAAGTTCGAATTGCGGCGGAACTGACCTTGAAGACATTGGGCACGGGGACGGTGTCCTTGGTGGCCTCGCCCTTGGCGGAGACGACGGTGACGGTTGGCCTCGACATGGTGGCTGTTGTGTATTGACCTGGTGGTTAGTTGTCGCGAAAGAAGATTCGAATCGTCAATGTTCTCGCTGAATTTCGACTCTCGCTTACCACTGGTGGTGTGGCGCTAGCCGTTTTGGGCTTGGCGTCATTCGTCGCTGAGCGCCAGCATCTGCAGCAACCGCTACGAACCTTGAAAATAACTTGTAGTTCGAAGTTACATATTTGGAGATGTTCTTCTACCTGTCTAGCTCTAGAGTGGTATGTTGGACAAAAAAAAACACCAACGATTGCGAACATGTCAAGGATTCATCACTAGTCTCAAGACTGAGTTCTTCGTAGAGCAGGCAAGACAAGTCGACGGATTATTGTTAACATAAAAACGGTCGCCACGAGAGACGAATCCTTACTAGACTGCACATGAAGAGTTTTGAATACGCGTACGTAGGAGCTGCAGATATTGTAATGTATAGTTCCTTCAACGTGACACACAGTTCGTGGCTGAGATACATCTCTAGTACCACCACTAATAAGTACCGGCTCTGGCGTCAAAACTCGTGATTTTGGTTGAGGTTTACGGTTCATAGCGTATCAGATCACTGTGACCATTCACATCTCATGACCTGTCTAGTATGTCTTTGGTAGTAATTTGGCATTAGCCGAAGGGTGCATGGCATAGATGTGAGTTTTACCGGTAGTCAATAACGACGACGCTATCTTCATCTCTGTCATTGTTCATGGCATGTTGTATAGTTAAAACCAGACACAGGACTAATTGAGCACTCTATGCGCGTAGTTGTACATGGTGACGTGCTGCATTTCAAGTATTAGTGTCAACATAGGGGCGCATTAAAGTAATTTGGCTATGTTGAGAATTCAAGTTCAAGTCGACCAAAATTCATACAGAGCACGTCCCTGCGTGTTGGTCAAAGTCGTCGCAGAGTATTAGGTTTCTCGGTCCGCGAGCACGATCGCAAACATCTGAACCTTACAGAGGCCCGTGATATATCACCCCTTATGTCGAAAAGTATACTCCTTGGTCCAAGTCGCTCTGATAGCGGGCGAATCGGCATATTTTACCACAGCTTCTATGATAGTGTGGTTGATTGTAAGGGCAAGGTAGATGGCATGTGTACTCGGACCGTCTTGGGGGCCCTAGGTTGGGAGGCCAGAACACTCACCGAGGTCGACTCAGTCGAGTGTACCATCTAGGTGGTAGCGAAGATTTGAGCTCTGATCTCTCCACGTTGCAAGTTGACAAGTATGGAAACTACCAATGAGTCGCTCATTCAACCCTATCGATCTTAAGAGCACGTGCCCATCAAGGTGAGGCGGACTGTACTGAGTCGTTGGATCTTCGCATGGATGCCTGTTTCGGTGCCGCGTTGCTTTTTTGGACGGATTCTGCCGGTGTTAAAGATGCTGAAACGTATTCGGTGTGGGCTGGCCGAATTGGGGTTTTGCGTGACAGAAGAACAAATTATCAACATTCAGGGCACAGGTAGCGGCAGAGGTGGAAATAAGTTTCGGCAGGTACAGCATATTTTGCGGCTCTGCCTCGTTATCATGCGGGAGAAGGTTCCACATATGTTGTGGTTGGGTTTAGGATTGCGAAACTGACGGCAGAGAGATGAAACGCATGGTAGTACTCACATGATGAAGACGCGGAATGCTCACCCCGCCAACGCCAACAGGTGGGTCGACATTTTTCCACGGTGCGTTTCACGTCAGAGATATTTAGTCCGACTGTTTTGCATGCCTCAGAAGGCTGCAATGAAGGCAGTCGTAGTCGAAGATGCAGTGCGTGTCGAAACGATGGCTGTGGCATGCGAAGCGAGGCAAGGGTGTCCCAGCAGTGGGATAATAGCAATAATGACGACGCTGTCGGGTTGCTGCGATGAACGCGGACGACGAGTAATTCATCTCGTGTGCGTCCAGGCCGGAGACGGGACGGATTACATAGCTAGGTACTGTCTGGGGTGGCTGCAATATGAGCGGACCCCTACCTCTTTCCGAGGTCCTCTCGTCTGGGCCTTCCCGTCTACAGGCTGCGGCCTTCCAGGGGGGGCTACTCTAGGCTCAAAAGGTCCGGGGAACAAAGGCAGTCTGGTGAAGTCATGCGCGGTGAGGAGGCAACGAGGGGGAAGACATTTGTTTGCTAGGCCATGGCGAACAACGACTACATGTTGGCTGCAAACTGTGGATCGGCAGCGGTACGGTAGACAAGTTGTAAGGCGGCGTGCTTGAGTGGACTGGCGTGTTTGTGTAGTGTGGTCCCAAGGCTCTCATGGCCCTGGCGTGTTAGTGTGCTAGTGGTCGCAGCTGCCTCGTAGCGCACCGGCGGCGGTTGCTATTCCTGGAACGTCGGCGCTTCCACAGAGCCACCACTAGCGTTGCCTCGCAGTTCGTCTCCCCCATCCATCGACAAGACGCATTCACGCCGCCTCAATCACGACACACAGCGTGCTCGCCTACCCACCATCCCTCCCCCCAACACCCAGGCGGCAGCGGCTCTGCGATCGACCGGCTTCCCTCGTCCGCTCTAAGCTGGTCACCACTCTGCCACCACAGCAACCCCAAGTCCAGAGTGTGTCGCAATACACGACAATTGTGAGCGCGGCAACCACGTCGAGAGCGCCTTCCTCACCACCGCCCTCACCTCACCACCCGCACCCGCAGCGTCGCTTCGACTTGACCTTTCTACCCACTACGCCGCATCATCCCAGGCATAGGCGCATCGCCGGCCTAGTCGCTCCTTCCCCAGGCGCTTAGTAGAGAATCTGGTATTCTCGCTCCAATTCACCACACCAGCGTCCCTCTCCACTGCTGTTGGCAACCAGGTAAGCTGCATGTCCTTTTCGCGTCCCACTTGCACCCTTCTGTGCCTCGTTGTCTGTCCGAGCGAGCATGACTGTGCCGAAGGCAGTGTACGGGCAATCGTTGTCTGCCATCCACTGCTTGCTTGACCATGTACACTCTTCCACCCATCTTCGAGCCTGTAAACGGCTTCTCCAAGACCTGTCTTCAGGCTCCCCATCCCACTCCCCCGTCTCCACGCCCACGTTTCGAAACACATGCGCCTGCCATGTCTGCCTCGCCTACAATATCCCATGACGCTGACAGTCCGACTCTCAAAAGGGCTTTCTCTACACCTAATTCTTCTTTCCCTTCCAAGGAACTGGAGCAGTCATTCACGCACTGCACCAATCTACCCACTACTCAGCCACGAGCTCCCCGTTGGCCCAGTAGCTCCGGCATTCACTGCCCACGCTTGGCAGCACACTCTACGACTCGGAGACCCAGCATGGTTCAGACAAGCGCGCGATCATTCATGCCAATGCCCTCGTTCGGCGCTGTATTTGGAGGAGATCACCATAACAAGGGTCAAAATGGCGGGAACGTAGTACGCCCTGCTACGAGCCCCAACACCAACACGGGCGCACCATTCTCCTCCTTCCACATTCACAGCGACAGTCGCGACAGTACATCGACAGGCTCCTCCGACAACTCTCCGACCACAACCATCTCGACCATGGACTCGTCGTCTGTAACAGATCCCTCGCCGGGCGTGTCACCTGAATCACCTCTCGCAAAAACAATTGCGTCTTCATCCTTCGTCGCCGACTTCAGGTCGAGGAGGACAGAAGCAGCTGTTGGAGATCCGTCCGCCAGCACTTTCTTCGAGCTACAGCGTCCGACAACACCCGCGAAGAAGCCCCGGAATCTCAAGAACCTCGGAATCAACACAGCGTCTTCACTAAGCAACTTGCGTGCACAGGCACCAGCTCCTATAGCAGTAGCACCCAAGGAGAGGAATAGCTCGGCACCACCATCACCGTTGTTTATCAAACCGCCAACACCGCCGAGGCGTCGACCATCGAACTTGAGTCTAACGATCTCGACCCCTGGCAGCAACGAGAGTAAGCCTGTACGGCTGCTAATACCCTCGACACCGTCCTTTAACCGCCCGCCCCTTCGCCACTTCCAGTCATCGCCATCTTTACCACTATGTTCACCGAGTACGAATCCAATGGGTGGCATGCAGCTGCCTCCACTACGTCCTGTTGCACCAAAGCCAAGTGGTCTTAGCGAGGTACCCTTTGAGATGGAAGAGGAGGAAGACCAAGAACCGAACTTTGACGTCCCACAATCGCGAGAGGAGAAGCCGGCAGCGTACCCCAACGGACCAATTTGTATATACGAGTCTGGCGTATATCTTTACTTTGAGCCCACCGCTGTCCAAGCCACAACTTTCGACGTCATCATCAACGTCGCGAGCGAAGTAAAGAACCCGTTCACCACTCCGACGGTGGAGTCACAAAAGGACATCGATGCCAGGCGCATAGATGGACCACCAGCAGAGAACGTTGATTTTGCTACCCTTGCACAGCGGCCAAAGCAGTCGTTTGGCATGGAAGACAACTCACCAACCACACCCAAGGCCACGGCACCAGTCATGCAGACCATACAACCACGTGAAGTTGTGATCGACGGCAGAACATACAAGACTCCAGAGTATATTCACATGCCTTGGGAGCACAATACAGATATTGTCCCTGACCTTCACAAGCTAGTCAAGATGATAGATGAGAGGGTACAACGGGGAAAGCGGGTACTTATCCATTGCCAATGTGGTGTCAGTCGCTCTGCCAGTTTGATCGTTGCGTATGGCCTATACAAAGATCCGCAGATGAGCGTGCAAGAAGCATACGACAAGGCGAAGAAGCGAAGCAAGTGGATTGGGCCGAACATGAACCTCATTATGCAACTGCAAGAGTTCCGTAACAGCCTGTTAAGACAGAATGAAAGCCGCTCATATCACAACCAAGGATATGGACGGCGATCTGCCGGTCTTCCTACAGCTCGCTCCACCGGGAACAACAAGTACTCCTCCTACGACAGGGACTCTGATTCGGGTTCGCGCACTCCGCGAACGGCACCACTTCCACCAGACAGTGATATTAGCATGCAGCGGGCCAGCACAGGCAACATGATGGCTATATCTCCAGGTCCCCTATCGGCGCCCACTGGGGCTTTCTCACCTGGGTTCCGTCGGTCCTGGGACTCTAGTCCAGCGCATTTCGAGCTCCCATCGCAGCCTGCTCCAACGACGACACCCTATGTCGATCCAAAGGGTCACGTTGTGCCTGTGGTCTCTGTAACTAACGACAACCTGCCGACTATCCAGACCGAAGATGTCTCTGACAACGAAGAGTTTTCAGAACCTACTTTCAAGCTTTCCTCTGTTCCCAACTTTTCACGTCAACTTCCGTTGCGGTTAAGCCAGGACAACGATGAGAGCACATCATTCGGAACAGAGAGGCATCTAGCGCCTTTGCGACCATCAGGGTTCGAGTTCGAGCCACTTAGGTCCCCTGCTGTGGCGAGCTTCAACATACCCTCTTTCACTCCTTACGAGACATCCGACCCCGAGGTCATGTCGCCGATCAAAACCTCCTTCGACAACCCATGGCCGACAGGCTATGATCTGGATAGCCAGACTCAAGCGCCTGCACGTGAAGAACTCGACAGGGACAACAACGAGCGATCTTTCGCTCCTTTGTCGCCCTGCGCTACCTCCTTCGAGCTGGGGCAATCTGCACCACTACAGGCTTCACACAGCGATGACCGTGTTGGTGCGCCTGAGATCACTTCCCCAATTGCTACCCTGTTCCCCAAGGACATTTTTGGTAGCACGGATGCAAGCTTGGAAGATCAACTGAAATCACCACGTGCCACTGAATTCCACATGACTCCATTAAAGCCGAGGATAGCAGACGAGGATCCATTTGGCTTGACATCACCAACAAGAGCAGATTTCAATCCGTTTGACAGACCCAGCATAGCGGCTATCAAGGATTCTGAGGTTGAGGATCGACGCCCATCCTTCCAGGCCATCCTTCCGCCTGCACATCAGACTTTCAACGGCTTTGCATCACTCGACGGTACAGCGCAAACGAATCCAATCTTCCAGTCCACTAGTCTGCTGTCCATGCCCACGCCAAAACTTAGCCAAGCAGCCGGACCACGCATCGACAGTCTTAGCAATTCTCCCGAAAAACAAGCCTCGGCCTCTATCGACTCGGCTACACCTGTTCCTGTAGCATCCCCCAAGGCACCGGATACTCCCCGATCTCCTAGCGAAACCTTCCTCTCAACTCCCGCAAAGGCCATTCGGACTAGGTTTTCATCACCTAACATGCACGAACAACGGAAGTTGCACAAGCTGCAGACAGAGATCCAGTCAAAGCTACCGAAACCATTTGTTCCTCAACATGCTGCGGACGACATCGACGCAATTATGTCACCGCGTGCAGAAGAGTTTACAAGAAATCCATTCCACTATGACATCCAATCCTCTGGCGATGACGCGAGTCCGGTGTCTTCCAACGAGACGATCAAGGACGGACGCAACGGCCATGTCGCGTGGGAGGAACCACTACCCCGGCAATGGACACCAGAGAAGGCCGCTGTTGATCCTCGGAGTCCTGTCCAAACTGGCAGCAACCCCATCGTTCGTAACATTTGGGACGTACTGTGAGCGACCGCGCAGAAACCCCGAATTTTAAACTCAAAACATACGCAGTGGACGTGTTCGATCTAGTAGTCTCCGGAGAATATGCCGCGCGCAGAAGACTTGGTAGCTTCGGCCGCCTTGTCGGAAATTACGCAACCTCTCTCCGAAGGATCGTCCTCTGCCAACAAGAGCTCGCGACGCCACCAACACTGAGCGTTCGGCCTCCTAATGGTTGCATGTCGCATTGGCCCGCGTTGCAGTGAACACTGAACGCGAAACATCATTACTACCGTCGGCTCAGTTGAGGCTTTCGAGCTGATCGAAAGTACTAGCTTGTTTCCTTTTCCTGTCAGCATTTCCTATGTGTTCAACATTTCCTTTCTTGCAAGTCCGTATTTGCCCACGGCTCTCATTTTTGCATTTGGAGGCTAATGCGCGTTGAGTTACGCAGAGTAATGTTCTAGTTTCTAGTGCCTAGTACCGCCATCCCTCCACATACTTACACTCCTTACGCTACTACTACATCTTTTCCCTCCGAAAAATCACCATTAGTACACTCGCTGCACCTTTGTATATCTATCTCATCTCCTTACTTTTACAACCTCAGTATCGATGTTACGAGCCATGCAAAGCGCTGTCCTCTGGCAGAAAGCACCCACATTGCGTCTTGGGTTGCGTCCTTGGGGGGTTTTTTTTTCTTGTGTGTATCTGTTTCGCTTGGCGATTTCAGCCAGCGGAAGGCGTTATTTGGAGAGAGATTGGCGGGAGACGTTGGATTGAAACCAAGGTTCGACTTTGGGGATATATTCAAGTGGTCGAAATGTCCTTGGGGGTTTCCTTTTTTTTTTTTTTCTCTCTGTGAATCATCTAAGGGTTATAGGTGGGTGGAAAAGGCTATGTAAATGAATGGAACACATATATTCAACATACTAGAATTCGTCACTCGCTTTGTCAGAAACGTGAGCTTTCTTCGAGACTGGGTAATTCTCCTTAAGCGCGCATACTCTTGCCGCCGGATAGGCTATATGACAGCATCAGCAGTTTCGTATAATCTGACCATGTTAGCATCCACTAAATCCGGCTAAGCAAAGGCTTGGTACAACACAAGGTAGACTGCAAGGCAAATCTAACCGAGCACAGCTAAGGTAACCTGCTCGTCTTATATACATAGTACACTAAACGCTTACATACAGCTTACCTGCATCGGTGTACACACCTTTGCGGCATATAGATCACCTTCTCCTAACAAGATTGGGGTGCAAGATCGTCGTCATTGGGTGAAAGAACTGTTACACGATTTTACACAAGGCGTGATGCGTGTCACTTGTGAACAGGTGGGGTGGAGAGGGTACGGTGTGAGATCTGGGGTGTAGGGGGTTAACACGGAGAGTTTTGAATAATGTTTGACTTGACTGTGGTCAGAGTCAAGATTGAGCTGCAGAAATATGCTATTGAAGTCATGTGTTTGGATTTCTCTCGATCAGATGTTACTACTTTAATCTATATACTATATGTGTCTCCTCTCCGTGTAGATGTGCCAGAATTCGTGGTATCGTGATTAAGTGAACGTATACGTGCCGCGATGCCAAAAAAAAAAGCGAACGTGAAAGCCACCCAGTGGCCCAGTTCATGCAATGATGATAAACATCAAGACATGAAACTCTGCCAGCACACACCTAGAGCAAAAATACAGAGAAAGCGAATGGAAGAAATCGAAATGCTTGCAAGCATTTCGATTTATATGCAATGTACAGAGATAATAGAATGTTTCGGAAGGGAAACGAACAATAGTATGGAGAGTTCCTCTAACGCCAACGCAGCACTTGCGTGTAGTGGTCGTAGAGTGAGTAATACCATAACCGAAACCAAAAGAGATAAGAAGAAACCGTGAAACGCCAGGTAAATATCAGAATGTGATCCCGGTGTTTATCCGATAGCCGGGAGTTTGGGTATCCTATGGCAATGAGATGCCTTTGTGTTTGTGTGTGTATATGTCGGCTTCCTTGTTCAACGTGGCAGACTATTAGTAAACATATGTAGCAGTTCTACCAAGCGTAGGTTTGCTGGCATAGCCCCTATCAGGTTCGCCAGATCTTGGTGCCCACCTAACATCCTCAGGACCATATCTGCGGGCATACTGCACTTCGTTGGGATCGATGCTGGTCTGGCGCACCCTGTGTCGGGATTCGCCGCTGACTTCGCCGTAGAGTTTGGGCCGTCCTGAGCGTCCGCGGTCTTCACGGACTGGCGAGATGTTGCGACTGGTATCAGTGCGACTAGATTCGGTGCGGCCTGGCATCGACGGCCGCTGGACGGTTTTGTATGCGACGGGTTCTGCTGGACGATTTTGACCAATCGGGGGCTTGCCAAGCGGCGATTTCGAGCGGTGTTGGCGTCCTGTGGGCTCACGAACAACGTGTCGAGGAGTAGGAGATGGTGCTTCTGCGGATACGCCGCCTCCAGCGACAGGGTAGTAGTATGTCTTGACGGTTGACGAGGGTGGGACGGTGGGGAAAGCATCCCTCTCAGGACTCGCGTACTTGTCCGGACTGGTGTATTTCTCGGGGCTGCTGTATTGTTCAGGCGTCATAGTCTCGCGAAGACTAGAGGGTCCGCGGGGAACGGCGGCTTCCTTTCTGCGCGAGGACGAGGAGACGTGGGGAACATTAGGCATTGTAGATGATCGGCTTAGCGACGGTGGCGTGTTCTCGGCATGTCGCGTTGACCTGTCGGTGTATGAGCGCTGAGGCATTCCACGTGCGAGCTCAGCAGGGGACGATGTCGTTTGCTTGAAGCTGGGTACTCGTCTTTCCTCGTATCTGTCATCGGCCCACTCGACAACCTCTGGGAGGCCACGATCAGTGCGATCGGTATCGCGACGTGATAGGCTCGGTCTCTCCTTGCTTGGCCGGGCAGATGACCTGCGGACAGGCTCAGGTCGAGCACTATCGCGTCGTTGAAGGCGGGGTTCAGGGTTGTAGTAGTCACGCGAAGACGTCCTGACTGGCGAGGGACGAGAAGACATCTCCTCTTCGACCTGTGCGCGTGACTTGTGTTGGTAGCGAAGCGCCTCCTGTTCCTGGACGCTCATCTTGCGCTGGGTAGGGACAGCTGGAGTGGCGCCGGCGTATCGGTTGTCTTCATAGGTTCGGCGTTCTTCTGCCCTGCGCCGAGCCTCCTCCTCAGTGCGGCTCTTGTAGGCTGCCTCGTAGCGCGCCTTCTCATCCGACGATGACTCACTATCGACAGAGGTGAACTTGCGGTCGCTTCGGGCTTCCTTAGCACGCGTTTTCTCGCGATCTGACCGCGATCTATCTTCCTTGGCGTGTCGAGAGCTTTTGGATGACTCCTTCTCGCGAGTGGATCTCGGAGCTGCAGTGGTCTTGGACGGGGTGCTGTGGTAGCGTGCATAATAGCGGTCGTCGTCTTCGCGTGATGCGGTTGGTACTCGGTGTTCGGTGGTGTAGCGCGTAGGTCCGTTGGCGGCGAAGGACGCACCGCCTGATGTGGGGACATCGAAGCGTGCAGTCCTGTCGCGTGGCGCAGATGCTCTTGCTGTCGCCCTCTCCTTGCGCAGCTTCTCGAGCGTGACGAGTGCGTCGTACTTGCCTCTCTTCTCGTCGTCGATGAGGCACTCGTAGGCCTGCTGGATCTGGTGGAACTCCTCCTGCTTCTGCTCCTTCAGGGCAGGATCTGTGACCTTGTCGGGATGGCACTTGAGGACGAGTTTGCGGTAAGTGGCCTTGATGGTCGAGGCGTCGGCAGTCTTGTCGACGCCGAGGGCCTTGTAGTGATCGGGCGTGGGCTCGTCCATGGCGGTGTGGGGAGGGGATTGCTGCTAGTTGGGTGTGGGGTATGGTATCTCCTTTATACGTAGTGTGACAGCAATGACTGCTTGCGACTCAAGCCTGACACATGCGGATCCAGCCAATCGAGACAATGGAGGCGATGAGCAAGCGAATTGTGGCGGTGTTGGGCGGCCAGGTTGTTGTTGTATAGCTAGGCGGCAACAAAAGCAAGAAGCGATGGTTGGGACTATAAGGAGAGTCGGGTGCAGTATATGCCGGGTGGGTGGTGAGAGCTTTTGGTGACGGCGGGTGTTCCTGGTACGGGGGTGACGAGGATGGCTTGCTTGGAATCTGCTGACCTAAGGAAAAGTGGGTCTGCTCAGGGACACAACCGGCGGCGGATCGAAGACGGCGGAAGCTCGTGGCAAAGCGACAAAAATTTCGGATCAAACAATCTCGACAAAGGAATTACCAAGGTACTCGGACGACAAGTCGGTGACAATAGTGAGGCTGTGTGATCTTCTTTTGCAGTCTCCCGCGTCTAGTTTCCTCGTGGTTGCCGGGCAGCACCGATTGCTCTGCTTGGTGGACTTGCGGTGTGGATGCTTTGCGACGTCACCGTTTCAGCGATGCCAATATGCCAATAGGATCCGGTTGGCAGTAGTCTGGATCGCACCGCGTAGTCTGCAATTAAACAATTGTAAAAGAGGAAGACTCGGGCTTCGAAGAATAGAAGTGTGTGCAACGGAGATTGGGTTGGGAGCAGTCAGCCTGCACGCATTCGGGGGTGCAGTTGTGACTATATCAGGCTCGCATGCACAAGGCTTCGACAGCTGTCCTGGGAATCCCTGTGTGAGCTGCTGCGGACAGGACAGGCTTGCACTTGTCTATTTTGCATCGCACGCTGATGAAGCGTCCACATGCATGCGCTACCCAGACTATCCAGCTCTCGCCTACCAAACTCGACCACGGCTGAGCAGCGTCACAGCTGCTCCTCGACTTCCCTAGTCCCCACTCTGAGCCACCTTCATCGCATCGCATCGCATCGCGCAAGCCGCTGTCCGGTGCTTCACTTGAGCACGCTGCAGGTCGACTCGTCGGCCGCGGCGGTTACGAAACACTCTCTCCAATCAAGCCCGATTGCGGCCACATGGCCGTTTTGAGACTCGCTCGCGGACGGCATCTGATAGGATCAACCCGCTGAGCCTGCATGACCACTAAGGGATCGATGTGACCACACCCCACTATGAACATTTACAAGACATGACCAATCCAGCTGCCCATATGTGGTACAGGTGAAGCACAGAGCACGCATCGAGAAGCGTCTCGTCACATTCGAGATCCAACCAAGTAAACTTTCTTTTGTAGCTTCCGAGACACATCTGTACCTCAACTCAGACGGCCGCAGTCACCGGGCCTTCGGCACGTCTTCAATGCACATCCTCTGCACATCTCTCCATCTGTGCTGAGGGGCATCCCTGTGCCTTGTCTCAACTCGGGTCAGGGCACGGCGGCTGCGTCGCGTCGCCAGGCCAGTCAGCATATTTTTCCATCCCATGCCATGTGAGAAGACACAGATTTGCTGCCACTCGATCCGTCCCGACTGGCAGACGTTAGCCCGCCGTCTGAATGGACGATAAGATACGCTTATGCGGGGTGAGGCGGGGCACGTCTGCATGTCACATCCAATCGTGACATGGTCACCTCACTCAAGCCCGCGAAGCACGTCCTCCTACGTGGTCCTCCACCATTGCATGGAACAAGTGGAATAGCACACGATGTGTATTAAACAGCAAGCAGAATGATGTAGGTGTTGGATCTAGAATGTCGTTTGCTGCTAAAGCATGAGATCATTTGGGACAGGTACGCTGCAGTTAATCCGTCATTCCACATTAGCATGCCACACTTGGCTCGTCCCAAGAGCCCCATACACGAAGCTCAATATCGACCACTATCGGCTTGTTGTACGCAACCGACGTTTTGCCAGCAACTCTAGGACCCAGATATGCTGCGTTGATCACCGTGGTCTGGCTACGCGCCACTTCCGTCCCTGACCAAGGCATACCCCTCTGTCGTTCTGCAAAACGCTGAGTAGCCTCGTCAGGACACCCATGTCCGGTATCGCTCTCGTGGTGATGCTCAAATGCATCGCCCCCTCTTCCTCCTCCACCGAATCCCCACAGCGCCTCACTGTCCCGCAGGGCAACATCAGTGAGGCTCGCCGTCGTGATAAGCTTCTCACCTCCACCGGACGGGGGCTGACACCCTCTCTGGCCCTGTGCAAACGACGCATCAGGCTGGCCCCGAAGATGGTCGCATCGCGAGTCAGGCTGCAATTGACGTGTCAAACTTGCATGGTCGCAGCCCGAACCACGCCCTGCTGCTCTCGCCCGCATCGTCGTCAAATCGACTAGAGAAAGTTTCTTGTTGGAGGCCCCTGGGTCGTTCCAGAATTGCACGCTTGAAACTAGGGTACCGCTATCCATGATTGTGGGTTGTTGATGTAGCTGTAGAGAAGAACATCTTCTTCTCCATTGTACCGTCTCCACACCTCGCCCACTGTGTATGTGTCCACAGATGTTCAACATCGGCCTGATTTGCTCTATCCTCCTTGACAAGGCTGGGCATCCCTCCCTTCTATCTTTCTGTTTCCCACTTGCTGTTGCTCCATCGCACCGCCCCTTTGGCGGTGTATGAGTAACTACTATGTCCACATCATTTGGAATCTTGTTCCATACTTCATCTGCCTCATCGGGCTTGTATTGAAAAGCCCAATTCGCCTGCTTCTGCTTGGGCGTACACGGGCTACCAAAAACAGTAAAACACGTTCCCCGTCTTTGAAGTCGTACTTCTGTAAACTCATTCTCAAGGTAAGTGATTGATTTGGATTCCGTCAACAACTTCCTACACGCTTGCGTATCTTGAGGACTAGGCCATTTCCACGACGCTTCGTTCTCTCGGAAGAATGGCCCATCGAGTGTGATGTCGTGGTTTCCTTTGCCTCGAGTATCAGCCCTCTCATTTCTCTCAAAGTTTGGAGCACAACACCTTGGCGTACCAGCGATTACAATCTTTGCCTCAAAATCTTGCTTCTCAATCCATTCAACCGTCCTCTTCAACTCGGAATAACTTCCTTGATTCGTCAAATCACCTGCGTGGATCAAGACATCGCCGGGCGGCAACTTGGGCGTCTGGTTGTGCGTATCTGATATACAGACTATGCGCGTTTTCCGCCGTTGATACATTCGGCACTGGTATCGGGTTTCGCGCTTAACACTTGTTACGATATTACGATCTAGGCTAACGACAACAACAACAACGCACACAAGATATCTACAGTAGTCATGATTAGGTTGAGTTGGGCTTGGATCGTGGAACGGGCTAGATCGCGGTTGCGGTTACGTCATTAACCCATTCCGTCTTCAGGTCCAACATCACCGTTGCTTTTTCTCTTGTTCGCATCACGATCAACATGCCTAACGTTAGCCAGATTGCGCAACCCCCTGGTTACCGTTCTTAGTCCCTGAGTGATAGACAGGGACAAACAGGTACATCCGCAGTACGACATCTTCGCCTTCCCGGGTTCTTTGTTTCGCCGCACCTCGGCTGCGAATTTGCCACCGCCACCACCACCTTTGCTCGACCAAACTTGCGATGGCGAGTTCAGCCGCAGGATCTGCGGTGGTTGGGGATGGCTGGGGACACGGGTTGATGGAGGTGCGAAAAAAACAGGATGTGAATGCGGTTGGGATTGCGATGGCGATGGCGATGGTGATCGCGATCGCATCAGCATGGAGGGGGCACGTGATGGCTGACCTGACCCTACAACTGTGTCTAGAACTACAACACAACTGCGATTCAGCGAGTGTATCGCAACATAGCAAAGTCGAAAAGGGACTTTTTTTTTTTGTCTCAAACTTTTTTGTGTTTATGTTTCTTACTTTCTTTCGCAATATGAAACCGTGAATATCTCCGCCACCCACACAAACGCCCAACTTAAGGGGTATCTCGATATCACCGCAACCCAGTATGACTCCTTCAACGCCTTTGCAGAACGGAGGGACTATAGCGAGTTTGCCCACATATCGAGACAAGAATCCGTTTTGATCCGCTATTACCATGCCTTACGACCAGAATTTGGTCTCGTGAAAAAATCAAGTTGCTGCCAAAGCAGGTCAACACCGCAAAGAAAAAAACATGCAAGGAAATATACGCTTTCCGTCAAGAACGGTGACACAATCGTGAATGCGTTTCTTTTGTGTGTGTGAACCGCTCCACCGCTTGCTCGTCGCGCGTCTCTTGTTACAAGACCTGGCCATTCCTACGTGAGGTGAATTCGAAACCCAGCTCCCCAAGGTTTTATCAAGACCAAGGCCAGTTGCTACTCGATCGTCATCAGAAACGTTTCATCGAAGTATCGCTAGGCGTTCAAGCAAGCCTAGTAACGCTGGGTCCTTGTTCCTCATTGTCAGGCTCCGGTGAGTTGTTCACAATCCTCCGATAGCCAGCCGATACGTGTTCGTCTAGGACTCCATCAGTCTCATCAATAAGTTGAACACTGCCGTTGAGGTCAGGATAAAGGTCATCGTCGTCCATGTTGACATCGACGCCTGCGTCTCCCCAGAGGTCGTCGTGCCCGATGACTACGGTATCACCGCCTGAGGAACCTGCAGTGCTACGACCGCTGTCACTGCTGTTGTCGTAGGTGACGTAGTTCTCATCGCTATCGTCTACATCGGTGGAATCATGGTAGTTGGTGCCGCTAGAGCAACGACGTCTTGTGTGATGTGACCCGGAGTACCTGCCCATGTGATGAGTCCGACGCAAAACTGGAAGCCGTGGCTTCGGAGGAATCTGGAAAGCGACGACTGGCCCGTTCCTCAGAACAGCATTCGTATCGTGGATAGCATAGTGGTCGTGTTGGTCTACGAACGCCGAAGCCCGGGAAATGTGACGCCAGCGACGGATCCTGGCCTTTATCTCGTTGCGAACATGACCCGAATGAAATCGCGGCTTGAACAGTTGCGTCGCAAACGAATCGTCTAGTTCGAGATGGCACTGATCCTCGAGACTCAGCGCTTGCTGACCTTTGATATGTTCAATCAGGATTTGCGTCATCTTGAATACAAAAGGTCCACAAGCACCGCCATCGTGCCTGAACAAATTGTGCCAGTTCTGGTTCGGGCTCTCGAGCTGTACCTCATATGTCCACCTCGAAATGTCTTCATCAAGAATGTTGAGCAGACCCATGGAGATAGTGCGACCCAAGTTCTGGTAATCCGTGTAATGAGCGTACAAAGAGTCGTAATAGTACGCACGCTTCGAGATCCTATCCATGGCTACCATGGACCAATGCGATCCGCTGGTCCCATTATTTTCGATACCACCCATGGCATCGTTACAAACGACGATGATCCAATTCTTGTTGTGGTAACGTGCCTTGTATTGTTCGTATTCCCCAGAAGGGCCATTTGAACTATTTGCGGCGAAACAGCAAATCTGGGCCACAGTGGAGTTGACAATGTCGATACCGTGAGCGTCGCAATCTTCATCGCGGCGAAGTACTTCAAGAGCCATATCTAGACTCTCACCACGCATCCACACTTCTAGTTTAGACTCATGATAGCTGGTAGCGCCAATGTAATCAAAGGCGTCGTTTTGTATGGTGACGTCTCCGAGCTCAAGGAAAATTTCATTGTTGTGCGGAGTCTCAATGTCGAATGCTGGACCGAAGGCAGCATATCGACGGGGGTCGGGAATTGGAGAATGTGATGGATATACGAATGGAAGTTCTATCTCGTGAGATCGTACCCAAGGAATATCTTTCTGTACAATGTTAGTCGGCCGTGCACCAAAGTGAGCATGTGGCTGCAACTCGTTTACTTTTGAGCTATAATGCAGCCAACAGGCATTGTTTTGCATCTTCCAATTCTTGGTAGTATTGGCATCGATACTGTGACGCCGCTTCAGCAGAGGGGGCTTTGTCTGTCTCGTAGGCAGAACTCCGCGTTCAAACCCGCGAGAAGCAAAGATGAGCATTCTCCTGGATTGATACCTCATCGAAGAACGTGTCTTGTGGAAAATGTCAGTTCCCTTGTAGTGCTTATGAATTGCTCCTTTGCTGCGCCACTCGAAGAGCTCCAGGCGAGAGAGCGCCCGATCGGAGGGTCGTGCTGTACTCGACGGCGTAGGAGACCCGGGAGTATCATCTAGTGTCGCTACTTGCTCTGCCGCCGGGGGAGTAATTAGTGGCGTCGTAGACATCTTGTTGCCAGCATCCTTTGTAGAAGGCGGAGTGATAGGGGTTGTGCGATCGACGTGCTTTTTCTCTTGTGTATGCGAAGACTCCTGCACATGGTCCCGGATTTGCGGAGCCATAGTAGGGCTGCTATGGGTCGGCGAAGATACAGGACCCTCCATGTTGATTCGTGCTTCAGTGCCTTCAGGTGAGTCAACATCGACCGCAGATGAACCTAAACTTGAACCAAAGTCGGGCTCACTGGTAGAGACAGGCAGGGCACTAGAAACAAGAGGTTCGATTTCGGCGGGTTGCGACATGATATAGGAATCGGACTGCGGCTGAGAACGTGAGTCTGGGTGTGGGGTGGACGAGTCCGGTGGAGTAGGCGCGACCTGCGCGGTGACCTGGGAAGGCATGCGCTCGTCGAAAACTTTGTCTTGCATTACCATGGTGTCGTACTCTCGTTTTCTGGGGTTGATTTCGCTAGTTGAGGTTGGAAAGTATACAAGGTCGGAGGTCGTGGTGATTTGCGCGATGTGAGTGCCTGTGAGTGTCCGCGAAGTAACAATCACTGCTTGCTCAGGCGCCAGCGCGGTTACAGGCGCGCTTGATTGCGAGTTTGCTGCAGTTGAATTTGAGCCTGAGTGCGAACTCGCGTCGGTCGTGTGCGGATTGCGAGTTGCGGCGTGTCGGAGAGGCGTATTTGTTGTGGTGTGTTGCGGTCGATATGAGACAACACGTACGGGAGAGGAGCTTGAAGAACAGCGCGAGCACGGCTGCGTCATAACCACAACCAGAAAAGCGTATATAAAAGTGAATGTGGGCTGGTGCGCTCGCAGAAAGCAGTTTGCTTAACCTAGGGAACGTGATTGTTCTACACCACTGATCCAGGGACGGTAGGGCACTCTATGAGGGTGGTGAGTGACAGCGTTGAACTGGATAATGCGTTCTGTCTTAAAGCGTGTGCCACGCTTTCCAGGGCTTACGGTATATGGAGCACATTCGAACCATGGTTTTCCTGAGCCGGGCTATATCGATGATACAAGGCAACAGCGCACACATCTCTTGCAATTCAGCTATAAGACCTTTGTGAATGATCAGCATCACAGGACGACCCACATGGAACCAAGATTGGAAGAGATTCATACAATTAGCAGCTACTATTTGTCAACGCTGCAATGATGCTGTGCAAATGGAAGGCGTATACTTTCGCGGTGTATGGAAGTTTCGCTGTCGTAGCGCGAGCTCCGTTGGTCCTGGAAGAGCCACTGTGTCGCAAAAGCCTGGTCAAATTAGGAGTTCTTAGACTTCGCAATGACTATACTGTACAACCTTGTTGAATTGTCAGTTTTCTTCTTGTAAGTGTTCAGAAGCATCTCTACATTCGATATACACAGAGGAAAGGCTGTTTTGATAGATGCTATATACATAGAATTTCAACACCCATGGCTGAAGAGAGGAACAAAAGCAAGGAAAAACGATCTGGTGTTGGTATATGAACTCGAGAAAAGGAAAAAAAGAAAATGAGATCATGAGATGAACGGTGATCGATCCTGCGCTCACACGCTGTCCTTTTATGTGCTGAAACGCTGATAACAAATGCTTCCGTGATTGGTCCTTGATGGCAAAAGATGCAAGTTGTGAGAACACTTTTCTCTCACAACGTTTTGTAAAACTCCGTAATGGTAAATCGCCCAGACTTAGCATGCCTCGCAAGGCTGACTACAGATACTCACTCCTAACATGTTTCCATGCGCTTCTGTGTCTGGTGATTGTTTGTTGTTCGGCTTTGCGGTATGCGCCTTTGTTGATATGCCCATGGCGTATCCGGCCTTAGATACGTCAGTCGCAGCGTGATCACGCGTCGGTCAAAGAGGAGACTGGATACGCTGGGAGGGTAACGCAAAACATTAACACAAGCTCAAAGAGATCTGAGAGCTGCATCTTGCTCACTCTCCGATACTTGTTCCCCTTAGCCGTCTGCCCAAGCTCACGCTACGCCCAATGTCCGAAACACCACCAACCGAGTGTCTGTTGTTCGGATTCCGGGCGACGTTCAGTTGCGCTCGTGGTCGTAATCCTCCCGTCAAGGTCTTCTCGTAGTTGGCTGGCGAACCTTCGCGACCTAGATTGTGACCGTAGCGGCTCTGACCGTCGCGGAATAGTAGACTATGCTCATTCGAGGGCGTACTACTTGAGACGCTGGGCCGACGCAGACTGGCAGTGGTTTGAAGAGCAGGTGATGGCTGTAGGTCAGGCATTGGCTCGCGAGATGTGTACTGTCTGCTGAACCGGTTTTTATCTGCTTGACCACCATGACGGGCTCTAAAGTCGATCGAAGTCATGGCACGAGATGGCGCACGAAATATTGGATCCTCGTCTTCTTCATCCACGCTATTGCGTGTTTGGTGAAAACTTGTACCTGCTCGCTGCATGCGTGATGGAGTGTGTCTGTCTTCGTAAGGTTCCTGGCTGTTTCCTCGCTGGCTTCCATTGGGTTCAGCAACAAGCATACTGGATCTCCGAGCCTCGATGCGTGACATGGCCCTGCTGGGGCTGATGCCAGATAATGTGTTGCTTTCAGGTTCGATACTCTGTCGGATTGTCGGCGAATCACCGTTGATCTGTACACTTGGCCTACGCGATATTGTGGCTGTATTTGATCGGAAGGCTGGACTGGCAAGACCGGTCTTGGTCTCGCACAGAGCTATGCATAGCTCAGTGAGGCTGCGACAGAGGTTGTCGGCTTTGCGACGAACCTGGCGATCTGATACGACAGAGCCGTTGATGATGGAACTAGCAGAGTGAAGTGTGCCCTGTGGTCCCGCACTGCCGCTCATCTCCGCCAATGCAAGTGCTTCTGTTGCGGTTGATTCCAGGGTGCGGTACACTGATGGGGAGACATGCTGTCTAGCTTTGCCGAGAGCATCCCGCAACAGAGGATGAGTCTTGCTGCTACTAGGTGTATGACTGCCCACTGTCGACTCGGAAGGCGACGGGTTCGATTTACGCTGCTGGTTTGGTGAAGAGGACACTGTCGTAGCTGAAGTGTTGGCCGTTCGTGGACGATCAGCCGAAGCTTGAGAGACGATGGCGCCCGATGTCGACGGTATCTTGCCGCCCATTTCGATCTTCCGTATCCTGGACTTCAACTCGTCCAGCTCGTCCCACACAGACGCGGCGGGCCCCGTAGAGCCATGTGACTCGGTACCGTCGGCGCGTGAGGCAGCCTCAAACGACGTCTCCACCTGGGGCGTTCGTGGCTCATGTGACAGGTTTGACGGTCGATAAGGATAGGCTGGGGTACGACTTGGTGGCGTGTGTTGCACCTCAGGCTGAGATGGGCGTCTGGACGAGGTTGAGAACTGGGCGAGGAAATCGCGTGGTGAGAGCTCCGCGTCCCTTCGTGATGAGGTGAAGGAGGCTTTGTGGTTGAGGTCCCGGGTTCGTATTGCGTCGGGCGCAGGCGAGTTTGGGGATCGCTCGTATCTGGAGGGAGTAGGCAAGAGCGATGACCGGCGGATGCCGCTCGACCGGGCTTCCAAAGCAACAGCGGAGGGTATGCGGCTCGTCGTTGGCGTCACTGAGGCGGACTGTACGGGCGAGGGCGACTGCAGTGCAGACGGGAGCGACTGCCGGTTGTTGACTCGGGCCACTCGTGACTTCAATCGATCGACGCGCGCTGTTGACGACTCTGCTGGGCGTTGGGGCTTGGGCGCACTGTCTGCGGCGATGTTGAGAAACAGGTCCTCCTTGTCTCCCTCAGTTCCTGGAGTCGCGGGCGCATGCGCACCTCGTCCGCTGTGCGCCGCGTGGTAGTCTTCCATTCGGCTGCGGGGGCCAGAGTCGTAGTCGGACGACTCGTCGGTAGAGCTGGCCATGCGTCGTGGTGGTGGGGGCCTCGAAGTGCTGGTAGAGGCTCTTCGGGGTGGGCGGGGTCTGGGGAGATTCCCAGGGTCTACTGCGCTTGTTTGTTGTCGTGGTTGTCGCGGGGCTTCACTAGAGGTCCCCAGCTCGTCGTCCCCGCGTCGTCTGCTCGTCGAATGGTGGGAGCTAGTGGGGGAAACCAGGCCTGAGTGCATCAACTGCTGCTGCGCATAGGCAAAGTCGGCGGGGTTTTGCGAACTTCGACTGCGTGTAACTAACGTGACAGGAGGGCCGCGCGAATTATCTATGCCATGGCCACTATGCGAGGCTGGGGGTCGTCTGGCCGAGCTTGTAGAGCTCACTGATGGCAGGCGCAAGAGCGTCGGCGGCTCGGGTGCCGTGTTGTTGCGCAAATGCCTGGGTGCCTTGGGCGGAGTCTGCTGTGAAGTCGAATTGCGCCGCTGCGTGTGGTGTTGTGATGCTCCTCCAGATGAGTTCCGAGAATGGGTCGGCATAGCTGCAGGCCTGCGCTGGCACACCAGACAGGGATGACGGGTAACGTTTCAGAAGACTCAGCCCGTCATGGCTGCTTTTGTGACCCACAGTCCGCGCGCAAGCCGTCGTATATTGCGCATGCTCTCTCCAAAGTGCAGAGGATTGATGCTGCGACGCTGGGGATCCCTAGCATCTTGACCATGGCCCATTCGTTGCTAGGGTGCCGGACCACTCTGCACGAGATGTCACAGTCCTTTCTGGAACGAATGACGAGCTTCCAACCTTCCAACCCGTCTCTTAGCAACGGTATGATGTGCAGCTAACTCGGGCATATAGCCCTAGCACCTATATCTGCCATCACATGCTCTGTCCTATCCATCTCGACCGTTGACGATAATTGTGTCAAAGACTCGTCTGTACAAACACATGAGACACGCCACCCCGTACTGATTACAATTCCTAGTAAGCAAGGCCTACCTTTCCCTGCGCGATTATTCTCTCGCCATTGTGGGCATTTATCCTAAAAAGCATGCTTTGTGGGCATCTCGTCCGGTGAACGCACACCGCCGCTTGGCCCTTAGTATGAACCCTTCTCGCACTTTCCAAGCTTCTCCTGCAATCAAGACTGCAGAAATACTGTGCTGAGCGACACTGTTCCTGCATCCGCCATCCTGGTCAATGGCGCTATAAGCGAGCTGGAACGACGGGATTGCCATCCATGTCAGTTGCAAGCAAGAATCGCCGTGGCTCGAGTCGTGAAAATCATGGCGGCAGAACCTTCCCAAGACACTGTAATTTCGCACCCCAATACAAAGTTTAGTTTTGCTTATCGTCTACACAAAATCGATAACGGGTACGTTTAACGTATTTGCGCATATGCTAGTGTCAATTGCGCCTCGCTCACTGGCTGTGGTGTTGTGAGCGAACCTTGCGAGGCGCCGCTGCACGTGACCTCGGCGGTGGCTGAACCAGAACGCCGAGGGTCTGATGAAATAATCCTGTCCATCAACCACCACCACAACCTTACACCGATCACGATACCCAACTTTCATCGCCTCGCGAACTACCCTAGCGAGCACACCGACTATGTCTGTCGCAACATTATCCAAGTCGCTGCCGAAGCCGCAGTACTCGGGCGAGGAGGAGGAGCTCACCAACAGCACGCGCGTGCTAACCGCAGAGCAATACGAAGCGCAAGTCGTCTCGAAGAAGGGCCCACCCCCCTACGGCCAGAGGCAGCACTGGAGGCCCCGCGCGCCCGAAGGTAAGGCTCAGATGTACGGAATGCATGCGAGACGGAGACTGACTCCAAATCTAGACTTTGGCGATGGAGGCGCGTTCCCGGAAGTACTCGTCGCGCAGTACCCGCTGGATATGGGAAAGAAGGGCACACCATCCACATCCAACGCCCTTGTAAGGAGAGTCGACGGAGAGGGCAAGACAAAGTATGACGAGATCGCGCGACGCGGCCACGGTGATTCGAGGATTGTACAAGCAAGCTTCAAGGACCTGATCCCATTGCGCCAACAGGCAGACGCCGGCGAGCTGGACTTGTCGCGTCCCTCCGCCGAGGTTGTTCAGGCGACCAAGGAGAAGACTGAGCAGGCATTGATGGCACTGGTTCAAGGGCAAAACGCCGCACAAAAGCCAAAGAACGTACAAGGACGAAAGAACGACGAGCCCACCTTCGTTCGCTACACGCCCACTGCACAACACGGTCAAGCGCAGGGTCAGACGCGCATTATCAAGATCCAGCAAAGACAGATTGATCCTATGGAACCACCCAAGTTCAAGCACAAGCGCATTCCTCGCGGACCGCCATCGCCTCCTCCACCTGTCCTCCATTCGCCGCCTCGAAAGCTGACTGCCGAAGACCAAGAACTATGGAAGATTCCGCCTCCGATCAGCAACTGGAAGAATCCCAAGGGTTATACTGTACCATTAGACAAACGTCTGGCAGCCGATGGTCGCGGTCTTCAAGATATTACAATAAACGACAAGTTCGCTCAATTTGGTGAAGCGTTGCAGGCTGCAGACAGGCATGCACGAGAGGAGGTCAAGCAGCGTGCGATTATGCAGCAAAAACTGGCAGAGAAGGCGAAGCTGAAGGAGGAAGAGCGTCTGAGAGACCTTGCGAAACAGGCACGACAAGAGCGCGCCAACGCCTCCCGACGACGATCACAGAGCGACTCGGACACTGATTCAGAGGAGGAGGCAGTGCGGAAGCGAATGGATGCTCGCAAAGAGCGGCGCGAGGACTTCCAGCGCGAACTTCGTCAATCGAAGATGGGTACTGAGCGCAAGATTCAGATGCTCGCTCGAGAGCAAAACCGTGATATTTCTGAGAAGGTTGCACTTGGTCTGGCAAAACCGACACAGAGCGGAGAGTCAATGTACGATTCGCGACTTTTCAACCAGTCCAGCGGATTCAACGCTGGTTTCAACGAGGACAACCACTACGATAAGCCCCTCTTTGCAGCTCAGGAGGCTTTAAGCAGCATTTACCGCCCGAGCGCACAACAGGACGACGGAGAGGATGAAGGAGAGACATACGACAGAATCACAAAGTCGAGCAAGTTCGAAGTCCTCGGGAAGGCCAAGGAGGGCTTCAAGGGTGCTGATCTGCAAGAAGCTCGCGACGGACCTGTACAATTTGAGAAAGATACCGACGACCCCTTCGACATCAATCAGATGATTAACGAGGTTCGTGGTGAAAAAGGCGAGAAGACGGGCGAGAAACGTTACGGCATGCAAGAGCCCGAGGGCAGGTCTGCCAAGCGTGCCAGGGTAGATGATGACAGTGATTGAATGTCTTGTACCGTACTTGGAGCCTGAGAATTGGCGTTGAATTTCTTCTGCATAGTTCAAGTAGCTATTGCAATATTGTAGTATTTAAAGCGATTAAGGTCACCAATAGACCAGTTCAGCCTCTTTACCCAAGAACTTACGGTATACATGAACAATATTTGGCGTGGATTATCCGGATAAACATCCTGTGTGGTCAGCATATCCACCAACAACCCTTGATTAAGTGTTGTGCCCATCACCGATCTCACAGGACATCTTTCCTCATCCGTCGGCTCCGGGTTCCCAGTGTCGGATGGCGCACCCTCCTTCCGGCTGCCTGCACCGACAACAGCTTCCGTTCATACCATTCATACCCTTCGCTCCACAGCCCCGCCATCCAACGTCACACGCGGGTGCGAGCCAACTGTAGACCCTGAAGTTATGCACATTTGGCTTGCGCTGGTGTGCTTGAACTCGCCGATATGCTGCCGGATACCGGGTCTTGATCATATTGCTAATGTTCGTCGCTGATTGCTGACATTCGAACTGTTCTTATTGTACAGTATATGTTGAGTTTAGTCGCAATCAGATTGCATAGAAGAGGTGATAGCCCAGTTACTTAATAGACAAAATCGCAACGTTCAAAAGCTCTATCAAGGAGATAGATCATGTCGGCAGAAACACAAGTTTCGCAAGCTCAACACCCTTCCGCGGTATCGGATAGCCAGGAGCACAAGTTCAACCCAAACTTCACACAAGCTGTCATCAATGCGACGGGACCAAAGGCTACACCAAGGATCAGGCAGCTTACGGCAGGATTAATACGGCATCTCCATGACTTTGCGAGGGAGAATGAACTCACCGTCGATGAGTGGATGGCAGGAGTCGAATTGGTACGTGGAGAAGCTATCTGTGCTTGGGTCGTCCAAAGAAACGATGTTCGACATACTAAACAATGCATAGATGAACGAGGCAGGTCGCATGTCAGACGCCAAACGCAATGAAGGCCAACTGCTCTGCGACATTCTCGGCCTCGAATCGCTCGTCGACGAGATCACCTATAAGCTCGCCTCGACCGCCGCCGACGAACCCACTGCAACCGCTATCCTAGGCCCCTTCTACCGTCAAGACGCTCCGAAACTGCCTATGGGCTCCTGCATCGTATCCAAGGAGATAAATGAGCAAGGTGATCGGACATTGATGCACGGCACTGTTACCGACTTCAGGACAGGGCAGCCTATCGAGGGCGCGGTGGTGGATGTATGGCACACGGCACCCAATGGGCTGTACGAACAACAGGATCCAGACCAGCCAGAGATGAATCTCAGAGGCAGGTTTACAACGGGCAAGGATGGGAAGTATAGCTTCTATTGCTTGAGGCCGGTGCCCTATCCTATACCTTTCGATGGTCCTGCAGGCAAAGTGTTGCAAGCGCTGGACAGGCATCCGTTCCGACCAGCGCATATACACTTCTTGGTATGTGAAGATCCATCTTAGCGGCCTGTAGCTTGGTATCCTAACGTGTCTCAGCTCACTGCACCTGGCTACAAACCGATTGTCACCCAAATCTTCGACCGGAACAGCAAGTATATCGATGACGACGCGGTCTTTGCAGTAAAAGACTCCCTTATTGTAGACTTTGAACCTTTTGAGGGGGATCCAAAAGCAGACTTTAAGCTGCCGTACGATTTCAAGATGGCAAGCTTCGAGGATGCGAAGAAGCACTCGGTCGTGGGGACGACAGAAGAAAGCGCGTAATTATTAGAGATCTGAACTTCAAATCCAGAAATTCCTGAATGATTTCTAATATTCTGTTCCCTAAAGCTCTCATTATCATGTTCTTCAATACCGTAGCTATCTGTTTCCGATTTCATTCCGATGTTAGGCGATTCCCCGCATTGTATTACTCCGCTAACCGTCTCCAACCGAACCGCGGTTGTCATACAACGCCCTATACGCGTCCGACGCCCTAGACTGAGACTAACATCATGTGAATGTTATCTTGTTTAGCGTCCACGTTCTGTATTGCCCTTGTTCTTTCTCTAAACATTGCCGACAGATTGACATCATCCAAGACCCTGGCAGAAGCACACGGTAAGCTTACCGCGACTACGCCTTGCAAGGATTACAGCGTATCAGACCAACACAACTAACACACGCAGATAAAGCAATCCAGTACTGACAGCAAACTCTCATACAAAGCCTGAAACACTCATAAGTAGAAAGAGCTAGAAGACAGCCCATCATGGCAGGCGATAGCAAGATCACCCTCGGGCGTTACATGTGGGAACGCATTCACCAAATTGGCGTCGACACGATCTTCGGAGTACCAGGGGACTTCAATCTCCAGTTTCTCGACTCCATTTACCTCACTCCAGGCCTATCTTTCGTCACCAACCAAAATGAGCTGAATGCGGCTTACGCCGCCGATGGGTACGCTCGCATCAAGAATACGCCTGGATGTCTCGTGACCACGCACGGTGTCGGGGAATTATCAGCCCTGAACGGTATAGCAGGTAGCATGAGTGAACATGTCAAAGTCATCCATGTCGTTGGACAGACTACACGGGCGATGCAAAAGGGCAATATGATGATCCATCATAGCATTGGGAATAAGCCGGACCATCAGATGTACAACAAGGCTAGCGAGGGGCTGAGGTTTGCAGCTGCAGAACTCTGGGATGTTGCGGATGCGCCGAAAGAGATTGATAGGGTGCTGAGAGAGTGTGTTATCAAGAGTGGGCCGGTGTACATCTTTCTACCGCTGGACTTGAGTGCCGAGATGGTGGATGCTGGGTTGTTGAACACACCGATTGATCTTGAGCCACATATCGATGAGAAGGCACGGGATGAAGCGATTAAAGCTATCACAACTGCGATTGCGGAAGCCAAACAGCCCAACGTACTAGTAGATGCCCTCGTCCAGCGCTTCAATGCTTCTCAAGAGGCTGCGCAGCTAGTCCGCAAACTCAATGTTCCTTTCTACTCGGCGGTGATGGGCAAGGGCATTGTCGATGAGACTGAGGAGAACTTTGTTGGAGTATGGAACGGCGAAATTTGCACTCCAGGTGTCAAGGAAGCCGCAAAACAAGCAGACTTGGTGGTTACCCTAGGGTACATACCTTGTGATACAAACTCGGCTGGTTTCTCGAGGCAGTTGGAGGAGAGCAACACGATCCATATCAATCCGCATGATGTTGTTGTAAGTTCCCGGCACAGCTCATCTGACGTCGGCTACTGATGTACATCCAGGTCAAAGGGAAATCCTACCCCAACACGCCCATAAAGTCCCTGCTTGCAGCTCTAACCGCCGCTCTACCATCAACACCGCAGCACAGCGTCCCCAAAATCCAGCTCCCACCACCCCGCACCCCACTCGACGCAAAATCAGCCCATCTGACCCAATCCCAACTCTGGCCCGCCATTCAATCTTTCATCCGCCCCGGTGACGCCATAGTCAGTGAAACAGGAACTTCAAATTGGGGTATCTGCGACATGACCTTCCCAGCAGACATCAGGCTAGTCACACAGATTTACTTCGGCAGTATCGGCTTCGCTACCGCTGCTACATTGGGTGCAGATATTGCACGGAGAGAAGTAGAAAACAAAACTAAGAGTCAAGGTGGAGAAGGAGAAGGAAGGACTATTTTGATGACAGGCGATGGAAGTATGGCTTTGACAATCCAGGAAATCGGTACTATGATCAAGGCAAAGTGTAAGACTATTGTGTTTGTCATCAACAATGATGGATATACGGTTGAGAGGTTGATTTGGGGAGCTCAACAACGTAAGTCCTTCTTCCTTACTCCTCCTCCTCCTTCTTGTTCTTCTCTTGCCATCTACGAGAAAACTCGGGAGAACGGACAAACGAAAAAACTTGACTGATTTTCCCCAGCATACAACGATATTGTCCCCCACAACTACTCCCACCTCCTCCCCCTATATCATCACCCCGACCCGCAATCCTCCTTCCACCGTGCAACAACAGCAGCGGAACTCTCAGCTATACTATCCAAGCCGGAACTTAAGCAGCCGCAGAAGCTGCAACTGGTGGAATTGGTGCTTGACAAGATGGATACGAGTTGGAAGCTGAGTACGGCGCTGGCGTGGAGGAGCGAGGAGCATAAGGAGTATCTGACTAGAGAGGGCTTTGTGGATACGTATGGAGGGTGGGGATTAGACGGAAAGGCCGGAGGCACTGTAAAGTGGAGTTGAGAGGCTTGTTCTGGTATTCTTGTGGACTATATGTGGCGTGCATGCAGACGATATGATACGGCTATTGTATCCACCAAGATAACACAAGTCAACTATTATATAGATCTTACTTCTCAACTGTGCTCACCAGTGTATGTGATACTGTCCTCTCTTACTCCCGTTTCTGTCTTCCTCTCATCTCCATCTTTTCTTATTAAATCCCCTTCCTTCTCTGATGTTTACTTGCTTTAAGCAAACACCCCAAGTAAACAGAACCACACAACAATAAGTTCGTAAATCATCACAGGCTGCCTCTCCCAGCTGTACATGACCGCTGCGAATCCCAATCTCAAAGGGATTGTAGAAGCCATCATGCGACGGTTACCTTGGAAGGTGAAGATAAGTTGATACCAGCCTACTGCTATTCCGCCAAGACCTTTGTAGCGTTGTTTAGTCTGAGTTGGTGTGGTAGGCGGTGCAAACTTACCGATCGATTGCAACGTCTGGTCCGAACCTTCTACTCCAGTGATGGCGGAATACTCTTCAGGGTTGATGAAGGGGTAGATGCCGAGGGCTATGTTGACGAAAGAGTGTAGGATGAGGAGGAGACGAGCCATGCGCGAGATGGGTGACATTTTGGTGGATACAAAGGAAGTGAGTTCTCAAAGAGGGTATTGTAAGACACGTTATGTTGATGTTTGAATGTGCAACAAGAAACGATGTTCCAAGGTTGCAAGGTTGCTTCCAAGACTGCACCACCCCGCTATGGGTAAGACGTGCCGCTTTAGCGCCCACGTGTGCGAGCGCCAATGTTTCCATGCTTGCGAAGTCTGTCTCTTGATCCACTTCCACTATTATTCACGGCTTGCTATCAAGCCTTGATTGTGATACGAGGTGATCGCTACTTGGACAATTGTGTGGCCGGATTTTCTTCATACCCAAGATTCCCGAGACTACTAGTTGCAGCCCACCCGCTGAGATCGTAAAACCACTCCGGGCTTCTCCCAAAATGAAACCCGTTACCTAGATCCATGGACTGTCCTTGCATATAAGCATTGACGTCAACATCTATACCCATATTCATGTCTCCCAGATCACCATCCAGCATATTCAACCCCTCCATTGTGCCATCAAAAGAAGGAAAGTCTGTATTGTTGTTAAATTCGCTTTGCACGTTGGTACCGGTAGGCAGATGCTTCCCTGTAACATCATCAGCGCCTTCACCGCGACCGTGCTCTCTTCCTGTGAAGCTTCCACTGGAGAAATCTAAATCGATTTCCTCGCCGTGCTCTTCTCGGTACACTGTAGCGAGTATCTGACGTATTTCTCTGGTAGAGGTTTTTGCTGCTTCCAGGACAGCTGCTTCGGGGTCAGCGCCTGATACTAAAGCGTCGATGCGCGCTAGTGCGCAGTTTAAGAAGACAACGCCCTTGGCGTTCGTTTCGCCATTGTGGATGCGAGCTACTGCTGTTTGTCGGGCGGATTCTAGGACTTGACATAGGGGCTGGTATTGTGTTGGTAGCGATGACAACCCCATGGAGGAAGATGTTGTTGACACATGTGTGGGAATCAGGGGAGCAAAGAGTGCTGCCTCTTCTTCTCTCTCGTTGATTTGCGAGTTGAGCTCGTAGTAAACGGTTGACATGGCGTAGAGGAAGAAGGATTTGAAGAAGCCCACACACCGATGCGTCATGCGTGTCCAATCGTCTTCTTCACCAGGCGCAAGTTCCGTCGCCGGCGCGTAGATCGCTAATGAGGTGTCCAAACACATCTTTCTTGAGTAGTGGTAGCGTGGGTTTTCGCTTGCTTTGGAAAAATACGGGCGATGGAGGCAAAGGACGAAGCGTCGGACAAGAGTATCGGACATTTTGATCTGGAACGGAGTGATATTGTGTCCTGCTGCTAATGCTGATTTGAAGAACATTGTTTTCTCACGGCAGACGCTGGTCAGCTCACTGCCGATGCGCAACACGTCGTCGTAGGATAGATTGAAGCGAAGGTTGTTAATCAACCTGATAATCTCCAGCCGTATAGGAAGTGTTTGTGTGAAACCGATTTGAATGCTACAGTCCGTGAAGGTGGTTGCTGGCTTCACATCTAGTGGCGTGTCGATACCGTCTCCTATATCTTCATCGTTGATATTAGACGGTGGCTTGGTATCATAGTCGTTCACAGAAACCATGGGTGGCATACCCATATCCAGGCTACTTTGCGCAGTGATCTCTAGCACGGTCGTCCAGAGTCTGCGTCGCATCTCACCGTGATAGACACTAATCTTGGGAAAGTGAGACGGGTCGCGATGCAAACCGAGATGCATGGCCGTTCGCAATAGCGTGCCTGCAGGTATCCAGATGTGGTCGCCATCGATGCTGCAAACTTGACGCGCGATCAATGTCAAGATCTGTATCTGCAACCCTATCATATTGAGACGCGATTTCGCATGAGGTGCGCTCTGCCAATCTGCAGCAGCTTGAATCCATTTCGCAGCTGAGATACGGAGCTTGGCTTGCTCTGGTCCAGTGTAGAATGGCACGCCAATTGCGCATACAAGCAGAAACTTGTGAATGATGGACGGTTTTGCAGGCATAGTGCCTAGCCAGTAGGCGTCGTATACCTTCTTGAAGGAAGGAACGTGTAGGACACGAAAGACGCCCTCAAATGTACGAAGGTAACAGCCAACAAGCGCATCACTGATCTCTTTTGGCGGGATGCATGCCTGCAACTCTGGTGATATGGAGGGCTGTGACATGCGAGAGGCCTTGATGATGCGGGCCATTCGTTTGACCTCTGAGACAGTAGCATATAATTCAGTCGATTTGTTCCTAGGCTTCAAGGTCAGATGACTCATCTTTCAAATGGAACTGTCACACGATCACATACACTTCCTTCCTGTTTGTATTGTCGTTGATCGTCGTGTTTGCATCACCAAGAGCATCATACTGGTATACGTCAGTGAAGCCCTCCTTAAGTCAAAACTTACGAAAGATCTTGAGTAAGTTTCACTTACAGGATCTATGGCATTGATCCAATGACTTTGACCATAATACTTCGACTTCACAAATTGACCGCTTGTGGCACCTGAGCGTTCCTGTTTCGGCGATGTACTACTTCTCGGCTGCTCATTCAAAGTAGCACTCGCCAGCTTCTCCTCAAGCCCACGAATTCGATCCCACAAGCTACTGATGATCGAGGCTTGTGCAGTATCCGAGTGCGAGTTCAGATTGAAAGGCGGTCTATCGGTGGGCAAGGATTTCAGCTTGCCGCTACGTTCTCCGAGAAGCCCGGGTGCCACGTAGCGGTTGATCATCGCATCAAAGTCATTGGATGATTCGGGTGGCTGGGGAGAAGACCGAGCCGGATGTTCTTGGTCTTGGTCGTTGCTGTGACCTGTCGAGGTATCATCTTCGGTTGACCTTTCGCTCCTTTCTGACCGAATTCCCGGGCGCGTAGGTCTAAAGGTGCAGGTTGCCGACTTGATTCTGGTGCATGCTCCACAGGGCTTCTCTCGGTCGCATTTCACCTTGCGCATGCGGCATTCGACACATGACAATGCTGGCCTTCGTCGACGTTTTGCTGGTCCGTTGCCGTCTGTGTCTGCGCATTGGATAGTTGGTTGCTCAACCATTCTGAACGACAAGTACAAGAAAGGTAATCTTAATTTCCTGACTATGTAGTATCGATCGCATACAATATTCTTAGTTTCTGGAACGGTTGCTGGTAGCTGAATAGGTGATGGTCGGTCATTCCTGAAGCGGGTCGGTGATTTCGGTGATCTCGCTACAAGAAATCTGCGGTATGTTCACTAGCCGGCGATGCCTGCTCTTTCTATACCTCATCATAAGAGCATAGCCCCGTTGCGCAGGATCGCACCTCGTGTGACTTCCGAAATACTATGCTTACGCGTGCCATTTATTGGGTAGAGCGATGGTGTGTTGATGGAGGCCTCGCAACATGAAACGATTTTGGGTGTCGGGCGAGCTACGCTGAAGTCGACGGCACCCGCACACCCGCTCATGTGCTGCCTACGCTCGGCATTTAACCAAGAAACGAAACTACTTTAGCATGCGCAATGGATTCGGATGTCGAATATATTGCGCGCGTTCATTTTGGGCATCGTTATTAAGCCCATACCAGCTAACGCCTGCTGATGAAGCGCAACATCCACAGTGTACTTTCGTTCGTATGTAGGCACATTGTAAGTTCAACTAGAATTCTCACTACAGGAGCCTGTCTCGAAGCGCATCTATTAACGCTCCGTAGATTATATACACAATAGCATCGAGCGCCCTAGTACACACGAAAAAGTGTGTTTGCCTACATTGTTACATCAGGCACCTAACACATTCGCGTCCACGAGACTCTGGAACATGCGGAAATTTGTACAGTCCTTACGCACAGTCCGCATCGACGCAACGATACGAGGAAGCATCAGACACAACCCCACCTTGATAAACGGACACCAGCGGGTAAGGGCAAAGATCCCTTGACAGCACTGTTCCGTTGACTGGTTGCTTTTCAATTGCCCGTATGGTGGCTGGAGGGATGCCTTTCTTTCCCATTCAACGAGTTGCTGCAATCCGTAATTTTAAGGCAAACGAGTGAACGAGCTAACGAGCCAGACGGACAGTAACGCAGAATGCTGCTTGCTTTTTTCGTCGAGTATTGTTGCGCGTTATGTTAGTTAGTACCATTGCATCGCCCTTATTGAGTTCGACTACTTCGCTACTGTCGGCATGGCGGATGCTGATCTTGGGGGTACCGGTGCTACACCGGTGAACGATTAAACGAGTAGACGAATACCCCTTCAGACTCTTGATCGGCATACTAGCGTCACTCTGCCCAATTAAGCTTTTGGCGCAAGCAAGTCTCCCACTCGCAGCACGTCTAAGCCATACTGGTCCACCCACGAACAACCTCAAGCCCTGCATGCTTACAAACGTAACTTCATCCATCGACAAGAGGGGCATCATGCGTGAACATCGAGAGCCTGGCCGAATGCCAATAAAACGATATCATAGGAAGTCCCGGGCTGGATGCGACACGTGCAAGCGACGGCGCGTCAAATGTGACGAAGCCACACCAATATGTGGAGCTTGTGCTCAAAGACAGGATCCATGCAGCTACTCAAAACCAGCTGTTACGACTGCTAGATCCAGGGATTTGGCAACAACATCCTCAACCGCGGCAAAGCCATCATCATCATCGTCATCACCACTACCTAGCACATCCCCGTCGTATTCATTAGACGATGCATACCGCGGCCTTTCCTCACGACTGGTCACCTACAATGCCACCCGGATGAGAGAAATGCAACTCATGCACCAATGGTCCACAGTCACCTACCGTACTTCTGTTCCTCGCAATGAGGAAGTCTTTCGCGACTACGCAGTCGATAAAGCCCTACAACACACTTACCTAATGGACATAATTCTTGCATTTACGTCTCTGCACAGTGCAAGCAAAGCATCGAAAGCCAGCGATGTACACGAGCATGTCGCCGCCGCTCTCCACTACCAGAATCAGAGTATAACTGAGCTCAACGAAAAACAATCGCTCTTCAGGATCTCGAAAGAAAACCTCGACCCTGTATATCTCATGACTGCTCTCCACGCAGTTACCGCACTGGTGGCATCTCTGACACCCGCAACTCCGGGCGAGCAGTTAGAACCGATATCCGGAATACTGATGCGCATCAGGAAGTATGCGCTATGCCTGAACGACATGATTGACGAGCACATTGTGTGGGCTAAAAGTAGCGAATTGAAGCAAATCCTTGATAGACCCACTGCGCCCAAGATCGAGGAAGCTGGTTCATTCACAGCGGAGAAGCTGCGGGCGTTGACCGATGCTATACTGGCGAACATGGATCTTGATGACACTGCCACTCCATTCTTCCGTAGTAAGTTGGAGAAGCTAGAGAAGGCATACTCTGATAACAATGGGCGTTCGGTTATCTCTTGGTTGGTTATGGTGGAGCCTGTTCTCTTTCAGAAAGCTGATGAGGGGGAAGCGGCGGCTTTGGTGATATTAGCATGCTGGGGTACACTTTCCTGTGTTTTGGAGGATATATGGTGGACAAAGTATGGTGGTCGAAGGATTGTGGAGGAATTGTCGTCCCAGTTGAGCGGTTGCGATAGCCGCTGGGACGAGATTATGCAGTGGTGCTGCGAGCAAGTTGAGACACATAGTAGAGTTTAGTGATATATAACACCGTAGGCCGGAAGGCACTTAATGATATAATGCAGGCCGCTTCTTGCTCAATGTCTCTTGCAATCGTCTCCAGCAGGACGACCGGTATGGGTCTGTACTGTGTTTAAATCGTTTTCTCTTGAAGGGCGCGCGAATGAAAACGAAAACGAAAACGAAAACGAAATAGCCTAGCCCATTCTCGTCTACTCGTTTCCGTCAACGCACTACGTCCCACTTCGGTCTTAGGAAACAAGGCTTAATGAGCCAGTTCGGAAATCTCAAGGCTCAGACTTGTAGCCGCGCTGTCAGCCTCAGGGGTATGTTGTCTTGAAACTTCAGGGTACTCTCACAATCGTCCTTCATACTCCGGTCTACTCAGCCACGCATGGCTTGAACTTACTCAAGTCTAAGGTCTTGTCTAAGCCTCAACATCACCACACAATCCCTTAGCGTCCCGTATATTCTGTAGCTCACAATGTATATATAATACTTTGCTCATTCTGGATTCTCTACACATGCCTTGAAAACTTCTCATCGACCACTTTATCACCTTCTCTCCACCAATCTTCCAGGCATTCTTCCCGACATTTGGCATCCCCAACCATTACAATGGCGAATAATGACATATCTCTCTACCCTTACTCCCCTTCAAAGCCTGCAGCCATCGTCAGCGTAGTATTCTTTACGATCTTACTAGCAGTACATTCTGTGAAGTTGTTCAAAACAAAAACATGGTTCGCTACACCCCTCGTCATCGGCGCCATCTGTAAGTTTCTCTTCCTCCCACAACTCATCGGTAATCATAACTCAATCTGAACAACAACCTTCCTAACACCTTCCAAGTCGAGTCTCTAGGCTACGCGGCTCGCGCATACGGCCACTTGCACCCATCCTCAAAGAACCCGTACATCCTCCAAACCCTTCTCATCCTACTCGCCCCTATACTCTTTGCAGCAACAATCTACATGTTCATGGGCCGTATCATCCTCGCATCTGGGCATACAAAAGCGTGCATCATCCGGCCAACATGGCTAACGAAGATCTTCCTGGGTGGCGACATATTGTGCTTCTTGGTGCAAGCTGCAGGTGCTAGCATGCTAGTGAAGGCTGATGCTTCACAGTCGACGAGGGATCTGGGCAAGTATGTTGTACTTGTTGGGTTAATTATACAAGTCTTGGTCTTTGGCTTCTTCTTGATCGTTGCAGCGCTCTTCCACCTTAGAGCTAAGAGAGTCGAGGAGACGAAAGGACAGCTTCGAATGTTCCATTGGCAGAAGCATCTGTTTACACTGTACGCTGCTAGTGGACTTATCACAGTGCGTAACTTGTTTCGCGTTGCTGAGTATGTTATGGGTGGTATGCACAACCGTTGCTTGTCTTTGTCGTATTCTTGACTGACTGGAAGCAGAGGAGGGATACTTATTGACACACGAATGGCCGATATACATCTTCGACGCACTGCTTATGGCTGCCGCACTTGCGATTTGCATTTCGTGGTACGTTGGTAACATCGTGCCTAAGGCCAGCAATGTCGATGAAGAAGATATATACGTGATGATGGCTGATCGGGGTATTCATGGCAATCGGGTATAGGACTCGAGAGGCTCAATAGTCGGGGGCGGTTCAGTGCACAGCTAGGCGGGTGTCTATCATGTTTGGTCCCATCATAGCAATCGCCATATGAGAAAATGACACTCGTACTTCAACAACCACGTCTTAACACTTGAATTAGAGATAACCCAGAAATCTTAAATTCTTCATCTCGAACATACTCGGACGTGTAGCCTAATGGTAAGGCACTCACACCCAATGGCCACCAACCGGATGTGCTGCGTAACTCTACGAGCACCGGTTCTGCGACCTACCGAGGTCGAAGCGTGAGCACAGGGGAACAGACTGCGAGCACCTGTGTGGGTGACGTGAGGGATCCATGTTCAAATCATGGCATGTCCAATTTTTGTTGGGGGATCTTTTTTGTTTTTGGTTAATCATTGGAAGGGAATGTGCATGGTCGATTGGCGGATACATGCATATGCGAAGCTACACCTCTCATCTTCTTTACCGTCATTGGTACGTTCGCTGGTCGGCATGTTATCTCTTTCTGCATCAGTGGACAATAGCGGTAGCTCCAACCCCGATATTGAGACGACAATATCAAAACAGCTCGATGGGCCTGAGAGGTCGTGGCGTCATTCTATGGGTCGGTGCGATAGTGGATACTGCAGGCTGGAGGTGCTCATAGTATCGCTGACATGTGAGTCAGCACTGGTAGTAGTGAGGTACGAACTTCATTCGACAGTATGTTACCTATCCATACTATGCACCCTATACGGGAACACCGAGTATACCAGTCGTCTCATGCTCAACGATCTCTACACCATCAACACCTTGCTAAATGCCACAACACCTACTCATACATCCCGCTCATCCACATCTACATATCCTTTGTCAAATCATAAATCTTCTGAATCTCCTTAAGCTGCCCCTCATGGTCAAACTTGAGATCCTTCAACAACCCATCCCCAAACCCAAACACCCAACCGTGCACAACGGGGAACTCATTCTCCGCCCAGCACTGCTGCACAGCCGCGGTCTTGATAACATTTCGGCACTGCTCGTACACATTGAGCTCAACAAGCTTATCGTATTTCTCCTCTTCAGTGCCGCCATTGGCTACAATGGCGTCCAGCTCCTCTTGGTGCAATCTGTAGACGTCGCGAATGTTTCGGAGCCAGGGGTTCAGGAGACCCATGTCTTTTGGTGTCATGGCGGCTTTGACACCACCACAGCCGTAGTGACCGCAGACGACGATATGCTTGACTTTAAGGTGGCGGACGGCGTAGTTTACGACGGACATGACGTTCAGGTCGATGTTGTTGACGAGGTTGGCGATGTTGCGGTGGATGAACATCTCGCCTGGATCGAGACCGGTGATGGCTTCGGCGGGGATACGGGAGTCAGAGCAGCCTGCAGGTACTGGGTTAGCAGGTTGGTCTATGTGATGAATGTATAGATGGTTGTGGTGGAGGGCAATTGAGTCACTAAAGTCTAGCCGGAATACAACTCACCAATCCACAGATACTCTGGGGCCTGTCCAGCACTCAGATCCTTGAAGAAACCCGGGTTCTTCTTCCTCATCTCATCGGCCCATTTCTTGTTGTTCTCAAAGATGCGGTCATGGCTTTGCTGCAGGTACTTGCGCACCTCCTTGGGCTCTTCCTTTCCAGTCATTCTGGGCCACGAAAAGTGTCGTTTGGCGCTGATTGGCTGTTGTGCAGTAGTAGATGTTTGCAAGAGCGGTGATGTTGCCCGTCCAGTATGACAAGATCGCAATGAAGTCTTGTAAAGTAAAGACGATATCGGCGAGGAAGTATGCTGCAGCGGTGTTGCGCTTGATAAGAGACGGGATGCGGGAGCGAAGGAGAGCTGCCCCGCTGTGACTAGCTCTCGGAGAGCGTGGGGTAACCGGTACGGCATGACAAGACGCAAAGAAAAAAAGATGGCGCAAGAGAGGTAAAACACCCAATCCTAGAGCTGCGGGCAGTTTCGGTTCTAGGAGAGAGGGGACGCGAAACGGATAATGCTCGAATTATTTTGCTTCTGCTGCGCGCCGATTGGGCGCTCTGACGTCAAAGGATTGGCTAAAGCATCAATGACCCTGGTTGCAGATCAGCGGACGATGGATCTAGCGGAGACATCTGAGTGAAGCACCGAGACTGCAGCCTCATTAATATCTCAGCGAAACAACCCAAGAGTCATCTGTTGCACTGAATCTACTAGGTGCTATACGGCGGCTTTCAACCGGACAGAACACAATGGCTCTTGACGACGCCAAGAGATCCATTATATCGCGCCATGCAGACCGTCTATTGAGCACAAGGGCTTGGCCCAAGACGATCTGCCCCTCCGAAATTGCCCGCGCGTTATCAATAGAGGAGCTGCGTACACTAGACGCGTCAGAGTGGAGGGATACCATGGATGATGTACGACAGATGATGTGGGAGAGGAAAGAGGCCGGAGAAGTCGAAGTGATGCAGAAGGGCCAAGTGGTGGATGTGGAGAGTTTGGAGGATATCAGAGGACCGATAAGAGTGAGGAATGTAAAAGGATGATACAATATCAGGACATGCTCTGAACGCTGTTGTTGATTAAAACACCAACAAACTCCGATATACTCCAACGAACTCCAATGAACTCCAATATATGCATGCATTCAAACCTTCCTGACTTCTCAAACTTCAAGTCTCGGGATGCTTGGCGCCACTAGCATCGAGACCCTGCCATTTCCCCTCATCCCAGCCCATACTGGGATCTGTCGCGTTACCCGCCTTGCCCTCCTCCGTAAGGTTCTTGATGTCACTCCAGTACTCCAGCTTCTTGCACTCGTCATCTGCTGCCTCGATGGCCTTGAGCAGGTTATCGATTCTGCGTTCTTCGGCGTCGCCTTCGGGCTTGGAATCTTTCTTGTGTTGTTCGCGGTGGTCTCTGGCGGCTTCGAAGCGGTCCATGAGTGTGGAGAGGAGCTGGCGACGCGAATTCTGGAATATAAGCATCGACATGATGGACGGGATCTGAACATGTTAGTCGTGTTCGAGATGTGGGGATACAATATGCATACCTGTCCTGCGAGGTAGTGCAGTTCCTCGCCTCCATCGTCGATGAACTTGTGTATGTAGATTATCTTCTCACGGTCGATGGCAGCTTTCCTCAGTTTCCTCATCAGTGTTGCAATGTCCCTCACTTCTTCGTCCAGGCTCGTCTGGGCACTGTCCAACAGGCCGCTGCCAGTACCAAACGTCGTTGACCTAGCCAATGTGGTGCCGATGCTGAATGTCTCGCCGAACATGCGCTCCTTCGCATTCTCCTTGGTCTTGGGCGGTAGCCTCTGCTTCACCCGTCTCCGTAGCCAGCGTCGTCGCCGAACGAAGCTATGGAACCAAGGGTGGTTGCCGTGCCAGGGTGAGCCCTTGAACAGCAGACTGTACTGCCAACCCTCTTCATCGACATCCAGGCTCATGTCGACATACCAGCTCTTCCAGTCCCATACCCAACTTGGGTCGGGGACTTGTGCATTTGTGATGTTAACTGCGGAAGGTCTAAACTTGGCATCTTGCCAGGGCGCAGGGTCAATTCGTAGATTCCACAGCGCCTTGTTCGAGAATAGCGGTATTCCGAATATGAACCAACCGCGCTGGTTCTCGTAGAGGATATCGATGTGAGAGTCCGATGTGGTCGGTCGCTGTTCGGGTTGTGCAGCCGTAGTAGGCGTGTTGTCACCGTTGGACGTGTGGTCGACGAGGTTTATCTGTTGGTCCGCCATGGTACAAGCGTGATGTAGAAGTCAAGGAGAGTAAGACGCGAACGCCGTTGCTATCGTAGATACATGAGGGTTAGGCAGGCGCGGAACGCTGCATAGGTAGTCGGCAATCGCTCGAGGGTGGCTGTTAAGGGGCGCGCACAGAAGATGCACACTGGGAAGACGCGACTGAAATGCGGCAACAATAGAAATAATATTAACGCTATAATGGCATTACAATTAGTTTGTAGAAGTAAGAGCAACGAGCGTATGCAATGTGGATCCGGCCTGTCATGCTTCGTGGAGTGAGCTAGTTTGACGATCTGGTTCCCGTGGCAGTGAAAAGCCCGTGCTGGAGCTGTGTGCCATTACGTCACACATGCGCTTGTTAGAAAGACGCCTTCCAAGGTTCCCCTCCCTCGCACAACTTTGATCCTCCATCTTCAATTCGTAAATCATATAGCTTGATCATCTTTCAAGTCCAATCAATCCAACACCACAAACTACCCATCACATCGACAATGTCTCGTCGTTTCGCTACATACGGTGGTCTCGCTGCTGTTGGTGGTGTGACCTACTACCTCTACAGCGCTGGAGGCGACCCGAAGCTTGCCGAGAAGAAGGCCGAACGTAAGTCTTGCAAGTACTGATGCCTAACATGTTGACTGACAATTGCAGACGATGCTGCGACTGCTGCACGCAAGCTAAGAGGCGACTACCCCGGCCAGGACAAGGAAGCAAAGAAGGCTGGCGAGGAGGGCTACGAGGCAGTCCGCGCCAGTGCACAGCAATACGTGCGTACACTATGATTCCAAGTTAGTTGTGACAGTATGCTGACCATGATTAGGCCAACCAAGCCAAGGCGGAAGCAAAGAAGGCAGAGCAAAAGCTTGATGCTTACAGCGCCGATGCGAAGAGGCAGTACGAAGATGCCAAGGCCCGCGCTGAGCGTGAGCTACACGAGGCAGGCAAGCAGGTCAACGCTGCCGCCAACAAGTTCGATGCTGTCGTCGAGGACAAGGCCGCCAAGACTTCGTCATGGTTCGGCGGATTGTTTGGCGGAAAGTAAACTCAAAATGTACAGGACTGGTAATATAATGATAATGTAACAAGAGGAGCTGAAGATTGTTATCAAGGATGTTGCATGAGCATTGGAGTATATAGGCGCAGGTCTTCTATCTCAATACGATACGATACGATGCGATACGATACGATACTTACGGTTACTCTCCATCATGTCGTTGGTGAGAAGCACAGACGTCCTCTGGGCTGAGCGTGAAGGCATTACTTTTGTTCAGGCGGATTTTGGCAAAGACGATGTGAATATTAAACGCGTTGCGTCATTGCAGCAACGAGGAACCAAAATGAGAAATGAGTGGTGCAAAGACGCCGGATGCGTGGAGCAACGACACGCTCAAGTTTCAATTAAGTGGGGCGGAAACGCGACGCGAACGCGCAGAAGCGTAAAGCGCGTCGGACGTGCCTTCCCTGTTTTGCAACCCCCCCTCGGCTCATAAACACTCCTTTGAACCTCGTCTCTACAACCCACACGACACATCACCTATCGACATTGTTCCAGATATCTCATCGTCGTATCAATTCCGCTTATCTTCACCAACAATGTCGCCTATTGCTCCCGGTCAGCTTCCGGCCGAGCTCGTCAACCTTCTCGCGCTACACTCTTCCTTCCTGACGGCGCTGTCGCTGCATTACGCCCACAATGGCACTTCAACGCCTGCCGACCTTCGAGACCTGATTGCATCGACAACTCTAGTTTGGCGGCAACGCAAGGTCACGTACGATGACATCCGACTACTTATTGGTATTCTCGACCACGGTCCCTCCGGCAACAACAACCCTTACTATTTATCCGACTATGGTCGCGGCAAAATCTGCATTGAAATCAAGGATAGCAGCCCGATGATGAACGGCATGACACACATGAACGAAGAAGGGCTCCAAGAAATGTTCAAGGAGGGATTAGATACGTTGTGGTCACAATGGTGCACGTCGCAGAAGATGATGGCCCGACCAATTGCGGTGCCCAAGCGCGGACGGGGACGCCCAAAGAAGGCCGACATCAAGCAAGCATGCATGGACACATTCCTTGATGATACCTCCATGTTCAAATTCCTGAGTCAGCTTCCTCTCGCCGAAGTCACCACATGCGAATCGCTCACCGCGCTTGCGCCAGCACAAGAGAAGGGACGCAAGAGGTTGAGGGAGTTCAAGGAGAGCGTACAACAAGGCCGTGCACTGAAGAAGACGAGATCAACCATCGGAAAGGAGAATGAGCCTTCCTTGGGACAGAACCAGCAGGTGCAACCCGCCCAACCCAAGATCACCGAATTCGCTGCCGTCCGCAAGACCAACCTCCTCGACCGTATCCTCGCAAAGCAAGAAGCCGCAAAGGCTGGTCCCACAGCACCAACACCCGCCGAACTTCAGAGAAAAGCAGCTCTACAGCGTACTCCAGAAGTTATTGGTGTCCTCTCTCTGCTCTGCGCGAACAGACCCGGATCCCGCGTTTCTTTCTCAACACCCACCCTTGTGCAGGCAATACAGGGTTCTATTCGATCTCCAATCTCCAAAGAAGAGGCTATGAAGTGTGTAGAGGTTTTGGCAAGCGAAGTCGCCCCAGGATACGTGTCAGTCGTCAGCATGGGCAGTATTTCTAGTGTTGTCATCAACCAGATGATGAGACCCACGGATATCAAGAGCAGGCTGATTGCGCTGGGCGCTTGAAGGTCTAATCTTTTACATTCTATTAGTTGTCCTCGGACGTTCTTGTTGTAAGTAGGTGAACTCGTTTAGAGTCCGTTTTGGTTATTGTTTGTTTATCGCATTATATTAGCGAGCGTATTTTGTTCTTTCGCTGTACAGTATCTTAGCCTATAGCATATCATAATTGCACAACCTACATCCATCATTCTTGTTCTTTTGTTTTCCTGGTCTCGATGCGATCCCGCTCGGATTCCAGATACCCGACAGCGTCTTGCTACGCGTGGCTTGACGCCTCTTCTGACAACTGACAGCCGTTACACGTCAGGCTATCACAGCTCGCCTCACTTGTCAGCACATGTGCGCGCTGAAAATGCGTTGGTCGTACACCATCACAACACTGATCTTCACGGTATCGACCTCACGTCACCTAAAATCGACGTACGACACGAAGCCGACTCGTAGAATCTCCAACGTCTAGCGACGTGTCGTATCGTGCCATTGAATGGGTACAAACACCACCACAAATCCGACGAAAACCTAGATTCCGAAACAATGACAGCCAAGCACCACCATCTTGTGACAGAAAACATTCCGACAACACCACTTCATCAGAATGACAAGACGCCAGCATTGACGGAAGACAATCATTCCATTGTTCTGGAAGAAGTTGTCGCGTCAATGAACAACGCGTTTGCCCACGTTTCCGAACATGAATGTTTCTTGCCTCAGGCTGTGGGGGATCTACATATAACATGTGTGTTCCTAATGAGGAGCTAACAAGCGCATGAAATCGTACCATTATTCAAGAGTGACCAGAAGCATAATACAGCGAACTACCTCTGGCAGGTCTCTTCTCTAATACGATCATCGACTTTACCGATACCACACCTTGATCGCTTTACCAACCTCCTACCAGAACCACTATAGCCAGCCGGCCACCATGAAGTCCATAGCATTCCTCTTCGCACTCTCAACCCTCTTCCTCTCAACTACAAACGCACAAGTTCACCCACGCATCCACCGCCGCTGCGCATCCAACCACACCGTCTCAGCCACTGCCTCAGCGGGTCTACCACCAACAACGCTATCCACATCCTTTATGCTCGCCTCAACACCATCACCCCTACCATCAACCCTCGCAACCTCCGTGTCCGCCTCGCCATCTCCACCAGCGGCCTCCTCCGCTACAGCATCCTCACCAGCCACGCCGTCCACCTCCGCAGGCGCAGGTACCGGAAGACAAGTTACGATCAATCCGGGCGATACACTAGAGAAAATTGCTGCGGCGAACGGAGCGGGGATTTGCGATATTGTAAAGGCGAATGGAATTCAGGATCCGAATCTGATTTTGACGGGAGACATGTTGACGATTCCTGTTGTGCGGGGGCAGAAGGATGATAAGAGTTGTTTGCCTTGAGGGGGGAATGGAGAGCGTGATAGGGTAATGGTTGATTGCTGTGTGTATACAGGCTGAATGGAGAGTTTTATGGAGCTGTTCGTGTGCTTGTTCATGTTTGATTATGACGTGGAAGTGAAAGATATGAGGGACGTGTTGTAAATTTTCCTTCTAATTAACAATCGAGTGGTAGCATCATATGGATGCTGAAAATGTGCCTTGAGTAGTATAGCTGTATGGTTTTACAAGGACACAGAGTCGCCATCTTAAATGCCCGTGAGAACTTGGGTGAGTTCCTCGCGGTGCTTGGGTTGGCAGAATTGTTACAAGTCTTTCTTTCATATCAGACATTTTGTTGTAGCTGGCCAGGAAAAAGGTTTGAGGTGTTGCCACTAACAAGAACGATTGATTTGACTGTTGCAGCGCAGTGTGTGGTGGTTTTGGGCGAAAAGCTCGATTTTAGAACTCGTTGTGTCTTGCCTACAAGCCTCTAATGGTAAACACCAGTAATGCGAAACATATTGCAAGTTTCAAGGATAGACGGTGTTCCGCTAGGTGGAGCTAAGAGGAAGGAAGCCTCTTTATCAAGTAGATTGTTCGTTGACAGGTTTGCCTATCGCGAATGGGCTTTTAAAATCGAAACCACGATTGTAGAAATCGTGTTCCGTAACATTTGTGTGCTATGCAGTGATGATTATAGCACCTAAGGTAAAATAAATGTGTCCAGCGAGGTCGTTAAGCGGCAGAGGGGATAATGGTGGGGCACTGCCAAAAACAAAGCGACGAACATTCATCCACCACCCAAACAACCCCCATCCACCCACGCACTTCGCGTGGACAAAAAGGAAAGCTTCTCAAGCCCGACGTGGGGGTCGAACCCACAACCTTGAGATGTACTGAGTAATCGTGTCTATTAGACCGTGAAAGACTAAGAGTCTCACGCTCTACCGATTGAGCTAGCCGGGCTGGTTTGTTGCCTGTTGTTGAAGATACAGTGTAAATTTTTCATTATAACGAAAGGTTTGTGTACAGTAATATGTTTGACCGGCAGCAGGTTTTTGGTAGCGCGGTGTTCATGTTCGTGGCCGCACATGGCCGTGGTGTGCGAACGTTCCCGTCTTTCGACAACTCCAACTTTGAAATTCGACAACTCCACATTGCATGGATGGAATCTAGTGCCCGGTAGCTCAAAACAATACGATCGATCTGTCTAATAGTTTCCCCCTTCGGAAATTTGATCGTATTGCTTACATCAGTATCCGCTGACGATGTATTTGTTGCTGAGAGAACTTCGGGGCCAAGGCACCATCGGAGCCGATAGTCTTAGTGACCCAAGGAACACGATCAATGATGTCGTGCTCAAAATATCACGTCAGCAAGGACACAACTCGGCCGCGAAGACACTAATGGGCAATGGATACAGTTGGTACAAGTGATGCAAGAATTTAGAAATGACACCCTCCCCTGCGTTGCGGTTATCGAGACAATGAACGATCCGAGGCCACTTTGCATTGCACCTGCAGCACCCATCGTACAGGCTGCATAGCCAAAGGGACCTCGCCCTATTTGAACCACTGGATGAGATTTGCATTTGAGTATATGCGGCTGAGAGGAGTCCTATCCACTTCAGCGAGGTTGTGGGGTTCGACAACCTGCCCTAGCAGACATTCCTGGGCTCAGCGTGCAACGTTAGCAAGAAGGCATACGAGGCCTAGATGCGCCGAACGAGGTGATCACGTACTCGGGTTGCGCCTTAGACAGGACTCTTTGAGGCCATCATGTAGCGCTCGGGGAGTATACTCCTATCACCCTTGTACCTGGCAGCATTGGTAGCATCGGGCCTAGAATGTTACTGCAACACCCAAGCAAGTTCGGTACCAAATCTTCACCACCTTCCGGCCGCGCTGACGTATCTGTGGCTGATGTCCACCTCTAGACCATGACCAAATCACTGGGAACAGAACCTGAACACAAAAAAGCAACCTTAAACTCCGCGACGGAGACCCTAGAACGGTTCCTTCAGCGCACGATCGGAGTTACACGGGGAGAACGCCACAAAAAAAGCAATTATGGATTTCCGTGAACCATAGCTGATCACAGTGACCATGTTGCTTGCACGTGTTGCTGAGATGGAGTGATAATAGAACGCCCACGAGAAAGTCACTACAGTCGCGGCTAGGACTGTCGGATTATATGACAGTTCCCAAATGAGCTACAGGGATCAATCGTCGATTCCATGACAGCCGTCACATCCGCGCGGAAAGGAACAGCCCCATGTGCCCATCTCCAGTTCATCTCACTACTCCGAGTAGAGTTCGTGCAAGTTCCACAAAGGATGTTTCAGAGCATATTGGACCCGGTAACGCACAGCCTCATGTTCATATGTGAGGCGCCCCTTGGACTTCGCTTCATTTGGATGCCTACCACAAAGCACAAATGTAGTATTCAAAGTACGGGACCTTCGGTATGACGAACGTTTTCAGCACTACAGATGCCGTAGAAGCCCCTATATTCGACATTAGATCTACATAAGATCTACGTACTTGGTCTAAGCTCCAGTGTCCTAAGGCGAGTGTTAGCTTCGAATCCACATGTACGAACGCGAACGAGAGCTGGGTGTCGCACCAAGTAGACTTGATAAAAATCCATCTTTACTTCGCCATCTTCTTCCTTGACTAGGTGCGCCCTTGCGGCCCAATCTTTGCTAGACTCACCCCCTGCCTTGAAGCCGTACTTGACCGTTCCATACAGCATTACCTCGTCTGCTTTCGGGCCGAACGGGAATATCTGGAGTGGCTTGTGCACTCTGGTAGAAACCTTTTCCCACATGGCTTTGCGCAGGGACAAAATCTCTGAAGCCAAGAATCAGCCTCACCAAGCGTAAAAGGGTATCATCAGACCGTCAGGGACCCGGTTGAACCTCTTGGCTGGATGGAAAAAGCAACTGCGACAAACCTTCTCGGCCCGCTACCCTCTTAGAGGCCATGACGAGTGTCGCATCCCTAGTAAAGTAGTCGACGTATTTCTCATGCGCTTCAGCCGTATCGGACGTAGCGTAGAAATCCTCGAAGAATTTCTTGTATGCAGGGTCAAACTCAACTGCCGGCGGATATTTAGACACGTAGGAGTTCATTTCGCGTTCAATTGGTGGTGTGTGTGGGATCATGGGTTGGGGGTGGTTATTAATACGGCTGGTCAAACGTCCAGCGAAGGCTTGCTTGTAAGGCTCGTATTGCGTGCCTGACGTAGGGGCTCGGCGGCGGGCCGGGCGGGAACGGCGTTCTGCAATTTCCAACTTCAACCTCCACTCATCACCAACATACACTCGGTTGTACGATTCACGTCGGTTTACCGGCTCCAAATTCTTGAAAAAATCGGGTGTGAATGAACAGATCATGATCTTGGTTAGAGGTGTTGGCGTCAGGACACAGTCAGCCTCGAATATCCTCAGGTTATGGTACCCGAGCGGCACTATCATCTTTCACCATAGTAGCGCCAACCATTCAGAAGAGATGCCGAGTTCGAGCGCGAAGTCCCCCGCAGTTGCGTAATGATGAGGCACCCCTGGGGTCGTTCTGCAAGGATTCCATATCTTCTCGCCTGCTTTGCCCTCGGTCACGGTCACGGCCTCAACAACACGAGAAATACCCTGAGTACCTGCGCAAGCGCAGCGAAGGTTTCACCGAGGCATGGGTGTGTTGTCATCACGGCTAATGCCGCGGACCCAAAGAGCTCAAACTCACCGAAAACGGGATGAAAAATCTCTTCGGGAGTTGCTTCCGGACAAGTTCAGGATGCATGTGTCCGATCTAGGAACTTAAGTTTCAACTTCAATCGCAACACCTACAGGCGCAACGACTATGGTGTCGTTGCGCGCAACACCGGTATCGAGATTCGAACAGTTCCTGGACACAAGCTACGATGACTCAATATACATTGGAGATCGGAGTGGCGTCCATCTGGTTGTTCTTGGCCACAGTCTCAGGCTACGTCTCGAACTACTCCGGAGGTACTTGTCAAGGCAAAGACCCGTTGAGTGACCGTTCCTAGTCACGGTATCCACTGAACTAGCTCTGGCTCTGCTATCACACGGACTGTGGATCCGTCGGCGATGCTGTCAGAAATCAAATCCTTCAGCTGCTTTGTCCATGTGCAAGTACATGGGAGAGACATGCAAGGGTAACGCTACCAACCTAGCTAATCGCACTCAGATTTCATGCTTAGCCACGCCTGTACGAATGCGAGTTTCTTGCCCCTAGATGTTCAACGGCTACAGGCTCTGAATACGTCCCCAGCTCGCATCGCCCAGCGCCATAGTAATGCCACACAACCAAAGATCTATGACCTTAGGTCTGAAACGTCGTCCTCCGAACAGGGTCATACGAAACACAAATCTTCTTTGGAACTAAAAGTCAACGGGAGCTAGCAAAGCTCCGTTGCGATTCAGTGGCGTAGGAGGTTTCCAGATCTAGCCTTCGCCCTAGACGTCACTGTAAACCGCATCTGTGGCGCAATACTCAACATGCTTCCCACACGTGCATGCCGCACTCCATGATGATCTACCCCCGGGGCGTACCCACGGCTCCTATGTGGATCGATACTGGCATATAGGAGATTTCATAGTTGGATCGCCCGATTTGGCTGTCCGAGTATCCGGCTAGAGGTAGAAGCCTACCAGGTCTGGAGACTGGCTCCCGAGTATTAATGGGGGCACACCCTGTCCGCCATTTTACAGACATAACTACCCCAGGAGTCTCCATCATCTGGGTTAATCTTCGCCCAACATGACTTCTTCTGGTCTTCCATCCGACACTCTTGAGACACATCAAATGGCAGACCACCGTCGACGATCCAGTGAGATCATCCCCGTGCAGGATGTTACCGTTCCAGCGCATCTGCTTCGGGCTACGGGTACCCTTGGGTCCAAACGCGACAACACGCATACTACACATACAGGAAACTGGGAACCACAAGCAGAGAACCCTTTCCTCGACCCTGAACGAATAGGAAGCATCCGTCGCCGTCCAACTCAAGATTCCGGTAGCCTTCAGCGCAACGGTACCCAACGGTCTATCAACCTTGAACGTACGGGAACGCATGGTGAACGAAGGAGGAGTAACCGATTCTCTTGGTTCAGTAACAATGGTGCAAAGAGAAACTCGCAGCACAGCGGGGTACTTCCATCACCAACTGAGGAGAACCTAAGACCCTTCCGGACCCTATCCTACATCCAAGGGTCAACCGACGTTCTAGCTCTGAGCCCTCGAGGAAGTCGTGCACCATCACCAAGTCCCACCGCATCTACGAAGTGGTCCAATGACGACCCATTCGCCACAAAGCCCAGCTCAATCCGAAGCAACCCTTTTGCTACGGGCAACAACTCTGTCCGAACATCAATGGACTCCCCCGAGGAACCTGAAGCTGCACACCACGCCGGTCGTCTGCGGAAAAACACTCTACAGTCTGTTGTCGATGGCATGGTACCCGATGCTTTGAAGCGAAGCATGACCAATGCATCCTACTTCAAGAGGAGTGAGATGTTTGGCACCTACGAGAAGGCGAAGAAGAAGGGAGCAGAGATTCAACGAAAGAAGTGGGTGCAACTCACTTTTGAGTATGCCATCTATGCCTTCCTGATACTCTTCGTCTACTTCGTCCTGATCGGAGTTCCACTTTGGAATGGTGCTGTGTGGTGGCTCTACTGGGTCGTGGAAACTAAGTTCGTTATCGCCGGTGGTTTCGGTATCGTGCTTGGAATTGCGCTATTGTAAGTCGTTCTGGTACTCTCTCCGTCTCTTCAGTGATTAATTTACCTCAGCTACGCGTTCGCGCCTCTGCTCATTCTGTTCGAGAAGGATCCACCGCCCGCCGACTTCACGACAGAGACCAAGTTTCACTCCAATGTTGACGATACATGCCTCATGATCCCATGCTACAAATCTGCTGGACTCATTGCCAACACACTCGAAGCTGCCTTGAAGATCTTCCCTCCATCGCACATTTTCGTCATCGCCAACGGAAATAGCCCGACGCCACTCGACAATACGGAAGAGGTCTGTCGCCCATACGGCGTGAACCACATCTGGTCGCCTATTGGATCGAAGATCGTTGCTCAATTCGTTGGTTGCTACGCTGCGAAAGCGTTCAAGAATGTTTTGCTCATTGACGATGACTGCGCACTGCCTGACAACTTCCCTGTTGTTACTGAGCGGTTGAGTGGCAAGGTCATGTGCATTGGTTACACCATCAAATCTGTCGGACCAAACTCATCGAAAGGCAACCTTTGCCAACAAGCTCAGGATCTCGAGTACAAGCTCAGCGGCATTCAGCGTGAGTTTGCTGGCAAGGTCGGTTCCGCTACCTTCCCACACGGAGCCATTTCCCTTTGGGACCGTGAGTTACTTGTCAAAACTTTCCACGAGCATCCAGGCTTTAGTGTATCAGAAGACTGGTTCTTTGGTCACGTCGCTCGCAAACTCGGATGTCGCATCAAGATGTGCTCGCAAGTCTTCGTCGAGACCGAAACACCGACCGCTGTCTTCATCTCTGGTGGTGGTTCTCGTGGTGGTTTCGGCGAGATGACCATTTTCTCGCAACGTTTCAAGCGCTGGAATTTCTTCTTCGTCAACGGCATGTACTACAATATGGCATACATTTTCGGTAGCTGGAAGCTCGGTTGGTGGGAGATCGGCGCAAAGATTTTCGTCTTCCAAGAGGTAAGCAACTCCGAGTCAATCTAGCCCACTCAACGTACTAACAAAACACTAGGTCTACGAAACTCTCCTCTACCTACTCACACCTTTCATCCTGCCTATCTCGTTCTACGTCCGCCCCTCGTTTTGCGGTTACCTTCTCGCCGCTACGATCGTCATGTACCTCATCAACACCATCATCTTCAACGAAGTGCACCTCCGCCGCAAGAACGAGCGCGTTGGCTGGCAGCTCATGTACATATACTACCTGCCCTATAAGCTTGTCTTGACTGTTATCAACGTCGCAAGCTGCTACTGGTCACTATACAAGTACGCCAAGTACTTTGCCAAGCGTCACCCAAAGGTCATTGAGGACGACAAGGCTGTTGAGGTTGTCATTCGTCTTGAGGAAGAGAAGACAAACCCAGAGTGCGGTCTCGGCAGACGCATGACTGTGCGCACCATCGATACACGATCCCGCGCCAGCGTGGATGAGGGTAGACGCTTATCATCTGATGCCATCGAGGTTGGAGGAGCTTCTTACGCAATTGTCACGGAGCCTGAGGATGTTCACTCTCCTGGCCTACGTCATGCTCCCTCTCACCAAGTCAGCACGACAAGGCCCAGCAGTCCTCTGCTACAGAGTGAGGGTATCGTTACAAGGGACTACTTCGATGTAGCGCAGGATGCGAACATCGATATCGAGAAGCAGAACAAAAGGACGAGCCGTTTGAGTGGTTGGAGTCAGAAGTCACAGCGCAAAGACGCTTACTAAATTCGTTTCCTTTGTCTAGGGTCGGCGTTTGAGCTTTTTATCTGGGCGACAATCTGTTATATACCTCCTGCGCATACTATAATCTCTTTTAACGGCCGAACAAATAAATAATGTATACCATTCAACACGCTTTCAATGCCTCTGTGAAACGTTCATGCAAGTGGCCTTGACCGGTTGATGCGCTGCTACCACAAAAGATGTCCTCAGTGGAGGCATCTGGCACCTCACAAGACTGTGGGTTGAGTCCACGGATAACTATCAACGATTACTTCGTACCTGATTCATACGTAGGTAATACACAATCTGGTGTTTCATCCTTGTCCACCAAGCGCATTGGCGCTCATCTTACGCTCCTTGTTGAGCTCATGTACAATCAAGCATCAGCCGATGCTTCTCCCGCGTCGTTCGCTGCTCTCGCTTTCCCTCCACTTCCACCCCTTCCTCCACCTCTACCACCCCTACCGCCGCGGCCACTCCTCTTCCCCTTTTGTACATCACCAACCTCCTTCTCCCACTCCTCAAGATCCACAACCACACCCTCAGGCAACTTCCCATCTCTCATCAGAACTCCACCATCCTTCTTCCTACTCTCGACCCTCTTAAAGAACTCATACGAAAGGAAGCCCTCATCATTACCCTCAGTGAGTATAACACCGTTCTCCGACACGAAGAACTTGATGCCAGCAGCGAGAGCAGCGTTGATGTCGATGTATATGAGGATCGAGGAGTTCTTACGCATACCTGAGATGACTGGTGCCGACTCCTTTTCTCCAGTCGTAGGATCAGTGGAAGAGTCAAGAACTTTGAATCCTGCGGGGAGACCAGATGCGAAGTGGATGTGGTTCCGTCCCATACGTCGTAGACCACCGCTCTTTAGGATGAGGCTCCAGGCGCGGTCATCAGTGCCGTGGACGACGGTTTCGGGGATGTTGCCTGCTTCTTGAGTGATGGGAATCAGTAGGCCTTCTGTGTCAACTTTGATCGAGTGGCCTTGATTCGCGCGGATGAGGTAGTCTGCTGGGTCCTCTGATTCTGGTATACTTGACAGTGAGTCTGGTTCGGCTTGCTCTTGTGATGGTGCTGCGCTTTCAGATGTCTCTTGGTCAAGTGACGATGCTGGAACCATCGAGTAGCGCTGTTTATCGTTGTTGGCGACTATGTCGCGGAGTTCAGGGAATGTGACTTTTAGGCTCTTGAGAGCCTTGGTGTTGAGCTGAGTAATGTTAGTCTATTTTGTGGTCTACATATGGTTTTTTGAGTTGGCAAATGTAACCATGAATTTGCGGATAGTCATGCCTTCAGGTTGGGCATACATCAGACTTCTCAATACATTGATTGGGAGCAAACTTACCACTTCTTGCACGTTAACGTACCCACCCTTTCCCAACTTCAAGCCCTCCTGACTCGCACCATGCCTCAATAACCAACTGACTTTCCTTGAGACTTGTACTTCTCTTGGCTGGTTCGCTGGATTGCGACTACCGCCGCCTCGACCACCTCTCGCCATCTCTTTAAGTGATCTTTTGAAGAGTCGCGAAATCTTTGCGAAAGGAAAGTTTGAACGGGAGGCAAGGATTCTTAGCAGAGCCTGCGTACGTTTCCTGAGCCAGGGGAGTGACGCTCAATGAGTCAGTGTGATGGCGTACGATAGGGATGGTAGAGGTGGGCGTAAAAGGTTAGTGCGAGGGCCAACTTTTATGTGGCGACCCCGCAATGATTGGATGCGCTAAACACATCAACAACATGAACGCGACTGCGTCACGACGACGTTCGATCAAAGCTAGACAACTTCTGCTCTCAACGTACACTTCTGATCTCACAATACGGCCTTGAGCTTTTGGGAATTGATTTGCAACGTCAGTCACATCGGCTCGAGGCCCTTCGTGCCACGAAATAAGAAATCCATCTCAGCCACGTATAGTATACGAAGACAACATAGATGAATGGACGAATTGTGTAGGAAGAAGCATATCTACGGCAAACTACGAGAGACTAAGGCGGCGATTATATTAATCAGACTTATTCCTGTGGAGCAAAAGTACTCGAAGCCTCCCTTGCATAGAGGCATGACTCTGCTTCGGACCACACACTCAGTCTTGTTGTTCATGATGTCGCCTAAGTGCTCGAACAACAGTGTGGAGATGCCCGACCTTCATCTTGTTAGATGATACTCGCCGATTCTCACAAGCTCGTCGTCCGTCTATATGTAGCTGAGGCCACCGTCAAGCACCACACAGAGCCCTCCATGTACGCATCTGGACATGCACCCATGTTCATTCCCTGTGACCGGAAGATCGTTGCTTCCACCGACAACTCTCCAGAGCTACTCACAAGATTCCTTCCGATACGCCTCAGCTCATCTTTGATGAACTGCCTGGACCGCAGGAAGCCAGGTTGGTTCATATAGGGTCCATGCGAGAACTCCCTAGATCAAAGCTGACCTTTTGCAAGTTCTTGGGTAATTGTGCGAGGTGAGAGTAGCCAGGGCGGACGTCCTGAACAGAGAGATCCATCTTGTCGTAGTTCAACCTGCTGTAGAAAAAACCCATACTCAATACTTGCAGCATTAGCGAAGACATGAGGCGGTGCATAGCTTGTTTAATGATCGCACCATCTTCGATCTGTTCACCGATCACATAGTATTTTTTGGCCGTGTTCGTCCTCTCTCTCACCAGGTGCTCCTACAACAAGAATCAAACCCTGTCAGACGTACGATCCTCGCTCGGTCGAGACGAAACAGGCCTAGTGGCCTAGGGTTTGCAAGCAAAGGATAGTGGCGATTGCTCAAATAAGAGAACATAGCTTCCCGATGAAACTGCCGGACACCTTCGAACAGCAGCTGCTTGTCAACCTGCAGCCAAGCTGAGAGACCCTCTTTCGTGCTGGAGAAGTAATGCTATTCGATTGACAATTTGTTCCAACGATTAAAGCCAAGGCCGTTGCAAAATCCATACGTGGCACCGATATTGGTATTGGCGTGATAAAATCGAACGCAAACCCCCAAGAGTGCGTAGTGAAGAATGCGGTCTCTGATCTCAGTTGGCAAGGTAAACAAAGGCGAGTTGCTGCTGGTTTGGCGTTGGGCAATACGCTTACTCCTGCACGCTTGAGTGTCGGTGTCGGTACTGGTGATTGCGCGAGCTTCAGCGTTGACGACTCGCAACGGCTTCTGATCCCATTTCGAGAGTCTTGGCAGTTCTTGCAGTGCTGGTGGTGATAGGACGCGATCAACCGAGGGTGCCTCGCCTACGTTGGAACGCTCCATGGTAGTCGTCGTTGCGTTGGTGGCTGGGTGGGAAAGAGTGCAGGTGAATAGTGAAGAGGTGGGTACAAGAACCTCGATTGTTTGTGTACGTAAGTGGGCGTCAGAGCGCTTGTTCGTTTATGATTTTTGAGTAGTCACGATCCTGAGCGAGAGTGCAGTCTCGGTGCGCGTCATCAAAGACGAAGCAACGACCATGACATCAATCAGATTGCTTCAAAACTGAAAGCTACCAGATAACCTCAAACATCGAGATCAATCTTCATGGACGCACGGAGAAGATAGAACCGAACGAACTTTCTGTCCTCATAGTCAATGGGCGCGAGGCGAAACACAGAGTATGACTGACCTCGCATACGCAAGTTATCCAGCACGCTTCTCGCAGTTACACAACATGTGGCTCACGCAGTGTAGAAGCAGTGGTATTGACGGCAATGTACAACTTCATCGTTCCATCCAACGCCTAATATTGATAAACCTGAGTTGAACCCATCAGTAGTGCCTGCATACCTTCGTAACTGTCGAGCTCCTCCATCGCACTGAGTATGACCACACACTCCATTCCGTATCTTGTATACCACCCCCTCAGCATGCGCAACCCTCCTTAGGACCCTCTGTCCGCGCGCTGCCTAGGTTTACCCGCGCATCCTCCTGCCTGTTCAAGTTCGTCTGTCCGCCAACACCGCGAGGGCCCTTCAAGCTCGTTTCCGGAATGGCATTCGCGATAGCAGTAAAGACCTCGGCGACATTATGCCCTGTCTTCGCACTTGTTTCGAAGAACAACAAGCTTTCCTCATCGGCGTATGCCTTTGCCGTCTTACTGGGTACTCTCCTTGAGTCGGCTCCATCTTCTGTTGGCTCCTCCTCGCCTTCAGCTGCTGGGGCAGTATCTGCGTCTTCTGGGTTCTCTTCGTCGGCGGCGGTGGCAAGATCGAACTTGTTTCCTACGAGCGCGATGACGATGCCTGGAGAGGCTTGGCGGTGCAGTTCCGCAACCCAGTGCTGGGCTTTTGTAAGGGAAGAGGGCTTTGTGATGTCGTAGACGACAAGAGCGGCTTGGGCGTTGCGGTAGTACATGGGTGCGAGCGAGGCGAAGCGTTCTTGGCCTGCGGTATCCCAGATCTCAAACTTGATGGTTCGGGTTGGTAGGTTGCATTTCTGCGTCAGGAATGCGGCTAAAGAAACATTGTATTAGCCTTAATCCATCAATATACGATGTGGGTGATTGCTGGAATGATATCCTCTGGTATGGCTGCGTACGTACCTCCGATAGTAGGCTCCTTGTTCTCTTGGAAGTCGTTGTTGACGAAGCGCATAACTAGAGACGACTAGAAGAATGTTAGTTCGTGGTCGTAGTTATCTCTTGTTTCTCCATACCTTTCCAACAGCTGCTTCTCCTAGCAGCACGAGCTTGACGCTGCTGCTGGGCTTGGGTTGCGCGGAAGCGTCCGCCATAGTGAAGTCGCGAGAAGGGATGTGGTTCGGATTTTGCAGTTTATGTAGTGGCGAGTGAGGTTCTCTAGACTTAGAAGATGCCGTGCGACAGTCGTTTGCGATGTGATGCTGCGGTAAAGGTTGCGATGCTGTAGGCAGGTGGTTTGGAGATCGCCGAGAGCAGTGACGAACTCAAACACGTGACTTACTTACTAAGATCGGAACGCACTTGGCGTTCGAACTGATTTCGATACATCCTATCTCAGTCATGTTACATGTCAGTACTTTCTTTTTGTCCAGCATCTGCAGTCCAAGAGCATCATAACTAAATGCTCCTCACGGACTCATATGTTCTGCTAGCAGAGAAGAGTTTGCGTAACATCCACTGCTCAGGCGAGATTCATCGTGGCTCAGATACTTCACCTCTAATCAACCTTGGAATGTCGACCTCTCAAGTTGCAGTGATTGAATGTTCTTTAGGTTGCTTGTATATGCAACGAGAGACTAGTGGTTCGGAAACGATCATAGCTCTTGACATTGCTATTGGCTTGTGCGAAAAAGCATCTGGATGAGACCCGCTTCTTGTTGATGCACTGCTTGTAAGAAGACAAAAAAGATGCCAACATACATGGCGTTACTGTTACGTAGCTCCCACGAGGAATTACACCAGCTGTTACCATCCGGTGTACGGCGGAAGAAGAAAGTTCCGCAGGCATCCGCAAAGCCGACAATGCCCATATCATAATACCCAGTCTCCACATTGGGTCGGTATGGAGAAATCGCGAAAGCATCTCGTCATCGCATATGCATCTGGCATCCTGCGATGCAGGAACTTAACTTTTTTTGTAATCAGGTAATGGCTGACGTCATATTACTGATTTGAAACCCTCTTGGTTTGAGACGGAATTCGCCCACGGTGGGAGTGGGCTGTGCGGATCTGATTCCAAGGAACGGTGAGGCTAAGTCTTGACACGTGCAAATGACAAGCTCAATCCTGGTTGATGCGGAGGTTTTTGCCGCTGTGGACCAGACTCTCCTCATTTACATCGTAGGCACCAGAATCTGTTACTCGACATGTCGAAAAAAGTCGGAAAGATCGAAAAAGTGGTAGTCAACATGCAACATGAAACTATACAGTGATTTGAGAGTATGCAGATGGTGGCGTTATTGACCCCTCAGCTAAGGCGCGCAATCTGCCAATGAAGCTATTCCAAGGCCACGGGACTCCCGAATCGGCAGGCGCAAATTGAACCCCTCAAGTAACCTGCATAGACATAAACACACCACCGGAACGTCTTACACAAGCCCAACTTGGACAATTCCAAAGAGGCAGACCCCACAGCGTTATGCCAAACGGCTGTTCTACCGTAGGTGGTTATTGGTGCTGGTAGGCTACACCGACAAGTGGATAGTACACGTGTATGGTATTCTGCTGCCCGGACTCCGAAGACAACAACAATGCCATTGCAAGCGGCTATCCGTCACCCTGGCACTCTATCCATCCCTGCGACAGGCCACGATCTCGACCTGTTGATCTTGGCCGATCCCAGCTATTGTTGGACGACAGATGGTCCAGACAAGACTTGCAGGAGCGAGTGGTTATGTACGGCTGGCAGGTGTCTTTCACTGTATGGTGCAGGTGCCGCACCACTCGACACCCAGCAACCCCACAACAGCGAACAAGACAACAGGGTGGTGGCTTGCGCGATAATGTGCAGCACAGACGCCATGCGCGCGACCGATCGCGATGACGCCAAGCGTCTGTCTCGCTATCCAAGGGCTTTGAGGAGGGCTCGAGTGGAGTCTGACAATTTTTTGCCGTAGCATGCAAAATTGCTCAACGACATGCAGATGTTACGAGAGAGGGTTGATGGCGCAAACACATGTTGGCAGGCGATGATCTCTTGTGTAGCGCGCACTGCTAGACACAGCAGCGATCGTCTCGACTTAGCCACAGCACTCCAGACAAGCGCTCGGTTCCCCGTGTCCTTGATCCGCCCGAACCGGACTGGCCCAAGCGGCCATGGCAAAGTAGCTGGAGATCGGCGTTCCCTATTGTGGGACCCGATGTCTTGACATCAATTCATGCTCGAACCACAAAAGCGGGGAGGCACTCTGGATGGCGCACTAAGAGTGTTCCCTCGATAACCTGCGTTACGCCAGGAACACGCACAAAGGGTTCCTGGATTTCTGTGCATGGCGATGCGCACGAGAGGCAGCGAGAGTCAGAGGTGTGTTTGCTGAAACATGCAATCCGAGCGCGAGGGAGGTACCGCGTCCCATGTCCTCCACGGACCATTGCGGCCTTTAATAGAAAGTGGCAGCATGGGAGGCCTCGTTTGTTCGCTTCAGCCACGGCATTGCCGCGTACCTTGAGGGGAAGAGGGGTTTACTTATCAGTCACGTTGGTCGGGCGTGGGCTGTGAGCGTCCGGCTGACCCCAGATGCCGCGTGCCATGTTTGCGACCAAATAATAAAAGTTCCTGGCGTCTGTAATTGCTGCAACAATCTCACTCCTTTCCCCCAACATTACTTGTTGCCGCTATCGGGTCTGAAACTGGGATATTCGGCCGCATTCCTGAGGCTGCACAATCGAGACTCTCTGTTGGACACAGTAACTCCATATCAGAAGCTCGGGCATCACCCCACTTGTCGAATAGCATTCCGGGACCTGTCCACACGCTTTATTTTTGAACTGAGCGCCTCTTCAACTAGCAGACGCCTCTCGCACACATCTTGGATTATTATTTCTACACGCCCGCTCCCTGCGCTGCCCTGCATTGCCTCTCAGCCGCATCTCGCGTTATAAAGTCCGACACCTCGGAGGGCTGTGCAACAATTCCGCTGCCTTGCTGACGAAGCTGGAGAACAAAGCAAACACCGAGGCCAGCGATTTTTTTTGTTTGCAACCATGACTGTCCTCAAGGTACCTATACTGAACCCCGGCCATTGTATGCCCTGAATTACGCTGACCGTGCCGCCTGTCAGGAACCCATCAACGTCCGACCAGCCAGCCAACAACGACACTCGTCTAGCACCATGGCTGGCTCGCTCCCCAAGAACCGCCCACACTCGCACTCGATATCCGCCGGCAACCTAAACCCCGCGCATCGCGTAACACGTAGGAAGAGCATGAGCCAGACACCCGTCACCAATGTTGCGGCCATCGCTGCTGCGGCCAAGGGCATGTCGGGGGCGCCCCTGGATGGTAGTAGTAACGGATCGCGCCGCCTGTCGAAGCCGACATCGCAGTTCCGCGGACCCAACATGGCACTCAACTCAACAATGGCATCGAGTATGCCCGGTAATGGCTCGCAGTTCGGTCCTAGCAGTTATGGCGCCGCGGCGGCTAAGAGTGAGGCTCTCACCGACGGTCCGACACTCGCAACGATGCTGGAGCAGGACAAGGCCGACACCAAGTCGCGGAACCGCCGCGCGAGCGAGGGCTCTCGTCTGTCCAAGGGTGACGGCAAGCGAAGTGGTAGCGATCTGAGATGTGAAAAATGTGGGAAAGGCTACAAGCACAGCAGCTGTCTGACCAAGCACCTGTTAGTAACCCTTGGCCATGTATGGCCCTCCCACATACTTTCATGCCTCGTGACGAATGCCCTTTCCTCGCTTGCACGCACACATAGACTGCAATGCTTCTTGATAGTTCCGCGTTGACTTTTTTTCTAGTTGGGAGCACACGCCAGAATGGCAATACACATCTAAGCTGCTCATCTCCAAGCACCAGCAGGTGCAGCTCCTCGAAGCTGCCTCTGTCCTCGTCGCCATGAACAAGGAGAGCGATGGCGAAAACAGCGACCGCTCGTCTCCTCCGGCCTCGGGCTCGTCTGACCTGCGTGAGGAGTTGAGCTCCACTGAAACTACCCCGCCCCCGCAACTCGACGACCATGCCGTGGGCTCCTACCCTCACTCGCACTTTGGCACCCACTCCATCAAGCGCTATTCCACCAACAGCTCCGCATACAGCCAGTCTTACCAGTCCACCGTCTTCTCCGACAATGGGAATGGCCACTTCCGCCAGTGGAGCAACGTGTCTGACCGCCCCACAACGTCAGGTACCTCGGTTGCCGGCTCCTACCATGATGATGGCAACGACCATGCTGACCTTGCTGCCGCCGTTGGTTTGTTGAGCTGCTCATACGGCACGCCCAAGACAGGTCCTGTCGCGCTCCCACCAGATGTGCCACCCGTGCCACCGCTACCAGCAAAGTATTTTGACCTGAATGCCCGCTCTCTGTCCGGTAGCACCACCGTCACCGCGCAGCAGTCGAGCATACGCAACAGCTACCGCTACAACAGCGAAAGCAAGGACGTCGACATGGACGATGACCACTTCGCCGATGAGGAGGACTACCGCTACTCCAACTCGCGCAGCCGCGGCCGCATCGACGAGGACGACGACGAGATTTTCGGAAGGATGGAGGAATAGAAGCCCTCCGCGCTCGCCATGCCCCCTTCACGACCGTCCCGATCTCTGCTGCCAATTTGTTCCCATCATCATCTCGTTTTCCCACTCGCTCTTCCGGCTCTGTACCACAAACCAAATATACCAACCATTAGCAATCTATCTCCGCGAAGGGAAAAAGACTCAGCCTGGACACCGAGGAGAGGGCCGTCACAAACTTGGCTTATTACAAGTCGACGGTCGACGACGCCCTTGAGGTTAAAGTACAGGTCATCATGTCCGAAACTGGTCGTCTTTTTTTTCCGCTCTGCGTCGAGAGCCTAGCACATGCAACAAATATCCCGGAGTTTCTCTTTTTAATCTTTTTATCGTCTCTTGTTCTTCTTATCTCTTCGACAAACAACCTTCAGCCTATTTTGACAGAAGCTCATATAACTTTGCCAACAAATTTCGACGACGATTGGGGTGTTTCGTATCCAATGCGGTTGCACTGGACAGCGTGGCCTGCATGTTAGAAGGGACAGGAGAGGGAATCTCCATGTGTCTATGGTTCAGCCATCTCTTGTATATTCGGCTGTGGAGGAACTTTTGAAATAACTTGAGAGAGGAATCAAGATTGAGTGCTAAGTAAACATTTAGTCAAAAGGAAGACCAAGGTGCCCTCTCTGCTTGAGTGAAGAATCGTCGTGCTTATAGCGGATCCGTTCGTAGAAACTCAAAACCCAACGCTGACGAAAGGTTCAATATAAAGACCAAACCTTGATAGATGGGAAGATAAGAGTGAGCGGGGAGAAAGAGGGGGTGGTGGGAAACGGTCCTTTTCAACGCCTGTCCTTGTTGAGTACCGCTGGAAGGCCTTAAAAAATCTCGCCGAGATTGAGCTGAGGGCTGAAGTGGGCTGATATGTAGAACGGCGAAAACAAGACGTGCCTTAGCTTCCTCAGCTCATGACTAGCTTGGAATCCAAGATCCGGGGCTCCGGGTTACACTAGCTTCGCTACATGGACGATCTGGTTGGGTGGTTTGAAGAATGGTTCGCCGTTCTCTATCTGGGCATGTGTAGTGCAAAGAAAGAATGTTACAAGGTCGCCGTGGTAGCAACTATGTTACGTAGGTTAGCCATCACATCAAAGTAGGTAGCGGGCGGTCGTCGGCTACGATACCCCCCACTCTCCCTCATCCTATCCGAACTACAACAACAAGGACATCGTGGTGATTCAACCAGAAAGGCAGAAACAATCAAAGTAGCGATATGTACTTCTGCCACCTATACCTTGCTGGCCTTCCTTTATATGTACAAACAAGAATACGCAGCTGACGTACCACCCAACATCCCATCTCCCCTTCCGTCCCGGTTCCTCCACCAACGGTGCGTTAGATCGGGTAGATCTCTCGACGATCACAAATCCTACTGAATAAGCGAGTCCCCTCAGCGTTGGATGTTGTAAACAAGGCGGGTCTATAGCATTGCTGGCTTCCTGTATGGGTAACATGAGCGTGTTTCAGTTGTATACATGTGGAGATGAAGATCTTCGATCCCGATGGTTGGTGGGCGCCTGAGGACTTTGTTGGCTGGATGGGCGGGGTATGGGATGTGTGAAAGTGGGGTATCGTAATAAGTGAGGATGCGAGGACGCGTGGTTTGCTGTAGGTTGCAATGATGTTGGTATGGTGGGTTTGGGTTTGGGATCGTGATGTTTGGGGTGTGAGGTACGAGGTTGGTTTGGGAAGGTATGACGACAGATGATCGGCGGTCTGGTGAGATGGGCGATGGAGGGGTATCATAAAGCGATTGAGGAGCTTTGCTTACGGAATGATTCATAGTTGACTAGAATCCATACAATCTACTTCGGATACATTCTTGAACATCGAACCAAACGCCATTCGATGCAGACAGAGAAGCTCCAGTGTGCGCATGTAGAAGTAAAAAGCCGTTTGGGTAATCAACCACGGCGAGAGCGCGAAGCGTATGGAATATGGGGATGCTTAGGATCGCTACTATATCACCGAGATCATAATTGAGAATGGTGAGTTTGGTAGCCACGGAAAACAAGGCGTGCCGAGAATACGCGAAGAGTGTAGGTACCGCAGAGAGGGGGAAATAACGGTTACGATCTTGAGCTGAAAAACGAAGATGAATGTTGTTGAGACGGTGTGACTTCTGCACAATGACACTGCTCACATCATCGATGTTATCATCATTAGGCAGTTCGAGCGTAATGTCACGAATATTGCGAAGCTATAAAGGTACTGGAAGGTGGTCGGCGATGCTGATATCGCTGGATCCACTCATGCCAGGCAGGCTTATTCGGGCAAGCTTTTGCCGTGTCTCGAGTAGTACGTCCATACGCGGCTGACTGTATCGAAGTATGAACTTCCAGATGCCGAGCATATCGAAGACCAACTCCAGAAGCGAGTTTCCTCCAGACGTTGTCTTCTGTAGCCGGATGGACGCAAATAACGACATGATTATATACCATTGGATATGGCAACTCCCAGAGATGCACACATGTCTTCGCTATGCTGAGCTGGTCGCGCTGGCTTAGCTGCAGTCGACGCGTTAGCAGAGTGGCGTAAGCCAAGAGTACACACTTACCTCCACTAGAATGGACTTGAGGATCTCATACGGCATACGCAGGATGTGACACTGCAGATCTTTTGGTGGAGCCCTCATTGCTATTCTTCCCAATGGCGTGTGCTGAAGCGTCGACTATGGTGACTTGTACTGAGAAGAGGGTAGAGGGGAAAATGTGAGAGAGGACGTCTGCGAGGGCAGCCATGGTGCCTTCCGTAAACATGTAGGCACGTGATGATGCGCGCATCGGTTCTTGCCTTTGGAGTGTTTTGTCAGAAGCTGGTTGCGGAAGCGGAAGGTGATGCGAAAGGTGACGTGCAGTGGAAAGACCAGATGTTTTACCCCGGGCGTCTTATGGTAATTCTACGCTGCCGGATTGCCACTTGTCAACAGATTACGTGCTGGAGAAGTTGACTGCCTGTGATCATTGCTGGTTTGATGGGTCACTCAGCATCGTGCCTTCCAAGATTGAGCATTGGCACGGTCCAAGCTATGTTGTGCGAGATGAAGGCTAACCAAACATTGAACGAAGTAAACAGTATGAGAAACAAGTTAAAACACTGAAATTGACCTGCCTTGGTATATTCAAAGACCAGCGGGTCTTTTGATGCTCTCAGTCCACCTAAGAGAGCTGAAATTCTTGGTCTTGAACCCATTATAACATGCGGGCCTGCTCGGGCTCGTTCTTTATCGCATGCTGTTATGCAGCAGCCTCCGAGAAGCATAACGAAGGGTTAAGAGATCTGCCGGAGCATCTCATAGATCTGGTAGACACGTGCCTGCAGGATGCGCATGGTAATTGAGCGTTTGGCGACGCGTATCGGATAGTTTCTCGATCCCGTTCCAAAGCTGTAGGACAATCACACGCGTCATTGTCATTTTGTCGGCTCGCTTCCAGGTCTAAATAAGATGCATCTTACTCCGGGGTGCAATCATGGCTGGGTCGAAATGTTGCGGGGATGGAAATAGATGTGGCTTGAAGGGCATGGCGTCACTCACGACCCTGCAGATCCGCACGGTGCGGCTACATTGGCGTCCACAGCAGCGCGACTCAACACATGCCAGACAACTCGATGCCCTCCGACGAGCGCTGACCCACCTTTTGCTCCAATGCACCCGGCCGCCTCTATACTTGCCGATAATGTCGTCAAATACCACCACCTGCTCGCCCCGCTACTTTACAGCGTCCTCGCGACCGTCGCAAACGTCCACACACCGATTCAGCATTCGCTTCTCATAACAACGATATCATGGCTGATAGTATGGGTGCCGACTGTCTTCTGGGTGGGGATATATTCAAATAGCGATAGGCCTAAGAGGAAGACGAGCTGGCTGGCTGGTGCGTTGTTAGGTCTGTCTGCAATATGCGACCGCGCAGCATGCGATACGCAGGGCATTAGGGCGACAAAGGTACTTCGATTTAGGAGAAGGGTGTCTATAATCTTCTAACAGTACCACAGGTTCTCATTCCCTTCTTTACCGTCCTCTTCTCCGAGAACGAATTGGTCGCAAGACAACTAGCCCTACCTACCTTCACCATCCTCGATGGTCCCGCAGCCGAGACGAAGGCCCCCCCGGAGCGACAGCCTCATACTGAATCACACGGGATATTGGCAGTTCTGGTTGTCTCTGCGAGTGCTGTTCTTGGCATCTACGCAGTTCCTACGACTGTTGCTCTCGGTCTGAGTAGTGCCATTTTCGCTGCCACTGGGCTCGTCTTGTTCGAGTCCACTATACGAGCCGCAACAGAAGAGAGCGAAAGCAGCAGGCGCGGGCTTTTGTCGGCGAATGGAAGCACCTCGCGGCATGCATCGATGAGCGGTGCTTCGAGGACACAACGACTAGCTGCGCTAAGAGACGTCGCTGTGGCCATCGCAGTCGTATGCGGTGTCGCATCCATCCTTACCGAATCCTCCCTGACTGCAAGCACAATATCCTGGGAGCCTGTGTATAGAGAGTATAACCGGGAATGGAGAGATGTGCACAACTTTCGCATTCTCCAGCGCTTCCTGTGGATGTTGCCTGTTCAATCCACTGTAAATGTTCTTATTTTCGTACTGGTACGTATGAGCTTTCTGTTGGTTGTTAACGTCTTCTCGTACGCCTCTCTTCTTATTACGCATGAGCCAGGCCTACTGCGTTGGTCTTACGCATCTCTTCGGGTTTCACCCAGCCTTTGTTTCCAGGCCTTAAGACGAGAGGCGTAGAGTTCATCTTTGACGCATGTTCACTCCATCAAACTAACTCATTGATAGATCTCTCAATACGGTGCCGTACATACGTCTCTATTAGTCGTTTTTTCACATATTATTGCGAAACTACACCTTGCGTCAACCTTTTCCACCATTTTGTTTACTCTCATTTACGGCGCGGCGGCACTCGTATACTTTTTTGATTCGCCTGATTCTCCCATAGTCATGGATATGCGACGGTCCATGCGATTGCGACGTTTTGTTTTCTTGGTCGTGGCGCTTGCGGTGGGCTCTTTACTTCTTGGACGTCTGGATGGGTCACAGACTTATCGACCCATCGCCGATAGTGTTGGTACTATCCCCCTTTCCCAGCCTGAGAAACCACTTGGTCCGGTGCCGATCGACATGAGCAAAGGTCATCCGGCTGCGCAGTTAATCGACGCTGCAGAGGCAGACTTCCAAAGCATCCTCAACCGACAATCGAAATCTCTTACTGATGCTGTTCGGGAATATCGACGCAGGAATGGAATATCACCTCCTCCCCATTTTGATAAATGGTTCGAATTCGCGACGCGGAATGGAGTCGTAATGATAGACGAGTACGATACCATTAATGAGATGCTGCTACCGTTCTGGGCACTCAAACCATCCACGATTCGATCGCGCATCGCGAATGCGTTAGGTCACGAGGATAGCTCACTACTTGCGATTGCAGTACGCCATGGGGCCGTAGAGAACTTCCAAGGTGGCGACGAATGGCAACAACAGGCTACCATTGGCATGATGAAGCAGTTCGTGCAATACCTGCCCGATATGGATCTAGGCTTCAACCTTCATGATGAACCGCGAGTCATCGTACCCAACAATCTCATGTCATCCATGGTCGCAAAGGTGAGGGATGAAATCCTGCCACGCACTGCGAAGAACATCACACCGCGCAATGGCTTTTCAGCCCGTCCCGATGACCTGAGTGACGGTACAAGATTTGCCGAGGTCAGCACGACCAAGTTCAATCGTTTTGCACATCAGCAGACATGGACGCATTCGCGGCTATCATGCTCTCCTGGAACTCAAGCCCAAACATTCGAAGACTATGCCGCTGATAACCTCACATCGTATGCTACCAGCGACCTTGGATTTATCTACAACGCGACTGCCTTTTCCGATATCTGTAACTCGCCGTCATTCTCCTCAACGTACGGATTTTTCGAACGTCCCAATGCCTTCAGCATCATCCATGAGCTCACACCCGTCTTCTCACAGTCGAAGATCTCCAGCTTCCAGGACATCTTGTACCCCAGTCCATGGTACTGGATAGGTAAGGTAGGCTACGATGAGGCCCATGACACGACATGGGAGAACAAGACAAATAGCCTCTACTGGCGCGGCTCCACAACAGGAGGCTTCAGTCGCAACGGCGGCTGGCGACGTCAACACCGCCAACACGTCGTCCAACGCCTCAATGCCCTCGATACCGCCAAAGTCCTCGAACCCGTCTCCAACTCCCCCAACTCCAACAGCCCTGCCACCTCCTATGCCGTAACAGAAATCGAGCGCAAAGCCCTCAAAGACCTCATCGACGTCCACTTCTCCCACATCGGCCAATGCGACCCAGGAGACTGCGACGCGCAACAAGAATTTTTCGACGTAACCGAACGCGTCGACGGGCAAGATGCCTGGTATTACAAGCACCTTCTCGACATGGACGGCAACGCCTTCTCCGGCCGCTTCTACAGCTTCCTCAAAAGCCGCAGTCTGACCTACAAAATGGCGCTTTTCCGCGAATGGCACGCCGAGTGGTTACGCCCTTGGGTTCACTATATCCCACTATCTCTTCGTGGCGACGAACATCTCGACCTTGTCAGGTGGTTTAGCGGGACAAAGGTTTTTGATGACGATGGGGATGGGAAGGGGAGAGGAATAATGCTGATGGCAGCAAGAAGGGCGGCAATGGGGAGTGAGGGGGAAAGGAAGGCTAGGATTATTGCGAAGAGGAGTTCTGAGTGGCATGGTAGGGTGTTGAGGAACGTGGACTTTGAGGTTTGGTTCTTTAGGTTGTTGTTGGAGTATGGAAGGGTGGTAGATGATGCAAGGGAGGAGATTGGGTTTCCGGGGCCGTAGATAGTGGAGAGGAGGAGGATGGCATGTGGGAGTGAGGGAATAGGTGGTTTTGCTTATGGATAGATGGGTAATAATGGAAAATATGGCATTTCTCTTTTTACATTTAGTGATAATTATCATGCATGTGATGATTAGCATGTTCAACCAATGTGCGAGAGATGTGGTACATGTCATGATTGAGCAAACTCCGTTTTCCCTGCTGATCTCACCTTAGCTTCTTGATCTCCCTCATTCGCAGGAGAGTATCGTGACGGCGGCGTCCGTGGTGACGCGTTAGGTATGAGTGGTTGGGCATATACGGTTTACCACAGTACTACCGGGTTTTCTTCATTGACTGCGACGCGTGCATGCGGAGTAAATTTTGGGTATGTTTGAAAGAGAAAAGTTGGCAATTTTGCTAAATGAAAACTTGAGCCGTCTATCCAGTAACTCCTCAAAACATATTACCGACCATCCGGCGTGTTGAATCATCCACCGCCATGGCACACTGTAAACTAGACTCTTTCGTCTCTTGCCTTCCAAAAAGTGACAGCAGTGTTTATTCAAGGCGACTTTTTGAAACTAATTCAACTCAGTCCCGGTTCACCTTGACGCCGTACTCAGAGTAGAAATGGCATTGCGAATTGTGAATGACGCCAGAAGTGTCTTCCTTGAATACGTTGCATCCGTAAGTCGCTGCGTTGGGTGGGGTGTACACTGCATTGTAGTTAGTAGAAGATGCGTATACAAGTATGAGAGGGGAGGCGTACGGTGTAGCGATACTGCATACTCTGTGGGGTGGGGGTTCGAGATGCAATGCACCCCAAGGGTGTCTGCCATGTACGTGACTTCGTTCTCCTTATAAGTGATGTCGTGAAGCTTGGTCATTGGACGTTGATTCTGGACATCGGATTCGGTGGGAGTAGCGAAACGAGATTCGGTGAGGCTACCCTTGAGGACCTTCATGATACAGTGCGCGTTTGCGTGGCTGGACGATCGTTAGCTTCTAGCACATGAACCTGCAACGTAGGAGCAGGTATGTTGGGATGCGCAGATTCTTCTTGTTTGGATATCGAAAGGTGATGGATTATCGGAATGTCGTCTTACCGGCGTATCTCCTGCTGACACATCGATCAATTGTAGATCGGCGAACGTAAGTCGCTTCATCGTGCAGGAGACTGAAGCCATAGAGTGCTGGTCGAGACCAGAGATTCTGTGATTGTGCATGCTAGAGTCAACAAATCGCAAAGATATACCAACTTACTCATGAATCGGGCTCTTCTTTCCAGGACCCCATACCAGGATGAGCTGTTCGGTTAGCATCGTCTTTATCGCACCTGAGGGGTCGGAGACTGTACCAGGTTGCTCTTTCCGTTGCCCTTGTCGACAACGTTTCGTGTGTACGGGATGGTCTCTGATGGAAAGAAGTACTTTTTCCACTCAGACTCTTCCGATACGTAGGCCTTCATCAGTTCTTGAAGTTCGTTCTCGTCTACATCTTCAGAGTCAATGCCATTGCTGGGACCGAGTACGTCGTTGATCGCTTGGACGAGTGAGTGGAAACCATCGTGTTCAGTGTTGCGGCCGATCATAATGACGATGATGATACTTGATGAAGATTACTTGGGTTGAACGTGTAGTTTATTCCCCGGTGCTATTTGTAAAAGTAGTCCCCGATAAAGAGAGGTCAGAGCACAGGGATAAGACAGAGACGGTATTTGTATAGAAAGAGCAGAAGAGACAACACGTTGTGGTTGCAGTCCTTCAAGCCTGCTTGTGCAGGAAGGGCTTGCTTCATTATGTAACAATCTGCGCGTTCTGAGCTTGTGATATGTGGATCCGAGTCGGTCAGCAGAGTTCGGCGACATGTGATGCACCTCATATCCTATATTCAGAGGGTTGAATGTAGTCCCCGATGCGAAGAGCCCGAAAGCGGCTTCTATCGGGCATCTCAGCTTTGTCAAGGCCGTGAGGAAGCATGCATAGAAGCCATAATGGAAGGGTGCTGCATGAGACGCTAGCCGCATCGAGTGGCGGTGAAAAGTACTGCCAGAACCCGTGCCCCGCTTCGTCATTGGCGGCGTCTTCGCATCAAAATTGTGAACAACGACATCGCCTCTCTACACCTGCGCAGATCAAGTCAGCATACACGATAATTCAAGATGGCGACCACAGTGGACAAGGCGAGTATTGGCCCTCGGAATATGCCATCGCATCGTGTGCTAACATCCTGGACAGATCAAAGATATCGAGGCCGAAGTGAGAGACTCCCCACAATACGCGACCATAACACGATGACTTACACGAAACGTAGATGGCCAAGACCCAGAAGAACAAGGCGACGTCTTTCCATCTTGGTACGGCTTCGAAACCCAACACTGCATGTTGACATGCTTATACAAGAACAGGGCAACTGAAGGCTAAGCTCGCTAAGCTCAAGAGGGAGCTACTCGAGCCTTCCAGCGGCGGCGGTGGTGGTGCTGGTGTAGGATTCGATGTTGCTAGAACTGGTGTTGCCAGTGTTGGTTTCATTGGATTCCCATCTGTGGGCAAAAGTACGCTCATGAGCAGATTGACCGGACAGCACTCCGAAGCCGCTGCGTATGAGTTCACAACAGTGAGTTGGACGTGTCTGTTGCTACGATCAGCGCTGATAGTATACAGCTTACTACTGTACCTGGTCAAGTCATGTACAACGGAGCGAAAATCCAGATTCTCGATCTTCCCGGTATTATCCAAGGCGCGAAGGACGGTAAAGGTCGTGGTCGACAGGTCATCGCAGTCGCAAAGACGTGCCATCTGATCTTCATCGTTCTGGACGTCAACAAGCCTCTCACCGACAAGCGCGTTATCGAGAACGAATTGGAGGGTTTCGGTATCCGAATCAACAAGAGCCCGCCAAACATCGTGCTCAAGAAGAAGGACAAGGGCGGTATCAACATCACGGCGACGGTTCCGCTCACGCACATCGACCACGGAGAAATCAAGGCTGTGTTGAACGAGTACCGCATGGCAAACGCAGATGTGGCTATCCGATGCGATGCAACAGTCGACGATTTGATCGATGTTATCGAGGCTAAGGGACGAAGCTACATCCCCGTCATCTATGCTTTGAACAAGATCGATGCTATCAGTATCGAAGAGCTTGACCTGCTCTACCGCATTCCAAACGCTTGTCCCATTAGTTCTGAGCATGGCTGGAATATCGATGAGCTCCTTGAGCAGATGTGGGAGAAGCTGAATCTCGTTCGTGTTTACACCAAGCCAAAGGGCAGGATGCCAGATTACTCTGCGCCAGTAGTATTGCGATCAACAGCCTGCACCATTGAAGACTTCGTATGTCTCTCTTTCAATTTCAAGGCAACACGCTAACGGAACGGAAGTGTAATTCGATCCACAAGACGATTGTGGACAACTTTAAGCACGCTATCGTTTACGGAAAGTCATGCAAGCATCAACCCCAACGTGTGGGACTGTCACACGAGCTTGCCGACGAGGATATTGGTACGTATCCCAGCACTACCTCATTCAATGGACATCGTGAGCTTACGCATCGACCAGTCACCATTGTCAAGCGCTAGATAAGGTCTTATGATCATGAGATATGACGGGCGTTATGGATCCGGATTTGGGAAAGTGAGTAGAGCAGAGCAGAAGGGCCTTTTGGATGGCTGGACATGTCTCACTGCGATACCAATACCAGGTCGCAGCATTAAGATGACGAACAGAGCGAGGCTTGGAGCCGATCTCGCAGCCTGGATTGGCCGAGGACTCGTTCCAGTAGCACCGCGGACGACATCAGGACGACACTAGTTGTGGGCAGCGCAGCTTACGGCGCGGATCGTACCTGCCAATCGCCAATCCTCGAAAGGCTGGTGGCGGTCCGATACCGTCCGCGAGCTATCAATAACAGACCCTGATCTCCTACCGAAAGGCGTTGCCCAAGACACTGTCGTCGCCACGGAGCCTCGTGGGAATGGCGCCGCTGGTGTTATTGGAACAGTATCAGCATCCAGCATTTGTTTTTATTCCATATTTGCTTCGGAATTTGATGGATTCTGATCAGCATTGTCTGGCCCATTTTTTGAGGCGTCGGTTTTCCTTATTGGTCTACTAACGGGCAGCGGTCGATTCGGAGAAATCAGCAGGGGTCAGTTGTGCTGACGACTCAGAATGCACGCTGTGAGTCGGGCGCTAAATCATTATCGCTCCCGAAACCTGAGTGGCTGGTCGGCAAAACCTCGATTTTCCATGGGCGCGATTATTGCAGCTTTCCGAAAGCGTTTCAGCCGTCGACACTTTCTGTCTCTCCTTTATGCACAGCCGATGATTGACGTGCTGTCCCCCGCCGTGGGAATCGCCACCACCTCGCGTACCTGAGCAGCATTGAATCGGCTCCCACTGTTTCGCGCCACGAGCGTACGGCAACGGTCATGATTTACAGCGCTGGCGCACGAGGCGAAGCCAATATGGCGCTCCCACTTAGGCCATGTCTCGTTCGGGAAGCATCAGATTAGCCGGCTGCAGACGTGCTCAGCGGTGCGAGGGTCCTGATGGGATGATCCCACCCGGCCGCCTTGACATCCCATTTGCCCTTGCTAGCAGTCAGGCGTCGAGGCATGCACTTGCGCGCTAGCTAGACGGCCGCATAATTCTGGCCCGCGCTGTCCTAGGGGCGCATCCCCGATGAGAGACCCGCACACGCTAAGCCCAATGTCGTCGCTCGCGTTCAAAGTCGCTTGGCCGAATAGTGACCAGGATCACAGTGCACACGCCAGGCTTGCCGGCAAGCTTGGGCTCGAAACAAACAGGGCTCCTCTCCCGCAAGCTGCAGGCCCGCCGCGCCCGCATCGCACAGCCAGGGCTTGTTACCAGTGTCCCCAGACTTATCCTCAAGTACGCGCTGCAGGCCCGCCGCGCCAGGCTTTCCCTGCAGTTTCAATTCTCCATCTGAGCCCACTGCTTTGCCGCGCTGCTTTATACCTATATGTTTTGACCTCTGTCATACCCAGCGCCTTTTGTCAGCGCTACCCCCGCTAAGCAGGTACTTGACTTGTTGCTGTTTCGCCTCAGGAACCAAAATCCCGTCTCATGCATGTATGCGCTCGGCCGCTCTGAGGTCACCCACGCCGCTTAGGTATAGCAACACCACGGTACAGATGCATATGCCCGCCTGGCGCCCTACTTTGCTCTGCGTTTAACACGGACACTCGTTCCCACACTCGCACGGATACACCGCTTCCATACGTTTCCTGCAATTCGACATGAGCCAATTGCAAATGGATCACGAGCATCACCACCACCATCACCAGGAACCTTTCGAGGATCATCATTCTGGATGGCATGGAGATAACGGATACAACCCACATCACCAGTCTCCCGTCCAAGACTATAATGGCTTCAACAACTTTGCGCCGCTCCCAATGGAACCCATCTACGGGACTGGCATGCATCCACCCCACCAAACGCATCCGACACCGAGGACTACACATCCACAGCTACAGCCTTTGATCATGCCACAGATGCCACAATGGCCGAGCATGCTGACAAGCCAGTCGACTTATCAAGCTTCACTGTTTCCTTCTGCCCCGCCACCGATAACGCCGGCATCAGCAACTCCAGTCTCAGCGAGCTCAACTCACTCCCGTACTTCATCGACACCGCGGAAGACTCTCACCGACTCGGACCGCAGGCGCATGTGCCAATACCACGAAGAGAATCCTACAGTCAAGCAAACGGAAATTGGAGGTATGCCAGCATGATGCACCCACCCATACGGATAGTTCACTGACATTACTCTAGCGATGTTTGGCGTAGAGCGAAGGTACCACTGCATATGCTGTATGTATCTTACCGTGCTGACTGTTGAGTAGTACCGTTTCAAAGGTGTTGCGCCAGAAGGAGAAGTACTTGTACCAGGACGACGGCAGTCGATCACCCATAAAAAGGTCGAAAGGCAAGTTTCCGGATATCGAACGTGCGTTGTCAAACTGGGCAAGGAACCATCAGAGACAGGGACTGCCACTATCAGATGCCATTATCCGAGAGAAGGCACGCTTCTTCGCTCAGACCGTTGGCAACTCCGAGAGTCATCTCAAGGCAAACAGCACAAGCTGGCTAGAAAAGTTCAAGCAAAAGAACCATCTCATGGGAGCAAGGGCGAGAAAGGGTTCGATAGCAGAAGAGTCAGAGGGGACTTCCAATCCGCCATCGAATGTGCATACGCCGGGTGCCATCTCGCCTACTTCGCCTGGCGGGGTATCGCCTGCAACTACGACCATGAAAGCCAAGAAGAGTCAGGAAAACCTCAAAACAGAAAGCCCAGACACGTACGATTTTTCGAATCATCGTCGACCATTTCATTCACAAAGCAGCACTTCCTTGTCGAGCGTGTTCACCGATACAGCTACAAGCCCTACGTCGCTTTCGTCGCCTTTCTTCACGCCCGATTCAGCATGCGGACCAAGCCCATTCGTAGGGAACCGCCAGCCAGCCAGTGCACAGCCAGGGAGCAACAACTTCCAGCGGCCGCGAAGTCAGACCTTCCCTATGCTTGTGGGCGTCGAGCAGTATATGTCACCACCAGGCTCATCTGATGCCCTGACTCCAAAGTACGTCAGTAGTGGTGCACTCGATTCTCCTATGACTGAGATGCCTGGCGCGCTACCGGCTATCGAGGAGGGAATGTCGCTTTCGCCAACTCAGGTTCCCAACTCGATGCAGCCTCCTCCTCTACCGGGTGCTAGTCAGATCGATGACAAGGGATCATCCGCTGACTCCTCGCCCATTACACCATCCCAAGAAGAGGCCGCACGCGCATTAGAGCTCGTTATGAATTTCTTCCAGTCACAGAACGCTGGTTTTGTCGTGGAGCCACAAGAGTATGTTGCCATTGGCAAGCTGATGGAGAAGCTACGAATCAAGCGCAGCTCTGAGAGCCTTCCTTCCGACATGCGACGTGTGTCAGAGCCCACCTTCACTACGACTAAGCTCGAAAGCGTCGACGCAATCCATTAGTGATCGCATATGTTACTAGATTCAACGTCGGTCCTGGCCCTGTGTCTCCTGTCATAGCACGTACACGCCTACGATTGTTGCTTTCTTTCCCGTGGAACAATCTCTTGGAGTCGCTTGGTTTCGGAATGGCATATCTGCGCAACACTCCTGGCTTATGATACCAGGACCAAAACCTACGCATTACCAGCGTTAGGCATCGCAGGCACTGTTTGGATTTCCTTTCATCGTCGGATCTTGCTGCATTCTCGTATCAGCATCATTAGCATTGCTTCTATTTCTTACTATTCCTTGATTGACTTTGATTATCTATTCCCCTATTCCCTTGCTCGACGAACCACTATACCCCCCTTTAGCAGCGCATAGCAGCCGACCATTTCCGAATTTATCCCCTTACCTAAAAGGAAGACTGTAACTGCTCACGCGGGCCACTATTTTGTACGCTTCACTTTGTTGCTTTTTAACGTTGATTTCACATTTGCCTGGCGGCCCTCATACGTTGCACTGAGCTGAAACGGAGCGATGGGTTTCGTACGCACTACTGTACACCTATATGCGGATTTCTGACATAGTTACTGACCCTTGCCGAAAGACCGGCTTAACGAAAGGGTGGATCTCGCTCGAAATGCTATTAATGCTCAATACTACTATATGATTGTGCTTCCGATCTCACTAGTTATTCTCACTTTACCATAATCTGATCTTACTCGGACGTAGCCTAGCTTTGGTGGAGAATCACTGACACTTCATTGATCGGCAAGGATCTTGGTCATGAACAGATGGTACTCGCCGCTTTAAGCCCTGTCACGGGGCCGTCGGCATCGTATTGAAACACCGTTATAGAAGGGATGTGCAACAAAGTTTGGGCAAAGCCCGGTGAAAAAACAACATAGAGCTTCGGAAAATACCTTGCCGACAGCATGCTGATCTCAAGAAGCAGTATTTGTTCATTCCAGCTTCTGCATCCTGGATACTGTCAAAACGTGAATCGCATGTGAGACTTCCAGGTTCACTCGGCGATGTTGGTCCCCTTCCCCGCCTTTGCATGGAGCTCAGAGCTCGGACCCTTCAATCTTGCACCTTGCACATCCTTGGTGCATCGCAAAAGTACGTACATATAATTCATCGCACCAGCAGTCGCAATGCATAACGATCGATGACAACCATTGTAGACAGCACATAGCACAGATCTCAAACTGTTGAGCTTGATCTAGATGCCCACAAGCGTTAGACGTTTCCGTCTTCGACAAGAACGAACGCGCAAACTTTCCAGCTGAGTATGGCGCGCGCTCGGGGAAGGGCTGTCCCAATTTGGATCAGGGATGAGACGAGAGCTCATAGAAGCGAGGATTGGGGTTAGTACTGGCTCTCAGTAAGGTGGTTTTGACAAGGCAATCGACATTAAGGCGCCCAGGGCGTCCGTCATGCCGCGGGGGCGGCCTTTGGCTGTCCTGGGCCGTTCGCTGGCTGAAGGTGAGCTTGGACCTGAGAAGTCTCAGTAATGCGAGTCCAGGTCCCAGCCCTGCAGTGATTCGTGGTTGGAAAAGAGCTCTATCCGTCATTGATC